TCTTCTTCTCATCCTTCTTCTCATCCTTCTTCTCATCCTTCTTCTCATCCTTCTTCTCATCCTTCTTCTCATCCTTCTTCTCATCCTTCTTCTCATCCTTCTTCTCATCCTTCTTCTCATCCTTCTCATCCTTCTCATCCAACTCATACTCTTCTTCTGATTCTCCGTTTGCCTTCGCCATCAAATTCCACTTGGATACCCTGGCAAGTGTATCGAGGTTGGGACCCGCGAGCTTGGAAACTATACACCAATGAGATCCATTTGGGCCTTCGTGCTTAAACGAATCCAGGATCTGAAGAATGTTGTATTCCGAAAGCTTCCCATGAGCCTTCTTGCTCAGGTACTCATGCAATTTGAGATCGGTGGGCTCCGTCACTTCCGAAGCGATGATTTTCAAAGCGACTAAACGTTCAGTGCTTTCAAATGTTAGAACCTCAACGATCGCCTATCGTACCAGTACTCACTCGATATCCCACGCAAGCCAAATTGTTGAGGATTTCCCGCGTCCCAGCTTGTTGACGACCTCGTAACGACCATCTTTGAATTTGTCGTGCAGAGCGACTGGATGAAACCCACCAGGACGATATCTCAATATGTTTTCTGCACCGGACGTGAGATTGTTGTCCTTGTATTCCCGTTCTTCAAACATGTCGCAGATACTTCAAACCGAGGGCTGTAAGGCGGATGTAGAGGATAGAGACATGGAGAGAGAGAGATAGAGCGGCGTTTTTAAAGGTGAAACTTCCTTTGTTTGCTCTTGCGGTGGTGGTTCTTTGTCACCATTGCGCCCTGCCCAGGTGTACGTGTGCCCAGCTGCCTGCTTTGGGGTTTCTTTCGTCTCGAGAACCTTTCAACTCATAAACATCCTGGTGTCTCTCACAGGGGGCTGTATGGACCTGAGCCTTGGAGATACGTCTCGGAATGTCTGAGACTGTCGCTTTCATGATGATGTTTTGGTTGATACGTAGTGCATCATTTTTGTGAAGTTGAGACGAGATACACAGGACTGTAGACTACCTATTTAACTTACCTGGGCCCATATCTGTAGTTGCGTCTGAAAATTGCAAACTATTTGATCCCACTTTCAATCTTCAACCAGCGAATCTTCTCTCCGAAAATGCGTGTTACAGTCACATTTTGTATCGAAAAGCCCCTTGAGAAAAAATACCATAAACCGATTACCAAATGGATTCAAAATAACCGGGTAATGCATGATATTCATGGTACTCGGGTTGTATTCGACCGAGCTCATGTCACGTATGTTTACTCCTTTGGGGCTTCTTTCAAGCTGCCGCGCTAATCAGATCAAAGATGTGGCATGCACGAAACCATAAACGATTATGACCGTGACAGGGACCCCCATGCTACCGTTAAAATGACCAACAAAGAGATCAGGGAGCAGGACACTCACTATGTTTTACATTGGCGGCCCAATCGAGGGTCAAAGTACATGCCGGTTCGGCATGATGAGTACACACAGCACGCGAAGGAGAAGAAACATCAGCGTGACCAGTTGGATGTTGAGGGTCATCAAAGCGGTAAGTCCCAGCAACAGAAGAAAAAGAGCCAGCGCATGTCAGAGGTAGACCCAGATGGATTTACAATTGTCAAGCACACTGGGGGAATACATCGCCGTCAAAACAATCCACCAGATGGCCCAACAGTTGTATCCCACAATCCATGGGCCCCATTGGCGTCGATCCAAGAGGAAGAGTCGGCTGCAATTCAACCAATGCCAACATCGTGTTGCAACTGTACCTGCCCGTGAGGCCCAAGGCATACGAGAGAGATCTACACTGCGGGCTTGAGACTCAACTGGACAGAAGCAGGATATGCAGGGATTAGTCTTTTGTTGAATAAATGTTCGGGATTTCTGGATATTGTATTTCCTAGGTCTGGTAGGCTAGCCTTTCTCGGTCATCATCCTGCAGACGGCCATATCTGTTTAACGTTAGTTGTCGAGTTTTTTCAAATAAATCGCGGTTCACATACTCCAAGAGAAGACGAAACATGTAAACTTCCATATCTTCATTTCTCAGTGCTCGTTCTGCCCAACTCTTCCCCTCGGTGGCTATCGTTTGTGCAATGGTACTTCCCATTGGATCGTATTCGAAATATCGGAGAAGCTCGACGATTTCATCGGCATCTTTATTGAGAGGTACATAGTGCACCCAAGGAATCAAGATGTCTTGATGCCATTCACGAAAGAGGGATACCTTAAGAGGAAGGCTTTTGCTGTTCATAAATGAGTAGAACCTGCCACTGTAGGCCCAGCCATCCATATCGAGTAGATAACGATAATTCCAGGCTTTGCTCGGCTCATCGACTTCAGCTTCGCCGCCGAAGAATTTGGTTTGCGAGTCACAGCTCTCTTCACAGTGGCTTATTGTTGTGAACTTGAGATTCAAATGTTTGTCGTACTGCCCCTGTTGAATTTCTTGAGTGGCCCAACCACTGGCACTATGGTTGATACCGTGATGATTTGCATCCGCTGGTCGAAGAACATATTGCGTTGAGCTGGGGTGCGTTAGATTTCCAATTACTCGTTGGCGCAAGGTATTTCGCCATGTGTGTTCATCAGTATGACCACCGGTGTTTCCACCTCTCCAGTACAGCTGACGCGTCTTGTCTGTCCAGTCAAAGTCACTTTCCTCGTCAAAAGAGGCCATCTTTTCATGATACCATGTTGATGGCACCGGGATATCCTGGAATGAAGACGGCATAGAAGTCGAGAACACGGGAGTCAGCTCATTTGTGAGCTTCAAAGTATGTGGACTTTCGAATAGACCCAGACGATGCTGCAAAGATGGACTCTTGCAAACATCACTGAAGGCTGTCTGGTTGAAGATGAATCCAAGGGGCTCAATTGCGTAAGAGGCGGTCTCATCTACCGCATGTCCATCGAAGTCCCTCGCAGGTGAATCGGGAGGACAAGAAAGTGTAGAGTAAGCCCAGTTGTTCTGGAACTGGAGTGATTTGTAACGAGTCTGCGAGACTGGGGGTGGCTCGTCCAGAAATGGGTACGAGACCGTGTAGTCGTCACTCGGTCTCGAGACTCGAGATAGATGACCATGCGCCTCCTTGCCAAGAGAAACTCTTTTGCTCAACTCTTCGTGTGCTGCTACTACGCGTGGCTCATCATGCTCGTTAAATGGCAAGTCCATGTCAGGTAGCCACTTGGCAAACGACTCGAGCATGTTGATAGTTCCAACACGTTGGTACAGCTGCGTGGAGCTCGCGCAGAACGCTCGGCCTTTTCGGATTGAGATGCTCATGAAGCCATTGTCGCTTTTTCCCAAGTCTTCTCGGGTTCGCGCACGCAGGACACTAGGCTCCAGTCCCCAAAATGGTAGCAAAGCATGGTAGATAACATCGAATTCATCAATCAGTACTGTGTTTTTCTCTCGGGCAAAGTTGTACCAATGATCAAAGCCAGGGGGCGGCGGCATCTTGTACCGACGCTTGTACTCTGACACCGCCTGTTTCAGTGTTTGAGACTGCTTGGCAAGTGTGGCATTGAATGAACTCTGAGCATTCCTTGTGAGTTGCAACACGGGATGATCAGGCGATGTCCTATCATATGTTGTTGTGTGCGAATACGACTTGACGGGCGACGGAGAAATGTACAACATCACCATGGTTAACACCATCGCTGTGGAAAGCGTGAGAATCCATGGCTTTTTGGCGCGAGAATAATAGCCTCTGGTCCTATGAGTTCCGTGGAGGGGTTGATAGCGCCCTTTTTCAAGTGATGGGCTCATCATGTCGATATACTGGAATTGTTATGATGAGCTCAGAATAATGGCCAGCAGGACAGTGCTCGAGACTCGTCAGCCATTCATAAACGCTGATCCAAGTTTGAGACAATCAGATGTTGGATATGACCACAGTACACGGGGGTAGTCGGTGCTCGCAGGCATCAGCGCTATGGGCTTGGCTAGAAGGCAGCCCTTAAGCAGGGGCCTTGGGGTAGCAGATGGGAGTCAGAAGAGCCCCCGGTGGAACATTTGCCTAGATCCTGCGCGGGTGAGATTTGGGGATCTAGGGGTAAAAGATGAACGGATAGACCCGAGTTGGACAAGAATGTGTACATATGCTGTGGATCGACATTTTGCCACAGCCCTGGATATTTTGAGCTGTCGATTGTTACTTCATACGGCTGTTGGCAGCCCCCAGAGCGGAGCAGGGCTTAAGTCAAAGCCATTCAGATCCACGGCAGTGGGGCCAGCCCCTGGAAATCACCTTCAAGCCGCGTAGCCACTTCGTACTGTATACAGTGTACCCGTCTCTGCTACTAGGTACATGCAGTAACTACTACAGTACTCCCAAGGTCCGTACTGTACTGTACATAGTAGTAGACCACCCCCTTCGCACACAATCCACAGGCCTCGGGGGTAATGTAGGTAGTTTCTTGAGGTGATGCATCTCAGGGTTAGTATGGGTGCCACATACAAAAGGTACTACTACCTAGGTAGTACCTAGACCTTCCAAGGTTCGCATTTTTCTTTCCTGGGATCTCTCTTCACAATGACCTTGAACGATAGGAGAATCTTTGGGTACTGACTATAGCACCTGGCACTAGTACTATACCATCTCTACCTAGGTATATTTAGAATAAATTTTAATAAAAATGAGTGGTCGTGGAAATATTCTTTAAGAAAATCACTATATCTGAAGGCATTCAAAACAGGAGGGTATTTAATCAACACTTCCTGTAGGTATGGGCCCAGCCGGCGAGCCCTCATGTGGCGGTCCCAATCTGCGGGCAGTGATCAGCATGGCAGCCACATTACTATCCTTAATCACCCCAAGTCATAAGCTAGAAGCAAGAAAGGGAAGGGTAATATGCCATGAATTGGTTGCTCAAGAAGAGAGAGGGAAAAAAGAAAGGCGAGATCTAAACTAGCCCTGGAGCCCTGGAGCCCTGGAGCCCTGGAAGTATGTACAGTTGACAAAATATTTCCGGTCGGCGGCCCCAGACCCGTATCCATGGATGTACCCGTGACAGAAGTATCACATGACTTCAACACCAAGACTACCTAGTACCTAGGAGCAGCGAGGCTCAACACATATATCTTTACCAATCGATTGAAAACAGCCTCTTTTTCCCAATCCAGAAAGTATTCTCATCCCGAGCCTCAATTCGCATCCCTTGCGGTCCAATGTAGTCGGATTCCTCCATATGCTTCTACCTCTCTCCAACCTGCACGGTGCACTTCGACAGTTCGGAGCCATTAGGGGTTTGGGAATTACCTAGGTAGGTAAGTGACGAACCTTGGAACCTTGGACCTTGGAAGCGAGGAATTTTTGCACAAGAATTTCGAACAAATACCTAGACTCCCCATCTTCCTGTCAGTAGAGCCAACTTCACCCGACAATACAGAACTACCGCAGCACATCAATGTCTGATCGATTCCACCACCCATCACGTAGGCAGCTGCATGAGGCCGGTTGGCCTTACAGTCGAGTCTCTGGAGTATCCAGGAGCACTCAAACCGCCGACGACTCGCTGGCAGACAGCGATTCTGAAGAATTCTATGACACAACCCAATATGCATCGCAGCCCTCGGGCAGCCAGCGGGGCACTGATAGGCATGGCCGAGAGCGCTCCCGTGCAACCCGCAGGAAACCAAGTCCGGCCGGGCCCGCCTCACCTGTCTATGAGATTATAGACGACGATGATACCGCTGTAATCCACCAGCACCGGATCGAGCGCGATGAGGAAACTCAACTGGGCGAATTTCGGGAGCAAGTCTTGCGCGATCTCGCAGCGCAGCCCATCCAAGCCCAACAACCGCAATCCATCTCCAGCCGAACCTACCAAGTTGCAGAGGCTGGCCGGCCGACTGCTCGATGGACACCCGGGGAAACAGACGCACTGGTGAGACTGCTAGAGACCATTGGCCCCGCCTGGTCTGCGATGCGCAATGAGAACCTGAGGCAATACGAAAAGCATGGGCCAGCCGAGAGCATCCACCCAGCCCGCAAGGGAACGCAGTACCGAGAGAAGGCCCGATCGATGAAGATGATGTTTTTAATGTAAGTCCGCCTCAGCGTGCCTCAAATCCACAGACCCCACCACTAACACACGCACAGCAATAGACAGCCCATCCCCAGGGGGTTCGATGAATTCGAGCTGGGCGACCATGAGCTTATGAAAGTCGCCCAGCGCCAAGTGTCACTGGGACAGCAGAGCACACAGCGCCGGGAGACGACCAGACGCCCGGCGTTGGATCAGCCTGAGCCAGCCCCGAGGGGATCACGGGCCTATGAGAGAAATCTGGTGCCCCCGACGCCCAGGCGGTCACGGGCCTACGAGAGAAATTGGCTGCCCCCGACGCCCCCGACGCCCAGGCAGTCACGGGCCTACGAGAGAAATTTGGTGCCTCCGACGCCTCCGACGCCCAAGCAGTCACGGGCATACGAGAGAAATTCCACCCCGACCCCCAGCCAGTCACGGGCCTATACGGAGCCCCCGGGCGGATCCACCTGGGCATGATGTAGACCGCCCGTGGAGGGGAGTAGAGGGGCCGCCGCCTTCGCCGATCGGGCGGGGCGCGCCTGCCACTGCGGCGGCTAATCCCCCGTGATCATGCACTTGCTCCCACTTATTGATTATATTGATTAAAGAGCCGTAATAATGAAATCAATTTTGCTCAATAGCGTTGCATATACATATATTTAGCCCCAGCGGGAAGAAGGGCGATCCAGAGGTACCTAGGTACTCTGTGCTTCTAATGTTCGAGGGAATACTATGCATTCTGTACGTGAAGGGCTAATCTGAGCAGTTCCTTAAGAAGCAACCTTGGAACGCTAGGATGTTTACAAAGAGCAAACGTGGTTCACAGGTAGTGTGTCCATGCCAATATTCATTATAGTATCATAACATGAGAAGACGGAAATATGTCACAGGTCAAATCAAACACAAAATCTCAGTTGCGCCAAGGATGCAAGTGGACTGATTCCAGTCACTGCTATCGAATGCGCCAGGGTATTCACCAAATATGCAGTAAGGAAGGTAGCGCCACAAACCTGCGCTCCGATTCCCAAAACGAAGCCAAAATAAAAACAAAAGTCCTCTCCATACAATGCTTTTGGGACACAAGAGGGAGGAAATAACAAAAAACGCCAAATTAAGCCCGGAAATCGTACATGCGAACCTGGTAGTCATCGCCACCGGTGATGAAACGGCTGTCACTGAGTCCAATGCAGTTGACAGCTGCACTATGCCCTTCGTAGGTGTCTTGGCAGGTGGGGATGCGGGGATCCCAGATCTTGACCATACGGTCCATCCCGCCAGATGCGATGCGCAGGGTGTCGGCGGAAAGTCCCCAGATGCCTTCAAGATGGCCAAAGAAGGTACGAAGACATCTGCCAGTGCTGGTTTCCCACAGTCGGATGGTGGCATCCAGGCCACTGGTGATGATGTAACGCGGGGGTTCCACGCGATCTTCTCCTTGGTCAAATGAGGAGCCAAAGGCGGAGGGCTGGGAGGAGAGGGACTTGTACTCGAGGGTAGGGGAGAGAGCGCTCAGAAGGTTGTCGCCGTGCTGGGAAGTTGTGCTGACATGGTCGTTCTCACAATCTGCAAGATGATTCTCAAGCTCGATTTCACGTGGCAGAGCGATGACCTGCTGCACCGAACCGATGTGGTTGTGGAATACACGCAGACACGTCTTAGTCTTCAAGTCCCAAAGGCGGGCAGCACCGTCATCACAGGCGGTCAGAACTGTTTGCGAGGCCGAATCGATCTTGACAGCGTTGACTCCTGCGGGATGAGGCAGAACAAACGTGGATTTGTCTTTGAAGTTCCAAATCTTCACGGTGTGATCGACAGAGGCAGAGGCCAGAAGGGTTGAATCGAAATGAAGGGCGATGACCGCTTCCACGTGTCCATTGTATTTCGAGATACACTCTCCAGTCCGCCAGTTCCAGATGCGGATACTGCGATCCAAGCTGCCGGTAATCAATTTTGTGTCATCAAATTGGAGGCATCGAACTCCGGCGGTGTGACCCGTGAGAGTTCGCAATTCTTCACCAGTGTCGGTATCCCAGATTTTGACAGTAGCATCGTAAGATCCAGACATAAGAATATTGTCCTCGAACTGCAAACACATGACACTGTCGCGGTGCCCCTTGAACACCTTGACCGAGCAGCGTTTATGCTTCCAGTTCATACCGACGACAAACCGATCCCGATAAACGTCTTTCCATGGGCGGAACCGTCTTTTGAAGTATCCTTCAACTTCTTCAGAAGACTGAGGTGGTGAAGCACAGTGGCGCTTGACAAGCGTCCCTTCGTCGTCCTCGGCGTCGACCTTGCGCTTTCCATTACCATCGGGTGCGGCGATGGAACAAGGCTCTGCGACGGCGGCCTCGGCAGATTCCCCAGAGGGCTTGCTGTGACCCCAGTTGGTAGCGCGCAGTTCGATTTCACGCTTCGCTTCGCGCAGACGCTTACGATCCAGAAGAGGAAGACCCCAACCACACTTGTTACACTTCCGACGAATATGCTGCTCACACATCCTGTGCCAAACTACGTCGTCGTCCGCAAGGGCCTTCCAGCGCGGGGAGACCTGCGCAGCCCGGCAGAGCGAAGCCGTGTCCAGGTATCGCAAGATCTTGAAGGAAAGCTCAGGGGGGAGCGCAGCAAGAAAGTCGATTCGGATCAGTTCGCGGACGCTGGCAGAAATGTAGGAGAGTTGAGGGAAGCAGCACTGCGCCAGAATTCCTTGCAGCATTAATGTGCGCTGCTTGGCCGGGGCGGCGGAGAATAGCGACCACACAAGAGAAATGGCCTTTTGGTCCTCCTGGGCAAGACCGTTCAGTTCAGATTGTAGTTGGGTCATGGACTGCTCGTCCGCTTGTCGCCTGCCACACTTGGAGTCTGGCTGGTGGCGGTAGCAGTAGCTGGCGTTGACGGGACGTTGCTCGGACGGGTTCGAAACCTGCGAGCGCAGGGGCGCATACTGCCTTGGCTGGTGTCTGGCAAGGAATGGCGCAACATTTTGACGCGCAAGTTCCTCTAGTGTCTGCGTGTTGGCATCTTTGCGCGGGGCGTTGGGTTCGGCGGTGGCATCGGGGCCTGCATTTGAGACCGGCTTGTGCCGTGAAGTGGGAATTTCAGTTGTATCGGTCATAACGAGGGGTAGCAGTCGGCGGGGCGATGCAGGTGACGAAGAAGGCCGCTCCCCTAGTGACGATCACGTCTGCAATGCACTGCGAGCAAGGCCAGCTGGGGTACAGATACCCTGCAGACTAGTAGATGTGAGTCTGTTTATTTCTCGTCCTTCACTTTGTGTTTGTTGCTTTCAAAGTGAGCGAGTATGGGAATTTCAAAGCGATGTGGTATGTCCAAGTGAATGGAAGGTTCGAAGGAATGAGAGGGACAGAGGTGATATGGATGCCCTGCAGAAGAATGAAGGTCAAGTAAGTAAGGAAAGGGGAGACTTTAAAGGAGAATTTAAAGCAGAGAGGATTGCACAATCTCTCCCCCAAGGTAGCATAAGTCATATACCAATCCGGAGAGATTGCGTGACGGAAGGCGAATCAAGGGCGGTGACTCACGTGACCGATTGCGCGATCTCCACAGTCTGTCACATCCCGCAGTCACCGCTCGGCCTTCTCACAGGTCCTCGATTCGTCATTTCCTCACACTTTTGAGTCCGTTTGTCGACTTGTTTGTCTCGGTATGTAGCACTTCACCGCCATTCGTGACCCACTGCCTATCCTTTCGTCTGGTTTTATCCATGGTCTCGACCGAGACCCCCTTCTCATCAACCTAGCGGCCGATCTCGTGATTGATTGACTTTTAGATAGAGCTTATGAGGAGCTCATCGGACCCTAGAGCAGATTTTCCCCGGCCAGTGGGAGATCCTTGGATGCTCCACTAATCTACTTCTGATTCGGTGAAGCGCCGGACCGCGACAGAGGTCTATCCTGATATTACAACAATCCCCCTGTGGTGGTTTCACTCGGCGAAAGTTGACTCCTTTCTTTTGGGTCCTATCTGAACGCGCCATATATCCCGAAAACTTTGTAGAATGGCGTCATCTCACTCTTCGTCCTCGTCTATCCGCCCCGGGGCTGGGCCAGAGGACCAAACGTCCCTTCCCCAGGTTGACACGCTGATTTCATATCTTCTGGGAGCAAAGCGATCGCTTTCTTCCATCAACCACGTCTGGCGAGCCAATGAAATAGTCACGGCGTCGCATTCGGCTCTGGAGGAGAGTGTTACCGTGTGTTCCCGGACAGGGTTCTTACGCCGAGGGCTCAATAGTCAGCTTCGACTGTTGTATGATGTGCGAACCGAGGTTGAACACATTTCATACCGAGGTCGTGATGAGTTCTCGCTGGCCTTGCGAAATCTCGACGCTGCGGATGCCCGGCTCAAAAATACTCTAGATCTATTACGAGGAACCATTGTCCACTCATCCTTCAGACCCGGCGACGAGGAAGAGAAAAGCTTACATGATTTTGTTGATGAGCGAGGAGTTGAGGAATTACATGCCTCTCTGAAAGCCTCAATCGACCGCACTACCACAGCGCGAGCCGAGCTCGATACCTCCAATCATGAATTCGATGATGAGCTTGCATCAACAAGACAGTCCCTTCGTCACTTCCACACCGCCACCAAATTGGCGTCATCCCGTCTCTCGATCACATCTTCATCCTCATCCACGTCTGACTCGGGCCTTCTAACTTTGTCATCAATGCCGGGCCAGATTCAATCATTGGAGGCCCACGCCCAGGAGATGGCGGTTCTCCTTGAGGCATTGGTGAGGCACTTTGACCTCTGCGTGACTGCTGTGAAGCATACCGATGGCGGCGGCGCAGTCGCCAGGTCTATTACTGGTGACATGCCGACGGGTGTGGAGGGCAGTAATGATGGGATGCCCAACATTGGGGCGGAAATCAACGCCCACCTCAACGCACCTCTCGACCCAATGACGGACGCTGAATATCAGGAAATGGTGACTGTGTTGATCAAGGATGCCCCAGAAGCAGAGGATGTGGTAATTGAAATTCAAGACCGTATCAACGCGATGGAGTCTATTTTTGACCACGTGCAAACTCATCGCGACGTGCTGCTGTCTATCTCCAAGGCAACAATCGAGGTTCATGATCATCTCTCAGCTCTCGCCTCCAGTGGCCTACCTCGTTATATTTCTCAGGCCCACAACTTCACCCGCGTGTGGCATGAGGAAAATGATCGCATTAACTCTGGTCTTGCAGAACTTTCCGACTTACATACCCTCTATGATGGCTTTCTCAATGCCTATGATAGTCTCATGCTTGAGGTCGCTCGTCGACGCCATGTTCGACAACGCGTGGAAAAGGTACTCCGAGAAACCAGACATAAGCTGGACTCACTCCACGATGAAGATGCTGCCGCTCGTGATGCTTTCCGTGTGGAGCAGGGTGATTACCTCCCTTCTGACATATGGCCTGGAGTGGGCCTGGCGCCGATGCAGGTTCAATTTTTACGAATCGCGGGTGGCCACCTAGATAACGCCCCTGGCAGTGAAGATGTGCCGGAAGATGCGCACCATCCCACGGAAGGTGTCAACATCGACTCACACCAAGATCACGATCATGATCAGGGGGAGCATATTCCCGAATTGCCTCGCGACATGATCGAACAAGCTTACGCCAGAGTCAAAGCGCGAAACAAATCTGCCTCCTAGGAGCACCCTGGGGCACGCCCCATGAATACCCCAACCAAACCTTCACATCATCACTTCGTTGCCGACAATTGACTCACAGCTTTCGGGATTTTGATTCTTTTTCCTTGTCACATTGTAAATATGATGGAAATTGAAAATTTTGACAATTCAGATCTACTTTTCATAACCAGCACATTTCAATGAGCACCAAGCCACCCCCTCCCCCTCCCCCCTACCACCTACCCCCATGGATGGATTGCCTATATGACGAAACCCCAATAGGTCTGACCCTCTGCAACATTATTGCCTTCTCTGTTTGATCCAGGGGCTCAGATGCATACTCTTCGGCAGCTGCTGGCGGTGTAAGCACTGAAACCTGAATCTTCTTGTGGATGGCAGAATATGAGCAGTTCGGGATGACTGCCAAAGAGAGCTCCGATAGGCATTCCAATCATCCTTAAGCACGGGGGCTGCCCAGGTGTGTTCACCTGGGCAAGTACTCACGGCTGATTACATCCAACAGCGTCTTACTACCTATGTAGGTGTCACACCAATCGATGTAGTGATGGTCTCGGAGCTCTAAAGTTTTAATTGTGAACACATCTATATTTTTTCATTTATATCAAGTTTAGACCAAGGTATCAAATGCCCAATGCTCCATCCATATATGCATTTCATCATCAAATCATGCCAAGCGGGTGTCACACACAGCGTGCAAATTTTCACAACACCCGTACACATGCAAAGAGAGACAAAGTGAGAAAACCACAAGCTTAATGCTTCTTCCGCGAGGAGGAAGAGACAAGCTTCTTCTTGAGGTGCTTAGGCATCTTCTTTGCCCGCTGCTCACGCTTCTCTTCTTTCACCTTTGCCTTGTGATCGCGCTTGGAGTCCTTGTCTTCGAAACGCTTGCCCCGAGGCGCCTTCTTGGCGAATGGGTCTTTCTCGTCTTCATCTTCAGAGTCGGATCCCGAAACAGAGACACCCCCGCTTGCGTCGGATTCTGCGTCTACCTCGGCATCTGCGGCTTCCTTCTTCTTGCCACCGGCTAGAAGATCTCCGTAGATAAGGTCACCGCCCTTGCCGTCGCGGATACGCTCGGTATCACGCTCAACATCGTAAACTTGCTCCAGTGTCTGAGGAATATATTGTTGACGGAAGACAGCAGTATCAACGTCCTCGGCCTCCTGCTGTTCATCTGTGCCTTCTTCGCGTGCCACAAGAAGTTTGTCAATGGCACTGATCATCTCCTCATCTCCGGCATCGATGGTAGTCGGGCCTTCAGGGGAAATAATGAAGTTGAAGACGGTGCGTTCAGGAAGGGTCATGACATTCTTGCGACGGAAAAAGTCGCTGACGTTCTTGATATCCATACGCAGGAATTCCAAGCTGCGTGGGTGGTCGTGCTCAACACTCTGACTGACATCAATGATGTATAGACGCTCCTTGTGGTAGAGGATGTTGTACTCGCTCAGATCAGCGTGGACCAAGTGACAGGTCTGGTACATGACTCGCATGTATCCCAGCAGTTCCATGTAGAGTTCGCGCCAGCGGTTCTCGGGCTCGGGAATGCTGAACTCGACATCCTTGAGACGAGGGGCACCTAGACCCTTGGAGCTACCAATAAATCCCATGACGAGGACATGTAGACGGAGATAGAGGGGCTCTGGGGAGGGAATGCCTGCAGCATGGATTCTGCGGAGGTTACGCATTTCCTTTTCGGCCCACAATTTGACCATGGCGCGGTTGTTGCTCTTGTTGTATCCTTGGCGGAAACGGAACTCTCCGGTGACGTACTTATCACGGTCCTTGAAAACCAGAATACTCGTCTTGTAAACCTTGATGGCACGGTGCACCGGGGGAGCCTCCTCATCGTCCTGAGAGATAGACATGGCGTGGTAGACGTTGGCTTCCTTTCCAGTAGACAGACATCCGTGGATTTCGGACACGATGCCCCTGTTGATCATCTGCAGCAACAGCATGCGCGTGCGGGGATCCAAGACTTGTTCTGAGGTGGCTCGATCGGCCTTGTCTCCTCCCTTCTCAGCGCGTCCCGAGATACCAGCCTGTTGGTCGTCCAGCTTAATCTTTCCCGCATGGCGGGTGAGAGACTTGACCTGGTCATCGATGGAGGCCGAGGTGTTCACGGTAGGTTTCTGCGTGTTCGTTTTGGGGTAAGTCCATTTCGGCACATTCGAGTCGCCGGCGAGGTCATTGATTCTCCGCTGACGGTTGTAGGCTTTCGTGAGATCGCTGTTATCGGAGGAAAGAATGTCCTCGCGGTCCAATTCTTCTTCGAAAATATCGTCGTAGTCCTCATCCTCCTGGTCTTCGTAATTTTCCGGCAGATCTTGCCCCGCCTCAGCGGAGTCTGCATTATCGGGGTTCATGTAGCCCTCGTTGGGCACGTAGGTGTGGGTTGGCGCATGGCCATCAGCAATTCCGGCTGCCGGAGCAGGACTCTCGTTCGAAGCCATTCTGGAACTTCAATGTCGGGAACGAGGATGTGTGATTCCGTCCGTCGTCCCCAAGGTTTTTTTTTTCTGTGGCCCAAATTTGGCTGACCGCCTGGCAGAACCCCGCGCCCAACGAGACGCGCTGATTTCGTCTCTCGCGTAGCTGGTTACCACCGTCGCCGCAACACACCTACTTACCCCACGGTCCTCAGTCTTTTGTTGGCGCGGAGCTCTGTCAGATCTGATCGGCCGGGCGCATCTGCTCTGTTCTTTTTTCTTGCGCCAGGCGCGCCGTGCCGGGGGAGCTGTAACAAATACTCGCGTCGCGCGTGTTCTTTCAAGATGTATGTGAAGCAGATCATCATCCAAGGCTTCAAGAGGTAAGTCGTGTCTCAAATCCATTCATCCGATTCCCAAGTCGAATGGATTTCATTGACATTGATTGTCTAGCTACAAGGACCAAACCGTTATCGAGCCATTTTCTCCTAAACACAATGTCATCGTCGGGCGCAACGGTTCTGGCAAGAGTAACTTCTTCGCCGCAATTCGATTTGTCCTCAGCGATGCCTATACTCACCTCGGAAGAGAGGAGCGTCAGGCCCTTCTGCATGTATGTTCTGTCGAATTGGTTAGTTGACTATAATCGTTGACCCCCAGCAGGAAGGTTCTGGTTCAGCTGTGATGTCTGCCTACGTGGAGATCATCTTCGACAACTCTGACGATCGTTTCCCCACCGGCAAGCCGGAGGTTGTCCTTCGCCGCACCATTGGTATCAAGAAGGATGAGTATACTCTCGATCGCAAGAACGCAACTAAGAACGATGTCATGAACCTCCTCGAGTCTGCCGGTTTCTCTCGGTCCAACCCCTACTATATCGTCCCCCAGGGTCGCGTCACTGCCTTGACAAACATGAAGGATTCCGAACGACTCGTTCTGTTGAAGGAGGTAGCTGGTACCCAGGTGTATGAAGCCCGTCGATCGGAGTCTCTCAAGATCATGAATGAGACAAACAGCAAACGGACGAAAATTGATGAGCTTCTGGACTACATCAATGAGCGACTTGCTGAACTCGAGGAAGAAAAAGATGAATTGCGAAGTTACCAGGAAAAAGACAAAGAAAGGCGTTGCTTGGAGTACACTATTTACTCTCTGGAACAGCAAGAGATCGGTAAAGTCCTGAGCGAAATCGAGGAGCGCCGGCAAAATGGCGTCGAGGATGCCGACAACAACCGAGAACAAGAGAACAAATTGCAAAATGCAATTGACCAGATCGATGCCGAGATCACCGAATGTCGTCAGCAAATTGAGTTCCTCAAGGTTGACAAGGCTCAACTTGAAGATGAGCGTCGTGAGGCATCAAAGACTTTGGCCCAGCATGAACTCCAAGCCAAGTCTCTTTCTGACAACCAGGCCGCGGCTCAGGCATTGAAGTCGCGATACGACGCCGACTTGACTTCTGTCCAAGAAGCCATCCAGGAGCGCGAATCTGAGCACCAGGAAATTCTCCCCCGATTCAAGGCCTTGAAGGATCAGGAAGACGGTGTGAAATCTAAACTTACTGATGCTGAAACATCCCGCCAGCGATTGTACGCGAAGCAAGGGCGTAACTCGCGGTTCAAGAACAAGTCTGAGCGTGACAAGTATCTGAACATGGAGATTCGCGAAAGTCACAATTCAATCAAGTCTGTTCAGGGCGTGGTGTCCCAGACGCAGGAAGACATGCAGGAGCTGGAATCAACAATTGCTGCCCTCGAGCCAGAGACGGAGCAACTCCGTGAACAAATTGATGGCCGAGGAGACACCATGCACTCTGTAGACCAAAAGGTGCAAGAAGCCAAGGACGAAAGAGATCGTCTGATGGACCAGAGAAAGTAAGTTTATCTGGAACAAACCACAAATAAGCCGCATATGCTAACTTGATCCCAGGGAGCTCTGGAGAGAAGAGGCGAAGCTGGACTCTGTCATCTCAAACGCATCCCAAGAAGCCGATCGGGCCGAGCGCAGCCTGTCATCTATGATGGATCACAACACCAGTCGGGGAACAGCTGCTGTGCGTCGCATTAAACGTCAGCACAACCTTGAGGGTGTTTACGGTACTCTTGCCGAGCTCTTCGACGTGAACGACAGGTACCGCACAGCTGTGGAAGTCACCGCCGGTCAGAGTTTGTTCCATTACGTCGTAGACACAGATGAGACTGCTACGACTGTCTTGGAAATTCTCCAGAAAGAGAAAGCAGGTCGTGTGACGTTTATGCCATTGAACAGACTTCGGACCCGGCCTTTGGACATGCCTCGTGCTAGTGACACAATCCCAATGATTGAGAAGTTGCAGTACGACCCGGCATATGAGCGAGCCTTCCAGCACGTGTTTGGCAAGACCATCATTTGCCCCAATCTGCAGGTTGCTTCCCAGTACGCACGCAGTCATGGTGTGAATGCCATCACTCCCGAGGGTGACAGATCGGACAAGCGTGGTGCTTTGACTGGTGGTTACCATGACTCGCGGTCGTCTCGACTAGACGCTGTTAAGAACGTGGGCAAGTGGAGAGATGAGTGTGAAACCAAGCGGAGCCGAGGCACCGAAATCCGGAAAGAGCTGGAGCAACTTGATCAGATGATCACAAGGGCTGTCGGTGAATTGCAGAAGCTTGAACAGCAGAGACACCAGGTCCAGAACTTCAGCGGTCCCTTGCGTCAAGAGTTGCGCACGAAGCGTGATCTTCTCCAAAACAAGAGGGATACTCTCGACTCCAAACGACGTGCGCTTCGGAATCTTGAGTCTAGCCTTGCAGCTCTGGATGACCAGGTCAATGCGTCCCAGGCAGAATTGTCCACACCCTTCCAAAAGGCCCTCACCGGCGAGGAAGAGGAGCGACTCGAAAGTTTGGGCGCTACAATTAAAGAACTCCGTCAGCAATACCAAGAATTATCCGGTCAGCGCAGCGAGTTGGAGGCTCGCAAGTCGGTGCTGGAGGTTGAGCTTCGGGAAAACCTGAACCCTCGTCTTGACCAACTGCTCAACAGGGATGTTGACTTGGCCGATGAGGAGGCTCATGGTAATCTCAAGGAAACCCAGCGTGAAGTCAAGCGACTTGGCCAAGCTTTGGAGAAGCTCACCAAACGGCTTCAACAGGTTGATTCATCGATCGAGGAAGGCAGTACTCGTATTGTTGAATTGGAACAGCGTAACGCAGAGACCCGCCGCGAGGTCGATGAGCTCCGACGCTCCATCGACAAACATCGCCGCCGCATGGAGAAGAGCACGCAGAAGAAGGCGGCACTCACGAAGCAAGGTGCCGAGTGTGCAGCGAACATCCGCTCACTCGGTGTTCTCCCCGACGAGGCATTCACCAAGTACCAAAATACCGACTCCAACACCGTTGTCAAGAAGCTCCACAAGACCAACGAGGCTCTCAAGAAGTATTCCCACGTCAACAAGAAGGCTTTCGAGCAGTACAACAGTTTCACCAAGCAGCGTGAGACCTTGACCACCCGTCGTTCCGAGCTGGATGCCTCGCAGAAGTCCATCGACGACCTTATTTCTGTTCTTGATCAGCGCAAGGACGAGGCCATCGAGAGAACATTCAAGCAGGTCTCTCGCGAGTTCCACAATGTGTTTGAAAAGCTTGTCCCGGCCGGTCGTGGTCGTCTCATTATTCAACGCAAGACAGATCGTGCAACTCGCCCGGGTGAGGAGGTTGATTCCGACGATGAAGATGCGCGCCAGAGCGTGGAGAACTATGTCGGTGTTGGTATCAGTGTCAGCTTCAATAGCAAGCACGACGACCAGCAACGTATCCAGCAGCTGAGTGGTGGACAGAAGAGTAAGCATTGTCCCAACATCCCTTCCATCGAACCCTTTTCCTAATCTGACTTCCCCAATCAGGTCTTTGCGCACTTGCACTCGTCTTTGCCATCCAGGCTTGCGATCCCGCACCATTCTACCTCTTTGACGAGATTGACGCCAAGTTGGACGCCCAGTACCGAACTGCTGTCGCACAGATGCTCAAGTCGATTTCCGACTCCACAAACGGGCAGTTCATCTGCACCACCTTCCGACCCGAGATGCTGCACGTGGCGGAGAAGTGTTACGGCGTGAGCTTCCGACAGAAAGCCAGTACGATTGATGTGGTTTCGAGGGAGGAGGCGCTCAAGTTCGTGGAGGAGCAAAAGACTTGATCTTGCTGCATTTGTATATTGTAATGTCCCTTTGCTTTGATGTGCTGGCTAGCTGGCGTCTGATACCGGATTCATTATTCATTTCCTTTTAATTCTATCTACCAATGCTCGCTATGACAAGTAGACTAGAAGAACGTTGGCACTCGATGCAGCCGTTATTCGCCGGACCATTCAACTAGGAGTTCCTCGGGAACATCACGGACCAAGATATGCACATGTTCCAGGGCCCGAACACTCTGCAGGCCGACCCAATTCTTGAACCACAGCACATGTGAAGCGGGATCCGCAAAGGCGGGATCCTGAGCCAATCGGTCCACGAAGGTCCTCTGCACGAAGGCGTTGATCAAAGCACGCGACTCTTCGGTTAGATGCCCTTCCCCGGATTGCACGGGGATGGGGGTCCGCAGCCACACCACCAGATGAGAGATCCCCGGCGTGAGCCCATAGGGCCAGTCATTGCGGAGGATCTTGTAGTCCTCGGGATCGGCAAAGGGGAGCGGGTTTTTCACCACGGGCGGCTGCTGGATAGCCGAATCAGTGCCGCTCACAGAACCCGGTGCAGGCCACTGTAACCGGCGCTGACAGATGTAGTTCATGATGGAGCCATACTGGGATTTGGTCTCCGCTGACCAGGCCAGGTATCGGCGTAGATCGGAGGGCTTCCGCTTGAGGGCGCCGAGATCATTCCGTGCTAGATTGACGTAAATATATTACTCTATGTCTCTACGATGAGGGGAATGTCGCGCGGGGGAGATGGGGGGATTGGGGGTGGCAGCTCACCGATGATGTCCTTTAATTCGGTCCAGTCGTGGTAAACAAACTCCTCATCGGTCATAGCCAGGAGCTGGTGGTCCAGCGGAGTGAGATTGAAGGCTGGAGCAGACATTGTGTATAACTCGACAGTCTAAGTAAACAGTCAAGAGAACAAATGCCGATCCGCGGAAATCGTGACCCCAAAAGGTGGGAAATTCCGTTGGGCGGTCGCTGTTTTCCCCTCACACTCTCTTCCTTTTTAATCTCTCCAGGGCTCCCTCTTCTCCTCTTCTTTTCCAATTCCCATCTTTACAATGAGGTGAGAGGCTCCCATTCACTTCCTCTCTGGCAATGGCTAATTTTACAGTGTCGCCAACATCGGCACGGCCCTCGCGCCCTCGGCCCTGCTTGTCGCAGCGGTCTACGCAATCAAGCCTGAATTTGTGACCTATGCGATCGCCGTGGCTGGCGTTCTGGCTGGATACTTGGTCTTCAGCAACAGTGCGTGGAATTCCTCCCATCAGTCTCATCTAATCTGATCGTGATCGCAGAGCCTCGCAAGGTCCTGAACCCCACCGATTTCCAGAACTTCGTTCTCAAGGAGAAGAACGAGATTTCCCACAATGTTGCTATCTACCGCTTTGCCCTGCCCCGTCCCACCGATATCCTCGGTCTGCCCATTGGGCAGCACATCTCCCTCGCTGCCACCATCGAGGGTCAGCCTAAGGAGGTCGTCCGCTCTTACACCCCCATTTCCTCCGACAACGAGGCTGGATACTTCGATCTGCTCGTCAAGGCCTACCCCCAAGGTAACATCTCCAAGTACCTGACCACCCTGAAGATCGGCGACAACCTCAAGGTCCGCGGCCCCAAGGGTGCCATGGTCTACACCCCGAACATGTGCCGTCACATTGGTATGATTGCTGGTGGCACCGGTATCACCCCCATGCTGCAGGTCATCAAGGCTATTATCCGCAACCGCCCCCGCAACGGTGGTAATGATACCACCAAGGTCGATCTGATCTTCGCCAACGTCAACCCCGAGGACATTTTGCTTCGCGACCAGCTCGAGCAGCTGGAGAAGGAGGACGATGGATTCCGCGTCTACTACGTTCTCAACAACCCACCCGAGGGTTGGACCGGTGGTGTCGGCTTCGTCACCCCCGAGATGATCAAGGTATGTTTGCAACCATTGCCATCCGTCGCCTTCACTAACCTAAGTTTTGTAGGAGCGTCTGCCCGCCCCCGCTGCCGATGTCAAGGTTCTGCTCTGCGGTCCTCCTCCCATGATCAGCGCCATGAAGAAGTCCACCGAGTCTCTCGGCTACACCAAGGCTCGCCCTGTCAGCAAGCTCGAGGATCAGGTCTTCTGCTTCTAAAGTGTCTGCGAATAGACAAGTGGTTGCGCTTGGCTGCTTGTTCGTGACCTTGTCATGAAAGCCCACTTGCTGGGCTATGAAAAGCGTTTCGTTGGTACATACACAGAAAGGCGTTGGAGATGTCTATAGACCCGATGTCGTGATGAGGATTTACTCATCAGCATTCAACTTGGTGAAATACCCGCTTCGTTTGCGGTTTTAATATTCGTATTCTCTTTTTGCTATTAGAAGCTAGCTTGTAAACAACTGCATTCACCTGGACATTCCCCATCGCAAACCTTGCAATGGCTGTTCTCTATATTGGCATGTCAAATGCTGTCGGTGCTACCGATGCTCCCATTATCAGATCAATGATTGTGATTCTAAGGATTTTCGATTGCTCGGGCTTGGGATGAGAATCTAGCTACAGATATACGTATATACTGGCACTATCCTGAGATTGAAAGAGGCAGTGTGCCCGCGTCATTGCTATACATGATATGTCGACTCCTGTCTGGGCACTGCTGCACGAGGATGTTTACTTTTTCTCGCACGTTCTCTACTGACGCTAAGATCATGCAGGCAAGCTACCCAATTTCAGGAAGTATTCTAGCCATCAATTGATCTGCACATTGGGCCTAGGCCAGTGCAGCTCGCTATAGATCTAGATCTCTGTAGCGCGCTTCTACCACCTCTTCTTGTATGCCGATCCTCTCATCTTGATCAGGATATCACATCTCATCACATTACAGCAGACTTTGGAAATTAACCACAGCACCCAATCACAACCCAACAACACCCAGCCTTGGCGTAAGACAGCTGAACAATCGTCAATAGACCACAAAGCCCATTATTCCACATGCACCTATCTGTCACGATCCCACGATCACCCTCGCATCACTAGAGTTCCAAATCATCGGTCACAACATGCTGGACCACTTCGCAATAACCCACGTCCCCCCGCTGCTAGTCACAGCCGCACTCACTCTGGGCGGCCTGATGCCTTTCTTCGACGCTGAGTTCTCGATACGAGAGTTTGGTCTCCCAAGCCAGGCTGCGATATCCAAGCCCGCCCAGTCCATTATGATGACTAGTGCGGGTCGTGGCACGGCCATCGGTCTCGCATTGACGATCCTCTACATACGAGGCAAGTTGGTTGAATTCGATACGGTCCTCTCCGTGCTATGGTATGTGGGTATCGTCGATGGCTACGTTTGCTGGAGGGAGGGAGTGGCGGGTCGCGGCGTGTTCCGAGCTACTAGTGGAGTGATGATCGCTGCGTGGGGGCTATTCGGGTTGACTTCACGGTTGTGATGTCCTGTAAGCGTACTGTACATAATGCAGAGACACGGTCAGAATGGAAATGATAATGGCTAGGAAATAAATTTGGTATATGGTCGTCAGAAATCAATTATCAAGGATGTAAGACATGAAAGCGTAAAGTAGACATCCGTGGATGTTCAAGTGCGAGCTGGCTCTTTGAAGTGCTTCATCTCCACCCACCCTTCTGGGTCTCCATTGTGACTGAGAATGGTGTGGGGAGTCTCGGGCTCGTCCTCGCCGAATCGAGATAGAGATCCGCAGGATGAAGCATCCGCGGTATCGGCCGATGTCTCGCGGCCTTTCATCGATGAGATGGAGATGGTGGTTGTGACGATCGGGGGAGCAACTGATTGCGTGGCTCGAGTTGTGGAGGCGAATTGGCCGTACTCGTTGTACAGCTTGTACTGGGGCTGACTGCGGTTGTTTGTTGATTTGATGAATCGGTGAGTGAGAGGACGGAAGATGGGCCAGACGGGTGGAATCGACATGGTGATGAGAACAATCCATTCCTCAACTTCACCCCAGCGGAAAAGGATACCAACGCCATCTAGGATATGTTAGTGACAGTGTTTTAAGAGTGTACTTGTCAAGCACTCACAAGACGAGTCAGCAGACATGATGAATTTGGCTGCCCAGGTTCGGACAATGGCAGCAGCGCCGGCAAAAACGCCACATCCCATGAGGAAACTGAGACCCCATTTGAGCTTGCGATCGATGCGCAAGGGTACGAGCATAGTGATGGGGATGATGGCGAGGTAGAAGTCGGAGATAGCAGCCACGGCACCTACAAAGTAGGTGTAGTATACACTCTTTCCGTGATCACACTGTCCTTGTCGAAGGGGATCCCAGAGCGCACTGGGTGGGCTGCACTGGAACCAAACGAGGAGAATCTGCGGAATGTTGAGGACGATGTTCAAGCCAGCGACGATGATTAGGCTGCGCCGGATCTTGGGGTCTGTGATGGGAGACTGTTAGTTTGGGAGCACCTCCATATTCAGATCACAACTACACGTACTGCTCTGTGAATTCATTTCGATCAGGAATGCAGCGACTGCGACCTTGCCGGTCGGAATGGCCAAGTTGAAGAAGAAGACCGTGATCCATGTGAACAGCAGGAAATTGTGTAGTTCGCCGACTTCCTCGACAATTGTGATGTGGTTTCCTAGGCCGTGGAGGACTGATATAATACCGAATATTTGCGTGAGAGTTGTGAATAGCTGATACCGGATTAGTATGGAAAGGGTGTATAGATGCATGTATCATACCCAAGCGATGAGAGCCCATATTAACGAATTGGTACCGAATTTGTTCATTCGAAGGCGGACATAGATGCGCAAGGCCATGAAAATCGTAGCAACGACGCCTAGAGAAATACCCAGGCGGAGATCAGAAGGTCCGCGACCCCCGTACGCAGGGAACTTCTCATGAAGACCCATGATCTAATGAGTGACAAGACTGAAAGGTAAAGACTGGAATGACAGGACCCATTTTGGGGAAACCCTACGGGGAGGGCCTCGAGCAGCCTGGCAGGTTATATACCATAATAATCCCGAGGCTTAGAGCGGAGGTCCCCATTTCCAGTGCGAATCGCGTTCGCCATTCCCAAACACATTAGAGATAGTGGGGGCACTGGAGGCCGAACAGGAACAAAAAGGCTTAATTGGTGACAAGAAAGCGGCCTAGTCCGATCGAGTGGAGCGGCCACTATCGAAACAGATGCGAGACGTCCAAGCGGATTCCAAATCCATTGGTTCGCGGCGCCACCAAATTGGAACGCTACGGCGTCATTTGTCTGGGATTGGATGTCGTTGGTTTTCAAAGCACACTGAACATGGCCAATTCCACCCAGCCGATCTTGCCACGGAGGGATATCACTAGTTCCTAGCTTAATGGACTATTGCCTGTCTGTCTGGCCGATCATGGAAGCAATGGGTAGCTTATCCCGGATGATCCCCAGGAACATACTGCATTAAGCCCGAACAAGACTCCCACAACATCCCAGGGTTCGATGGCGGTCAATGCATCGGGAATGCGTACCCCTGAAAGAATGGTTCATTCAGAGTACTATACGATGTACGATCATTCGCTTCTGGCTCTACAAGGTTCCCCACTAGCATACGCTCGGATCGATGAAATGCGTCAAACTTCGGCTATGCAATATAGAGTTAATAAACACGAGACTCGAGAGTGTGTCGACACTTAAGCGAATATATCAAATTCAATGACAGTGCGACCTCACTTCAGCCGCGTACTTACGAGTAGGGTTCTCCACCTACTCTGCCGTGGATCTTCGGTGGAGCACCAAAATTGTCTCGGTTGTCTTTGCCTTCGGGCATTTATCAATCTCGAGTGGAATGACAAGACCCCACATGAACAACCGTTCTTTTACTCTTTTTACTACTGCCAGATACGTCTCCCAAAGAACCCACACCTTGCCAGTCCTGGCCGATTCCTTGACTCAGGTACGTCCCACGAGTCTCGAGTCGAACCACGACCCACAAATTCTCTTCAACGGCATTTCTCCATACGAGCAGGTGTCCCGGTCTCTTACCCGCTTAGGCAAAGTCGGCTTCTGCGGTTGTCCCAACTGCCTATGGTCCGCTGATCCTTGCGAAATAAGGTCACCCAACCCTAATCATCCTGTCATCGAACCTGTCATCCAATCTTGTTCCATGGCGCGCGAACCGATTTATCAATTCAGCTTCGATAGTGCAAGAATTTGTGCACCGGTTGACTCTGCGCCCCGATTACTTATCCATGGATATGTACTTCGCTAGTAAAGCGCTGGGGTTGACCGTATTTAGCCGGCTCGTACGAGTAAGCTTGGTGCCGCTATCCGCGTGCATCTCTACGACCCCTATTGATCGGGACATTTGTTTGCTTAAACGTCATTGATTCTGTAGTTTGATTGTAAACATACATTTCTAATGCAAAATCAGAAAATCACTATACTGTACGAGTGTGAGTACGGAGTAGATCGAAATCAATCATGCTATGAGCGGGACCCTCGGAGTTAGAGCGGGGTTTCGGCTTTTCGTGTTTTTCTCCCCCATTTTTTCTCGCGTGCTTTTTTTAATATTTTTTCTTTTTCATTTCTTTTTATTTCCTCTCTTTTTTCTCTCTTTTTTCTCTTGCATTTCTTCCAAGGTTTGTCTTGGCGCGCAGTCTAACCACCCGGGTGTTAGCAGCAGTGGACTATGCCGTCAAGTCCACCTGGGCACGGGGTTAGGGCTTATGCCACGTGGGTGAGGCTCAACCATTGGCAGAATCAGTCTTCCTGGGGCAACGGTTAAAATTCCAATGAACTTTCATCCCTTACCTTAGGCTCATGATTTTCATGTCATTTATGGAGCCTTCTCTTCCGGCGAAATGGCGTCTTACCTGTTGATCCGCCATGAGAATGCTGAATGGCAGCGTTCAATTGGAACCTGCTGGGCCGAACCCATCTGGTTGTGCAATCCGATCGTAGACGGTACCTTCACTAGGATCTGCAGCCGGATGGTATGATTTCATATCCATGAGGGCATCTCTGTTCACAGTAACATTGCCAAGACGAATTTGTTCCAAGTACCATTCTGCAAGTTGTATCGCCTCACTGGTCATGTACTGGGCGTCCTCAAGTCTTCTAGAAACTGGGAGTGAAATGCACCATTTGATCTCCCTATCCCAGGGTACGTCTGCGAAAGCAAACCTGCGTTCCTTGAGGCGTTCAAGGACTCGGGCCAACACTCCGCTATCACTGCGCATTAGAAAGTTTTCGTCGTATAGGAACACTATGTTCACCCAAAATGTATCATGATCCACATTAACAGTTAACCCATTATGGCAATTTATATAGAAAGACATGTTGGCCTTTCCAAGCTCTGGAGTGTGATAGGTAGTTTTGGTAGCGATATGGTCTTTTGTGTTCAGCTTTCCTCAGTATTTCTCGGTGGGATATGTCTACCTAGTACCTAGGTAGCCCTTGAAAATGCGAACTTCAGATTCTTAAATCGTAGCCGCCAACTTGGAAGGAACAAATGATTTTCTTTAGACGTGCACAATGGCCTTTCAATTTTGGTACAAAGGGCCTTTCATCACAATATGATTGTCAACTCCTTGTCAACTCCCATGCCTAGATAGACTTTCTGGGCCGCGTGTAAGCCCTTCAAGGTTATCGAAAAAGATAGATGTTACACTAAAACCCATGGGTAGACCACGTAGTTGACATAACGCAGGATCAGCGTCCGGCGATTTCCAAGGTTGGACATGATGGTGCGCACATGGTGCAGGCTCAGGGATGTTGGCGAACGGTGTAATCCCGGCTCGATCCTACACTTCGGTGACCCAAATAATTGTTTCGAGCGCTTCCCACGGCGGTAAACCGCGTAAGGAAACACCTTGGCCTCATCCTAAGCAGGATTACCTATGTACTCGGCGGTTTTCTTTCATCTTCCTTCATCTACGGTACGCAAGAAAAGCGAAAGAGGAGAAGTTGTTTCTATTCTCGAGCCCGCGGGCTCCTACCAATACTGACTGGGGCCCCACGTGACACTTGTATACCTTCCAAGGTTTGTCCACGGGTTTTGGGTAGGTCGGCCCCTGGCTTAACGGGGAGGGTCATCCACATGTCTTGGGGAATGTCCACCAGGGTGTTCTCCGTCCAGACCCTGGGGAATCCGTCCACCAGATCGATTAGACGCTGGCGGATCTCGGGAGTCTCTCCATAGGTAGGTAGGGAACAGCCAGTATCACCTGACTGTGTGTTCACAACCTTGGAACCTTGGAATAACATCCCACCAGCATCCATGGATGTCAGCCTTGGAAGGAGTTTATCTCAATTCATCCGTGCCCACGTGGCGAACGGAGCATGGGAGATGCGAGCGAACGTCGCGTCGACGAGCATCGGAAAGGATGAGCAGCCGGGGGAAGTTTCGGACGGCTCGTAAAGGAAGCTCTGATCGGGTAGTCTGCCCTTCATTCGGATGAGGATACTCTTTGAATCTCCTGGGTCTAGGGTGAAACCAGTTTTTGGATGCCGCGGGCCAGATAATCGGCACAGCTACCTATTATACGGAGGTCGAGATTTTCCTCGATCGCATGAGAGATCTAGCTGCCCTCAAGTCAGAAGAAACGGTTCGAGCGAACATCCACGCTTGGTTGAAGGGCGCGTGATAGAAGGCAGAAGAGCGAGAGATCGATCAGTTGATTGAGATGGAGCTAGAGAGAGAGCAAGAAAACTGAGAGCAAAGGGGAAGAAGAAGAGATCAAGAACATGTGATCTTTAACAGCGCGGCTCTGGGATGCTAAACCAGGATCAAAGTAACCAATATCCGCAGCTTTCCAGGACATGTCTTGTCAGGGCTGGATGTTGGAAACCTCTCCTTGGGGTCCAGCTGGTCCGGGGGGCCCGGGGGTCCACGGGCACCCTGTTGACCCAGTTGGTGGGCTAGAAGGTCTTGTACTAGCAGTCGTAATTGGTTTCGAAAGAAAGTCGACCCTGACGCCGCCTTTGTCATATAGTCCAGTGGCAGATACCCCCATAGTTGGGGTCGTTGCGGCTGGTGGTTCTGCTGCTGGTTGGTCGCGCCCAGCACCTGCCCTTCTGGTCTATGTCATAGGGTCTTAGCCAAAAGCTTTGTAGTGGTATTATGGTGATCCTATAACTTACGGGGCTTCCTCGGCCTTCTTGGGCTTTCCGCCCATCTTCTTCACAAACCAAAATGCGAGCCCGGCGAGGCTCGCCCAAACCATAATTATGACTACCCACAGCCCCGTTGGGAGTCTCTGCAGGACCTCAAGAGCAGAAGGTCTTGCATTTGTGGGGTTTGAGGCAGCCATGACTGTCACTGTGACAGGGGCTTCCAGGGTCGTCACCACGATGGTGCCCAGGTGGTGAAGGTAGGGGGTGGCACGGCGGGAGCAGGCGCGGCTTCCAAGCCCTGGAGGTTGATTGTGGACATTGATCACCCGTGGACGTTAGACATTTCCAAGGTTTGATCTTGCGTGAAAGTAGTATGAGATTCCCACTTGGAACTTGGAACTTCCAAGTTGGATGAGCATAACCTACATACCTAGTACATAGGTAGGTACGACTGGGGGACAAAAGATACTACATACCTACTAGGTAGTAGGTAACAACCTTGGAACTTGGAACCTTGGAACCTCCAGGGTTCTATAGCATCGTACCTGCCAAGCTGTATACTAGTTAGTACCTAGTACACTCTCGCGGGGCCCCATCAACAGACTGGGTTTGGCGCGTTGCCATGGTTTCAAATAAAACATCATCGGCCCGGATATATAGTGCAAGGGGATGGAAGCCCCAATTAGGAACCTTGAACAGCGTTACACGACATGGCTAGATATATATCGTTTCAAACCCTTGGAGCATAAACATCAACTGATGATGGTTGTGGTAAGATACTTCCAAGATCATCACGAGGGTTTTTTTAAGATCTTGTTACCTGATTTCATGGACCAGGAGGTATTGAGATATATCCATCACTATGATTGTGACAAAAGAAGGTTGATCTATAGAAAGTGCACGGACTCGGGAGGGGATTGGGCTCTGCTCTGTGACACGTGACCTCCCCACCGCCCAGCATGAGTCACGGGGAAAAAAAAGCAGAAGAGGCAAAAAAAGATCCCCGAGAGAGAGTCCCCCTCTTTATGGGTCATTGTCTAAGCGGGGCCCGGCGATTCACAGCCTTTTTTTCTCCGTTGCGCTACCCCTCTAAAACCTCACGTTTTTTGAAGCCTCTAATACCCCGCGCGTCGTTTACCTCGCGATCTCCCATCATGGCGTCAGCTTCCCTCCCCGCCTCCGTGGCGGCCCTGTCCCTCCAATCGACTGAGCAGCGGTCTCAGTTCGCTGGTTGCTTCCCAACCTTGAACCCAATGGACATCTACCGTGAACACATCGCAACCGAGATTGGAAAGGCACTCAACATCGACGCCCAGAAGGTCTACGCTCGTGTCGCATGGACCAGCACTCTCGACAAGGGTGATCTTTCACTGCCCGTACGTACTACTTGCGAACTCATGTCCCTCTTGGCGCAAGATAAGACAAACTAACATTGCCGAAATAGGTCGCCTCCCTTCAAATCAAGCAAAACCCCATCGAGCTGGCCAAGGATGTCGTGAGCAAATTCCCCGAGTCCGACTTCATCCACCCCCCAACCGCCCTCGGCCCTCACGTGCAGTTCTTCTGCAAGCCTCAACCCTTGACCAACACCGTCCTCGGGCGCGTCCTCAAAGAGAAGGCTGCCTACGGAACCAATGGCAACCAGGGCCAGAAGGACCCCTCCGACCCCTCCAAGGGACAAAAGAAGATCATCATTGAGTTCTCTTCGCCCAACATCGCCAAGCCTTTCCACGCGGGTCACCTGCGCAGTACCATCATTGGTGGATTCCTTGCCAACATCTACACTGTTATGGGATGGGATGTTATCAGGATGAACTACCTGGGTGACTGGGGTAAGCAGTACGGTCTGTTGGCCAACGGCTTCAAGTACTTTGGCAACGAGGAAGCTCTTGTCAAGGACCCCATCAACCACCTCTTCGATGTCTATGTCAAGGTCAACGGTCTCGTCAGCGAACAAGATGGTCCGATCAAGGAGCTCAAGGAACAGATCAAGGCCAAGAAGGAGAAATCCGAGGATGTTGCTGAACTGGAGGCACAGCTCGCTAAGCTCGTGGATGTCAGCGAGGACGAGAAGGCTCGCCGCTACTTCAAGAGCATGGAGGACAGCGATCCCGAAGCTCTTGCTCTCTGGCGCAAGTTCCGTGACCTCAGTATCGAGAAGTACAAGCAGACCTACGCCCGCCTTAACATCGACTTCGATGTTTACTCTGGCGAGTCTCAAATTAAATCCGAGAGCATGACCAGTGCCTACAAGCTCATGGAGAAGGCCGGTGTCTCCGAAGAGTCCGAAGGTGCCGTGATTGTGGACTTCACTAAGCACGGCGCTAAGAAGCTTGGCAAGGCTATCATTGTTCGCAAGGATGGAACTCCTCTCTACCTGACCCGTGACATCGGTGCCATCACCGAGCGTGACGAGGAATACCACTTCGACAAGATGATTTACGTTGTCGCTTCTCAGCAAGATCTCCACCTTGCTCAGCTTTTCAAGGTCACTGAGCTGATGGGCCACAAGGATTTGGCTTCTCGTTGCCAGCACATCAACTTCGGTATGGTCCGTGGTATGAGCACCCGTAAGGGTACTGTCAAGTTCTTGGATGATATCTTGCGCGATGTCGGTGACAAGATGCACGAGGTCATGAAGAAGAACGAGGTCAAGTATGCCCAAGTCGAGGACCCCGAGAAGACTGCCGATGTCCTGGGTATCACCTCCGTCATGGTGCAAGATATGACTGGCAAGCGGTATGTGCAAATAACCTGATCTTTTCTCCCAGTGAATGGTTTACTAATCTATTATTCCAGTGTGAACGGCTATGACTTCAACTTGGATGCTATGACATCCTTCGAGGGTGACACTGGTCCCTACCTGCAGTACGCCCACGCTCGTCTTTGCTCGATGACCCGCAAGTCCGAGCTGGACGTTGACGACCTGGTCAATGCCAACTTCGACCTGCTGACCGAGAAGCACGCCGTTGACTTGGTCCGTCTGTTGGCTCAGTGGCCTGACGTGCTCCTGCAAACTGCTAAGACTCTCGAACCCATCACTGTCCTGAGCTACCTGTTCCGCATGACTCACATGTTGAGCTCCAGCTACGATGTCCTGAAGGTCATTGGCAGTGAGCCCGATGTCAAGAAGGCTCGTATGGCCCTGTATGCCGCGGCTCGCCAGGTCTTGAACAACGGCATGCGTGTCCTCGGTCTGAACCCCGTCGAGCGGTTAGTATCCTTTTTTGCCACCGGAGAAGCAATCACTAACATGTTTCTAGTATGTAATCGTGATCCGGACTTACTCATCTTTCTGTTTGAACACCTCCCTTTTATAGTTTATCTTTACATTATTTTAGATGCATTGGGCGCCAAGAGCGGGCAAATAAAAACGGCAGTGATCCTTCGTCACTGGAATTCTTTTGAACCTTCTCTTCCTGGGGTTTAAACATTATATATGCAGAATGACCAAAAACACGGTTGACCTTTTGACCTCAGGAGGTTGAACGGCTTTGACATCAGCCGTGTCGAATGTCGCCGAAGGGGTGCGATCCAAGGGCGCAGGTATGTATCCGATCCCCGTTGGCAATGCCTAGATTCGGCCTTCTAGTAAGCAGTGGCTTAAGCCATTTTAACATTTGAGATCGCCGTTCAGCACTCGGGGACCCGGGGAACCCTGGTACCCCGTTTCACGAACCGTGGACCCCTTGCCTGAAGGATCTTATGTCAGCTCCGTAGCCCTAAGCGCAAGTCTTCAGCCTCAATCGGGGACCTCGGACTCCACCGATATGTGTGATGGTCACGCTCCACTGCACTCCCCGACAGGGGTATGTAATCACCGCATGGCTAGACTGGATCGAAATTTATAAAAGCTGACCCCGCCGAGGACTGACTGCAATCGTTGGGTCTCGAATAGCTTCAGATACACAGCACCTTACTTGACCCCCAGTTCGCCTCTCTTGCCTCCGCCTCTACCTGCGCCTCTACCAAATACTAAGCGTGATCATACTAGGTGGCTTTTGGTTTGCTTCTTGAAGCCTAGTACACTGGAATATACCATCGACCGATGGAAGCTTGCAGCATGCATGATCCCTCAATCTTGAACTCGGCCAGGTCCCCGGATCTGGAGCGAAATGACAGCGGTGACTTTCTCATGAACCAGACCGTCCAGAACTTCTCGTGGAAGGATCTGACTGTCACGGTCAAAGATCGAGAGACCAAGAACACCCGCGATTTGATCAATTCGATCAGCGGGGATGCACAACATGGTATGCGGCCAGGGTCACAACTCGTACCAAAGGAACCTTACTGATAACTATGTGTTGTACAGGGGAGTTGATTGCCTTGATGGGGCCCTCTGGCTGCGGAAAGACCACTCTACTCAACGTACTTGCTCGACGTGCCGCGTCATCTGGCGCAAAGGTCACCGGGGAGACCTATGTGAACAACTCGCAGGTGGACTCGAAGAATTTCCAGCGGATGACCTCATACGTTGAGCAGGAGGATGCACTGATAGGATCCTTGACTGTGCAGGAGACGTTGAAGTTTGCGTCCGATCTTTCTTTGACCAGGTATGTCAATTGTTCCGCCGAAATACCCCTTATCACTACCTGTACTGACTGCAAAAGTTCTGTTTCAAAGCACCAACGCATGGAACGTGTCAGAACCCTCTTGGAGGCATTTGGTATCCAAAAGCAAGCGAACACAATAGTCGGTACGCCAATCCGAAAGGGAATCAGCGGTGGCCAGAAGCGGCGTGTGAGTGTGGCTAGCCAGCTCATCACCTGCCCCAAGATTCTCTTCTTGGATGAGCCAACTAGCGGGTTGGACTCTACTGCCAGCTATGAGGTGATATCATATGTAAAGGCACTAGCTCGGGCCAATAATGTGAGTTATCACAAGTACTGCCCCGGGTGATTTGGCTGTTACTAACAAAGTATAGCTCATAATTATCGCGAGTATCCACCAACCCTCGACTACAACGTTCAATCTGTTTGACAAGCTACTTCTACTCTCCTCTGGGAGGACTTGCTATTTCGGGAAAACTGAGAACGTGGAGACTTACTTTGATTCCATCGGACATCCGGTCCCTCTTCAAACAAACCCTGCCGAATTCTTGCTGGACCTTGTCAGCTCGGACTTCTCGAGGACCAAGGAACCAGCCGGTGAGCGGGTGCAGGCTATTCAACATGCCTGGAAGGAGTCCACGCAATCGATTGCTTTTGAGAGACAGATTGCGGAGCGAGTCAATTCAGTGGAGAAGGTCACAAAAGATTGGACCGAGGATGACATGACTCGACCAAATGGACTATCCATTACGATGGCCCTTTTGCATCGCTCCTTCATCAAGTCTTACCGCGATGTCGTTGCGTATGGAATCCGCATCGTCATGTATCTTGGTTTGGCTATCATGATGGGCACAGTATGGCTCCGGCTTCATCCTTCGCAGGAGTACATCCAGCCTTTCACCAATGCGATAGTGGGTTTTGATATACCCCAGACACCAGAACCAGTGTACTGACACAATTAGTTCTTCGGCTCCGCTTTCATGTCTTTCATGGCAGTGGCCTATGTTCCAGCATTCCTGGAAGACCGAGCAACCTTCGCCAAGGAGAGAGCCAATGGTCTTTACGGTGCAACGCCTTTCATGGTCTCCAACTTTATCATCGGACTGCCGTTCTTGTGTACGTAGTCTTACCCCCTACGATTCTTTCATGGCTCCATACTGACCAAATTGCAGTCCTCATATCCATGCTCTTTTCGATCATATCATATTGGCTCTCAAACTTCCAGCCAACGGCAGAGGCCTTTTTTACTTGGGTGATGTGGATCTTCCTCGATCTAGTTGCCGCCGAATCGCTGGTAGTCTTGGTGACAGCAATCTTCCCAAACTTTGTGATCGCCTTGGCATTGGTAGCATTTGCAAATGGACTATGGATGAGTGTCGGGGGCTTCTTGGTCACGCCGACGATTCTGAATCCGTTTTGGAAATACGTGTTCCACTACATCGACTATCAGGTATGCTGAAACCCTACTATCACGATTATTTTTCTCAGACTGACCCTCGATATTCAGGCGTATGTTTTCCAGGGCATGATGGTCAACGAATTTGCAGAGCGGAACTACTCTTGTGGTCCCGGTTGCCAGTGCATGTACACCACTGACCTAGCGGACCAGTGTATGATTCGTGGCACTGGAGTACTCGAGTCATACGGCTATGCGACTGGTCGAACTGGGAAGTGGGCTGGCATTCTTGTCGGTATCATCGCTGTTTATCGATTGTTTGGATGGATCGCGCTATATCTGCGCAAGAACTAAGAACGGCAACAGACTGTTTACACAAGGCACATCGGTGAGATATGTGCCTTGGCTTGCACTGTATATTATTCACATAGATTTTAAGGTTACATTCCCATTGAGCACGTTAATAGTTCCATGGTTTACATGGACGACCGCTAGTCGGAGATCAACGTCTGCGGTGGCAGTCACCCGGTACCAGGAATGAAGCTACCGTGACCTAGTAAAGTGATGGGAAGATTATATAGCCCCAAAGGGGTGTGGCAGTCCACGAGACCGGTTAGCTTTTCGATCAACGTTTTCGTGTCACATCGAACAATCCTGGTGGGATGTTGTGTGCCGAGGCTTGATCATCTAGGGCTTTTTGCAAGATATTTTCCTGATGTTGCGGAGTACTCAAGCTAGTAGTGACTGTATTGACTAGTATCAGACAATCTAAAGGCCCGTTGATCGGCCTGCAAGTCATACACTGGTATCTTACTATTTCAAGCCACTGGGGCCGACAGAAGAATCTCGAATCAAATAAAAGGATACAATTGGACCGTCCCCCCTCATCTCCATCAGCAGGCGGAAGATTACCAGCATTCACGAAAGAGCGGTGAAGGCATTGACCGCGAGGAACTGATGCCATCTCGCAGAAAGACGCAAGGAGGTGCCTCCTTGACCTACCATTATTTCCCGAAAGAGGGGAACAAATCAATCAGACGGGAGAAAACAATCATGACCCATGAACACTGTTCAACAAAGGCAATGTGATTGCATCCCGAACGAGATATGCGAGCAAAGCTTAAAGTTCTTGAGATCCGAATTGAGATATGTCCCGGTACGCATGGTACTTCTGGGCCCGATGCGGAGGCTTGCAATCACGCCTATAGAAGATGACAATAGTTACGGCAAAGCCAGGTAGGCTAGAGCCGCATGAAGATCCCGAATCAGGTTCGGCGTGAATGCCTTCCTCCATCAGTTGAGCCTCTGGGGCTGGGTGTCACGCCCAGCCCATACCTCTACTTCGGAAGGTGGCTCGATACGAACCTTGGAACTTTCAATGTCGGCTACGGCTGAATGTTTCAAATGCTCGATCACAAGAATTTGCGACGCTCGCACGTGTGGCAATCTCATGAACCGCTGGTTCTCACGACGCAAGGGATGTGAAGGAATCCACAATGGCAATGATAGACCGTCCGTGCTGCATGTCATACCAATCTAACCCGATCTTGCCCTCAGAAGGTTCCGGCCGTCTACTAGTACAGCCTAGTGTACTTGAGGTAAGCTAGAATATCTACTTCGCAACTTGTACAAGTACATTGGCCTTGGTCGAGAAGTCCATGGTTTTCGAAGTCACTTCGGAGTCACTGAGCAGCCTGCTGCTGCGGACGGAGCAGAGACGAGACCCAAAGACCGTCTGCCACATGGACGGAGGGGTCTTTGACGGCGAATGCCATGCAGTGCTCAGTCCCTCTTTCTCGTTTCTAGTGCCGTTTGTCATGGACGGAGTTTCGATCGAAAGTGAGAGAATTTCGCATGAGTCACTCCACCAGGGTGGCAAAGATGCTGTCGGCTTGTTATCGCAGGATTGTGAGGTCCCGTCGTGCGAGAATTAGTGTTGCAGGTCGAGGTGCAGGCTGCCATCCCCACCGACTTTTTCCCGCGTCGGTACCGCATACATTGTCATTGTACATCGACCGCACCCAAATGGAATCATGGAACACAAGCAAAGCTGACCATGATGCCTCGGGGAGCGACCGAACGATAACCGAATTTTGAAGAGACGAACGGGTTCTTTTAATTTTTTGGACAAGGAAGACCCTTCGTGGTGGAGGCGATCATTGGGCCGCAAACACCGTTGGGCGTTAGTCGTGGGATTTAGGGAGAAATAGGAAACAATGCTACAGTTCGGCAGAGAAAAGATCCATGGATCTCAAGACATTCACCATTCACCTCAGATCTGCTTACCGGTATACCAGTACTGGAGTGAAGGCAAAATAAAGATAGAGGCCAACCATGGATCCAAGCTTCACAACCAAGGGTCGAGCGGGTCCCATGTAGTTTAAAAGTAAACAATTGTATACAATACTTACACTCCAATACAACATACCTGTGTACGGAGTAGAAGGATTAGAAAAAAAAGAAATTCATTAAATCAGAGAGAGGGCATAGAGATAAATAAGAAATGACGACGCCGGCTTCCCCCCACTTTCTGCCTTTTTTTTTCTCTTCCTTTTGAGTTGGGTACCGATGGACCCGAGAGCCTCTCGTCGTGAAACCCATTTCGTTTTCTTTTTTCGGTGATTTTTCTAGTGCCTGATTTCTTTCGCTTTTCCGTTCCTTTTCCCTTTTTTTCCCACTCTTTTTTTTCTTCTTCTTCTCTCTCTCTTCATACTACAGTTGATTTCTTATCACCCCTCACTTTGAATGCCCGTCGACTCCACTCTCCCCACCGGGTTCTAAGACCGTCAGGCAGAGGATCCCAAATTCTCAACCCAACCTCAGTCCTGCAGCTGCAGTCCACTCCACCACTCATCGGCTGCCAGAGAGGCTTGCCTTTTTTTGTTTTTTATTTTTTTCCCTTCCCTTTGACCCAACTCCGACGCCCGACTCTAAGCCCAACTACTTCGATGGAGACACAGCGCTGCGCAGAGTACACCTCAGCTCTATACGCTTGACAGAGATCCCACTGCGTCGCCTGCCATCGCCCATAGCGATCGGCAGGCCCGATTACTTTGTTCGAGTGGCCCACTTTGGGGTTGGGCAAGAAAAAAAAATAGAGGGGGAAGCAAGACGCATATTATCTGACTCATCGTCCCCTAGACTGTGGCTTCCTGTAAGTCGAACATCATCTGGGGCCCTACGGGAGCCACACACGTCGCCCCTGTTGGACGGGGCCAACCCTGTTTTTTTTATTTTTTTTTCTTAGGGACTCCCCGATCGCCTCTTGTGCAGCCCACATTATGGCCAGTAAGGGCCCCCAGGCCGCTTTCGTCGAAGAATTTGACGAAGATTCCAACGCTACTCTACCCGGCACTAGATTGTCAGCAAATATTGCTCCCAATACTGCTGCCAAACTCTCGAGGTTGGATCCTAGAAACCCGGAGCCGCTGATCGACGGCGCCAGTGACTCAGGTTATTCTAGTCGCACCGCCGCCACCACAAACAGCACCCAATCTGGCCCGTCAGGCGGAAAAAGCCCCCCGGCCCCTCTTAAGGTGGACAACCCCAGACGCACCGATCTCAACAGAAAGAGTTCGACCAGAGAACGCAGAGACAAGGACCGATCAAGGCCATCGCGCGAAGAGAGGATGGTAGGTGTCTACCCGGGCGCTGCCCATCATGCTCACGTGCATCGGTCGTCGTCCAAGCATCACGGTCGAGAGTCCGGTCCTCGCCAGTACCACGACAGTTACTACGAATACCACAGCTACCGCCCTGCTCCCGTCGAGACTCGACCAAGTGAGTATCCGTTTCACATCGACCAAAGACCTCCGTTGCCGGAATTCTCATCCTCCCCACACGCGCCTCGATACGGCGCCATTGAAAACATTCACTCCTCCCACCGACCCAACCGCCCCCATGCATACCACAACTACCACTCCAACAACCAAGCCGTCGGTTTTCACAGCGGGCAACACGGCATGACCTCGGGCATGACAACCCCGCTGTACAGCCAGCACTCGATGCCCGGATACGACCATGGTCCCCCATTGTCCAACTCCGCCTATATGCAGAACCAGTACTCATCTTCTCCTTATGATCGATCTTCTTACTATGCCCCATCGGAGTACGGAGCCCCATCGGAATATCGGGAGCGATCGCTTTCCCGGGAGCCATCCCGGCGTCGATCCACCTCGATCTATACGGCCCCGCCCCAGGCAATAGACTCAGGAGCATATTCACCATGGTATGATGACGACCAGCCTCTGGAGCGATATTCCTCGCGAGAGGCACATGGTCGTCCTTCCATGAGCCACCAGGATCCAGATGAGGACTACTACCGTGGAAGCATGGGCCCTCCAGTCCCACCACCGGCACCGCCTATGCCCAGGCCCAAGGCTAGAGCCCCACAAGTCCACCAGGACAGGCGCACGGAGCGCCCAGAAATACGGAAAGCCCACACCAGTGCGGCAGCCGCCCCTTCTCAACGTCTCGTGTCCAGAGGCATTGACAGGGACGCGGACTATGATTATGACCGAATGGACATGGCCGACCTCCGGGATTCCCTGCCTGTAGTATCCGAACGTGGAACTCGTCGAGTGTCTAGGGATACTCCGCCCGAGAGGACCCGCAGCACTCGACGAGATGTCCGCAGATCGGTGAGCTATGCAGACGAGCGGCGGTCGGCCCATGTAGCCGTGGCCAGCTCACGCAGACGCAAACCAACTGAGTACTACGAACCATCCAGCACTGCAGATGACCTTGAGGATCTTGAACGTGGAGTCGAAAACTACCAGGCTGCTCGGTCGGGCCGGACTTCAAGTGCCGCACTGCCTCTTTCGCAGGAGGTGTTGCCCCCAAGTAAGACGTCTAACCGCAATGGGAGCGACAGCGGCAGTCAGAAGAGCCGGTCCAACAGCAGCCGTGGTAGCGGCACAGCTTCGCGGACGGAAGAGGACAAGAACATGACCTTGACCTTGAACGGATTGAAAATCGGATTTACTCAGGAGAACTTGGCCGGCAAGTCCATCAACATTCGTGCCGGGGATACCGGGGGCCTTCGATTGAACATCGGTGGCTCTCGGCAACCTAAGCAGTATGTCGCTGGTTCTGGCTCTGATTATACGGGCAACGCTAGTCGCCGGGAAATCGAAGATGTGCGACGTCCCATCGAGGATGTTCGACGTCCTCGTGATGATAGACGGTCGGAGCGCGCTACTCGCCGCGGAAGCCAGTCTGCCTACATGGGTCGTTACCATCATTGATTTCCCATCCCGTTGACATCTTCTCCTTGACTACTTCCCCTTTTCTTTCTTATTTCTTGGTTTGGGTTTTTCTTTTCTTTCTCCACTTTTTTCTTCTCCTGTTATGATTCCATCTTGTGTCTGCATAGCCGTTGGTTGGCTGTTCGTTTGTCAAAAGTTTCGATTGCCTCGCATATGTTGCATTCTCTTTTTTTTTTATCATTTTTCTTCGGGTTCTGGTGTCTGTTCCGGGACAACAAAAATCATTGGGATTTACCAAATGCGAGACTGTTGGGCAGCTGTGCTCTTCGACGATCTAGAGCGCAGTCCAAGACCCACACAGTCTCGCCCAAGCTGGGAGGACTTTTGTGTGATTTCATTTACAACCGTCTGGATTTCTGTTTCTATTTTTATGTGCTTGGGAAAGGAAGTCGGGCACAAAACCACCCCCCTTTTATGTCCGTGATGCGTCACCTGTTTATGGCGATATGATTGTACGATTCCTGATGACCTGCGATGACAAGTCTGATGTGCTTTACTTTCTGTCCACTTTCTGTCAGCGATTTCGTGTATAGCCTTTCTTGTCATTGGGTCTGTGTCCTTCTCCTTGCTTTGTTCGCGACTCCTGGCGGAGAGAGATTATACCCATATCTGTTTACTTGTCATGTCTCCACAGGTCATCTGTTTCCTTGGCCATATCTACTTTATATGTTGATTGTATTTGGCCTTTGGAACTGATCTCTGTAGTTGATTTCACTTGCTTTTGGTATCGGTTTGGACTATTGATTGGCCTTGATCTCTGCGTTTTCCCAGTTTTTGATACCCCAGCTTTCCGGGTTTGATCACGGGTTTAAGACATGGAGGCTTGCCTCAGAGGCTCACTTTTGGCGAGTGCTATTTTCTAGTATACATAATCTGACCAATTTATCTAAACATTTTAAACTCGTGCACTCTGCAGTATAATCCTAGTATAAATACTCCAGTACTGAAACAAGACGATCGACGGTTTATAGATCGCGGTGGAGCCGGGAAGTGGGGAGAGTGTGAGGTAAGCGTTGCCCGTGACAACACGCGTTGTAAACACTTCCCAGCCTCCTCCAACCTCCTCAATTCTGTCAAGTCATGCCAGATTCTATTCTGGTTTGATGTTTTCTGAATTTGGCATTTCGATTCTCCCGATACCCATCTGACACTGAGTACATCCTTTCGCGCATTCCGCACTCCTCATCCCACTTCTCGCATTCCGGCCCCATATCAATCCTTATCTAGATCTGGGGATACTTTCTTGCAGGTACACCAGGGCCCATTAATCACGAGAAGGTGCAACGTACTGACAAATTTCCAGAGACTGAAGTCTTGAGCTACGTGCTCTAGACCGCTGCAGTTGCCCATCATGGCTCCCGTCCCGATCGAGGATGCCCCGGAAATCCCAGCACTGGTCGCCGGTGGGCTTTACGTCCGTGGTCTGGATGACGCCAACACAGAGCCTATGTCTTCGCTCAACCTCAACACACACTCTCTATTTACCCGCGATGACTCGAGCACCGACAAACCAGTGCGCGGACAAGGCACCGTCGACCCGCATAGTATTAAGATGCAAGGTCTGATGGCCTTGTTTGCCCTAATCGGCATGGCATTTGTTCTGGCAGCTATTTGGTTCTTTTTCTGGGCCAAGAATGGCGGCTTTGTCTGGCGAGAGGGTGACTGGGACGAGTACAAGTCGACCGTCCTCCGTCGCAAGGGACCAAACGGCGAAACCCTCAGTAACGCCACCAAGAGTACAAAGCTTGGTGGTGGCAGTGTTGTGGGCAAAGGCTACACCGACGATGGATACTCATACACCGATGGATCATACACCGAGACAGCCACGACCGTCAACGATGAAAAGCCTCGACGCAAGAGATTCAGAGACGCCAAAGAGAAGTTCCTCCGTCGAAACAAGCATGAAGATTGGGAAGGCGCCGAAGATGCAGATGTGCGCGCATACCGTGAAGAGAAACCTGCTCGCATCGGTGGCATGAATCGCGAAGCCGACGGAACCTATCATGGCAGCGATTACGACACCTCTGCTCCACCTACTTCCTACCAACAGAGCGAGATGAGCCAGTCGCACGATTTCGCATACGATGAGCCCCCACGCCGCCAACGCCACAGAGATCCATCCGGATTCTCTTTCACCGAGGGCAGCGAAGATGTGATTAGCCAAGCTAATGAACAACGCCGTATCCGTGAGCCCTCTACTCGCCGCCACAACCGTCGTCGTGAACGTCGCAGTCAGGCTCCTAGCCATGCTTCCTCTGGTCCTCCTCCCGCGCCCTCCTCTCGTACCAGCAGCCCCCGCAAATACCGTGACCGCCGCACTGCGGCTCAGGGCCACTACACTGAGCCGTTGGATTTCTCGTCTGCGGGTTCTCGCTCTGAATATCAATACTCCAACGTTGACACCGAGGATTCAGGTACTAGGAGCTACAAGCATCCCATTCCTGGATTGACGAAGGGATATCGACGTGATGGCCGCAGTCGTCGTCGTGACAGTCTGAGTGATAGCGAAGGCGAGACTCAGTACTCGTGAGATATGTCGAAACTGCACTGATTATGAGCTTTGATTTGAATGTTTAAGGATACTTTTGGGTAACGGATAGCGCTTTTGGGGCTGACGCCTCCTTATGGATATTGATTTGGGAATCTGTTTGATTTATGTACATAATGAACTGTGATAACGATGCGAGTGACCGTCTATGCAATGCATTGTCTTTTTAACAATTTTTATCCCAATTTTACGTACAAATTATATGTAGGTAGAACCACAATCTCTTCAAACCTTGGAACAAGTCTCTGTCTGTCGATTATTACAACAATGGATCTATTGGCATTGCTCGATCCAACCTTGGAACCTTCGCGCCGACCTGGGGTTAAGGACATTCATTAAGCCGCAGCCAGATAGCCGCCGTAGACAAGGCTACTATTATGGATCACCCATAGAGTCGCTGCTTTGATCACAACAGATACAGGCGGATGGATATCCCCATCAGTGAAATCCATCGGTCATTTGCGATCTTGTCGCAGATGAATCTAAGAGCTCCGTTGTCTGAATCTTGGAGGCTATCGTTAGGAAGACTAGCTGATCCGACAGACGAACTCATACCGTAACTTTAGGTATCGATTGCCATATTTAACCTTGAAACCTTATAGTAGCCATGAATGGGTAAATTGCAGACGCAATGCCATATTTTGTTGTCGTTGTGGATACTAGGTAGTACTAAATAAGGATAGTCGAATGGTAAACTGAAACTAAATCTGTCAGAAAGAGACCATTTCTATACAATATGGTGTGCCCGCTTGCCAAAAAAAAAGGCATTTCTTTGGTTATTCTTAGATCTACGGCTAAACCGGTGGTGTACATTTCTACCAGCCTTGGAAGGCTGCCATTTAAATAGACATCTGGGACTTATCGCACCTATCATATGGATGGCAGGCTTCCGAGTATTCATGGCGTGTATATTCCAAGATTGATTTAGTACTAAATACAGTACTCCGTAGCCCCGTTTCAACCCCACACCTGGGCATCCCGTGGGCCTCTGTCGTAGAGGCAGTGCATTTTCCGAGGTCCATCTATTTATTCCCAGGCAACATCACTATCTGACTAGGTCGCTGAGTCCATGAATGCTGCGTGCTGGAATGGATACTCTTGAGGTCTCCCATTTTCTATTATCTATTTTCGAATCAACCCGCTCAGAGGAAGCATCAATGATTTGGTTCTTGATACCTAGGTATGTTCACGACCTCGGGGCCAAGTCCACAGGTGTCACAATCGAGTAGACCTTTGACTCGAGAAAGAAATTGGAGCACTAGGGAGTCGAGGAAGTCTGACCTAGTAGAATGGAATGTTCCTATCAATTCTACTAGGTAATGTTGCCCATGGCCAGACAAGATATGCCGCACCACTGAAGCCTCATTTGAATCCATCCTTTCGAAACAATTTTTGCCTAGACTAGGTAGTTGACAACTTCGAAGCTGTACCCAGCCATGAGCGCTAGGTAGATAAGAACTTTTTCTTGGGCGATATCTCAATTTAGTCAATACCCAGGTGCGAGGGGCTATCAAAAGGGTTAAGGTCTGTATAGCGCACGAGCCCTGGAGTCAGTGTCAGATACCCGCGGAGTCTATTCATATAGGAGCCTACCAATGACTGCCCGGGTTGAGAACTCGTGCAAGCCTGTTCTGCCCCAGGACCTATGCCGCTGGGTAGATCTGCAGGACCTATCGGATTGGACTTATCCACAGTGAGGCGCAGGTAATCTATTAAGTGGCACTTCCAATGAGCAGTCTTTCCAAGTTCGATAGTCCATGTGAATCAACTATTTGGTCTCCGCATCTAGGCAGTTATTAGCTTGTCACACTCTCACTGGTCCTAGGAAACGGCGCAGGTGGCGCAAGCATTGGATCCCAGCTCATCGGCTGATAAATTACCAAGAACGTGGTAACAAACGATGTCCTGGAGGAATAACTTGCGATGGTTATTCCGGACACGCGTGGCTTCGTCCTGGTTATCAGGAGAGACGCCGTTAGGGCCCTGTTTTGGAATTGCCATCTGGGACAAGGCGCATATTTCCCTTGGCTCATCTCGATTAAAGCTCTATACACAATCTTTCCATGACACTCATATTCAAAAAAATATATGAGCGACTTCGGAATGTCGATTTGACTGTTGGTGTTGGCTCAAAGGGTGGTAGATACGATCAATGGGGTGATTTGTGATGAGCCTCGACGATATTGCAGGAAACTATTGCATCATTTGCTCGTGAAAAGCATTTCCGAATGACTCCATGCATATAAATGATATTTTGTGAATCACTGAATCAATAATGGCTGGTGGTTTTCATCTTGCGGGGTTGTCGGCGACAACCAACAGGCCGAGATGTTGGTAGGATGATAAGATCAGGGGGACTATAAGCGGTTAACGCAAGACGCAATATTCAACACCCGGGGGCACTGGCCTCAAATGAGCACATACCAGTGCAGTTTCAGGGGCTCACGTCCCTCATCGTGGCGCTGAAATACCCGAGTTGGTCGCCAATGCCCTTTGCCCCGCTAGGCCTGACACTACATTAGCGCCGCTTCTTTCATCTGCCATTTCTTTGGCTGCCTTGACAGAAAGTAGAAAATGAGCCTTGGGCTAGGGAGAACGGTTGATAAAAGGCTCAGATATTTGCTCGTAACCTGCTAGGATTGTATTGGCTCTGAAAGCTGTTTGATCATGTCCATGGGTACGAGTTTCAAAGCCTACGAGTCAGCGCTTGTCAACAGACCAACTTGCTTTGTGTCATACGCGCGGTGTATATCAGATACAGCCCTGGAGGACGTATAACCCTGGGTCAGGTGACAAATTGAGCCGCACCCAGGTGGGCATCTATAGTAGAACAGCGGATGCAGTGGTTTTCTCGATCGACGTATAAAGTGCCCCAGATCCAGCCCCAAGTTTGCTTTGCCCCCATGATCCCAAGATTTCACCCAAGAGCCCCAACATTATCTCAACTCGTACACGAAATCATGGAATCTGAGTGGGTGTTCCATCTTGAAAGCAATCGCTGGTTTCGTTCCATTCACGACCACACAGGTGAGTCACTCCGCCTTTCAGACAGCCCAAGAGAAAGTTGCTTCTCAAGATTACTAAACAATACGCAGGTGAGCCCTGTTGGGAGTGGGATTCCTTCGGTGGGCCACTTCCTCATCACATAGAAGACGATCAGGCGGCCAAGTGAGTTCATTTCTTACCTTTGAGCTTCGTGTATCATCAGCCATGAGGCTTATGAAGCTGTTTCAAGCCTCATTTCGCGCGGAGACAGAACCTCTCGCACTCAAATAGCCCCCAAGGGTATATACGCTCATTCAACCCCATTCACGCCGTTCCAAACACACCAAGCAAGCCTGTCAGATCTGGAGCTACAGCCAACATTTGAGGAAGGGCTTTACACCGATAGCGAGCACATAGGATTTGATCCTCGGTCTTCAGACATGGAATATGCAGAGTTATCACAACTTCACTGCGACGGTGGTATACACCCAGACACAGGCCTGTTGGCAGCCAGCAGTGGGAGTAGCCCACCCGATCGGCTCCTACCCAAAGTGCAGTACGACGGGTCAGGAAAGTCAAATGATCGGGACACAGGGTATTCCAGCATGCGAGGTCGCAGCAAAACCGCCAAATCATCGATGAGGGATACATCCATGCTCCAGTCTCACTCCAACTACTCGCAGGAATCGGCACTGGAGGCCTCATACATGGCCTCTGGAAGTAACAGTGAGCATGAAATACTAGATCCTCGTGAGTTGTCATACCATTGTGAGAGATAGCAATCTGAATGATGAGCTGATGGCTTCTCCCACGAATAGGGTACAAAAAGCAGAAAGATCCTCGGGCATTTTTCCGAGTCGGCCGGGTGTTCTCAATGCTGTGGCATGAGAACGCAGGCTCAAATGGCAGAGGCCACAGCAGAAAAGCTTCCCCGCGCGGTAGTCCGCAGTTTACCAGGGGGAAATACCAAGAGCCCATATACAGTAGCATCCGGCGCATGGTGGTGGTCAAGCAGCAGAAGGGGTGCTGCTGGTGTGTGTAAGTTCCAATATCTGATGCACATGACTGTCTTCTCATGATTCTGACAACTTCCAGGCCCATCACAACTTATGGCGGACAAGGTGTCGCCAAAGCTGGTATTGACCGCAGCAAGCATGCCATTATCTATATGCGAGGAGAGATGCCCCCGATGAACGGGGATGAGCCGGCCATATCAAAGCAGCCTCTCGAAGTTGACCCTGTCAAATTTGAACAAAAATTGGATCCCATGTCGAGAGTCAACTTCGGGAAGGTCTATACAGTCGAGCACAATGTCAAAGTTCTGCCAGTGGGCGAGATAAAGGGGGCATCCAGGGATTTGTTTTTGGAGTATTTCCAGAGTGAGTTTTTGCGATAAGACGGTTGACCGCGAGCCATTCGATATGTGAATATGCCATGAATTGTAACTGCGATACTCTGCGTTCCAACCTCCACGGGTAGTCAATTGAATGACAGTTTGGCCTAAGGCAGCAATATATTATGTCATAATAAATTATTGCTCACCGCCTGCAGTGCTCTCACCGCCCGCCAAAATTTCCCAAAAAAGTTTCAATTTCCTCAGATCTGATCAAACGATACACAGCAAAACGTCACAATGAAGCGCAAGTTGGATGCCAACGATGTCCCTGCCCCAAAGACCGATGTGTCTGAGGACAAAGATCTCGACTTTGAGGCGCTCAACCTCGATCCCCGATTGCGCCAGGCTTTGATCAAGGAAAAGTTCACCAAGCCCACGCTTGTTCAATCAAAGGCGATCCCGCTGGCGCTTGAGGGCAAGGATATCTTGGGTAAGTTCAAAGGACCAAGCTTGGAAATGCTCTAGCTGACCAAATTAGCCCGTGCGAAAACCGGATCAGGCAAAACCGCCGCCTATGTTCTTCCCATTTTGCAAGCCATTCTCCAACAGAAAACTGTTCGTTTTCCCTTTCGTCTCAGGATCGCAACTCATTGAGTGGACCTATACTGACTTCTATGATCCAATAGGCCGATCCCTCCTTAAAAGCCACAACCGCCCTCATCCTTGTCCCCACCCGCGAACTGGCAGAACAAGTCCAGAAAGTCATCGTGTCGTTCTCCAGCTTCTGTGGCAAGGATATCCGGTCAGTGAACTTGACGCAGAAGGTTTCCGATGAAGTCCAACGTTCCATGCTCGCCGATTTCCCCGATATTGTTGTCTCAACCCCCACCCGCGTTTACAGCAATGTCAACAATTCCGCCCTCTCTCTCGACAAGGTTACCCATTTGGTCATTGACGAGGCGGATCTTGTCCTGTCGTACGGCTACGATGACGATATTAATGCCCTGTCCAAGGCCATTCCCCGAGGAGCGCAAACCTTCTTGATGAGCGCTACCCTCACATCTGAGGTCGACACATTGAAGGATCTGTATTGCCGGAACCCTGTCATCCTCAAGCTTGAGGAGAAGGAAGAAAAGGGCGCTGGTGTCAGCCAATTTGTTGTTCGGTGAGACAATCTGCACCAAATTACCATATTACTGTTTGCTAACGCCACTTGACAGATGCGCCGAGGACGAAAAGTTCCTCCTGACCTATGTCATCTTCAAGTTGCAGCTCATCAAGGGCAAGGTCATTATCTTTGTCGCAGATGTGGACCGTTGTTACCGTGTGAAGCTTTTCCTTGAACAGTTCGGCCTCAAGAGCTGTGTCCTCAACTCGGAACTTCCCATCAACTCTCGTATCCACGTTGTCGAAGAATTCAACAAGGGTGTTTACGACATTATCATCGCCGCCGATGAGCAAGAAGTAATGGGCACCAAGTCAAAGAAGTCCCGCGAGGTCAAGGAATTGGAAGAAGAAGAGCCCAAAGAGGAGATGGGTGATAGCGAGGACGAAGAGGCACAGGATGAGGACGGAAAAGGAAAGAAGCAGGAATCAAAGAAGCGCCGCAAGATGAGCGCCAAAGAGAAGGACTACAGCATTGCCCGCGGAATCGACTTCCAAAATGTCGCATGCGTTCTCAACTTCGACCTCCCCACAACCTCAAAATCCTACACCCATCGCATTGGACGTACCGGCCGCGCCGGTAAGGCCGGCATGGCCCTCTCTTTCGTCGTACCTGCCGACCAGTACGGCAAGCACAGACCCACCTCAATCCCCAGCACAAAGCACGACGAGACCATGCTCGCCAAGATTGTTAAGCGCCAGGGCAAGCTCGGCCACGAGGTCAAGCCTTACCATTTCGAAATGTCTCAAGTCGATGCCTTCCGGTACCGTATGACCGACGCTCTCCGCGCCGTGACCAGACTCGCCATCCAGGAAGCCCGTGGACGCGAAATCCGCCAAGAACTGATTAAGAGTGAGAAGCTCAAGCGCCACTTCGAGGACAACCCTGATGAATTGCGCCAGCTGCGTCACGATGGCGAGCTGCGAGCTGCGCGTGTCCAGGCGCATCTCAAGCACGTCCCTGAATATCTCATGCCTGCTAAGGGACGGAAGGGAATCTCTAAGGAGAATGTTGGCTACGTTGGCTTCTCGAAGTCCAAGCAGAACCGTATTCGCAAAGCGAGAGATCGCAACCGCGCTCGCGGTAAGGCCGGTGGCAAGTCGGACCCTCTGAAGACGTTTAATCGATCCAAAAAATAGTATCTTAGTTTAAATATTTCCGGCGTTGGTCTGGATACCATTGTACAGTCAGACATGAATCAAAATATTCTCATTGCCCCCTATTTTGTATGCATTTTTGGTAAATGAGCAGCGTATGGCCGCCAATCGTTGAGAGGAAATATCTGGTTGGTATGTGCAATTATCTAACATGGTATTTCTACATTTCATCTACATGAGAAGGGCCTCCCTGGAATACCGCACAGGAGGGCCCCAGATAGACAGTGCCTCATTCATGAAGCGCATAATCTTGTCCAACCAGCTGTTTCACAATCTGGGGATCAACATCATCCAGCCCAAGTGATACTTGAAGCCATTTGCCCTTCCCTTCTTTCCTAATGAGCCGAATGTTCTTTCGTACAGCCAGCGCAGTTTGGAATTGCTCTCGGTAGGCGTCAAGCTTCCTCAGTCGACGGTTATTACGTTGTTCTTCCTCGCGCCAAGGGGGATCTGCCGGGTCTGGATTTCGCACTGCATGAGACGGCTCGTGGCGCCCGTCGTTGTCGTCAACCAGGTTTGGAACCCAGCCGGGGCCTAGACTGATCCATTCAACATCTCTCCATGAGCCATTCCAGTCTGGACCCACAGCACCAGGTCGGTATGGGACGCCCTCCGGGTCTTTTCCAACCCAGTTCAAAGCCGGGAGCCAGGGAGCGCAGCCTTCGAGGTCTAACCATTTTAGGCAGTAGGTAGATCGGGACAGTTGACGGAGAACGCTCGCAGCCTCGGCCCAATTGTTGTCCATGGCAGCATATGTGTCTGTGCCGCTGTAGCTGAAAGTCAACGAGTGGATCTGAGGGTGACGGATGCGAGTGTTTGTAGCGCCTGGCGTTCGGGTCGGGGTAGGCCAATGCGCCAGGGAGAGGTGGGTAATTTTCGTTAAACGTGACAGTAGACTGATCAAAGATGTCCAACTTGCAGCGGCTGGGTTTGGATGTGCCAATGACAGGAAACGAAGGTTTTCGAACCGCATTGTTTGAGTCAGTTCCTTGGGGATTGGGGGTGCATGAACGGCATCCGATGAGGAGGTCTCCGAGCCCTCGGGACCATGATCGAGCTCTTCATCCCATGAGCTCGGGATATCCTCCTCTTTTTCATGACCAGCAATTCCCGAGCTCGGCGAGTGAGAAGTGATTAACTCATTTGTCAGCTGTTTGAAGGACATCCAATTCCCGATGGCGCCACCGAGATCTAGTCGGATCACCCCCGAGTCCTTGTCGGTTTCGTACTCTTCAACTTCGGCTTCGTCGGCCATTTGCGCATAATCCTGTTGGGTCAGGAAAAGCGGCTTGAGGCCCTTCATGCGCCCATTCAAGGACTGGCCCCTCGCAAACACAGCTACATAGCTGAGGAGCAAATCCTTCAGATGACCCGGCAGCTGGGACAAGAACAAGCCATCGTATTCCAGATGCCAGGCCCAGTTCAGCGCCATTTTCTTGAGCACGAGGTGCAAGAGCTTTCCGTTGTTGGGGAACGAAGTACCAGGAAGTCTCCTGAGGCGGTATACAGTCGCCTCCATATCATCATCCGTATCACCCAAATTTTCCCCAGCCGATTGTTCATCTGCAGGCGCAGCTAGCCAACTCTGGGGTGTCGCAGGCCCCACGGTTGGGCGGATCGGACGAGTGCCGATAGCGGTGCGATAGGCCCCAGGGCGAGGCCGGGGAGAGGGTGTTTCGGGTAACTCCAGTAAGTTTCTCAAAGATGGATGAACAGAACGGGGAGCCAGGGATGATTGCATGCGTCGGTGGGGTGTTCCATCTTCCGCGACACTCGGGGGTTGTGTGCGGCGAAGGTGGGAGATCAGGTCGTTGACGGAGGTTGTTGAGCCCCCAGATGCCCCAGGCACGCCATTCTTATTTGACCCTGTGAGACTGTGGTGTGCCTGGCTGGAGGGTTTGTAGTGAAAGCGCTGGTGCTTTTTGGGCATGAGGTTGATGCGCAGGCGAGGGGAGATGAGGCTCCGCGAATTTACCGCTTATCGCCCGCCGTTAAAAGTAACTGACCCACGGAACCTCTCCGCAGGCCCTGACTCATGCTCACCTGCCCAGGTGCTAGTTGACGATTTTGTATTGCGCTGACTCACAGTTGTGGGCTATGCTTACGGTTTGAAAGGCCGTGTCATATTTTATACAATTATAATACACTCTATATGCAATGTTTTAGATATCTCGGACCCAGGAGTCATCCTTCATGTGGCCCTCGCGCTTGTGACCTTCCTCTAGCCAGGTATCAACCAAGCCCTCTTTAGGATCTTCGTCAGGCAAGCCACGTGAGCGGCGAACTTCCAGCACAAGGTTTCTAACCTTCAAGGTGACCTCTTTGCGCAGCTCAACTGCTTCCTTGTGGGTCAACAGCTCGTCGCTCAAGACACCCACGGGCAGATCTCGGGAATCGGGGTTGCTCTTTTCAACCTTTGCTCGGAGCTTCTGCCACCGCGATCTCATCTCCCCAAAGACACTCTCCGAGTCAACCTTCGAGCCAAATGTCACGCTGACGCGTTTGCCAGGCCGAGGTAAGAAGCGCGGGAATTCTCGACTCTCGTGCATGACGTCGTCAAACCCTTCAATCCACATAGGGACCACGTCCGGACATTCCTGAGGCTCTAGAATAAGGCGGGCTATCCCCCACTTGAAGTAGCGCATGGTTTTCCTCGGTGATTGGTGAATCTTTCCCTCGGGGAAGATGTGGACCCACGAATTCGAGTTGCAAGAGTATGCCGAAGGTGCAAGGTGGGAGTCTTCACCATCAGTGGTGTATGCGACAGACATATCGGAGAATGGGTCGACACAGACGTTTTGTCGGCTCCAGCGCTGGAGTTCGGGGGCCGCACGGTGGTGGTCCACGGGGAACGGGCCCTTCGATAACAAACGAATAGCCTCAGTCATGGCCGGTTGACCTAAGCCACCGAATTTAGAGTGAGCAGAGCGATGGCATGGTAGAACTTTGCCCATGGTGAAGAATAGAGAAAGGGGCCTGGGAAGATATTCAGTCAACAACGCAATGGCGGCGGCGGTGCCCAGGAGATCGCCCTACCTCGTTTGATAGCAAATATCATAGCTTCCAAAAGACCACCGTTTGTTCCAGAATCGTATTGGCAAAATACCCCAAAGTAAAGGGTCATCCATTCTGGTGTATCGGCGCAATGTCAGTTATGTTCCAAATTTGGTACTGAGGGCTTCGACGACGAGGACTTTTGAAGGGACGTACACGCTAATGTGATTCGAGACTGCGATTCGATTTCTCTGTTAGTATTTGGCCGCGGAGCTTTGCGCTGGAATCCGACATACCTGTGATCAATCCTTTTGTTCGCTGGGAGGTTTCTTTGCGCGAGTCCAATAGCTGAGTAAACTCCTCTTTTCCGTGGCACTCTGCATGGCACAGAGCTGACAAGAATCCACGACATAGACCTGCCACTCCCCACATCGTTGTGTTACTGAACGCCCTCCAGGGAAGGGACGGGCAGTCCGCCGTTGCATTGGAGTCCATGATAGCTCTGTTGCTATGAATGATCCATAGACGTAAGGTAAGCTCGGGCAATAGTGCGACGGTCAAAGACGACCGTGACCGAAAAGTCGAGCAGCGATTGAGTGGAAAGTGAATTCCAGAAAATTGTCGCGTCCGTAAATCATTCGGAATCACATGATTTTGGTTGGGGTAATCGTTCAACTTCACTTCGACTTTATGACAGGCTAACGATATTTTCCCTCTTTTTGGATCAGCCCAAACACGAACTTTCAGAACTACCCGTTCAACAACGATCAATAATCCCTTATATTGGCTGTGTTATTGGCCGAAGAGCAAACACGATTTCCTCCGCTCATCCTATACTCCCGGTGCACGGACCAATTACACTCTCACCTCCGAGCACGATTTTCTCCCTGCATCCTCCAACACCAACAACCAAACATGTTCAAGTCAACACAAGCACTATTCGGTGGTCTTCTCTGGTAGGTGCTAATCAACCTGCGTCATGCCCAGAAAACTAATAATTCTCCAACAACAGGAAGACCCCGTGGCGTCTGTCCTCCCCTCAAAAGGCCCGCCAGCGCAAGCGTCTGCGCTCCGTGGACCGCGTCGTTGATACCCTGAGCGCTGCCCTCGAGCGCAATGGTCAGACATCTAAGGCCGTGACCAGGTGGTATGCCGAGATGCCCCGTGAGGAGGAAATGCTGCCCAAGGACAAATACACTCTCTTCGACAAGAAGGAGAAGAGCTACCGGAAGAGCATTCACAGTATGTCCTTCGTCGCCAATTCCATGGGCGCAATATCCATCTTCCTGATCGCATTGACTAACCATTTTTCTTTTCCAGAGCTGCCCAAGTGGACTCGTGTCAGCCAGCGTGTCAACCCTCCCGGATTCTAAACAGATTCGTACAACCCCGTACATGTACTATACATCTGAAATTCGACTCTGGCGGGGGACTTGTCGGAGCGAAAAACAACATATGGACTACCGGAGTTTCGGCTTTTTGGACTTGCAGCGAGGCCACTCTACAGATGGTGGCTTACAATGTTCCATTATTACCCCAGCGCTTAGATCAGGCTTTGAATTGAATGCATTTCGACAACAAGTGGCTCTTTTCTACACTCCGGCTTCTTCCGAGACGCTAATAATAATACTTTCCGGGCTTGATAGTGATCGAATGAAAAGTGGTCTGACATAGCGAGTGTTGTTGGATTGCGATGGCAACTCCACACTGTGGTGATACCGGAAGACATGTCCGACAAAAAGAAGCAATCAATGCGGCAATTGAGACATCCCTTGTCCTCGGCAGATCATGAAACGAGGTTGGTCGAGGCTCCGATGTTGCTTATATCGATATTTGGACTTGACTTGCTCGCGGCAGGCCGACAAGTTCTGCTCACTTGCGATACCACTTCCTTCAACTTTCCCCTGTTGACTCGGCCTTCATGCAAAGCTTTGCGAACACGATATCCCCGACGAACTTGCTGCCAGTCATGGAGTTTCTCTTGCCACCCTGCACCTCCTTCGTACCAGGCATTCTGCTGAGCTGTAGACATTTGGAAGCCTTGGGGTGGCTTGGGCAACGCCCAAGAGGCCGGATCGATATGACCGTCTGGGGGCTCCTCGGCAGAATTCTCACACAAAGTGATGCTGCGGATTGCCTCCCGGATACCAGATCTCCTTCTGTGGCTGTTTGCCATTGCCCGCCAGGAGTGAATGCGAGAATTATACATTCGCTTCCGTGTAATCGCAGGGTATTTTGGTTTTGGGCCCAGAACAGGCTCTGGGTAAGGAACATTGAAGCGTGGATCTCCCCATTCCCTGCGCGAATTGGTGGGAACTCTGGAGATGGGGTCGTAGACGATCCATGTCTCCCTATTCAACCAATGATTCGCGAGCGTGGCAAAATGGTATGGCTTCTGTCCTGGGGTAAACTCATTGAATACCCACCCGAGCTTTCTGTCTAATCTTTCCAGCAACATGACTTCCCAGTCACTCAATCTCCTCGAAGTGCCTCCTGTTTTCAGCTGGATTTGATCTGTGGGGGGCTTAGAGAGTTCATGCGCTGTAGATTCACCTATATCTCGGGACTGGGAGGAATGGCACTGGCCACGAATGCCCTTGGGGTCACAGAGAGATAGCCATTCGTCATTCAAAGTTGGTCTTGGTGTAGGCATTTTCTTTTTACCTTGTGGATCACTTCTTGCTGGAGCTGAGTTCCACCGGAAGGTCTTGGTATAGATCCGCCCTTCATTTGCGAAATGGAGTCGGTTGTCAATAAACATTTCAGAAGCAAAGGAAATCCGGTCCTCGGAAACTTGCAATGTTCTTCTCTGGCTGCTGCTCAATTGTTTTGAAAGGCACGGGGACGAAGAGCTTTCAGTCGAAGAGTAGCTGGCGAGCAGCTCGGTCATTGGTGTCCCAGGGGGGCCAGATGAATCACCTTGGTGGTGCAAGCTTGCCTTCCCAGGCCCAAGTTGCATTCGCGCTGACCACCCGCGATGTCGGGACTGGTTGAGTCTTCGAGCTGGTGAAATTGGATCTGGTCTCTTAGCCTTGGTGATGGTTATGTTTGGCTCCAATGTTGTAAATTGATAGTTCTCGTGGTCAACAACCGAGTCAACATGGTACGATACATTTCTGGTAACGCCATCACGAAACCATGGAATCGAGCCCCGAGAGTGAAATGAGTGGATGTGACGAGAAGGTAGCGACTGTACCTGAAGCCGAGCGACTGGAACATGGGTAGCTGGGCTTGTTATACCGGGGGAATGAAAGTGCGGGTGATTATGTGAACCGTCGTCGCTAGCTTGCAGAGGGTCCCTGTAAAGCTCCTCCAAAATGGAACGAGTGATCGCTGGCTTAGAATCAGTTCCCAGTGGCTGCTCTCTCAAGGTTGAACCAATGACATTGTTGGGCGCTGGAATCTTTGCGGTTGGTGGATTGACCGGGGCCTGGAAGTCTTCCCTTAAAGCATCATGGCATCGGGGCAGCCCACAGGGGTTCCAAATCTCGTCTGCCGTTGGAACGTCTTCATAGCTCCTGAAGCAGTTCGGTAACCACCAGCGTCTCCTTCTTTCTCGCTGGCGCTTTTGTCTTTCGATGTCCCCGGGATCCCACCAAACCCAGCTATAGTCGTCCCGGGTCGACTTCCATGCCATAGAGTCCCATATCCAAGCTACGAAATCACGAAAGGCTTTCTTGTTCCTATCGTGAGTCGACCGCGATACCCAGCCGTACCATGTGCGTGCATAACGAGTGTCAATGGGGTTCCCAGCTCTCAAGACCTTGTTTCGATTAAATCGTCGGACAAATCGACCAAGTTTCCAGAACAAGACCGCAAGCACAAAAATGCCAATAGTGCCAGCAAATAGCTCGAAGAAAACCTTTGGATCGATGGACCTGTCGGTCTTTATTGGGGTGCTCGGTGATTCTTTCGGTGGACGAGGGATGCTGGGCCCAAAGTGATAACCCTGTCGAGGGGCCAACAATGCCATTAACAGCGAGGTTCAGGAGTGATAAGTAGGTAGCTAGTTGCCGTTGGGATCATCATGGTCTTCAAGGGCGAGGAAACCGCGAAGCGCCAAAGTTTCCATTTGGGCAGCCTGGATGACGTCCATGGAGTATCTGAATGCGACTGCCATAGGTGCCCAGATGCCCTCGACGGGACATTTCGATATTGATCCCCTCGAGGCCACTGGTATACTCCTTTGGGCTAAAAGAGAAGCAAGAAAGGAAGACAAAAGAACAGGGACATCGGCGTGACACGCATGCATTCTAGAAATGCGAGCTTTGACTAAAGCTACTGTACTTTGTACTTCCAGGTTTGCGAATGATCAGCTGAAGTCAGATTTCACTGATGCTTGCTTCGATTGTCATTTAGATTGCGCTCGCACAATGCACCAAATCGGGCCTAGTTACGGTATCCACCAGTGGGGACAAGCTTTCGATCCTCGACACACTTGTAATCATCGCCACTCACAGTCCAGCCCCCTACAGCAATAGGATGACAGTCCCATTTTGGTTACCTCTGCGAATATGTGACTGAGTTGGAGGCTGCCTGCCACTTCACCATGCTGTCGAGCAGGATATAAAGAGCCAACATCCCTGCCCAAGAATGACACTCTTAGTCCCCGTCGATATTCCTTCTCTGCAATGCCTTCAATCCGAATAGCAATCGTGGGAGCTGGCCCCGTGGGGCTGCTACTCGCCCGCTTGCTTCTTGACAATCCAGGCGTTGATGTCACTGTGTTTGAATCAGACCAGTCACCAAGTGTCCGAGGGCAAGGTGGGAGTTTGGACTTGCATCCGACTACCGGAATCGCCGCCCTAAAGGAAGCCGGTCTTTATGAAGAGTTCTTGAAACGGGTTCGCTTTGATGGCGAAGCTTTGATCATCTGTGACAAGAACTTGATCCCATATGTCAACCTACCGAGAGCCGAGGAGAACACATCCCGTGGCCGTCCAGAGATCGATCGCTCATCTCTCCGGGAGATGCTTCTTCACTCTGTCCCCCCGGAGATGATCAGATGGGGCTGGCACCTACGCTCCATTGATTCCCAGCACAGGGTGGTGTTTGATCAAGGCACAGAGAGCGGGTTCGATCTGATTGTCGGCGCGGATGGTGCGTGGAGCAAGACACGCCAACTGCTCTCGAGTCAAACGCCGATATATTCTGGGATCGCTGGTATCTCCTTTACCATTCCCGACGCTGAAGAGAGGGCCCCGAAGGGCTATGAGATGGTGAATCGGGGATCGGTGTTCGCGTACTCGGACGGAAAGGGGATTACTGCGCAGCAGGCCGGAGACGGAAGCTTGGATATCTCTGCCTGGTACGTGCAGAGGGAGGATTGGAGAGACCATGCGGCACACGATATCAGTACGGCTCAAGGAGCAAGGACTCAAGTAGTCGAAAACTACCAAGACTGGGACTCACGACTGATCGACTTCGTCCGCCAGGGGGAGAGGCCAGTAGCCCGCTCCTTGTACATGCTGCCCGTTGGATGGAAATGGAAACATTGCTCTGGGGTCACATTGATTGGGGACGCAGCACATGTCATGACACCATTTGCTGGCGAAGGAGTTAACCTGGGAATGCAAGATGCACTCCTGCTATCGCGGGCCATCCTCAAGGCATCCAAATCTTCAGACCCAACTTTTCAGCTCCCGGCACAGATCAAGACATTCGAAGCCGATCTTTTCGTCCGTGCAAGGAAGACTGCAGAATTGACGCGAGATATGATGCAGTGGTGGTTCTTCACCGATGGCTCGCCTCGATCGGTTGTGGAGAAGGTTGTTATACGAATAACAACGTTTCACCAGTCAGGTCCTCTTGCTTCTGCGGCATTTCCATTTTTTGCAGTGGGGGTATACGCGTACTACTTTGGGTTCAAGTGGTTTCACTGAGATCATCTTTAGAACAGGATATCATAATTGCATACTTGTCGGAACGGGATAGTCGTTCCGCTATGCCGCTCCTCTGAGGTGCGTGAGAAATTCACGGATCTGATCATCTTCTTCCGAACTACCTCGAGACCCAGGGTATAGATGCGGTGGCAAACTCTCGTAATGCCGATGAACCTTGGCCCGCAATTTGATATCAAAGTGACATATCAGGCCTGGACCAGCGCTGATCACAGATTTTGACCTCGTAAACATTTGTTGTCAGGGCTCAAGGACGAACGGATGTCAGATCAATGCTCAGCAGCTCGGGACAGCCGAAGGAACTCCTTCCCAATTGGGCAAGGGGCAGGTCCACAGCCACACCGCTCGGCCACTCCTTGCGTGTGAGCCACAAACTAGCCACAGACTAGCCACAAGCTAGCCACGGTGGCTTGTTTTAGTGGCTGTGCCGCTATTGAAGCCTAAGTGCAAACCGGGTTTCCCTTCTTGACTTTCTTTTTGTTGGGCTTCACTTTCTGCATGCTCGTTGGGGACATGACGACTTCTGACACCATATTGGCCCATGTCATCACGATAACTTTGTTTTTTTTTTTTTGGTCGCTTTGGCACCGAATCCTGACTTGCAGTCGTCTGGGGATCAGTCTGCCCTCTGCATGCATTCACACCACGGTATCATAATATCTGCCCAAGCTACCTTCCAGTAAAAGAAAAGAAGATCATATCTCTTGGGATGTTATTGGCAGCGGCTCCGCCTCGGCTCCGATAAACCGTGCTTCCATATCTTGAGTAATTGAGATCTTCGGTGATCATCCAGCCCTAAACCGGGATTTGTTCGGGGTCTGTCAGTGGATTGGGGGGGAAATTGATTCCCATGCATGAGCGGTCGAACACATGGGTCTTTCGTGTCTTGTCTCAACCTCAAAGTATGATTGAGTTTGGACCAAGTGAGGCTGAATTTCGATGGGTCAGAACTGTGGCTAGTATGGCCTGCCGTCTTCATGCCCCGTACCGCTTCCTTCTTGCTCTCTAGGCAACCATTCTCGACATCAGCCTTCAGCAGGATGAGAGAGGGTCCACAAGTCCCAAAAATTGGTCCTTCGGGGACTGCTGTGAGTATATCCGTACCACCGGGGGTCCCGACTGATTGACATCATCCCCACTTGATCTCGTATGTAGGCGCCACAGTTTACCGTTAGGGTGTGGCTTGCAGCTGTCTCTCAAAGGAGTTCAACCCCTGCAAACTCAAACATTGCATCTGTCCCCACTCCTGGTGATGACCCGGGAGTTACGGGATATATCTCGATTAAGGCTAGTGGATCTAGACACATCGACAGCAAGACTTCACTGACACAACTTTTCTGGCCTCGGCAGCCCTGGACGATTCGAGGCTCGGCACTGTCAGGCTGCTCGCCCATACATGGCGAGAAAGATGTTAGAAACCTTGAAGCGAATGGCCCCAATTCGGTAGCGTTCGTTCGCCGGCTAATGTTCAGCATAACCCCGCTGCTTGATCCGTGCACGAGACTATTGAAAGAATAGACCTCATGTCTATCCCTCTGCCTGAGGTCCTGCGCCTCGCATCTACAACCTCTTTCACGATGCATGAACGTCAATCGTGCATGCCAAGGTGTTCCGATATATTTGTCACACGATTCCCGTTGTCATCACTGCTAGTGCAAAGTGGTCGAATCAGATGCCAAAATGATTTAGGTGGAACCCCTGCCGTGAGCAAACTCCGGGGTCGATCCTGAATCTAGCTCCAGATCTCTTGCAGTGCATCGATCTCTCAGATCTCCGTACACCCCAGTATCCACGCTCTTCCAGGACGCGTACTCGTTGATCAACCCAAACAGATCATAATAGAATTCTGCCCCACTGTTCGATCCCATACTACTGGAACGTGCACCCGCAAGGATCATGCACTTGACTAGGACGCTTTGTTGATCTCACAATTTCTTTTTTCTTTTTTTCTTTTCACTTTTTGCTAATTTTTGTCTAACCTTTTCTGCTTTCATCGTCCCTCATGGCTACCCTAGCTGTCCCGAGAACCGGGACACCGACTATCCCGGGGCTAATTGCGTACTTTTCGAAGGTGGCGATATCCCCTCGGACCCATCCTTTCTACGACTACCAAATTCAGCCTATGGGTCCAAAGCATGTCCGACCTCGACTCCCAGCGCGTACAAGAAGTATATGAAGCGGTCATTGCCTGTGTGCTCGAAATGTTTCTCATCAACATCCAAAATCACAAATCCTCATCATTCCGGCCTTCCCCCCTTCGTGTCGTGGCTTTCTTGGGAATTTATTACAACGCTTTGACCTTTATATCTCGAGTACCGCCTCACTTTTATCTTCGTTTGATCACACGAGCTAAACGACCCTTTTCCAAAAAACCTTACAAATTAACGGAAATTCCTGAAAAGTCCACTCAACTCGTTGAAAGAGATGGCGACCCGTGAATTCTCCTTGTCTTTCGAGATTACACCACCAACAGCAGTCCGCCCTGGGATCCCTTTCACAATCCCAGTGGTCATTGCAGTAAATCCAGTTGGGACACCCGCCCAGAACGTGCAGCATCTTGTCGTTAGCGCCTCACTTCGCGATGAATCTGGCTCAGGAGCCGCTACAGGCCTGAGCGGCAGCCTCACGGCAAGCGTCCGCAGCCGATCCGACAACGCAATGAGCGGCTATGCGAAATTCAGCCCACTGACCATCTCGCAACCGGGCAAGTTTCGACTGCGGGTGATGCTTAGTGCGGCCTCCTATGGGGGTGTCATTACGAAGGAATATGTTGATTCGACCGTCATCCATGTGCACGCCGGCGCGGCTGCCCAACGGCCAAGTGGGTCTCTCCCCTTTCTGTCTCTGAATATTCCCTTTGTTTTGGTCTCTTTCCCCGGTGCATCCCCTGTCTATTTGTCCTGCAATTTGTTGTTGCCCCTCTTCCCAAGGACCGGCACTTGGCGCCCTCTCTCCCTCCATCTGCTACCTTTTTGGTCTTCCACGATGATCGTTTGCTAATGTCTTGAAACTTTAGCTCCCACTCAAGTAGCAAGACTTCAACGGCTCACGACTGAAAACTTGGATATTTCTGCCGCCAACATTGCTGCATGGCAGGCCGCGTGATCGGGGGAAAAGCCTAACTGTTCCATTCTTTTCTGTGGCGTTCCCGGCGTTATCCTTCAGTGCCCTCGCATTTGAAGACTCTCGTCAGCTTATTTCAATCGTGTCACGACATCTGAACGTTGAGTTAATATGATACCATTGACAGGTGCTTTCCAATCAAATGCGAGTAATCTGGGTGGCCCGCCCATATCCAAATTCCGGAGACTTTCTCCATCTCATTTCAATTGAATGGGGTTTATTATTTTTTTTTTTTTTTCATCTAGCCTCGCCAAACGTGGCCCGGCCGATCGTTTCCCACCTATCATTGTGACTGATAAACCCACACGGAGGACAATCAACACTTAATCACCATATTTCATGCAGAAACGGTGAAGAAAATAATCCTAGTCCTGGCCCTGTCACCCTGAGTAGTTCTGCCAAAAGCAGTTTGGCATCAACTCTATATGAGTCTAGTCGCCCACCCGCTCGGGCCTTTAGGCCTTCTAGTGCGCTCCGAGCGAGAGACTATTCCCAGTCCGCCAAATACTACCTGGCCCTGGCCTATACTTTACCCGACATACTGCGATGATCCAAGCACAGACACAGGATCGGCTATTTGAATTTGAAGAATTCTCCTGGCTAGGTCTTGTTGGCTATAGCGGTGTTTCTGGGCGATCATCCAATGGTGTAATTCTAGAACTGTGTTTTGGGCCTGATCAGCTCGATCAATCGATCAATCGATCAATCGGTTAACCGATCAGTCGATCCTTCGCGCCCTCTTTTCCCCTTCGCTTTCTCTCTCGCTTTCAAGCTTCCGATCGTTTCCATCTGCACGTCCAACTAACCCCTCGCTTAGGGCTTATTGAATCTTCACCGAACCCTGTCTGTAAAAAGGAGGTGTATCCATGGTTGTTTCAGATTCTGATATGGAGATTGGTTGCGCCGATTGTGAGATCAGAAAATCGGCTTAGTCCAGACAAACATCAGCCCGGGTCTTAGCATAACGGGCGCACATCCTTCTGATGCAGTATGTTGATTCTCCAACCCGATTCCATTTGGTTCTTTTGCTCTTTTGCGTTATTGTGAACGAAGATTTCATGGAAGTACCTACTATCTGAGGGGAGAAATTCAAACATCGATTGTACACCGAATTCCTTTTCCCGTCGAATAAGCTTTCAGTCCAGGTCAGGTACTTGGCCCCGAGCATTCAATGCGGATCGAACGTTTAACGTCTAATTTGAGTGGGTTTGAAGGCTTTCCCCGATTTGGTGATCAAACGTGTCGTTGAGAGGGCGAGCCCTTAGGTGGAGCCTAGGAGGCCCCGGGGGTAAAAAGTCATTACTTAATCGGGTGCAAACCGGGGCCTGCTCTTGGGGCTAGCCCTTGAGTTTCCACTGACAGTTGGGGGCCGTTTCTACTTCCCAACTTTCCCTTCTTGGACCTAGGTATGCTTCCTTTCGTGGCTGAGCTCGAACCCTGAAATGTGTACGACATGAAGGGCCATGAACCAATTATAAATAGCCTTAGAAATAAGGCCCCAAATGAATGAGACAGTGTCAGAAAAGACTCCGTACATCATGCTCCAGTGGCCTCGATACTCTAAGGAAAGAAGTAAAAAACCTGTTTTCGTCAGACGAGATATTCCCAGATGTCATGGGGTCTGTTCTGCATGCCCCTTTACCAGATCGGGTTAGTGGGCCGAGGCCACACAAGATGTCAATCCTTCCGACTTACGGCTCACACATCCGATCATGACAGATTTTGGAAATGAAGACTCTCAGCGCTTTCTGTTTTCTCTCCTAGTTTCAGAGCTGCACCTCGTGAACTAGTGAGAATGCGAAGGCCTCAGGTCTTGGCATAGCGCCAGGCAACATGAAACCTGTTCCTGGTGATCATCTATACACGCAGATGAGTCTTGCTCTTGAGTCACCCGGGTAGCTCTTTGATGACCCCAAAGCCCTACGAGTACACGTGCAGCTAATATAATAATTACAAAAGACCTTTATAATGCTAGTATCTGCTTGATATTCTTCCTATCTTTTATCACCCCATATTTTGACCCCACAATCTACACAGGAGTCAGGTCCAGGATGGACACAGGATAGTGACTACGGAGTACCTATTATATCCTCACCTTGAGCCGCTTTCTTTTCTTTCTTCAGTACTTCTTACCCGCCCATCATGCCTGAGCGGCACCATCGAAGACACCACACCTGGCCCCACTGTGGCTCCGAGCTATGCATGCGCGAACCCCGGCAGTTTGAGGTACACGTGTCGAAGCCTGACGATGGCCCTGCAGTCTATATTCCATCAACAGTTCACCCACCAATAGCATATCCTATCATGTCAGACGATCTACTCTGCGATGACATGGGAATGCCAGAATTAGCCCGGCAGCCAAAGCGAATGTCTCGTCTCTGGTTCAAATCCTCCGACAAGACAAGCAACGAGGAGTTCTCGGTATCGGGTTTTTCTGGTCCGACTTGGAGACAGGCTCCCCGGCGAGTATTTCGCCGCTTGACTCGTCGGCCGCCTTTAAGTAAAAGCAGATCTCTGTTTGTCGTACCTTCAAATATGATGGCTGTCGAACCAGACGTGGTCTCTGCTTCTATACCACCACAACCCCGGGCTCACCGGGTCGTGGTCTCGGGCTCGGATAGGGGGAGAGCTGTTACTGCTGGGTCCGACGCGGCACGTTTCATGGCAGAGAGACGACATCGCAGATGTCATTCCGAACAGCCACGTGCATGGCGCAGACCAAGTGCAACAATTTGGCCACTGCGAGAGCAGGAGGAATAAATTACTGGAATATCTGTGCGAGGGGTGGCTTTTTCATCACTCTTTTTTTTTTTTTTTGTGCGTGTTTTATGGGCTGGTCCCTAGTTTGCTCATTGTTTTCGTCTTCCGACTGAAATTAATTTGGGTCCTGCGGGATGGAGTTTGTTCATGGTGGGCATGTATCCAGAGTCATTTGAGCTCTGAGATCTAGCATACGGTTTAGTTGGGAAGTTTCCATGTGTGCCCAGAAAACCAAATCAGTCTCAGTCAGGTACTGGCAAACTATTTACTTCAACCTAGATACTACCGGTATGTAATAGGCTCCGTGTGGGGACCTCAGGAGTAGGCCCGGGTGTTCGCCCCGCCAGGGCTAGGCACCTGGGCACCCGGGCACTCGGCAAGTCATGCTCTGGAGAGCAACGAGCACCTTTACTAAATAACATTTGGTTTAATGCACGAAGCTACCCATGGACTGTGTTCGACTGTATTCTAAGGTTCATGTTGTAATTCAAAGCTGTTGCTTCTTTTCATCAAATCGCAACCGGACGTGCCTTCCAACTAACATTCGAACCAACTAACCTGGTCGGTGACGAGGAGCTCATCTGTTGATAGGAGCCAAGCTGAGCTTTTCTCAAGAGCGCAAAGCGCCATTATATTCACATCCCTTCAAGGAGAGGGTTCCAAGGATCTCAACTTCCGTGGGCCTACATGATTGATTCAGCAAGAATATGTGTTGGAAATCAGATGACTCCCTTGTTATTTTCCAGATCTAGCCTGTTGCTCTCGCTCTCCTCGGTTAATGCTATGCGCTTTTTCCGCAGCCTCTGCCCAGAGTCTATCAAAATTTCCCAGTTTGAAAAAAGCCGAGTCTCATGTTTCTAATTGAAGCTCAAAACAACGAAAAAGGCGATCTAAAGGCAGCCGGGGAGAAAAGCCGATTTCTCAAACCTCGAACCTTCCAAGTTTCATAGTTGAAAGCCACACTACTTTATCAAGGAATTCATGAAAGACACGCCCGGGTGGCCTGTATATATCCTCCCGGGACTATTGCAGAATATGATCTTTAAGTGATCTCAAGAAGATGTACTCGCTCAAGTCTGAGAAAAGGTCCCAAAAACAGCCAATCAGATTTTTTTTTCGTGCCATTGGACCAATTGGTGCACGTGGCGACCCGACCCGAAACTCAAAACTGTAAACCATCCTCGATGAGTTCTATAACTAATTTTAAGGCCTGGTTTCGTTCTTTTGACTGACTTGATGCGAGGGTCCTGATCAAGTATGAATGATGCCGACACCCTCGATTCAGAAATTGTGTGAATTGTTTCCGCGAGCACTGTTTCAGAGGATTGTCTGGCCTAGCTAGCTTGAGAGTGACACACGCAGTGTAAGGTCCATGGTTAAATCTAGCATGGCATTGAATGTGGGCTAGGCCCCTATTTTGAATGACGTTGAAATGGTGATCAAGCACACAAGTTCGCGGGCCAAGTGTCGCCCTAGAGTGTGACTCGGGCCTCGGGTGCGGGTCCACCGAGTGGTTCTTCGGGGGCGGCAGTGGAGCCATGGGGCCTAAACGCGAACGCCTGCGGCCCCCGGCAAGTAGCATTAATGAATTACATATGAATAGCGCAGGGATCCCTAGAAAATTCATGAATTGGTGATATATTGATGAACGTAGTCTATTATGAAAGGCTTGATAGTAGATATAGAATTTACAAGCTATAGGGACTAAGTGAGAAGAGTGAAAGAGAAAAAGAGAAAAAGATGAGGAATTTTTCGAGCCTCAAAAGTTTAAACTCTACAGCAAACTACTAAGCAACCAACCTACTATTTTATGGATCAATTAGTAGCTTTAAGATGCTTTACTCGTTGGGAGGAGAGAGGGGGAGAGAGAGAGAGAGTAGAAAAAGAAAAGGGAAGAAGAAGGGAAAGGGAGAAAGAACGGGGAAATGGAGAAAAGAGAGAGGGGAGAGAAAGAGAGGGGGGGAGGGGGATCAAAGTCAATTGGTAGGGTTAGAGAGTCAGGTCTGTTGGAAGATTGAGTCTGAAAAGGAAAATAACCACTAGATCGCCAAAGTGAACGGGGTTTTCCACCCAGCAGCTAAATTTGAATTCATACTGTCTTATTTACCTGTGGACTTACTACTCACTTACTTAAACGGGAAATCACCGATGATAATCTTGAAGTATTACACCTAGGCATCAGAGCCCACCCTTGGACATTCCGGGATCTAATTTGTGCTTTATGAAGTTTGCCGCCAATTATTTCACTGAAAATACATCGAGTCATAGCGTTGTGAGAACAGGGGGCCAAACTTTTTTTTTTTTTTTGGTGCCTTTAGTATCTCGCCTGAAGCCCACTCCGCTGGGCCGTCGTACTAGTGGCGGTCTCGTTCGTTGACAACAAACAAATTGTGAAGATCATACCTTGTCTTGGTCACATACAGGAACTGGATGCAGACACAGGATATTCCTGTTCTAGCGATGCGAGAATCATATCCTTGCATACAGTTTTTTAAAAAAAAAATTATAATTATGTCAACCATCCATGGATGTGCCAGTCCGAAATATTGCCCAGTTGCACATGTGAATCACCCAGTCAATCATGATTGCATGGATAACTAGAACTGGCGCACAGGTGTTTTACTAGAGCAGCTTTTTCCTAGAGCAGCTTTGCAGGTTTGGTAACCTTGAGCCCCCGCGGGGCCACATGATATCGTCGACATCTTGCATGGATACCAATTTGTATACCGTAAGCTTCACCACATCAAACATGCTAATTGGGAATTGCGATATTCTAAGATCAGTGCACGCCTTGCCAAGTACTGCACCGCTGCCTCATTCATCTTGGCTAGGATTGAATCTCAAGTCATTTTTCCTAGATCCATGGATTTGATGGATCTTCTCTTTGTCCGTCAAGGCGCCCTGGTTGAGATTCAATTCCATTACAACCACCCAGCGGTAAACATGTCCCGCCTGGCCGCCTTGGAGCCTTAGAAACCTGGAAGAGGAGTTTTCTGACTGTGCTCTCCTGCTTTCTCGGATCTAAGGCTGTGCCCGCTACTATCATCTACTGGCCTCAGACTTAGAGCCCGGTGTTTATCGTGGGGCCTTGGCCCCCGGGGGCGGCCACCACGTATTACTTGCATCTTTAGTGTTGGCTCGTTTTAAACCGATTAGGCTAATCACACATTTTATGGAGTGTTGAACAAGGCGCCGAGTGAAGTATCCCTTGCAGAACGTAAGAATACCCTAGAATGTAACTATTCCGCTAGAGAGAAATACATAAGATGCCCGGTTCATACGCAGCTATGCTACCTGACTCCTGAGCACAACAGTCACAAAGGCATTATCAAGATCACTCGGTGGCTTTTATAATTCCGCCCCTAATGTCTGAACGAGAGCAAAGCGTGACTGTGTCGTCACCTCGCCTGCGTGTCTTTCATGAACTAAGATACCGAATTTTTATGGTGTATCGCAGACTGTTCTCTCTGGTCTGGCTTACGAACATCGCAATCCTGATTGTCGTCTTATCTATTCCTTCCACCGACCGGAAATGGCTAACTACCATTGCACTTATCAATTTGTCAATCGCAATCCTCATTCGCCAAGACTTCGTTATTAATCTTATATACACAACCTGCTGTTCTATTCCTCTATCCTGGCCACTGGCAGTCAGACGTCGAATGGCTCAAGTGTATCATCTAGGAGGAATTCATTCAGGTTGTGCAACAGCAGCTGTGCTCTGGTTTGCAGGCTCTTTTGGCTACAGCTTGGGCGTCAAGCTGTCTGACCCCCGGCAATATCACATTTCAAGTGCAACAATATGTCTTTCGGCAATTGTGCTGTTCATGCTTCTAGCAATGACAGTTTCTGCCCACCCGATGATACGGAAGAAATATCATAATGCATTTGAGGCAATCCACCGCTTGCTCGGCTGGACCTTACTGGTTCTTGTGTGGGTCCAGGTGATGCTTTCTTTGGAAGACCACAAGGCTTCCCAGCAATCGCTAGGATATACTGCTGTTCGCTCTCCGGATATGTGGCTTCTCATTATAATCACAACAAGCATCGCTACCTCATGGGTATTTCTGAAACGAGTACCCGTGGAAACCGAAGTTCTCTCCCAACACGCAATTCGATTGCATTTTCAATATACAAATGCTGTTCGTGGAGGCTTTCTCAGGGTATCCGAACGGCCCTTGCTAGAATGGCATTCTTTCGCTACGATACCAGTTACGAACAACGATGAGAAGTGCGTGAAAGGCTGCTCGGTGATAGTATCACGGGCAGGCGACTGGACCAGTCGCCAAATTAGCAAGCCCCCTACAAGGCTTTGGGTTCGAGGAGTTCCTAGTAAGACTCCCTTTCAGGATTTGACCCAACCAAAAAGAGAATACTTCTTGCTAACCTTTTCCAGCTATGGGTGTAATGCGCGTCGCTTCATTGTTCCGAAGCGTGGTTTTGATCGGAACAGGATCGGGAATCGGTCCACTCCTAGGCCATATACCCTCTTGCCGACTACGGCTAATCTGGTCGACACCACACCCAGAACAGACGTTCGGTAATGGGATCGTAGAATCTGTCTATGAAGCAGATCCTGATGCATTGATCTGGGATACAAGAAAAAATGGCCGGCCAAATTTGGTCGAGCTTGCTTGTGAAGAGATAGAGAAAATTGAGGCGGAAGCTGTGGTGATTATCTCGAATGAAACTGTGACGCGGCTAGTGGTTGGAGAGCTGGAGAGAAAAGGTGTTCATGCCTTTGGGGCCGTATGGGATAGCTAATCTGTGAGTGGAGACTTTGGTGTAACTTGGAAACACTTCATGATGTACTCGGCTTGCTACTTCTGCGAGCATTATAGATCGATCTCTATTTGGTTAACACTTTATTCTCTTTTCGTTCTTATCGCTTGCTCGGCCCATTTGTAGTATTCATTGGTTTTTTGCCCGGTTAACTTGTTGATCAATGCTTTGGTTAGTGTGTGTGTACAGCAAGAGAATGTTGAGAGATCCATCCCGGGATGGATGAGTGAACCTTGGAAGCTGGAGCCTTGGACCTCGCGAATATAAGCGTGGATTTCACTTCGAGCCTCAAGCAACGGTTCCATAACTCAGTTGGTTAGAGTGTGATGCTAATAACGTCAAAGTCGAGGGTTCGACCCCCTCTGGAACCACGACTTCTTTTTTTGTTTTTGTAGATGCTGCACCAGACTGCCCTTCACAAGGGCCTAGTTTCGAATCCTACTGCTGGCTCAACTTCTACCACGAGGCCTTCGGGCCCACGACATCCCCACTGGGGCCTTTCCTCTGACACCAAAGACTCCCTGGGCTACCACGCTCCACCCTATGCATGCCCACCACAGGTCGAGAGGGGCCCATAGTGGACAGGAGGCCCCTTTGGCTCTGCAGATAGTGCTCTACAGTGTACTGCTTCTTAAGGTCGCTTATTTTTGTGTACTAAAAAAAGTTCATTGGATAGCTAGTACACAGCACATCCCCATACCTCCAGGAAAATTAGATGTTAAGAATTGACAGACAGGGTCCTAAGCCTCCATCATTGGAAAGATGACCAGTTTTGAGAGGCGCCGGCTAGCATGACGGAGGCGTTGAACACGGCGACAAACGGAATGCCAAAGATGTAGGAGATCACTGCGGGACCTGCTGGTAGGCGCTGAGCGCGGATCTCGCCGTTCTGGCCGAAGTCGCGAGGGTGACATGCTCGTTGGTTGACACTTGCCCGATGGTACATTTCAAAAACGAATGGATCAGACAAACGAGTGAAAAGAGGTGGTGCTTTGAAACCCGTGTCCTCTGATGTGTCGACTCAGAACCCATCCAAACGCCCACGCCGTCCATGTGGTTGTCGATGGTCTCATGGGTGACAGGTGTCATGAGGGGCGGGATGTAGAGACGGTGACATGGTTTTACGGCGTTGAGGTCAACGTAGGCGTTTGTGTGGTATGTGATGAGTGATTCCACGATGTCAGGAGGGTCAGAGACTTGACAGAGAGCTGATGAAGAAGCGAGGTCCAGTTTGGGGGTTTGTTTCTTTCTGTCTGAACGGAGGGCTCTGACTGTGGCTGTGTGGTTGGAAACGATCGGCCGGATCTGGGGAAAACTGATCTTGACCTTCCGTCGTATGTCATTCTCTCACTGCACATCGGACATTAATTAATTACTACTGTGTACTTGGGACTCAATGTCTATCTATATATAGGACTGCAGGAGAATGCGCGGTCACTTCTGCTCTCGTGCTCTCTCTTCTTTGACCTCCTTTCTCTTCTCTCTTCTCTCTCTCTCTTCTCTCTTCCTTCTCTCTCTCTTTTCTCTTTCTCTCTCCCCCTTCCTTTCTTATAGTATCATGGATCTTCGAAATATATTATTTCCTGTCCTTCTTGCCTCATCCAATCAATGTTCATGATCAAAACCACACACCACTAACATTGGATTGCTGATCCTATATCTTATTTTATTATAGCTAATACGAACCATAAGAGCTCTGAGCAAGACCAAAAATTGCTAAGTCTCACAAAGTCTCTTCGGCTGGATACTGCGAGCCGTATTCGTCTACGATCCACTTGCAGAAATCCTCCCAGTCCTGGTTCCAAGCCTGGATGTGCTTAGCCTTGGTACTAGTACCATCAGCGCCACGATCGATATCTTGAATCCAATCCTTGTCGGATTGATCTTCAAAGTTTGACCAGCGCAAACTGTTCTGTGCCAACGAGCCCTGTGTTTCAATGTAAGTAAGATGTCCGAATCTTGGGAGGAGATGTTACTTACCAGGCCAGCAAGCCCGAGATTATCGAAAGCTTGAATAGCTTCATAGAAGTCATAACTCAAACCCGCCACATCCTGTCCCAGCATGGCTGGATCATCGTTGCTGATGGCGGTTGGAATACCATGAGCAATCATTGCCGGCAAAGGATGGTGGAGAATATCCTCGTTCAAACGAAGCACTTCGTTTGAGATAGGGCACACTTCAATCAGCACATTTTGCTCGATCGCTTGATTAATCAAGTTCGGGTGTTTATAAATAGAGAATCCATGGCCGATTCGTCGTGTGTTAAACAAGAGTGCGTCAAACAGGTTGTCGTCTGTCGAGTTTCCATCTCCCAGAGTTTCTCCCGCATGGAAGAAGTACGGAATAGTGAGATTCAAAACTTCGGTTTGTTCGCGGAACCAAACAAGCTCTGGTGCCAGATCAGAAAGCGGGCGGCCGAGATCTTCCTGTGCCAGCAGATCGTAACCACTGAAGAGTTCTGGGAAGTTTTGCTTTCTCTGGAGCGCGATTTTCATACCTGTCCAAGTTAGCAAATGGCATTGTACTCGCATGGGCTGTTCTTCATACTCTTGGTGATCTTAGCGCGGCTCTTTCCGCGTGCATCAGACCAGATAATCCTGGCGCCCAGGAACTTCTTACCAGCCTCGGTGGCCTTGAAGTTCTCGATCTCCTCCACCAAGACATACCACCAAGCATCGAGATCGGGATCGATTTCTTCGTCGCCATCATGGACGAGCTTGCCACTAGAGCCACCACTTCGGATCTCCACCCAGTTGATACCATCGTTGGCGAGATCCTCGAAGAGTCTCTGATAGAACTTCCTCACGACAGGCTCGTACTGGATCATTGTATCAGTGGGGCCAAAGCATGCTTGGAAACGTCTCCAAATCTCATCGACACCGAGCTCATGACGGATAGACACCTCTGGTGGAATGGTTGTCTTGTTCTTGATGAATTCGATGAAGCCCGCTTCGCCACCATCAAAGCTGTCAACGGCAGTCTTTATCGGGATTTGCGTGTTCGGGGTGTAATCAGCGGAGTCAATCTTCTTCTCCTCGGTTGTGACCGTGCCGTTGTTATGTGAGAAATTGATGGTGGCATTCATCTTGGCTTCTTGGGTGTCAACAGGCTGGTCAACAGAAATTTCCATGCCTTCAGTCTGGATAATAATCTCCAGCAATTTCTCGTATGGCAGCATCGCCGACAGATGGGCGTGCAAGAGAGCTCCCTTTGGCATACGTTTCACAACGCTCCAGAGAGTTGTATTGCCGATCAATGGTCGGGCAAGGGGGAACGGTTCTCCTGCGAATCGCTCATCGACCTGACCATCGGGTGTGGCAGCCACCCGCCAGTAATTGTCGATTTCATACTGGCGAATTGCTTGAACGATCTCATCTGCGCGCTTTGCAGTTGGAGAAAGGCTCTGCCGGAAGATGTGATCTGTCGACCCAGTCAGTTCTACTCCTGAAAAGAATTACACCCAAAATTCCGAACGAACCCTGTCGATGCGTCTTTTCTAATGCAATCAGCTTCTCTCGGTTTTTGAGATGCTCTTGCACCAAAGTCGAGTTGACATCTGGCTCTCCTTCAACTGCTAACGCGGCCGATGCCCCAGATATGGAGACAGCGGCTACTCCGAGAATTGAGAGCAAACGCATAATGGCTGGCTCGAGTCGCTATCGATGGATTGGATTCTCGAAATTCTCTGCGCTCTCATGTGGGGTCACCCTTATATACAAATAGCTCGCCATAGGGTGGAGTTGGGCGAAGGGCTATTTCAAAGCCCCTTGGCGGGCCGGGTCGGATCGGTCGTGCATATTATGGTCTCCCAACAATGTAAGTGTAGTCGACATTCTCGTGCCTTGCAGATGGCTATCATTGCATTGTATGCAACAGTGATACTCCGTACTCTACGCCTCACGGCTGGGCCGCGTTTGTGAGCTAATGATGGCTGCTGTTGCATTACATCAAGCCTCACATTCAAGGCTCAATATTGTGCAGCCATGAGCCAAGATCACAGTGTTTGCTTTTTATGAGCTTGGACTAGTACTTTGTACGGAGTACAGCCAGGCGACTTGCAAATATCTCATGGCTGTTCTGGGGGTTTGGTTGCCAATGTCCAGTTGCAGAGCGACTCAATCGAGATGCATCAGATCTTCACCTGGCAGTTCTCGTTCGGGTGTGCGGGACAGGATCGATACTATATATGTATCCCTTGCAGGCTCTCTGATTCGGTTGCCATGATATGATCATCACACTTTCTGTGGCATGGGGATTATTCGCACAAGATTCTCGAAAGCGGGGTGTCTACGGCGTAAAGATGCATGCCGTACATGAATTTGATCTCATTTTCGCGCATCACAGTGTTGTGTATGGAGCAGCGTAGGGCGAATGACAATCCTCGCTGTTGATGACTTTCTACTTTCGGCCTAGCGCGTATTCCTGCAATGTCGGTGCAACACCTCGACAATTTATGCCGTCCGATGGAATTGTATCTGGAGAAAAAAGCTCAACTGAACATACTTTGTTAATCCCGCGTCCATATATTTGAGAATAAGGGAAGGAACATCTGGAGATCCTCTCCGGGCGTTTCTTTCTTCTAAGCCTAGGCAAAGTGAGTTTGAACCAAAATGCTGATGTTTATTGCGATCTCTCAAATGGCACTTTCTAGGAGTTTCGATTGCGCGAATGTTGCGGTGTGTCAAGAGTGGGAAACGAAGAAAAAAGAAAAGATCCATGGACATGACTCCATTATGTGGAATACTAGCTGTGAAATTCAGGGTTGGTCTCCGGCGGACCGCCGATCGCCCCCCTTGAGCTCAGCCGCTGCGCATAGCTCGTGCACCTTGATCCACTCTACTAGACCCCGTACATACACAATGTTACATGTTAGATAGCGTTCTGGGTGATGGTGTATCCCAAAATCTGCGCCAAGAAGTGCCAAGTCCTCCGTACTTCGAGATATCTGTTTATGGAAGAACAATTGTCGGAAAAGCCCGCCCATATAAAGAGAGATATCCGATGACACGAGTTCGGGAACTTCGCAGATAAGCCGCGTTGTCTTCGAAGTAGTGGGCAAGAAACCAAAAGATTGAAGAAAAAAAGAAAACAGAAAAAGAAATATCGCGTCGTCGACACGCGACCTCCCGGCGAGCTTCCAGTATCTACGCCGTGCTCTGTACTTGCTCGGTAGCTACCCAAGTATGATCGACCTCGGGACCTCGGGCATACTGTAGGTCCCATTAGCCTCCAGGGCTCGGGTGCTGTCCGGAATCCGTACAGCGAATCTCGCCATCTCATGGAGTTTGGGAGAGGGGAAAGCCTTTTCGATGAAAAGGGACTAGTGTTCGTGATTGATCGTCAACACTCCGTAGACATGTTCGAAAGGTCACAGTACATACGCATATGCAATGTGGCCCCGGAGTGATTGGGCAATATTATCATTGCACCGAGCTGCCCAGGTGATGTTGGGGCAAGTCTAGGTGGTCTCCATAGATCGCAGCTAGGGCGCACTAAAAGGCCATGGCTTCTTATCCATATTTCAAGGCTGCTGGGTGCCCAGGTGGGAGTTCCGGGATTTGTCCTTATCTCTCTGTCCACTTCTCCCATCGCACAATTCTGTCTCGTCTCCCGAGTCTCTAGAATTTCCACCTGGGTAGATTACTCGTGGACACTGACAAGTCATCTACACAATATATCTTCAAATACCCTCCACCCCATTTAAAACCACCTGAACACCTGGGCAGGCTTCTGAGCTATCTCTCTTCAAGGTCGAAGTCTTGGAATATGTCAGAAGTAAAATACTTGCACTACTGAATAGGAAATTCAAAAGGGTCACTACCTAGGTACCTATGTTTATCCCGAGGTCACAAGAACCTTGAAAAGTACGCACGGGATTCAATCACGGTTCCTGATGGTTGAATTTTTCTATATTGAACACGGTTGGAAGCCCATAAATACCCTGGATCCAGGCTCTTCAATATCCAGACAACTGGAAACCTCGAAGGATGTTTTGGAGCGTCGTTTTGATATCACGAAGCCAACCAAGTACTTTTGTCCCAAACGCGGCACTACTTCTGGCCCAAGGGTGCAGGTGAGACTGCCGTTGCCCTCTGCCTAGAAATGTGTTACTGACCTATCTTTAGCGATTACCGGAATTGGCTCGGGTAACATGACTGTCGTGGAGCTAGATCTCGACGGAAATGTTTCTCTCGAAGGGCCGGAGCGAGAGCTCAATCGATGTCTGGATGAGCGTCAAGCGGTATATGCCGTGGCAGCCATCATTAGATCCACGAAAGACAGCAAAGTAGACCCGTTACTTGACATTCTGGAGATGCGACGCCGGTTTAAAGACAAGGGGCTATCGTTTCTTGTGCACGCCGATGCAGCCTGAGGTGGATACTTTGCTAGTACGATCCCCCGATCTGTCATGCGACCCGGGAGTCCTCTGAAAGACGGAGATGAGAAACATGCCATCGAACTTGTACCATCTCTGATTTTGAACCCGCAAGCCCTGAGGCATATGATTGCTCTAAAGGAGGCGAACTCAATCACGGTTGATCCGCACAAAGCGGGTTAAGTTCCATACCCAGCTGGAAGTCTCTGCTATCGAGATGGTCGCATGCGGTTCTTGATCACCTGCACTAGTCCATACTTGACTCAAGGATCGACAGAGAACATAGCGTGTATGGTGTTGAAGGAAGAAAGCCCGGTACTGCCGCAATGGCTGCTTGGCTCTCGAATCAGATCATTGAGCTTGATCCGACGGGATATGAGGCTCTGTTGGGCGAAGCAGCCTTCACCAGTGCACGGGTTAGTCTCTTTTCTATCCCACGAAATTCATCTTCTGACATTGGTAGCTATCCGCCTATTATGCGGCCCTTCATTTGAAACAACGCCTAGATTCGAAGGGTCAGCGCCGCTACATCATCATTCCCTTCAATCGACTCAAGTAGGAGAAAGAGAGGTTAGACATCTTGTCTGCTGACGCAGACCGTGGGCGCGAGGTGATATGGGAGAGCATCATCAACAAAAGCAATGCAGAAGTCATTGAGAACCACGAAGCAATGGAATGGCTGCGGGAAATTGGATCAGGTCTCAATATCAACGCTTTTGCTTTGAACTGGTACCACGAAGACGGGACACTCAATACAGACCTCGAGGGAGCGAAATATCTGACACAGCAAGTGGTCAACAGACTGTCCATTGCCAGGAGCACCGAAGAGCCGAACAAGATCCCTCTGTTCTTGACATCCACACAGTTCGAAGCCGCATCATACGGCAAATGTGCGCAGAACTTCATGAAACGGCTGCACTCCTTGCGCGCAAGACATGTGGGTGCTACGTAATGTATTTATGAACCCGTTCACGACAGAGAAAGGCTTCATCAAAGAGCTGATGGCGACCTTGAAGGACACCATCATCGAGGAAGTTGACAAAATCTGTCGACCGCGCAACAGTCCCACGTCAAACAAAATCGAGTTCTTACTTCGGGGAACGGATGAGGTGTTCTTCGAGTCCCGGGCAAGATTTTATCGCGCAACTCAGCGCCAATAGATCATTTAGGCTGTGGAACTCGACAAGGATGTCAAATAAAGCTATATCAATTTGCGAGCAAAGAACCCCGAAGCAGATATCGAGTTTGTGTCCAAAGATCCGGTGCATCTTGAAAGACTGATTCAGGCGATCGAGAATAAGCCCTATCCTACCGTCGAGGGCGAGATTGTTGTGATCTCAAATGATGTGGTCCCAAACGAGTGCATGAGCCCCATCCAGTGCACCGTGACAATGAGTCGAGTAGTGACGAGCTCCGGATTGAACTCCATGTACCGAGACGATCATTATCCCCGCAACTTCATGTCATTTTGTCTCTTCGGCTCCAAGGACCAGCACCATATTGAGCACATGCTTCTCCAAGCACCCAATATCAGTCTTTCGTCCAGCATTCGTCTGGACCAAAAGCTTCACGATGAAGTCGGACTCCGACTAGCGAAGAAAGAGCGACTCATTCTCACGCTGACCGACTACCCGGAACAAACAATGCAGCCTTTTCCTCTGCTCAATAATATTGAGCCAATCAATAGCGAGAACTTCTTCTTCCGAGCGGGCCGGTCGTTCGCGGTGAAGGTGTATGCTGATCCAAACAAGGCTACTGCCAATGGGCCAGGACTGTTGGATGAATTATCTGCGCCTATCGGAAAAGGTCAGGGGACTCTCGGGCAGGATGTGCATCGGGATGTGGAGGTATTGAATAAGGATCCTTTCGCGGGAACGGGAGCGCCTGATGTTTCATGGGGAAAGGAGCTGGATCAGATCACCGACGTGCTCAATACTAAGTGGCATTAGTGGTACACTGAGAATCCGCTTTCTTGTCGTCACTTACAAGACGCTCGAGTGGAGATAATGTGTCTTCAAATAGAGATGGTGGGTGAAAAGAGAGAGAGAGAGAGAGAGAGAGAGAGAGAGATGAAGTACCATATGATATTTCTCATCTTCCGAACGAGTGGTTGAATGGAGGTCAAAGAGTTCCATAGATCATCAATCTCAAGCTATTGTGTAAATTCACGTGTGAGTGACAAAATTCATGCTAGTTCAGGCGATGAGAACCGAGGTTTTTTGTACATAACGTGTGTCCCATAATTTGAGCTTGATATCATTCACCAGGCATTCCCGTAACACATTACTTTCTGCTTTTCTCGTCGAAATCTGCCATTGCCAAATAAAACCTCCAAGATGAACACCCAGTCAGATGACCCTGGCTATCCAACCTTGGAAGGTTCCCTAGATCTCGCTCTCTTATCTTTTCGCCTTTCTCGGGGATGGACAATCTCCTCTCTGACTTCTGCCAGAGAGGAGATTGTCCGCTTGTCTCGAGCATTGCATGCCTAGACACGAACCTGTGGGACGGATACGTGATTGGCTAGAGAACCCGAGCTACGTTCATACAATATATCCTGATACCCCAACGATCCGAAGCCTCTCATTGGTACATCACGACGCAAAATATGATTGTTCACCCAAGAAGTAAGTTTGCTCCAATCATCTTTTCTTCAACAAAGTCTCAAGGTCGTTCCTCTATCACCCGAGTCGACTTGACAGCCTTAGACACCCGGAAGGCTCGGAGCTTACTTGCAACGGTCGAGCAGATCGGCAAAAGGCGAGACTGCAGGGGTCGAAAGTCTGTCTTAGCCGAAGAAGGCCGGATTGGAATTCGCCGTTCTGTGTTGATCCCCATTCAATGACCAGGGAGGCATTTGTCAACGACATTGTCCACGGGTCTTCCTTGAAGTCAAAGACCTCATACTGCTTTTGGCAGTTGGTGAGACCCAATTTCCCGATATGGATTGCTCCTCACGGATTATCACTGTCTATGACTGTGAAGTTAATTCTCAAAAGTTTGATCTCGTAGGGCGTTCTACTGGTATAGCCCATGGCCAAAGTTTGACAACCGATCTCCACTATGAGCAATGCTTCGGTCTCCACATACCCAGGTGTCATGCCATCTGGAGTCTGACGAAGGTAGATCGCCGATTTGTACCCGCGTTTTTGGCCCTTTTACGCCCCCACCCGGCCAAACCGAGCCCAGATCGGGACGATAAGGCGCGGAAGTTAACGGTCAAAAAGGCTAAATGCCTGCGGCATTTCACGATGATTAAGATCGGCGCTCTTGATTGCCGCGGGTCACATGTATAGTGAAGAGGATCATGACCTGGATTGGCAGCAGGGGAAACGTTAGAGCGTTAACTGAATTGGTCGCAGCACAATGAGCTTATCTCTTTTGGGCGTCGCACGCTTCGGGACTAGGGCGCAGCAATGTCTCACAGTTTACACATTTACACGCCTGTGACGGTAATATATGCGAATATGATATCACAATCAGCTAATGAGGAGCCGGGCAATTCGACTAGTCAACCACATGGGCACTCCGCATTCTCCCAGGGGTCGCGTCCAAATGGATTATACGTGAACGAACGGCATCTCATCAGATCTTGGGCAAATGAGAGCTAGAAAAATCTGGAAGGAGGCCCGGGGACACGAGACTCATCTCCGGCATCCGGAGCCCAGCACGCCGGGGTCTCACTGCTCGCCGTTCACGGTTAGCGAAAACGCCTTGATCGATAAGGCACACATAGTTCGCACACGGGACGCTTCGGCCGACTAGCCGCTATAACCCTTGGCAGAGCGGGACCTGAGGGCATCAAGGGAAGATCCAAGGTCTACAATACGGACAGTGGGATCAAAAAGAATGCGGTCACTCTAGCTGGAAGAGGACTACGGCAGACCTTATTGATCCAAATATTCAGTCTTCACACTCAACTTTGCCGAGGCACGCCAACGGTGCTCGACGGGTGGTTCCATATGATTGGGGCTTGAAATCCACGATAATGCCCAGAAGCCCCTAAAGTAACGCCCTCGCGCAATGTCATCGTGGGGCTTGTGCTCCCGAGGTCTGAGACAACTGCTCCATAGAGGGTTTATTATACTACAAACTACTGCACACTGAGTATTGAGACTCATACTTTAACTTTTTAATAATCATTTCCACTCTGTATGAAGTAGTCTGCTCAAAATCTATGTACCATTCTAACACTGTATCCGTGCTCATACGTTAGCTTACTGCTCAGCCCTTGGTCAACATTTGAATTACAGCCGTTCTTGAAGACTTCGCTCTGTGAATAATACATGTCTACTAGTATGGATGTGCCGTGGTATCAAATAGAACCCACTCAAGCCAGAAGGCTATTGAACTCTCGATATCCCGTTGAATTTGGCAGCTGCAGCAGCCTGGTCATCTCTCAGTGGGGGCTGGCGTGTTGGTCTGTTGGGCGCAAATTACAACCTAACTCGGCGCATGAAATGCAACCGAACTGTACTGCTGAGGTCGAAAGGGGAAATCAGTAGTAATTTCTCCGAGTGGTGGATCGAACTGTCTCGTACGGAGCCTAGGGAAATGTGGTTGATAGACGAAAGTTTTGCCGTGAATATTTACAAACTAAATCTTCCCGGATATTTTTCGGGTAAATCATCTTCGCAGCATATCTAATTGATCGCCGGATGATCCTTCAATCTTGTACGACTACATACGGAGGATGAGAGAACCGAGCCGGCGGATTACTTCTCGGGGCCGACTCAGGGGCCGTGATGTCCATCGCGGGTGATCCGCTGAATACGCATCGGACACTATGTACTGCTTTACCGAGTACGTGGGAAGCATAGCCACGGACATATAGTATCTCAGGTTTCAGCATGTCTTTCATTTGAGTTTAGGTCATGTTAATCTGGGTGGACTAGTCCCAAAGCGCCAGCCGATGATCCTTGACGTTCGTCTTGGTCAACCACGTTGCCGGAAAGCATAGATTGAGATGGGTGGAGTCGACTCGTTTCAAAGAAGTTCGATGGTTCGGCTCTGGTCAGCATCGCCGTTGGGACCCGGTCAAATCACATGCAATCAGGTGAGTTCATGGGCAGGGATATTCGTTTCAATTGCTTTTTTAGGATTGCTCGATATGTCGCCCACAGTTAAGCTGGAATCCCTGGGTAGGAGGGGGAAATAGGACAGATGGTTTATGTCCGTGATCATGCAAAACAAAACCGAATTTCGAAGACAGAAAACGCCAGATGATCCTCTCACAGTTATTGAGAAGCTTAGAAGCCACGGCCACGGCCGCGACCGCGAGGAGGACCCCCGCGACCTCCGCGGCCTCGTGGTCCACCGCGGCCTCCACGACCACGGTCTCCGGTCTCCTTGCGCGCCTTGTTCTTGGGCTTGGGAGCGTCGTCAACAAGCAGGGTATCGAGGGGCAGGCTGTCAGGGAGAATGTAATAGCGGATTGTTGAGCCACGGATGTTGATAGTATCGAGCGACACGGGGTCACGGCCCTTAGGGGTCATCTTCACAGTGCGGAGCGAGGTGTTCATTTGAGGAGAGACAGAAGTGATGGTTCCGTGGAGGATTGTGCCTATTCACACGATCAGAGTTAGATGATGCAGTGGCTGGTGTTTTTTGAGGTGGTGAATGTGGGATATGCGTGGTTGAGTTGCAGCGGGCAAAATGTCGAAGGAAGCTCACCATTCTTCAATTCAACGGTCACCGTCTCGTTGGCGCATTTCATCAAGAATCTAGCTGGTCAGCAAGCGCGCTTCCAGGGTGCTTCAGGTGTCGCGGGAGCTGGCTCTCGCCGCGCACGGGTATGGTCACTTACCGGACGAGCTTCATGTTGGGTGGACAAGCTGCACGCCAGTGATGGGTTCAATTTGATAGAAGTCGAACCACCGGCAGATAGCTGATAATGTGGGGGCCAGGAACGAGGAGCGCGGATTGGTTTTGATGATGCCGTCGGACTCGCAGAAGCTGAGAAGATCTCATCACGTGATACGCACGTGACCGATATATTTCCCAGACTTCCAAATGTTGTCGGCCCTCGTCCTTAGGCCATTGATCCCTTTCAGTGCCAAATAATGTCTTCTTGTGATAATGATTCAGTGATTTGATACTCTCATGGTCGCAAATTTGGGCGATGGTAATGTGAAGTGTTCGCTGGGCATGAACCTCTGACCTTCACCCAATGACCGCTGGCGTACAGATGGAGTATGCATCAGCATGAAATGATCTACAAACAATAAAAGTCAAATAAAACGATGTAATATATGAAATGGCTTTGATTCATTATATTGCGTTCCTGGTATGCCGCTGGGCGCCAAGCCTCAATCGCGCCATACATTGTCTAATTGTCGACCGGTAAGGATCCGCAAGCATCAAATGCTCGAGCCTTCGCTTTTTGGGTGATGCCTATCAAAGGATGATCAACATCAATAGTAGATCCAGAGATTCTTCACCAGGCCAATATGGACCTGATACCCTGTCATCTCGAATCCTGTCTTATGTCCGATAGCAAAAGAATCTTGCAAGATTCTGCAGTGTATAGTCGAGCTAAAGGCCGGTTTTTGTATGAATAATAGCTGCTACGGTGCCTACTTTGGTTTTTGGCAAATTGAATAAGGCTCATCGTAACCACAACGGTTTAGGCCCAATGCGGGTGGGGGTGCCTTGGCTCCTAAAGCGTGGACACAGCCTCATCCATACCTTTAAAAATGGTTGACCAATCTTCAATGCACGAGAGTATAATCCGCGCCAGTGCATCAGATGTCGATAACCCTGGAAAGTTGTTCGTTTGATGTTGCAGACCCTGTCACCCGGCTGGGCTTTTGTACTAGTACTTCATGGTTACGCGTACCACACAGCCCCCAATCCTTTCAAGATATTTGTAGGGCGCTAGTCAAGACCATCTTGCGTTCTGCCATTGGATGCACGAGACAGTTCAGACGATACACATCTTGGCGACGGTGACATGCATGGCACTATGCATACACGAGGTGCTAGAGTGATCTCCGATGCAGGTCGAGTCTTTGAGAGTGATGTGGATGCGGATGCAGATCCTTGAGAGTCCAGGGGCCGGATTGGTCTTGTTCTGTCCTTGGTCTGCCATTTTGTCATTTTTGGACAAGCACACCAGTGCGGTAGCTCGCGGGAGGCACTAAAATGCCACGGCGCTAAAAAGCACTTGGAAAGGGTAAATTATCATGAGACCCTGACAAATTGATGATTCCATGAATCCACATGATTTCCGCAGTACTACTATATTCTGTAAGATTCATCATTTTCTGACCAAATAGACATGCATACACTATACGGAGTAAGTTCTCCCTCTCTGCTAGATGTAAGATGTAGTCCGAGACCTAATAGAGCGGAGTATAGTACTGCCCAGGTGTAGTACGTAGTTCTGGAGTCCGTACCATACCGTATTCGAAGCTAAAACGAACCGCCCGAGAACCGGATCCGACTAGTCCCGAAGGGGACTGCGTCTCTGGGAAATCACTCGATTTGCGTGGATTTACGTACGTACAGGGAGGGTTTGAGAAACTACCGTTTACCCAGATAGGAGCTTGCGTACTTTTTGAGTTTTGTTTCAACCATTCTGTTACGACTGTTAGAACCTAAATTTCATCCCAGATTGGGTTTGGGCGAACAGTGAAATTTCCCTTCTTTTCTTTTTCCCTTGCCAACGGCGCATGTTCGTGGGGGCCAAGGTTGATAGGGGACCGTCAATAAGCACCGACGGCCCGTGGATGGCGGACACTGGACTAGTCTTCTGAAACCGCCCCTGTTTTCTACTTTGCAACAGGGTCTGTACTTCCGAGTATAAATCGGTGATTCGAGGCCACGTGGTAATAGTACTCTATAGGCGTCATGGCCCCCAATTCGCCCCCATTCTCTATGATGGGGCTAAATATGCCCAGCCCATGATTTCTCCCCTGCGTAGGAGGATCATTACTGTAATGTGGCCCCAGTTGCAATCTCCCCCGAGGGCTTTTCCCGCTTAGACTCTGTGGTACCCGTCGTTTGTGGGGGTCGAAAGTCAGACTCTGGCTCGGGATAGCAGTTCCCATCGGCCCACTCAATTTGAAGATCCAAAGGGGGTCTCTGTTTTTTTATTATTTTTTATTATTCAATTCCCAGGCTCCGGCGTATTAGATAGCAAATGATCTCACATTTCAGATCGACCGAGACGGTGAACGAACGGGTAGTGGACACAAGTGCGTTTCAGCAACCCCCGGCATTCAATGCAGAGAAAAATTCTAGAAGTTGGTGTTGGTCTTGTGAAGCTGTGGGCCAGCACAGCTACCCAACCGGGGACTCAGATCACAAAATTTTTGCGGGGGTCTTCGGTAGACGCCCATTGATGGGAGAGCTTTAAAACACTTCGTCGCGCCCGTTCCGTAGCTTGGTTGGAATCCCCAGCCAAAGCTCTTTGATTTGCTATATCGGCCGGATCCTTGGGGCCCTTGACTGTATGTGAACTTACTCAAGCACCGCTTTCCCCTTATATCGTTTTCCTTCCCTGTCACAGGACGTGCAATCTCACTGGTCCCAAGTCCATATAGTCCCTAATGTTTCCCGGGGGATCTGGCTCACAGGATTCTTTTTCTCCCAGGACGCTATCAACTACACCTGTCTCAAGCTGCCCATCAAACCTCGAGATTGTGTCCCCACAGCCTGATATAGCGGAAACCCTAAGCTTTTTGCCAGGTATTCCAAGCCCAAATCCTGAGTGGCCTGCTCATAGTGCTTTTGCTGTGCAAGATTCTGCCCTGCCAGCGCAGAGATTTGGTCTCTCACTTTCTCCACAGCACTCAGTGTCAGCGCTTAACCCTCCTAGGCAACTGGACACTGTGCTGAACTCAGAATATCCACTTGCCAATCCAATCGGTCACCCTTCTCTTGAAGACACAATTCATATCAAACAAGAACATACCTCTCAAAACCCACGGCAAGTCATACCGGAGAGCTGCGTTGCAAATGATTTGAGCCCGGGGCTGACTAGGGCTTCCCCCTCAACAGTGGCCTTGGCATCTCATCATACCCGATGTCCGTAGCATCGGATGTGTATTTGGCTGGCGCGATGCAGCAAAATTCTCCTCGTGAGGACTTCTCTCCACAAGTGAAATAGGTCATGACTGACATTCGCAGCATATGGGTGGGCAAATCGGCCTTACCACCCTCTGCAGCCACCATCTGAACACATGAGCCCGCCATTCCCGTCTTCAACCCAATCATATCCAGCGCCTGGATATGCAATGGGCTATTCAGATCAACCGCCCAGGCAGCTCCATGGGTATCATCACCAAGAGCCGCAGATCTCACCAACTTATATTGCCTCACCGAGGCATCTTGACCATCACAGCCAATCTCAAAAGTAGGTCGACACCTTCATCGGGTCACAACAGCGAGCTCACGAATCCAATGCAGTCCACATTTCATTCGTCCAATCCATCATCAGCCCATATCTGGTCCACCTCCACTTCCCGAACAACCTCTCATGACTTCGTATGTCGAAGACCGCATCCACATTGGTCGCATAATCCAATGACGGCGAAGCTCACATTTTGTATAGCCCTTCTACCTACATGATGAACCAACCTGGGTATTATTTCCACCAGGGTCCAGCCGTCCAGTGAGTGCCTTCTTCATGGCATGCGCCGTCATCCTAATCAGAGAAGCACTAGACCACACCCCGCAAGCGTTAACCCTCGACCGCCATCGATGGCCGCCCCCGAGCCAATATACTCTTCACCAGAATCTGCAAGCGCTCACATCACAGAAACAGATCAGCCGGCCAGACATGCAAATTCACGTCCACGGCCACAATGCTGGGATCACGGCTGCAACGGTCGCGAGTTCTCGACCTTCAGCAATCTGCTTCGGCACCAGCGCGAAAGATCCGGCGTAGTAGCCAAAGCAGAATGTCCAGTCTGCGGAGCAGTTTTCACACGCACGACAGCGCGCAACATACATGTCGCTCAAGGGAAGTGCAGAACTGAAGGCAGGGAATCCTCTACTGAGTAGAGGCATCACCATACGGACATACGTCATTCGTTAGGAGTTTGGGCACCGGTGTTATATTATAAAGGAATTGGAATCTGGTTCAGCAATTTGAGAAGCATTTCGTCAAACAAGAAGAATAGCCAACCTTTCAAGGTTGAAACAGCAAATCAGGCCGAGTTTGGACGCGGAGCTTAGGCGGTGACACGTGATCTGGGGGATGACCCCAATTGTTGTGACTCAGTTGAACTGTGCTGCTTCACAGTTCCAAGTTCATCACTACAATGCCTTTTGTCGGTTTGGTCATAGGAAAGCTCTACCTATCACTGTACCCTTGCTTATTGCCCATATCTTTGACTCCGGTCTAAATTGTAACGAAGATATGGCATCCATCTTCACCTACGACCCTGACCCACCTCGGGTCTCGTCCCCGTGGTCAACTTCGGGGTCGTCAACTCCCCAGGTGGTCGCATCTGCTGGCCGTGAGCAACCTGCCCACTCACGCTCCGGAAACACTGCATCGGAGGCCAGCGCAGACTTATTGTCCGACTATGGGATTTCCAAACTCGAGCCCGAGCCCCAGGAGGGTCCTACCGAGTACAAATTACACCTTCTGCTCCGGCCTAGGCGGTCTTATCTCTCCATGTCTACAGGAATCCTAGTTGCCGGGTCTTTCCACCATCGGGCGTCGGCACCCGCGTCGACGTCTCCGAGCTCGGAGTCGACTTTAAGGCCAATGGCCGCCAGGTCAAGCCAAAGCCGCCAGCAACGACTCCAAGGGCTGACCACCCAGCTGTTGTGGCGCTTGCAGCAATCTTCACCCTTCCATTCATCCACCACTTCCAATCTCGTTGTTCCTGTTCTTCCCGATGTAACAGCCAAAATGGACGCGCCTTTCAAACCCGCTCGTTTGCCTCCTGGCCTCGAGGAGAGCCAAGGTGCGCTTTACGAAATTGGTGTCGCAGACGATGGTACGTTCGTAGGCTTGACTCAAGATGAACTGGATGAAAGTTTCGCCAATCTGCGAACCATGGCTGCCAGCCTGGGATGTAAAGTTGAAATTCTTCGTCGAGTAGTGGTTGGGAAATGCGAATGGTCTGAGAACTCGTCTTCCGAGCTGGGCGGTCCAGCACAGAGCCATAATGAGAGGCTTTGGGTTGCTGAGGCCTTGGTCAGTCCTGACTTGGACTTTTACAACATTTCCCAGAAAAAGCCAAAACAGGGCCTGGAGGCTGCTGCGAACCCAGACTCAGAGGACACCCTAGCGTCAGATGAGGATTACTCCCACACGGAGCAGATTCGAATATCACTTACAGGCCCCAGCACCGCCGGCAAGTCGTCTTTGCTCGGGGCCCTGACCTCCTCTGCACTTGACAACGGCAGAGGTAAGAGCAGGCTGAGCTTGCTCAAACATCGCCACGAGATTTCATCTGGTGTCACCAGTTCAGTTGCTCAGGAACTCATTGGGTACACAAATGGCGCTTCGCCCAACGTTAACAATTATGCTTCGGGCAATGTCGCTGGCTGGGATGACATTCACGCTGCATCCCAAGGTGGTCGTCTGGCTTTCGTGTCTGACTTGCCTGGGTCTATCCGATACCTCAAATCCATGGTGCGAGGTCTAGTTAGCTGGGCCCCACACTATGTGATGCTGTGTGTTCCAGCCGATTGCTCTGATAAAACACCCGATGACGAGCATTCAGGAACTGAAAGATCCGAGATTGACACATGCTTAGCATATTTGGAGCTTTGTCTCAAGCTGGAGCTTTCTGTACTAATTGTCATAACAAAGATGGATCTTGCGTCTCGCAGTGGACTACGAGAAACTCTCGCGAGGGTTCTGTCCGCGCTGAAAACATCGGGACGACAGCCTACAATGCTCCCTGCATCGCCACCTGGAGAAAAACCAGTTGACCTTCAGCATATAAGCGAGGCTGACAACATGCAAGCACAGAAGACGATTGCTGCGGCTGATGGGAAATGGGCCCATACCGTACCTATCATGCTTACCAGTGCGGTTGATGGATCTGGCATTGGCAAGCTTCATGCTTTCCTTCGCTCCCTTCCAATCCCCGCACGGCCCTCGCATAGGACTTCCTCTATCTCCAATGACTCCTCGTCTTCTCAGAGCGCTTCGAATATCTTTGACATTGACGAAGTCTTTGCGATCCCACCTTCTAAAGTCTATTCCATCGACTCTGAAAAGGGAGGACAAGAAAATCGAGGCATGGTGCTCTGCGGTCTAGTCCGAAGCGGAAGTATTTCTATTGGTGATGAAATGGTCATTGGCCCCATCCTGGTGGACACTTCCACCGATCCAAGCCAAGAGGCCCAACCACCCGGAGGGTCGCTGTCCCGCAGTGGGCCCGGTTCGGGTGATCATCCGGCATCCCTCCCCCAGAATTTATTGTCCAGCAAAGACCCGCAAGCAAAATGGCAACGCGTGCGCGTTGTCAGTGTCCGAGACCTGCGACTTCCAGTTCGACGTCTGGTCGCCGACCAAGTTGGTACGATAGGCATCGAGCCAATTGGATATTTGGACGATGGCCGTTTACCGCGCTTCGGTCGAATTCGAAAAGGCATGGTCCTGTCGGATTTGCATAGCCAGGCTTCGAGTGAGGATGGCACGTCGCCTGTTCCTGCTTTACTGTCGTTGCCTTTTCATACTGGTTTCACTGCCACGTTCCGTTCGAGCGAGTTTACTGCTCTGAATTCGCCGCCGCTTTTGTTGGGTGGAAACGCTATAGCGTATATTGCCAATATTCGTACTACGGTGCGTGTGGTTTGCATGGCTTTAGCCGGGACTGGGGAGGATCTATCTTCGGAGCCCCATTCGCCCTCTGAGCCCGAGTTCTTCCGCTTCGATGGGGATTCCCACCTTCCTGGCGAGAAGTCTAACACCGCCGGCGCGAATCGAGCAATGGGATCCATTGATGTTGATGGGGCCGCTGATGTAGACCATCGCCGCCCTTCTGCAATGGATATCAGCAAAGTTATATCTGGTTCCGGATCTGCTTCGAGTGTTGGTGGTTCCATTGCGCAATCTTTGGAAGAAGATGTAAAGATCACATTTGCATTGGTTTCGTCTGTAGAGTGGCTTGAGCTCGGGAGCCCGATTCTCGTCATGCCTGGAACCTCGGTGGTTCCTGGGTCGTCTCAGGCTGGAGCCACCATGGCATCCAACCCTGGCTCTGGGTCTGGGTCTACGCCGACCACCATGTCCGGGTTGGAAGGCTTTGTTGGTACGGTCTCGGACATAGTTCTTGGACGGGTTCCTCCGCTGTGAACTTGATTATGTTTGTCAATGTTTGTTTTACTTTTTGTTGGCATATTATGCGTTCATCTCACTGGCGTCTGCATTTTCCATCTTCGTTGCATTTATGCCCAATCAAAAGATAGGGAATACCACATGGTACCCTACTAAGGGTCATTGGCATATGCACATGGACAGTGGTATTCACATATGTAACCTTGGAAGCGTGTTTGTACTTCAGGGCTCCGAAATCCCACTCTCATTCCAAGTTTCATCCAATTCATCATGCGTACGACCAAGCTTAGGTTACATGTAGGAAGCCGGTGCGAATTCATTGATTTTCAGTTTTGAACATTGCATCATCATCATGCTGAAGAAATGGTATTGTAGCAAGGGACTAGTTAGAGGAATACTATTTTCAACCGAAAATAGCCCCAGAACACGATGTGAGTGGATTCATTGGACAACGATATCGCCGGTCTAACTTCGAAGACGGATGGAGTCCATTCGAGTCCGGGAATTTTTCCCTCTGCCAGGCAGTATAGATGACTGCGCAACGATACTCTATGGTCCGTTTCTGAATCCAACTCAATCTCATTGTAACATCGCTCTTTCGCTAGGGGTATTTCCATAAATCTTAACCAAGCGCCACACAACGCTCGTCTCAACGTCGAATCAAACCACAATGAGTGAGTTTGCGGTAAAGTGCGGTGAGATGATGAGATGTTTATCCGCCTTTGCGCTGATCCCCAGAGTGGTTCGATTGACGAGAGAACGTGCTAGTAGAGCCGATGCTAGCACTGGCGTTGCGGAGCTCAATCTTCTTGCGCTCCATCTCGAGCTAGAGGTAAAGCCGTCAATTTGCTGTGAATGTCTCGGGTCAAGCGCGGCGTCAACTTACCACTTTGCGCACTCTAGCAAGAGCAGCCGTGTCGCCCTCTACAATTGGGCGACAATCGTCAACTTGGTAGGGCGCAGCAATGGTCACAGCATCAGCTACAATGATGTTATTACCGTTCCAGCGCGCTGGCATGGTGCGGCTGAAAGCATCGAACAGCTCTTGGGCTTCACGTGTCACACCCTTGCCACGGCGCGCTTCGCGGTCGAAGGCCTCGCCGATTGCCTTTGCCTCACGGGCCTTAAGCGCACGGGTATCCAGCGCCTGAATGGTGGGCTGCGCGTCTGTGAATGAGGACGAATTGGAGTTGGAAGGTGGGGCGAGGGCGATAAGCTGGAATTGTTGAATGCGCGAGATAGGAATCACATGGTAGTTTCCGGTTTGCGCTTGCTTCGCATCACTTGGGTTGCTTGCGGGGACGGTGTTGATCGCCACTAGGTTGGTGATTGGACACGCTGTGAAAAGAGTACCTTCGAGGATCGACTGGGTCGGCTGAGCAGTCGTGATGCGAACGCTGCAGGCAAGAGAGGATACGTATTAGCCCTGCACCTATGCGTGGGCTGAGACATCCATGGATGGTTGTTGACAGATAAGACTCACCGAGCACCGATGGCCCCGCTCAATGCTGCCTCCAAGGGCACTGTTGCTGCCGCCATTCCTGGTCCAGCAGCGTTACCGGCTTGCTTTTGTGCCGGCGCCTTCACTGAGTTCTGACGCTTGCTCTCCGCCATAGACATATATCCTCCTAGCTTTGGGGGATTGGGTCCTCCGCTTCCACGACAGGCCTGTTGTTCCTCCGAAACGAAGGCGGAATCCCGTAAACTGTTTAGAGCGCAATTACCAAGTCCAACACGATAGCGTCAGGACATCGGATATTGAATAGTGGAGCTCAAAGTCGGCTGTCGAGGCGCTGTCGATTGCCCAGGTGCACACCACGTAAGTCCGGAGTGGGCTGGTTGGCGCTCTCAACTGAATCCTCCGTGGAGAAACGAGCGTGGCTCAAGGGGAGTACAGTGGCACGACCCCAAAAGAAGATAACCGAAAACAAGCTCCTCACCCAGACCAGGTATTTATGGGAGAGCAGTGGACTCGAGGGTTCGCGATAAGATGGCAGGGTCGACGTTGCACGAATGCCCCTTTGGGTTTAGTGTTAACACCCGATTACTTCATCGTTGCCTGAGGCCTGGATTCGATCTGAATCGGGGCGACAATGCGATTGATCAATTGTAATAATTGGCCATTGAGAGCATACCTATGGGACTCTCCGACGAAAGGGGTGGAGAGTTTACTTATTGTGCTGAAGCTATTTTAGGAGATTCAATATGCACTTTGTATGGGCTTGGAGAAAACATCTTGGGGTTTGATGGTCAGATGGCATCGTACTCTGAATTTAGATAATATAGCCAATGAATCAATATGAAGGTATCGCTTTTTGTGACATGAAGATACAGAGAGGTAAATAAAGATATGTACGACCTTTCCAAGGTTGGCTTGTCGGCTGTTGGCCCAACCTTGGCCAAATGACATGGAGTTTGGAGAGACACCAATTGGGCCGTCAACGACCTAAGTAGCGGTCATGAGCAAGGGGAGTGAAGGGTTCTGAGGATCACTTGCTTCTATGCAAAAGCATGATAACGCCTGAAAAGACCCTCATTTCCGAATGTATTAGGCTAGAGAGTAGGGTTGTCCATCAAGCTCAAACTCTCTGCGTCTTGTCCCAGGAATGGATGGATTGATGTCTTCATCCATAAGAAAATCGGGCGAGCCATCCCTTTATCCGACAAGGAAATGGGCAGAAGAAATCAGGCATAGGAGGCCATATAGGATTAGATGTGTTACATCTTCCGGAAAGCGTTGCCAGAAGCACTGCGGCGTTCCTTTGACTTGAACGAAGTATCTGGCTTGTCGTATTTGACCTCTGGCGCGGTACGCTTGGGCTTTCCGGCCGGGTTGAAGCTGATTTCCTTCTCGCCAACGGCACCAAGCCGTCTTGCGGGCTTTTGTCTCGACTTCATATTTTGAGCCCGAGAACCGAATGAGCGGTCTCGGGTAGAGTTGGCCTGGCTCGAGGATGAAACTTGCATGCGAGGCGGAGGGCGTTTCGTCCGCTTGTAGTCTGCTGAAGAAATCTTCTTGGAAGCTGCTGGCTTGCGGGCCTTCTCTTGCTCGCTGTCGGAATCGGAATCGTCGGAACTGGAACCAGGAACATCGTCGATAGCCTCTTGTTCGGCTGCGGTAAGACCACGCTCCTTTCTGACAGGCGCAGATGCAACTTCGGGATCTGTACTGGGATTGAGCAACTGGAATTCGCGTGAAGTCTCGTCGACGGCAAAGTCCTCGTCCTCGAACAGCTGAGCAAAACGGCTGTCTCCCACGGCACCCTTTTCCTTGCCTTCCGACGTGGCTGCAGGCGCGTCGACCATTTCTGAGTCGCCTCCGCCCTCCACCAGACGCTTGGCGTGCTTGCGCTCCCTCTTTTCTTCCGCGAGCTTCATCCTTTCGGCCAATCTCCTGTTCACCTTGACATCCACCTTCTTCTTGCCACGGATGCGACTCTCGCGCTGCTTTTCTATTGCTTGTTCGACCTTGTTCTGTCTCGAGCTTTCGCCTTGGCCGAACTGGCTCTGGTGGTACTCGTACAGGTAGGTCTTCATCTGCCAGGATCCTTCGTTCTCCAGAATCATCTTTCCATCCTTCATGTATGAGTCCACATCGATTGGTGGAATGTGACTATCAATCATCTTCGTCTTCCAGCCCTCAATGGTGTCCTTGTTGACCATAGTGTAGCCGGGGTAGGCAGCAGACTGAGTAGCCTTGAATGCGTTGGGATCGTTGGGGTCCTCGGCCATCTCCTCAACCAGGTTATCCAAGAATGAGCACCACTTTGGCGCAGGGCCGAGTTGCGGCACAAAGAAGGAGTGTTGCTGTCGGCCTTCGTTGGCTGTAAGAAGCATTCCGCTGCCCTTGCACCAGGCAACTGATTTAATGTCCACGGCCGGCTCAACTGATGTCCAGGGCATATTGTCCTCAATGTCCCAGAGCTTGATGATTCGCTTATCGGCCGACAGGAGCTTGGGCTCCATGGTGGCAGCCCGGGTTGCGGTTGATTGTTCGAGGAACTGCAAAGTGTGAACAGCGAATCCGTATCCTTGGTCCTTCACTTGGTAAGGAACGGGCGAACGAAGATCGTAGAGGTGAATGAGACCATTGGATGAACCAGTTCCGAGACTCATACCGGAGCGGTTGAAGTCCAATGCTGTAATCTCGTATCGCGCATCATCAAATCCGACATGGGCCGGCTGCGCTGGTGGCAGGATCACACCCGCACGCCCCTTTGCCCTGGGGTCCCAAAGCTCCACGGTTCCTAGTGATGTGCCGAATGCCAATAGATTGTGACTCTCCTCTGCGATCGCAGCGGTGTTGACAGAGCCTGTGTTGATTCCACCCTGCAGAGTTCCAGCGCCAGCAGAAGTGAAGTCATCGCCGCCAACATCCACTTCGAAGCTCCGCATGTATCGGCCCGATTCCAGGTTAAGTCGATAGACCTCTCCCATACCATCCTGGTTGACACCCACGGCGGGAACAAGCGCCTCAGTTGACTGACGGTCGTAAACGATATCACGTCCATAACGGGGAAGTCTGGTGGTATAGTGACATCCTCCTGGGGTGTGGAATTCTAGTGATCGGTCGGATTGTAGGTGGAGGGATTTTGTGTAGTCGGAAGAGAGCAAAATGAACGTGTTGTTAAGAGAGCTAGTGTGACGTGCCCATGAAAGCGACAACTGTGGAAGGTAGTGGGTATGAATCTGAGGCTTGTATGTTCCTGCGCCGTGTTAATAGTTGATATAGAAAAGTCAGACATTGTCGAGTCAGTTGGACAAACCTGTGCTCATAACCCACTCGCCATCCTCACTGACACGAATACAGTGACTTGCTTCCTCGAACTCAAAGTCTTGCAGCAGTTCAACGCGATTAGCGTACTCTGGATCATTCTTCAAGCTGCGCTTGCGGCGGCGTGCAAGCCATTCAGGAAGTGGTCGGGCACTATTGGAGCCTGAGATCGTATAGACAGGGACCTGGGATGGGTTGGTCAACTGCATAATGGCGTCAAGCAGAGTACACTGCTAATGTCCAAGCTGAAGTGCAACTGTCGGCGAGAACAAAGTCGAAGATAAAAAAAAAACTGCGATAGCGATAGCGACCACGTGACCATGCGATTGGTGATTGGCCCGAGTGTCCCTGGCGAACGTCCCCCGGAATTACGCATTTCAACCTTCTGTTGACTTCACGCGATGAGCATTCGGGTTGACTCTTTGCTCATCATTCCGGTGCTTTGAGCTCAGCCATATGCAAGTGTTGCGTCGAAACCCTCTAATACTTGTCAATATTGAGACGCGCAACATGGCATCAAACAGCTAATACATCTGTTGCTCCGTTATATCTACGCCACACGCTCTGGGTTCTTGTTCCAGACGATGCAATCTGTGGTCGGAAATGACTCCCAGAGTCATATTGAAATTTCCATTTATCTCTAAAGGCTCCCGGGGCTGTCCGCGATCGTCGAATTATGGACTTCCCGAGGGGCGCAAACACCAACATACATCTCATTGTGAGCATCGCAATAGCCCATATGATGCGCGGCAAAATACTGACCTGTCCATCAGGAAGGATTCTCTAATATTTACTGGAGAATATATACAGAAGAGGTTGGCGCCACAAATAACCCACAGGAAGGCCCCGCCAATGGCTACACTATTCTCAAACACCTAAGTCGTCTCAAAGACCTCGAGGCTCGACTGAGGAATTTAAATTGCCTGGCATCATGTCCAAGACGACTGGGGCTTTGGGTTTTCTCCCCCACTCCCGACTTTGAAAGTCTGCAACCCCTGTATGTGAGGGGAAACGAGGCAGAATCTGTTAGAATCGTTATCGGGACCACAACTTTGAAAGGTATGTCATTGGTCAGCTTGTCAACGTATTCGGGCTATTTTTTCTAACCTCGCTATAGTCTCTGCTTCAGGGAGTGTTTCTTCATTGGACTTGGTAAAAGGCCTGTCGTCTGACAACCACAACCAGCCTGCCACCCAACCCAATGGACAGTCCCGCCCGGCCCAGGGTCAGCCATCATCTCGCCGTCAAGATAGCTTTAGTAGCTCGGCAGCCATTTACGCCTCATTCATTTCCGCAGTGACTGGCGCGATTAGCTTACAGTTGGCCCGACAGTATGGTGCTCTGCCGCTTGGATCACGCACTCTTTTCACCGCAGTGGAGAAGTTGGGCTATGAGGCTCCACACATCAACAATGATAGTATCCTCTCCACTTCATGCCTAACGACGCTTAATGTTCAACTCACGATGGCCGGAACAATCACTGTTTCTGCTCAAACACTTTCTCAAGCGGCTATTATGCGGCTGTGTGATCCGCGAGATGGCATTACCCATCCGATTGTCGCAAAGCCTGGTATCGATGTATGGCTATGCCCAAATGGGACGATCGCCAGACTTGTCACGACCAGCGTCGATCCTTCAGTTGCTCCCACCTCGAATCACACCACACCCGGGGATAATTCTGCAAAACATACGCAATGGAAGTTAGATGTTCTGCAGTGGCTTCGGAATTTTGGCATACATGTTGAGGCAATAAACGAAGAACCTTGGGTGGAGGTGGAAGTGTGGGAACCATTTTTTGCGAGGCTTGCTGGGGAAGCATGGCGACAGAGTGATGATAGTCCATCTTCGCTGCCCTTGAAACGCATGCTGTGGCCGGCGAGATTCTGCTTCAGAAGAGCTACTTCATCAAAATCCTCCTCGGGGGCTCAGACTTCTCTTCTTGGCGAACCCTTAGATTTTGCAGAGCAATGGTCCGCCGTGACTAGCTCTCTCAACCTAGACCTTGCTGTCAATCTCCAAGACACTCCTCTCGCTCAAGAAGTCTCGACTGGGGACCATGAAATGGTACAATCTCCCAAAGTCCAGATCAATGACAACATAGAGAGTTTATCTCGACTTGCACAGTACCCTGACCTCCAATCTGCAAACCTTGTGTATCCCACTCCGCCAGAGGGGGCTGCTGCCATTGGACCAAGCGCTCTAAACCCAGCTGAGGCCTTCGTGGACGGCTCTGATTTTGGGATTTCTCGTGCCCAACAACAGAGTCCCAAAGGAAATGCTCCATATTCTGGCACATCTCCAAACCCGAACAATGGTATTGGAGTTGGCACTGGTCGATATGATGAGAGTGACGAGGAAGATCTTTTTGGTGAATTAGATGGCAAAGACTTCGGGTCGAAGGGTATCACAGACGCGGACTTCAACTTCTTTGACGACCCAGACTTCGACGGTATAGGCGGGGATAACTCGCCGGAAGAAACCGAACAGGCACTCCAATTATCCCCTGACCAAAACTACCTGGACCACGATGCCATGGTTGATAATACCTCATCTCTCAATCAAATGCCGGAAACTGAACAACAAGTCCTCGCACGGGATGACCACCCTTCCCAAATACACGAGCAAGTGCCAGACTCACCTGGTCAAGCCAGCCTCGCCGATGAGCAAGCTCAATCACCCACAGACCGAGCACCTCAACCAATCAGCCCACCCCTGAGCCCAGTAGAGGTCAGAAAGATACTGTTCCCCGGGCTTCAGTCAGATTCCAATCAGTCTACCAGTAATCGGAGGCAAGGCCATTACCTTCCAGTCGCATTTCAGAACAGGCTTGGCAATTGGGACCAGAAGTATGGATCGACTGGCAAATTTTGGTTCTCTGCCGATACTTCATCCGAGACCTCAAATCAGACATCTGCGATACCAATTATCGGTCGACCTCACCGCGCTCCGGGCAGTGTGAACGGACCTGGTTTTGCGAGGGAGAGCAAATCTTCGAACTCTGTACCTACTGCAGAGCAAGCTCCTCGTTCAGCTTCCGTCAGCAGTGATGATAGCGATGACAGTGTCGAGATGGTTTGGGAATCCGCGCCAACGCCGACCGTTGTATCAACCTTGGCTTCTCTCAAACGCAAGCGAGCTCCATCTGATACTGATTTGTTGTCAGTTGCATCACCAGAGAAACCTTTGCCTGCAAACGATACAGCTACTGCAACTACAACTGCAACTGAAAACTCTACTTTCTTGGGCAACTTCCTGGCCAACTTCTCCGACTGGTCTTTGGCCGGGTATTTTTCGGCATTCACACCACATCAACAACCCGTACTTCTCCGCCGAGAACATCAGCTTCAAGTTGCGCAACTTTTAGTCGACCAGATCACACAGTCATCCCTGAAACATTCACTCGACGGTCACATCTCCCTTTCTGATCTGGAAACTCAATGTCCCTCACTGCAAGCCCTCGACGATATAAGTCTATTAGGCGATGCCTCCAAGCTGGACCTGAAGAGATACACGTCATTGCAAGATGAACTGTTTGCCAGCCAATCGCAACAACAGCCACCACCACATCCACCGGCGGTGAAAGAAAGTCCAAGAGGTTGCACTGTGAAGTTGCCGGCGCCCCATATACGTATTCGTCGCGGTAAAGAATTTTTAGAAGCACTTCCTCCGGCTATTTCTTTCTGGGAGACTTTTGGGTTGGAACCAGCCCATGGACCAAAAGAGATCTCTGCTTACTGCATTCATCCAACAATTGCGTCCAAGGCAGCAGATGTGTTTTTGAATCGGTTTGGTCTCCTCTATCAGAGTTGCAATCTCGGAAATCATTCTAGAGGGGAATGTTCACTGTCATTCGAAGATGGTTTGAGGCCATGGCAATCCGAATCGTCTCGCTATGAATCTATGATGCAGGTACTTAGGGGCATTTGCGAAGAACTTGGTACGTGAACTCGCCTCATTGGTCATCAACTACTAACCATCCTTCAGGTTCGGAGCTCTCACAGTCCGCGCCAAGCGCTGAAAATTGTGTTGTCTATATAATAAACCCTTTCAAGAATGCTGCTGCGCTCGCGGATATTTGCTCCGCCTTCTGGCATCTCTTTCAACGACTACTCGCTGATTCCGAACGCCGGCAAGCCCGGCCTGTGAATGAGCTTGTCTTGCAAATCATTCCACTGGACTTCGTCATGTCAAGTGAAACGATGGTTGTGCCTCCGCAGTCTGACTATTTGAACTTAGCACTTGAAGTCTACGGCCGATGCCGTCCAACAGACGCTGATGCGAGCTCCTTGCTCTGCACGCCACCCATCTTGTTGGCTGATCCTCTACCATCGAGCATTAGCTTCCGGCTTGCATCCGAGCGGGCATCGCCACTCAAAGATGGACGAAGCCTTCACATTGCTTATTCCCGAAGTCTGGATCAGCGTTGGATATCGGTGGCATGGTCTGATGTCTCGGGTACCATCCAAAGAACCATGTCTTACTGCACGAGATACCGCCAATCAGGTAGCAGTAGGCCAATTGCCGAAGTGCGGCAGGAGATATGGACGACGACAAGGCACATCATGGATAAACTCCAAGCGCGATGGAGAGTCCAATTAGTGACCACCGAACCTATGGAGCCTGATGAGGTCGAAGGTAACAGTCCCATACCCAGATTTTGAGATTGACTTCTGACATTTCGCAGGTTGGGCAACCCTTGCAGAACAGTACAACAAGCTACGACCAGGCTCTTTGGAATTTACTATCCTCGCCGTCAACGTTATTCCCGACTTAATACTTGAGCCCCCATACCCATCCGCCTCGATTTCAATGCTCAATTCACTCTCCTCATCAACACCCGTTTCTACCCCTAATCCAAGCACCAGCATTGCATCTCCTGAACAATCCGGAAATGCAGCGACTCCCACCAGCACCGGACCTGCTGCCTACAGTGCTCCTACCCCAACAGAAATGTCACTTGACACCGACCCCGAAGCTGTCCTCGTTGACATTTGTGACGAGTCGTGGTCAGCCGTCTTGTCCCACCGCCTCAACAGCTCTCCACACCTCACCGAATTCCGACCAGCTTTGTCTAGCGGGTATCTCCTTCGCCGCAAAGGTGCTACGGACAGCGACGGCGTTTACGCCATGGCTGTCAACCTCATCCATTCCTCTCACCCTGTCGCCACTCACGATTGTGTCTTGAGAAAAGTCCTGAGAATGTACCGGGACATGAGTTGCCTAGCCCGGGCTAAGGGCACATGCAGCGTGCAAAACAACACACTGCCCTGGCATATTGTGACAGCTCTCCGTGCACAAGAGCTGCTGAGTTATGTTTTTTGAGCGAGTTCTATTTTTTCATCGGGCGCACTGGTTGGTTTTGTTTTTGTTTTTTTGTCACCAAGGGTTCCTGTTTCTTGTATGTTAAGGCTTTTGGTGGTTTGGTTGTTTTATTAAAGAGTTTGGGGAGATATGTATACCCCTGGAGGCAGTGCGTTTGGAATTCTGCTCCATGCTGTGCATTACCGTTGTATCATGAGAGGCCGCATAAAACCTGGACAGTACTAGGTCTTCCCGAGGTCAAGCCCCGGTGCCCATTTATTAATATCGCATCGAAATTATTTTGTATCTATCTAACCTTGAATTTCTTTCTGTCGCCTCCTTTCAACCTTGAAACCTTCCAAGTTGAAAGGTTCCATGTCTATTTTGGGACAGTCCTGAGGTCGATATATATTTGGAGATGTTCAAAGTTGAATCCGTCCCGGGTACGTGTGGACCTGAGCAGCAGCACCCGTGACGAACTTGGAACTTCAGAGTACATCCCTACCTAGATCCCTACCTATTTCGGTAGTTCCAAATTGTTTTCAATCTTTAAACTCTTACAGGCGAGACCCTGGATGGCAATAGAATAGAAATTCCTCACAATTCTCTACCTAGGTAATGTGGATGCAATTCAATATGTATCAATTATGGATCATGTAGCCGTCCAGTTGAACTGGAAATCAAGTAATGTGCACCGATCGAATCCCTCAGATACAATTCGACCAAAGGAAACAAATAAAAAGACAGAAGAAACAGATCCTCAAACGCCACTCCAGGGAAAATCATAGAAAAGAGGAAAATACATCGGATGCAATGTATGTACCGATCGATTTCAAGTCGTCATGAAAAGTACAGGCGTTTCAGCGTGAATAAAATGTTCATGTCACAGCTCGTAGCAGCGTATGACTGCATCAGGGTATCGTGTCGCGGAAAATATCGTAGTCGTTTTGAAGAGGCCGAACTCAGGTGAGATCGACTGGAAGTGCGCAGCATGGATCAGACTGCTATCCTGCGTGATCACCCTCCTTCTGCAGCCTCGGGATCTGCCTCCTTTGATTTTCCGAAGAATGAGACTTGGTTCTTCATGGCGTAGATACCGAATCCGGCGGCTGCGAGGAGGAGAAAGAGGATGATGATGATGATCGCGATGACGATGTTGCGTTGCACCATTTTGGAGAATGTCTAATGAGACAATGGGAGAGTGTGCTGGATGTCAACCTCAAGGTGAGACCAGAGGTGAAGTGATATGCGGCAGCAATGCGTCGGGCTTGTATAGTCCGCAGCCAGGGCCCTGGACACAACGCTCCGTTGGAAATCGAATCTTAGATTAGATCGGAAGAATGTGAAGTTAAGGAGAAAGAATGAAATAGAAAATTAATGGGGGTTATAAACTGATGGGCCTTTTTTTCCCATTCCCAGCCCTTGTGTTTTTCACGGGGGGGCTGGGGAAGTGGGTACCTGAGCTTAAAGTGTGCACCACATACATTTTTCAGGTACCAACCTCTGATCTATTCGGTCAGTTTCAGGTTTTGCAATCATCTCTTGGCTTTCAGGAGGTACGAGTACTTTGGGCAATTGTACGTGGCTTGTTTAAACTGGCATTGGGTCTTCATTTTGGTATTTTAGGATCTGAAGGATCTCCAGCCACTTGTTCATGGTGGAGACTAGATTCAACCCAAGATCTTCAAGCCGCCCTTAGTCTTTCCAGGCTTCTTGACACCGTCCTTCTTCACCTTGCTTCCGCTTCCCGTGTTGCCCGTATTTTTACCGCCACCATTCTTCTTCCCTTTCTTGCCGGGGACCTCGGGGCGGACCTCAGTGTTGGAGCGTCGGAGGAGGATTGGGTGCGAGCCAATGTATTTGCCTTGCATCTCTCGCCCAGCAGCAAAGTAGTCGTCGCCATTGCTAAAGCTAATGAAACCAAAGCCTTTACTCTTTTGGGTGCGCTTTTCTCGAATCACACGCGCTTTTTGGACTGATGTGTAGCGTGAAAAGGCCTTGAGCAGGGATTCGTCGGTTACCTCGCCTGCGAGATTGCCCACAAATAGGCGGAAATGAGCGGGATCCCACTCGAGAAGGGTGCTGTCATTCCATGTTTGACCACCACCGGAGCGAACCACCGTCTGCTGGGACTCGGGTTGGGGTGTGGCACCCACGGTTGGGGTTCCAGCGGCGCTTGACCCCGTGCCAGCATGGCGCTTGTGGATATCTTCAGCCGGTGTTGCGTAGGCACTCTGCCATTGGGCGATTTGAGCCTCGGTTTCTGCGTCGAGGCCAGAGCCATTGCCGTGAGACTGTGGGGTGGAACCGAACGGATTCTGGATGTGTGGGATAGTTGGACCGTAGGTGTTTTCCGTGTATTGGGGCTGATTGTAGTACGAGGGCCCAGCCGAATAAGCTTGAGGTGCTTGCTGGTAGTGGCCGTAGCTAGTAGCAGGCGCCGCATATGTAGTAGCAGGTGCTGCGTAAGTAGTCGCAGGAACTGGGGGAGCCGAGATCACGGGCTTAGCGCGGGGCTGATGGGAGGCCACGGCACGCGGCTGGAAGGCTGTGAATGCATTGTAGCCTGGTCTTCCGCCAGCGGCAGGTGGCTGTCCTGCATTGGACGAGGGAGGTGGGCGAGGAGGCAGCGACGATGGTGTCTGCTTGAGACCTGGAGGAGGCGGATAGGCCATGATGAATGATTGGTCGATCAAGATAGGTGGAGAGAGCGAAAGAGACTTGAGTTTGCTATTTGCAAAGTAGCAACTGCTACGTACCTTCAGGGCCTGACTGGTGTGCACAGTCAGTCGCCAGACCACAGAAAACAGGTCTTGAACCCTAAAGCGCAGAACAAGGCAGCGATAGACAGATAATAGATGCTGCTGGATGGAATGCGAAAGGGAAGGTCACTCAGGCGCGTGTTGCGATAAGAAGCCATCAAAAGTTCAGAAGGTTCGGTGCATTTCCGCACACCGCCTCGACCGGTTCCGTCCCTGCCAGCCATTCTGATATAGGTAGGCGGTGAGGTCGAAATAGCCTTTAAGGTCTCACGTGACACCAAGCTTTGGATGACCTAAGCACTGCTGATCTCAGCCACCCCCACCCTAGTCCCAAAGCGGCCTAGCCCCTGCGAAGCCGGTTATGAAGGCGCATCGGCAAGTGAAGAGTTTCTCCGTCTCCCCCTCGACCAGAACAGTTCACCGATGCGTGGACAAACGTGGGAGGGGTTTCTTACCTCCGGGCTCAGTCCATTCTATGTCTCTCTAAGCCTTGACCCACAGAGTACGGAGTACGAGTACCGCCTTCATAGACCCTTCTCTACCCCTCCATGCCCCGCTATCGTATAGAAGTAGAGAGCTGCATGCAAGGACAATCACATACGACATACAGATTCAAAGTATACAGAAGTAGATCAACAGGAATTGAGGCCGGATCGGATATTGACTTCCCTAATCCGAACAGAACCCGAGTGGGTTGATACCGGACGACTCTGCTCCTGTACCGAGTACTTGGCGCTACACCGGAGAGAGTAAGGACCTCAGAGGTACACGGTACCCCCGCCGGCATGTCCCACCAGATGACGGAAGAGTTGCTCCGTCAGCAATTTGGGCTGTGACATCCTCTTATTCTCCTCTTCTCCTCCTCTTCTCTTTCTTCTCTAGATTCTTCCCAATTCAATACCCTCCTCTTTTACCTCACACATAATCGTCATGGCTGACCAAGCTGTGTAAGTTCAATGCCCCTCTCCTACCTCTACCCCTCCATCAGCTCCGGCATCTCGGTGGTTACACCTGCATCTTGCAGTACTAGCAGAGCGCATCCCTCCCAATGCTACTCGGACATCTTGTGGCTCTGGCGAGAGTTCTCGGGCTCTTTCCAGTCGCCAATGCAAGATGATACCACGGAGATTTGGCGGTTCTGATCTTTTTCTCGGAACCGTGCGGATTTTCCCCTCGAATGCCGTCCCCTCGTGATATTTACCCAGCTATTGACGAGACATTGGTCGCTGACGATAGCGCCCGTCTCGCCGGCATCAATGTCGGCGCTCCGGCGCACCCTGTTCCTAGTGCTGATTTCGGCCTCATCGGTCTGGCCGTCATGGGCCAGAACCTGATTCTGAACGTTGCCGACCACGGTTTCACCGTCTGCGCTTACAACCGTACCACCGCCAAGGTTGACCGTTTCTTGGAGAACGAGGCTAAGGGTGAGCCTTCACGGAGACTCTAACATTCCGAAGGGGAAAATACTAACTTTCGGTGACTAGGCAAGTCCATCGTTGGTGCCCACTCCATCCAGGAGTTCTGCGCCAAGCTCAAGCGCCCCCGTCGCATCATGCTCCTCGTCATGGCCGGCAAGCCCGTCGATGACTTCATTGAGTCCCTCCTGCCTTTCCTTGAGAAGGGTGATATCATCATTGACGGTGGTAACTCCCACTACCCCGACAGCAACCGCCGCACTCGCTACCTTACCGAGAAGGGCATCAGCTTCGTCGGCAGTGGTGTCTCCGGTGGTGAGGAGGGTGCCCGCTACGGTCCCTCTCTCATGCCCGGTGGTAACGAGGCCGCCTGGCCCCACATCAAGGACATCTTCCAGAGCATCGCCGCCAAGAGCAACGGCGAGGCTTGCTGCGACTGGGTCGGTGACGAGGGTGCCGGTCACTACGTCAAGATGGTCCACAACGGTATTGAGTACGGTGACATGCAGTTGATCTGCGAGGTAAGTCCTTGGACATTTTTGAAAATACACACAGAGCCTTGTCTGACACATTCTAGGCCTACGATCTCCTCAAGCGCGGTCTTGGTCTCTCCTCCAAGGAGATTGGTGATGTCTTCGCCAAGTGGAACACTGGTGTTCTCGACTCCTTCCTCATTGAGATCACCCGTGATGTTCTCTACTACAACGACAACGATGGCACTCCCCTTGTTGACAAGATCCTTGACAAGGCTGGCCAGAAGGGTACCGGCAAGTGGACCGCCATCAACGCTCTTGACCTCGGCATGCCCGTCACTCTGATTGGCGAGTCTGTCTTCTCCCGCTGCCTCAGTGCCCTCAAGGACGAGCGTGGCCGTGCCAGCACCATCCTCACCGGACCTACCCCCAAGTTCGAGGGTGACAAGCAGGCCTTCATCGACGACCTCGAGCAGGCCCTGTACGCCTCTAAGATCATCTCTTACGCCCAGGGCTTCATGCTCATCCAGAACGTACGTTTGAATCGCTGGTTATTCCCTGTCATTGAATGAGTGCTAACATATATTCTTTTCTAGGCCGCTAAGGAGTACAACTGGAAGCTCAACAAGCCCTCCATCGCCCTCATGTGGCGTGGTGGTTGCATTATCCGCTCCGTCTTCCTCAAGGACATCACCGAGGCCTACCGCAACAACCCCGACCTCGAGAACCTTCTCTTCGACGACTTCTTCAAGAAGGCCATCGACAACGCCCAGAGCGGCTGGCGTAACGTCATCAGCAAGACTGCCCTCTGGGGTATTCCTGCTCCCGCCTTCTCCACCGCTCTCAGCTTCTACGACGGCTACCGCTCCAAGAACCTGCCCGCCAACCTCCTCCAGGCCCAGCGTGACTACTTCGGTGCCCACACCTTCCGCATCAAGCCCGAGTACGCCAGCGAGACCTTCCCCGAGGGCCAGGACATCCACGTCAACTGGACCGGCCGTGGTGGTGATGTCTCCGCCTCTACCTACATCGCATAAGCGTGTAGTGTTGAGTTGTTAGCAGGGTAAAAAATTCGGATGTTCAATGTATTTAGATGCCTCCATGGAAAATGCCCATGATCCGTAACGAAGTCACTTGTTCTTTTTCTTCATATCTGCTCCATTCTTATCTAATTGACTTGTTACCGGCCCTGGGGGTTGGCTTATGCGAAATGATCATAATTCTCAATTAAGTGTGTACAACATAAAATGCCGAAGGTAACTGACACGATAACTTGGAAGACTTGGGGATAAATCCATCCACCCATGATTAAACACTCCTGAGTACTTGGACAAGCAGACCAACCTCCCTTTCCAATCCACACCGCAATGCTACAGACCACTCCACGGGCTTTCCCCGGAATCATTCGTCGCTTCAATCAAAGCCCCATACATGACCAACAGACGTATAGCATCAAGCTTGTCTCCTATCTCCGGAAACGAAGACATCACATCCGCTTCCTGATGCCGTTGCTCTTGTGTGCTATGGCAGCTCCACTGCGCAAGCCTCGAAACCTCCTCATAAACTCGTTGATCAAACATTTTATCCCAGAGAAGACATCTCATAGGTACCAGATCCTTGAGATAAAAGCCCATTGCTGCATGCAGTGGTGTATTCCCGTCATTGTCCCTTTCATTGGGATCAAGACCAAGCCACAATAGACGCTTCAGACTTCCCTGACTTGATACGCAAGCCGCCGAATGTAAAGCGGTTCGACCTTTCTTGTCCTTCATGTGGATATTCGGATCACCCGAAAGCGCCTGATCAATGTCCGACTCTGGCATTCGCATCTCACTGAAATTGAACCCGTATATCCTGGCGCGCCATTCAACGAGAATGCGCAAGATTCCAGAATCACCACGCACTAGCGCGTGGTAGAGGGCTGTTTTCCCTTCTTCGTCTAAGTCGTTGATGTTGGCTCCGTGATCGGCTAACACTTGGAGTGTTTGTTCGTCCCCATATGCTGCTGCATGACACACTGCTGATTGGCCATTCGGCCTCAAATTGGCACTCGCCCACAAGAGGGTCTTCACGACCTCTGCGTGACAGCCTTCGATGGCTCTAATGAGGAGACATATATGTCTTGGCTTGGTGTTCATCAAGCTCTCGTCGTCATCTTCGCTTTCATCGTCGCCGGTGCACGCCAAGTCTATCAACTCCCGGTTGACTTCATCATGGATGTCAACATCGGCAACATGCGGGAGCAGTAATCGAGTCACATTCGGGGATCCAATGATTATAGAAAACCAAACAGCTCTTCCATACTGTGCAGTTGCGTCGGTAGTATTGACAATGAACTGGACAGCATCTGCATGCCCACCCAGTGCTGCGTATTGCAACGGAGTCACCCCGAAAGCATCGACACTATCAAGCACCTGAACCCCAGATTGCTCAATAAGAAGGTTGATCCAGGGAACATTGCCAATGAGGGCAGCAACATGGATAGCCAAGAGCTGATCCTGGTCCCACAGGAAATTGGCCTGGCTGAGATCCAGACCTGTCACTGGCTCTGGAGGACTGGCGCCGAATCCCAGGTAAGTCCAGTATAACCTGGTATCGGAATTGAGGGAGAAGAATGGACGATCGGTGCTGAAAATCACATTCGCATAATTTCCGCATTGGCGAGCGTGATACTGCCAGAACTCAAGTGCGTAGTAAATCAGATCAGTCTGATTGGGATGCAAGGGAATCGTATCTTCGGTATTGGCCTTGGGTTTGCCGGCATTAATCCAGCATGTCTCAAGTGTGGCAAGTAACCTCTCAGCAAGTACGTAGTGTATGTAACTCTCGACAGTATCGCTAGTAAAATCGAAAGCGGCGTTGACGAGGTGATCCTTGGCTGATGGATGCACCAAGCCAACTAGGATGTCAGAAGCTTCGGGGCTTTGTGTCTGTGTCTGAATGAATCCTGATGCGAGGAAACCCTGAATCCAATCCTGTTCAAAGATTCGATCATGATAATTGATTTCCGGCACTGCTAGTGCTAGTAGCGTTCTCAGACAGAGTGGTCGCTGAACTAATGCGATGCAGTGCAGCAGAGATGAAACTTCAGGCGACCACTGCGGATGCTTCTGTATGACCTGGGCATGAATCGCTAATCATCTGTGAGTACTATGATGCGGTTGACTCAGTGCATCATTCTCACCTTCATGTGGTCTATCATAGAGCAAGTTCATTGCGTGAGCATGGCCCGCTACATTCCCACCAGATAGTAGAAGAGTAGTCGCCATGATTTCCCCCAATATACGGAGACAAAATCCGGCAGAAGCGAAACGAGTTTATATAAGTCTGTACCTAGGTGAGGGTTGCGGTGTGCGCTCTGGCCGGGGAACCGGGACCAGACGGCCTGCAGCACTAGCTCTTAACCATGGCGGCGCTTGGAAGATGCAACAGCACCCGGAGACGGGCTGAGATGTTAATCACAATCCACGTAGCATACCGGTAGCGAGGGAGCAGGGAGGGCTCAAGCATAGTGTTGGATCATGAGAGCAGTCGTCATAGCATGCGCATTGAATGGCTGTGATCGCTTGGGTGATGCGAAGGCGTTGGGGCTAGAATTGACGGCGGCTCTGGGCCATGATGGGCGACAACTAGTCCAAGAGCAGAATGAGTAGGGTGCGGATCAACTGCCTTCCGTTACAAACAGGGCTGGTCATGCAGGTGAACGTCGTGGTCGGTCTGACCCTGAGAGTATGGGGATTTTTGTTGTTCGCCGCCTCTGGCGCCTGAATACCCCCATCCTGACCTATATGTGAGGCGTGATATAGGACAGGCTGGGTAGAACCTATAAGAACATCTTATAGCAAGAGGTATTAAGTCAGGTTTCCCCGCTTCTGGTGCTTTTGATATAGTGTCTTTTTGCTTTGCCACTTGAGCTAAAGATCCAGAACGCCCGATCTGTTGGAGAATTTCAATTTTTTTTAAGATAAATCACTGTAGACTGCTAATTTAAACTGCTTCAAACTAAGAATCATATAATCGTTAAAGGTGAAATGGCTTCAAGAAGCCATCCAAGTCATACCATGCAGGGAAAAGTGCCAGAGCAAAAGAACAATCGCAGAACTGCGAAGGGAAAAGGGCAACACCAACAAGAAACCAATCTATGCACGCAAGAAGCAATCTGTGATTGGCGTGTTCAGTCTATGAAATCAGCCAACCAGAAACGTTTTAAAAAAGCAGAAACCAAATCATCTGCATACTTGACCAGAGCAAGGCGTGAAAGGCCGAGGCGAAAGAGGTGTAAAGAAGAAAAAATCGCAGATTCGAATGAGCACGTAGATGTGCAAGAACTCGGTCATTCACGACCAAGGATGGAACCCGGGAAGCCCAGCTCCCCGTCGGCCACTGCCACGCCTGGATCCACTTGTAGAATCTGTACCGCCGTGATTATGTCTGCCTTCCTCGAGACTGCGACGGGAAGCGCCGAAATCACTCATGGCGAAGAGAAGCGGCTCGTCGTCTTCAGGGGCTTGGGCCGAGAGCGTCCGACCCGAGCTTGGCCGCTGACCACTGCCGCGACGGATTTCCAGCGTCGAATTTCCGCTGTTGCTTCCGCTGGCGTTCCCGTCGCGGTCATCGCGCTCTGCAAGGTGTGGTGGCAGGTTGGCATTTCGGGCTAGACTACTGGATGCGGAGCTGACGGAATGGCCGCCCGAGTAGCCGCGGCCGCGCGAGCTGGCGAATCGGGGCTGGTACACGTGGGGGTTAGAGGATGCGGATGCACCCGCTGCTCCGGGCGTTTGGATGCGAAGTGATCCGCCTTCGCGGTATGCGCTTGTTGTAGAAACAGAGGGACAAGTTGGGTCTTCTGCAGGCGACTGCGGTTCCTTTCGCGCGGCTTGCTGCTGTGCGACGCCGAGGGTGGTAGTTGAGGGTTCATCGGCACCGAGACTCAGGCTGCGCATGCCGAAGGGGAAGATTTCGTCGTCATCGCCGCTTGGGACGGTGGGTCGGCGCTGTGCTGCTGAGCTTGAGCGTCGGTATGCGGGATCGAATATTCGTGGGGACGTGGGAATGTCAATGGCGCCCGCAGTGGAGGAAGCCCCGCGTGAGATTTCCGACCCGGGGATTTCTTCTAAAGGCGAGTCGTGTTCGATACGCGGAATTCTCGAACGATGGTCTGTTTCGATGTCGTCCGCAACACTGTTGGAGCTGAGGCGGGAGCGTATAGCTGGCGTGTGGGGGGTGTGAGGTGATATAGGCTTTCCGGGAGAAGAGGCCGTTGAGATCGACGTGCCTGCAACCATTGGTGGGACTCCAGAGAGCTGCTTACTCGATGACATCGATGATCGGTTCACATGCATAGATTGTGTCATCGAGTCGGATAGAGCAGCATTGGAGTCTCGCATCCCTCGGAAACGGGCAAGGGCTGCCGCCGTGGATGTAGGTTGACGCACACTCGTCTGAATAGATGCAGATGTAGATGAATTCATAAGATCTTTCTGAGTGTCCAACATCTTGAGAAAATCGGAAATGTTCTCATCATCCGCATGGATAGATTCTGCACTAGTCCCAGTGACCTCTGTAAGCAGGCCAGATCCGGGCTGTGCGGTGGATGATGCAGTGCTCACTCGACCACTAGATACGTTGTCATCTTCCAGTCGATTCGCTCCAGCAGATAGCCGACCTCTTCGGTGGCTGAAGGAGCTACTGTATCGAGAAAGAGGAGCTGGTTTAGGTGATGCTGAATTAGAAGATGATATCGCCTGCTCAGATGCCATAGCGGTAGGCCTGCGCGCAGAGGCCGCAGAGGATGGAGGCGGCATGAAGCGCGCATCGGCGGATGTGCCCGTGGGAATGCGCGCGGAAGCATTGCGAGGAGAGGCCGATAGGGGGGAGTCACCCACGGCCGGAGAAGCAGAGAGAGGGGGAGCTTTAAAGGGTTGGAATGATACGGATGGACGGCGTTGGACGCCTAAACTTCCAGATTCGCCAGCAATCTGGGCAGCACGTCCTGAAGGAACAACCTTCGCAGGGGGCAAGAGTTTCTTGTCGTTGTCTTTTGGAGATGGGGAGCCTGCGCCTGAATCTCTGAGAGCACGGAGTGCTGAGATTGGGCTCGCCCCTGTCGCTGCACCGACTTGGTGGAACGTTGAGAGACTTCCGTACGCACGCGTTAGATCTGGATTCTCAACAGCCCTTCGTTCAACGGGCACAGATCCAATCTCTGGATTCAAACGACTGATATCCTCTGAAGGCAAGGAGGGCCGGAAGATCTCGTCGTCAGCGCCCATGAAGCGAGAGCTCAACAAGGCCTCCGAGTCATCCACACGGAAGTCACAATTTGTTCTATACGTAACTTGGACTGTGAATGGACCCGCAGGTGACTCGGTGACCCCAAAGCTGTATGTATCCACCACCTTCTCGCTCCCCTCGCTGAGGGGTGCGGTCAAATGATCCAAGGAGGCATTCTGACGGGAGAGGCTCTCATCCACCACCCGATATTTGATCTCCAGAGCTGGACTCCGCCTCAGCTTCTTGTTACGCTTGGAGAATCTCCACGCAGGCAAGAACTTGGAATATGTGAACAAGGACCGGAAGAGCACAATGCTCTTCTTATACACTGTGGGCAGGATCGATCCCAGGTCAGACGGAAGTTTACCTGGCGACTCTCCCAGCTCGATCCGCCAGCGTTCCAAGATTATACCATCGTTATCTGATTGATATGGCTTTGCACGAGCGCCCTGTAGCACCGCCAGCGACTCCCGGACATCCCATCGTTTGCCGTTTTCGTCCAAGATAACCAAGCTCTGGTTGTTTGTGAGTCCTTTCGTGTCGAGGTATGTTTCAATAACGAGGGGCGGTGGTCGATTATCGGTGGCATCGCAGGTTCGCCATGGTCGCAGGGGTTCTCGGAGGATATCTGTGTCATCTAGCTCGACGTTAAACTAAACAGGAAACGCGTGCGGTCAGCCTTCGGTGTCTTTATTTGCCTAGTCGCCCCGACCAGGCTCTCCACGCACGGTTCACATACCCAGCGGTTGACTCTCGGAGAGTCGGAGCCCTTATTATAGGAAGGAGGCAGTGTAACACGAGAGTGCAGAATGATCAAAGCGGCTTTTGTGTGGTAATTCTATTGCCAAGATGAACGGTCAATAGACTGCGATAAGCAAGAGGGGGGGATGTCATTTCTCGTACCGATATGATTTGGTTTAGCCGGGTCAGGGCTTCCTTTCCCAGTGCCGCATTCCTTGCCTGTTCAGCAGGCTGTGGCCCAGCCTCGATCCCTAACCCTCTTGCGGAATGGGAACCTGGGTCGACGGTTGGGGAGCTTGGGGCGGTGTCGTCCCCGTCTCGAGCTGCGGGTCTAGGAATGTTCGGCACCAAAGACGGTGCTGGTGAACGTGGATGTTGATGCATGATGGCCTACCGATGCATTAGCCGGCACCCCGACCTGGCAGGAGAGAGGAGAAAGAGGAGTAGCGTACCGTGAAGCGGAGATGTTATCGGGGGCCGTTATCAACGCAATCGGGCAGCGATGGGTCCAGTGCTGTAGGCCATGCTCACAGAAGGGACCTGTGTTTGCGTGATGGAAATACCTGGATGACTGGACAATGCTATGCTCCAGGGCTCTGCGATGCGGCGGTTAAGGACCTTCGCGGTAGAGCCAAGGTTTAATTCGACAACAGAGCAGCAAGGGAGCCACAGAGCTAGGCACAGGGAGGTAGATAGACGAAGCTAAAAGAAAGCAATAAGAAAAGAATAAGAAGTCCAATAAGCCAAAGAGGGAAAAAAAAGGAAAGTCTAGAATGTCGAATGTCGAGAGATGCGGAGAGAAGGGGTGGAGATTGTGACGCACACCCGGTGACTCGGTCTCGCGTTGCAGATGTCAAGCGCCACGGGCTGGTGCTGCCTACAATACGATCTTTTCGATTCAAAAGCACGCGGGATCACGACAGTGAAGTGTAGATCATTCCGATAGCGTCATCGCACTCGGGTAACCTTAGGTCCTGACTTCGGGAGCTACGTATAGATGTCAAGTGAGGTCCACTATGCTTCCACGAGTGACTAGCTCTCCGATATACTACGATACTGGTCATTTTGGAGCTCATTTTAATCCTTGGGTACCTACATAGGTAAAACACTAGTTTCGTGTCGTGCAGGGGTACTTGCGAGGAGCTTAGCTGCCTAGTACCACTTAGGGTCGTACTCTACATATGTACGCTTCAGGATGCGATAGGTGATCATTATGGTTACAGTTTCCAAGGTCTTAACCAAAAATACTCGGTAGCTCAGATTATATGAGAGGAATAAATATCCCTCGCCAGATACAGTGAAGTGGCTAAATAACAAGTATATACATGGAAGAATACCTAGGTAGGTATGTCACAGTCAATAGATGACCTCTCTGATCCTCAAAGCTTGAAGCTTGATCAGTGCATATATGCAAGAGCACCAACCACTTAGACTGGAATCTTGATGCCCAGAATGTTGATATCAGACTTGAGCTTGGAGTCCTTATCACCCAGGTGGGCCAGCCCATCCACAAGGTGGGTGAGAATTGGCTCCAGGGACGCCCCCAAAGCCACCGGGTTAAGGATATTGGAGAGCTCAGTGTTTGTGGTGCAACCACCTGCAGTCTTCCCATCAAAGGCGGCTTCCGTAAACTTGATAGCCTCCGGCAGCGCGATGATCTCAGTGGTCGCGTGACCACCATTGGCATAGGTCGTGAACTTGACATTCGCACCATTATCGCACCAAGAGTCCACCATGGTGGAGGTATTGGCGTAGGGAATGACTTCGTCATGAGTAGCGTGGTAAACAAAAGTGGGCGCGGTCGGGGTCTCGTCCTTGTGCACGCCCATGTTGTTCTTCAACAAGACAGACTGAACGGCAGGGTCGTAAAGAAGGCGATCACCCAGTGTTTGGACCTTGGTATCAAGGAGCGACTGCTCAAAGAAGCTTGCTAGGTTCTGGACAGCACATTGGTTGGCAGCGGCATCGATGGCCTTGCGGCCTGCTGGGGTCAGGACTTCATCAACGACAGGATCAAGTTCAGCACCGTAGGCACTTGGTGCTGTGAGACCGACAACAGCAGCAGGGAGGAAGCCACTGAAGACCGTGTTGTCAATAGTGAGCAATGTGCCCGTGAGATTGGCAGGGGTTCCACCTTGGACCCATCCTTTGATGTTCAGCTCAGGGGCGTAGTTTGGCTGCAATGATCCGGCCCACCCGGTGGCGATGGCGCCACCAGAGTAACCCATACCAACAACCATAGGGTTCTTACTGAGACCTAACGTGTCGAAGTTGTTCACTGCTCGGATACCATCCAGCACGCCCATGCCGGCCAGACGGCCGGGACCGAAGGCCGCATCAGGGCCCTCGTAGTCGGGCGAAGCGACGGTGTATCCCATAAGCAGATAAGCTTCGACGATCAACAGTTCGACCGAGGCGATCAGACTGTCTTGGGCAGCGCCAAGTTGGTAGGCGTAGCTCGGTTGGCATTTCACGGCCGAGCTATCGTATGCCGTGGCGAACGAGATGAATCGGTCCGACTTGGCGCCCTTGGGCTTGAAAATCGTAGTCACGGTTGCGATAGCAGAGCCATTGATCGCAGTGGTCCGGTACAGCAACTGATGGGCTTCAACGGGGTTCGGGATGAGACCAAAGAACGCAGCGCTGACATTGCGCTGGGCCAGGATCATTCCCGGTTCCTTGGACTCAAATCCAGCAGGAGGCTGGTAGAAGGGATCAGTGGTGGGATCCTCCAATGCACGCGAGAGCTTGGATGCAGGCAGGGCTGATGCGATTGAGACGAAGGCCAGTAGACCGACCAGAGCAAGTCGCACCATGGCGAGAGACGAGCCCATTTCCTCCTTTGGATGGGTGCAAAGCTACTGAGACATCCATGGTGCCGGGCTATCTCTTTTATATGCACAAAGTTGTGAATGTGATTGAGAACCCTGCGTCTGCGAGCACTCCGTACCGAGGCCGGTAAAATGGGGCGTCGATCGTTTGCGAGACCCCTGATAATCGGTGCAAAAATGCAAATGCAGGTCAACCGTAGAACCCTTGCATAGCCTGCCGCTGCCTCATTTCTTGCACTATACGCAGAAAAGGGTCAAGCAATTAAACAGTGGATCTTGAGACCGAGTCGAGCTTCAGAAACGCGCATGGAAATTGAGGACGGGGAATGGTTCGCGAGATCGGCGCGCCAACCCCGCCCATTTCTCCGCTGGGATCTGCTGTTAGGGCTCTCTTGCGAAAAAGGGTAGAGCGCCGCCCTTGTGCTATACGTCGTGGATACGCTCCGGCTCCGGTTGTGAGTGCAGAACTGACAGAGGGGTGCTATGACCTCCGTCCAAGGCGTTGCTTTACCCCTCTTGAATCGAAGTCTGCTCCTGTACAAGCCCTGTTGGCTTCCTTAAGCATCCGGAGTTCACATGTAGAGGCTTCGCTTGGGTTGCATCTCTCGGTCTTGGATTACTCGGCGGTGCTGGCTGGCCGAATTAGGAGTCTTCTGAACGGATGAGGCATTATGTCCGACCGAGAATTTGAGATAGCTTGGGCCGAGTCTTGAGGAGTCTTTAGTGAGTCAGACGCTGTCAGAGACCTGATTTCGAGTGGTCGTGACTCGGCTGCTCACGAGTAATGAACCCCATAACCCTTGGGAACTCGGTCCAGTCTCTGCACCCCCCAACATTCACCACGGGCAGTTTCAAGTGACTTGGACCGAGTTTGCGCCGAAAATGTTAACCACAAAAATGACCCATACTCCGATTCCTTAGTTCATGGTTGTTGGCTTGAACACCAAACAACCCTTGGGACACTGCATGTTTCTGTACTACGTGCAAGTCTTAGCCTTGGAAGTTTCTACAACCTTATAATTTTCACTATTCCCTAGAGAATCATTAAATTCTCTGTTTATTTTGGATGAACTCGGTGGACATCGGGACAGGCTCTCCCTGCATGCGAAGAACGTGTGTACCTGTGTAGACATCCCTGGCTTCACGCGAGTTCAAGGGAGACATACGGAGTACCCTGAGTACACAGAGCAAACTACCTAGGTAATGTGTTATGACACTATCCAACGAGGTACGGCATATATGGGTAAACGGAAACAGTAATGAATTATTCGCGACATGTCAATTTTCTCGCGTAATTCTCGCGACATACGGAGTAGTACATGTCACATTGAAGTCGGAGTCTCTTCACCTGGACATAGATGCAGTTTTCCAAACTTGGAACTATTCAGACATAGCGCATCTATATATTGTATGGGACTACTCCGTACTCCGTACGCAGTGCAGAGTTCAGGAGACATATGCAATATTCCCAGGGTTTCAAGGGTTTCAAGGTCCCAAGGTTGGCGAAAAAGGAGTTGGCAACATGGGGTAGTCGACTGAGCTAACATAGACACCCCCTATATCCTGGTACTCGACTTTTTAAAGGGGCGAAGCTTAGTCCTATTCCAAGGTTTGTTCAACCTTGAAGGCTTCATCGCCCAAGCTGGCCTGAGATGAGCAGCCTCACCTGGCATCGCATCCTTAAACGAGGCAAATGTCGAGGGTCCCCCAGCGTATCTTAATCCCAGAGCTAGATACCTAGTACGGAGTACAATCAGATGCTACTCCGCAGATATATCAGCGTTGAGCGAGTCTTGAAATATTCTGCGGCTTTGTTCTAACCGGAATTCTGAACATCTGAGGTTTGGAGACTCAACAGCACGATCAATAGTCATGCATGAAGAATCGACGGAACCTCTTACCTAAGGATCCCGGGATGCCCAGGTGGGCATCGCCAGTCAAAATCTACATCACGTTTGCAATTCTTTCTAGGGGACAGAAATGCTCATACATCCATGATCTATAAATAGAAGCTCTGGAGATCATGGATGTGATTGCTTGTAAGGGCCTATGATGCGTCTGTATCTTCGTATATTCCAACGCTGAAGTTCTCTTAGCCCAACTTGCAAAATGTCAGCTCGGTTTCGGCTTGTATGGGCTGGATCCACCAGGCTGTGTGTTCGGTATCGGGTTCGCATCGGAACCTCAAAACTTGACAGCCACATGTCGATCGCATAAGCCTCAAGATTATCTAGATCAGTTCTGAGTCCTAACTGGCTAGAAGGGAAACTAATCAGCCACAAATTTTCTCAATTGGCCTTTCAAATCCAAAACTTGCCATGGAGTGGAGTGGGTAAGCCAATGCAATCAAGCCTTTCAGTCTGGTGCGAAGAGGCTTATTCTCACCGTGGGGGCCTGGAGGTGGTTGAACCATGGTCTGGCTTGATCAAGGCTAGTTTTAGTAGAAGTAAAAACACTCTGATCATGGCTGAGCCACTTTGCAAGAAACCTTGGAAGGTATATCTTGCAAGCTTAGCCCGAGATCTGGTATAGAATCATCAACAATCGCCTGGCTTTCTTACCAAGTCTCGTCATAAAAGGACATCGAAACATCATACTCTCAACAAGTGAAAGTTCCCTGAAACAAAGTAATACGAACGAGAATGACGAACAACCTTTGCGCCGCCGAGTTGGCCATTTACATTGCCCTCGCAATCCCGACCCTTTATCTTCTTGTCAAACACGGTCGTCCCGGCTTTCTGGGATGGCTTTTCTTGTTTGTCTTCTGCTCTCTCCGGATAATTGGCAGTGCCTTGGGTCTCAAGAGCTCCAGTCCCACTGCGAGTATAATCTCAAGTGTCGGATTGTCCCCTCTGCTGCTTGCAACAAGCGGGATTCTGCATGAAGCGTGAGTACCATCTCCTCATTCATAGTTCCCCGAACTTTGAATCTGATACATAAAAACAGACGCATATACCGAGTTGCTGGATTGAACCAAAAGCTCGAATGGGCTTTCGCATTGTTCTATCATATTTTCGTCGTTGGCGGCGTCGCTCTCACTGCTGCGGGATCAGCGAAGCTCCAATCTCACGAGGAGCCCGTCGAGAAAGCCGAAAAGATCGTCAAGGCCGGTATTGCTATTCTGACAGTGTGCTGGGTAGCTTTGGTTGCCGCCACAGTGATCACACTTATTGGACCTACGAAGAAAAGTGCCACGAGGCGTGCTGGGACTATTGTATGATCTTCGAGTCATCCATTTACCGAGAATCAACTTTTGCTGACTTTAACTTGTGTAGCTGCTATGGACCATTGCATTTGCACTGGTATTTGTTGGAATCCGTGTTTTCCACAGCCTCGTCTATCTGTGCACCCAGCAAGCATCTTTAAACCCCACCACTGGCTCTCTTGCAGTCAGAGTGATATTGGGCTTTCTGTCAGAGCTTATTGCTGTCCTTGCCTTTATTGGCGCTGGTATTATGACACGGAGCGCATCGAAGCAGACCAGAGAGCAGATCGATATGCTACCGGTTTCTCATAGTCCCTACTAGCTATCCCTGGGAAGATATAGTCCCGGAGGATAGTAAGAGAGGTGCTGTCCTAGAACGAAAGACATGGTTTAGTTGATGCCCGAGTCGAGTACCTACATGAGAGTATTTGTTGTCACGAATTTCATTTATTTTCTATAGTTCAAGTCCAAATTGCTAGACCTTTACAGTTCGATTTTGGGACACTGTGTATATCCTTCTAAGGTTGAGATGAGAGCCAGTTGTACGGATCAGCCAGGGACGTCGGCACGAAGACCCGGTAGTAAAGTCCGTTCCTGCGCGAGTAGTTCCGAGAGGTCAAGGATCCAAAGACCCGACAGGTTGAGGGCGTATCAGTTCGCCACGGGATTTATGCCCTGACTGATCGCCTCTCATCCGGGGGCATGGAGGGTCCTGCATCTCGTTATTGGTCAATCGCCTGCGATGGTCCGCGATAGCGGCCGAAGAGTCAAAACCAGGACCCCGCCTCATCAAGAGTTGGCAAGTAGTATACAGTAGGATCTTACTCGTACAGCATTCCGAGGAAGAAACATGATCCTTAGAAGCGATACAGAACATGTGTTCTATTTTTTCAACATTTCAGATGAATAGTACGAGTCAGACAGTGTCCAACTCAGGCAGAAAACACACACAAGATTTGATGAGAAGATGGAGTTTTGACCACCGGGACGCTGCGGGCCACCCTAGGAGGGGCGATCCACGGATAACGTTGACGGGCAAACCGGGTCTGACTCGGAGGTTCTTACGACTTGGGATTCTCTCACTTCCTTCATCTTAGCATCTTAGCATCTTTGCGTCTTCGCACATCAGATCCTGATACTCCCTGATACTCCCCGAGGAGTTCGCCACACGCGCACAGCACATCGATTCCAAGCCAAAACCCACATCTGTGCTACTAAGATCGCTTCGCACACACGGTCGAACCGTCCTTCCCTTCTCTCTCCGAACGAGAATCCTCTTATCACCCAGCTCCAGTCGCGGTCCTCCTGGTGACAGCGACGTTTCAGCTTGGGCCTGGTAAGAGATTCGGCGCGTCGATCCCTCCGAGCACATGAGTAGCAAGCTTTGGGAGTATTTTATATACGATGATGTCGACGGGTTCCAGCGATTCCTGGCGAACGCGACGTTCGCGGGGTCACGAGCTGCAGGAGCCGGAGCTGCGTCCGGAGCTGCGGCAAATGTGTCCCTGAAGACGAGCAGCCCCGGACCCACGATCGTCTCGTCGCCAAACCCCCCAAGGAACAAGAAGTCTCTGGCTTCATCGCCTGGAACGCCTCTGCCCGACCGCTCAGTCTCTCAGCGTGGTAATGTGACTTTGCTGCGCGCCGACATCAATGCCCGCGATCATTATGGCCGAACACTCCTCCACCACATCGCCTCCTCTCGCAAGCCTACCGCGGCCGATTTCGCACGCACCTTGTTGGAGGTTCCCTTCGTGGATATATATATCCAAGACGAGGAGAGTGGGTGGACGGCACTACATCGGGCACTTTATGCCGGAAATGCGACAATCGCACGAGCGCTTATGGCGCGCGACGTGCAGGATATGACAGATATCAGTCGGGTTGGGAATGCCAGTCATCCCAGCGGTGGATTGATCAAAATCAAAGATCGGGAGGGTTACAGTCCGTTTGACGTGTTCGGGGCAACCATCACCACCCGTGACATCAAACAGCCATCGGATAACTGGCCTAATCAGATTGGAGATGCCGCAGGAAGCGATATTGCCTCCAATGCGGGCTCCAACGAGGGCAACGACGAACAAGATGAAGCATACACTTTTCGCAGTGTGCTTAAGGGGGCGGTTGACATATCTGCTGACGAGGTCTTCGCTCTCGGTAGCAACAAGAATTTGAACCTCGGATTGGGAGACCAGGACGATCGTCAGTTTCCTGAGCGGGTTGTGTTGAAACGACCTGAGCACTTGCTACATCGGTTCTACCACGAACACCAAGCGAATCTCGAGCGTTTGGGCCTCGAGGAAACTGTCCCCAAAAGTGACACAGCGGAGCTGCCTACGTTGATCAGAAACAAGCCAATGAATTACAAAGACATTGTCATGTCAAAACTCCACACCGCGATCATCACTGATGACCCTGAAGCCAACCTCTTCATGTGTGGGTTTGGACCTGGAGGACGTCTGGGAACGGGCGATGAGTCTACGCGGTTTACTTTTGTCTGCATTGAAGCCGGTGGCTTGGAGGGTAAGAAGGTGGTCTCCGCTGCGCTAGGTCAAGATCACAGCTTGGCGATCACTGAACGCGGTGAGATTTTCAGCTGGGGAAGTAACAAGTACGGCCAACTCGGTTATGGTCTTCCCAGGACCAGCAACAAAAATGATGTCCCAATTCAGACCAGCCCTCGTCAAATCTTCAACCCGTTCAAGAAGGAGACGATTTTGGGCGCAGCAGCATCTTCGATTCATTCTGTGGTCTTCAGCACGTCCGGTCTCTATACATTTGGCAAGAATGAAGGCCAGCTTGGCCTGGTTGATTCGGATGCTCGCTCCCTTGAAACGCAAACCACGCCACGTCGCGTCGGAGCCTCCCTCTTCACCTGTCCAATTCTGATGGCCTCCGCCACTGATCGCGCTACCTCTGTACTCTTGCAAAATCACGAGGTCTGGGTCTTTTCATCCTATGGCTACTCGAAGCTCTCTTTCCCGCTTGAGGTGAGCTCAAGTTTCATCAGGAATAGCTTCATGGTCACCAGATATGACAAGACTGCCAACCGCGTTGTCAAGCTTGCATCCGGGGGCAACACCATCTGTGCACTGGCCAGCTCCGGCGAAGTGTTCACTGTTGAGGTCAATCAACCTGATGCCCCCTCGACTCTGACATCCACTACAAACCCAGCAAAGATCCGCGGCTCTTTGGCTCCGCCAGTCCGAGCTTGGTCGGTCAAGAAATCACACATGGCTGCCAGTGATGTCGATGTCGGACAAGACGGCTCCATCATTATTTGCACGACCTCAGGGTCTGCCTGGAAAAAAGAGCGACGCACAAAGAAGAAGGAGGGCGCTTCGAAGGACTATAAGTTTGCTCGTATCCCTGGCCTTTCACGCGCAGTAGCTGTGCGAAGTAATGCCTTCGGTGCCTATGCCGTTGCTCAGCGGGACAGTGAAGTCACAAAGGAGCAAATTCATGTCGAGGCCAGCAGCCTTGCGGACGACCTTTTGCCTCTGTCTCCATTTTCCATGCCTGGCTTCGCAGAACTGGATGCCATTCTGGACGACGATCTGGAGGCCATGCCTGTTGTCCTCCCCCCTGCGGCCAGTATCAAGAAAGCCATGCTTTCATCCTCGGAGATAGAAAGCCAATTTCTCCCTCTTCGGTCTGAAGGAATGGTCTGGGTGACCACTTCTTCATCTGACTCACGTATACCGGTCCACGAGTTTCTACTGGCTGGTCGCAGTCCCGTTCTTCGAAAGGCACTCGAGGAATTCCGGGTGTCTTACTATTCTTCCGTTCCAGATGTCTGTGACATTGAATATGGCACCGATGGACACCCACAGATCCGTCTGCAAGGGGTGGACTTTTTGACTGCCATGAATGTGGTGTTCTTCCTCTATACTGATAATGTACTGGATGTTTGGCACATGGCGAAGAGCTCTCCTGCAAACTCGGCACGCTTCCGGCAAGTCCGGACCGAAGTAATGCGGGTTTCCATGCAGCTAGAGCTGGCTACACTAGAACGCGCGGCAAGACTGATGGTTGAGCCTCAAGCGAGCTTGAAGTTTGACATGGCCCATGCTATCACTCAGCCTTCTTTCTTCGACAACGCGGATGTCGTTGTTCAGCTGAAAGGTGCAACCACCAAGGTCCACAGTCATGTTGTGTGCCAGAGATGTCCGTTCTTCGATACCCTTTTCCATGGCTACGCCGGTGGAAAATGGCTGGACTCGCGGAAGTCAAGCCCATCTCACCCAGTGCATGTCGATCTGAAGCATATTGATCCCTCTATATTTGAATTTGTCTTGCGTTATCTATATGCGGACACCGAGGAGAGTCTGTTTGACGAAGTGCGGACCAATGATCTTGATGGATTCATTGATCTGATCCTCGATGTTATGTTCGTCGCAGATGAACTGATGATTGACCGGCTATCTCAAGTCTGCCAAAAGATGCTTGGTCGATTCGTCACTGCTCGCAATGTTTGTTACCTACTCAACTCTGTGGCTCCCTGTTGCGTCACGCAATTCAAACATGCTGCTTTGGAATACATCTGCCTCAATCTCGAGGGCATGCTTGCAAACAGATACCTTGAAGATCTGGATGGCATTCTCCTGAATGAGCTCGATCTGACCTGCCATGAGAATCAGTTAGCCTATTGGCCAGTCTCCCGGACAGGGAATGTCGAAGAGTCATTCTTGTGGAAATACCCCGAGGCCGCGAGGTCTTTGGAGGTGGACAAGCGAAGAAGAATCGATGCCATGGCCTTGCAGTCTCGTCTTGGCCGCCTTGAATCTGATGAAGTGCGTTCTCGGCCAACGCCAAATGACAAGATGGCATCGTCTCCATCTGTCCGGAAATCAAAAGCAAGCTCAGCCAAAGAGTCGCCAACTGTGGGCAACAGTCCATGGCTGAAGCCAAGGCAGTCGGTCGGGGACCTCATGTTCCAAATGGACGATGAAGGTCCGATGTCGCCGAGTGACTCGAAAGGCAAGGGCGTCAGACGTGGGCTCAAGTTCACAGAAGGGATTCCCGAGAATCAATCTTATCCCGATTCCCCAGCATTGGGGGCAAGTGTCCCGGAGGCTGAATCGCTCGGCGGTGGGAGCTTCTTGGATGATCAGATGTCTGCCCAAGACAACTTACTTGCATCCCCGTCTGAGTCGAGGGCGATCTCCCTGAACCAGAGGCACAATTTAGGGTTACCCGCCGACAAAGGCCCAGCGCCATGGAGCTCGCCAACGATGGCAGGCTCCAAGAAGGATCTCAAAGAAATCATGGGTGAGGCCTCTCAATCTCGCGTATCCAATCTGACCCTGGGAATGGTCGATCGCCGCGAGAGCAATGCCAAATCAACATCAAAGATGTCACAGAAAGAGAGAAAGAAGATCCAGCAACAACAGCTACAAGAGCAGCTGGCCGCTCAGCAAAAGATGAAAGACGCACCACAGAATCCATGGCAGAAACCAGCAAAATCATCGCCAGCCGGACCGTCCACGCTTGAGCCATTACCGGGCCAAAGTGCACCCGCACTTGAACCCAAACCAGCTCAAAGATCTATGACCATGCGACAAACCGTAGCCGGCACACCACCCCCAAAGTCAAAATCAAAACCAGTGGAAGTGCCAGTGCAAGCATCACGCCGCAGCGTATCAGGAAACCCGCAACCATCTCCACACGCCAAATCCTCCACCTCGGGCCCTTCAACGGCAAACCAAAGCAACCAACCAACCTCACCCGCCCCAGCCATCCAATCAATCCGACATATCCCCCGACCCGATCCAATCGGGATGTCCCCATCCTCAGGCTCCTATTCCCTCTCAACCATCCTGCTCCAGCAACAAAGTGAGAAAGAAGCGATCCGCGAGGCCGCCACAGCAAAGCACAACATGCAAGAAATCCAAGCAGAGCAAGAATTCCAGCAATGGTGGGATCAAGAAAGCAGACGCGTTCAAGGCTTATTGGACCCAGAGCCAAGCGAGAACGAACCTCGATCCGGCAAAGGACGAAACAAGGCCCCTGGAACTGGCACTGGCGGCCAGCGTCGACGACGCGGAAACAAGAATACCGCCGAAGGACCTGCTCAAGATCGAGGGGTCTCTGCCCCAAGTTCTGGCCATACAACTCCAAAGACGGCGGGTAGACAGGCTCCTGCTCAATCTCAGAAACCTGGAAATCGTGCTGGGGGCGCGTCTGGAAATGGGAGGAATCAGCGGGAACAAAATAGTTCGCGTGGAAGAGGGAAGGATCGTAAGTAATCGAGTCTTATATTTTATAGATTTCATATTTTGATAGAAGCTTTTGTTTCGGGGTGAGGCTGTCTACATTATTGTGTATCATTTAGGTATCATCACATCTTCTTTGATAGGGTAAAAGCTCAGCATCAAATACTAGGTCCTACAGCATATTAGCCCATGCTCTTTACTTAGGGATCTAACTGCCTCAGTGCCCATGTGTGCCTACCTAGGTACTGTCTGGTACTGTAATCTGCGCTTCGATCCCGGGTCTAGACTTCCACATTGGGCTGGGCTGGGCTGGGCTGGGCCTGAGGTCCCAGCCTGGGGCCTAACCCAGTCCGGGTTCTGGGCTCAGAGCCTAGGGCCCAACCCAGCCCAGAGCCCAGTACCGGGGGCCCAATGGGCCCCCGGGAAAGCCCATTTCTATGCATACATATCTGCGCTCCTGAATTGTATTGATCAATTCTCCGGGTTCATTCAAACCATGCGAAAAACACCTTAACGCGAAAAAATGAGTCAAATTACCACTCACTGACGTTACCCATCCAGTGGCGGCAGTTGAAGCCGCACTCTTGTGTGCGGGCCGCTCCCGTCGCCGCATATTAGTCCCGCAGTCAGAGAGACTCCGCATGGTCCGCATAGACGATGTTAGATACAAAATTCTTCTGTGTGCTCAAAAACCTCAATCAGAATCCTTCTCAAATAACTGCTCTACCAATACTTCCAGGTAACATGTCTCTTATGAGCTCTAAGCCCCGAGTCATCCTGGGCCTGATGACATTCGGCCCTGACCCCAATGTCGGTGCACGAGTGACTTCACTGAACGAATTCGGACAATGTCTGGATCATCTCAAGTCCTACGGATACCATGAGGTCGATACAGCACGCATGTATCTTGCAGAGAAGCAGGAGGAGTTCACTGCAGCAGTTGGATGGAAAGAGCGCGGTCTAAGTCTTGCGACTAAGGTCTATCCTACAAGTCCTGGTGTTCACAAGCCTGAGAACCTGCGGGAAAAGTTGAATGAGTCGCTGACGGCTTTGCAGACTGATCAAGTGGATATTTTCTACCTGCATGCTGCTGATCGGTCTGTGCCTTTTGCTGAGACTCTGGAGGAGGTGAACAAACTGTTTCAGGAGGGGAAGTTTAAGCGCTTGGGACTGAGCAACTATACTTCGTTTGAAGTTGCAGAGATTGTCATCATGTGCACAGAGAGAGGCTGGGTACGCCCTTCAATCTACCAGGCTATGTATAACGCGATCAGTGAGTGAGCCTTCCAGAGTATTTGGCACAGAGACTAACGAGATCTAGCACGAAACATCGAGCAGGAACTGATCCCTGCCTGCCACCGCTATGGACTTGAGATCGTCGTCTACAACCCCCTTGCCGGTGGGATTCTCTCCGGGAAATATAAACCAAGTACAGAAAAGGAAATTCCACAGGAGGGAAGATTCAGCGACAAGAACACAACGGGGGAGTTGTATCGCCAGCGCTACATGAATCTGCCCGTTTTGGATGCAATCCATACCATTGTCAAACCAGTTGCTGATAAACACAATCTGAGCTTGCCCGAAGTCGCTTTCAGATGGCTCAATCATCATTCAAAGCTTCGGATGGGACGGGATGGGATCTTGATTGGTGTCAGTAGCGTTGGGCAGCTTCATGCAAATATCGAGGCGATTCAAGAGGGACCACTACCGGAAGAGGTTGTCAGTGCTTTGGATGCAGCGTGGATGGCTGTCAAAGCGGGATCGCCACCGTATTGGCACCTTGATCTGAACTACACTTACGACACCGAGGCTTCTCTATTCAAAGAATAGGGAGTTGGCTTTGTTGCCGATTCGAAAGTTCCAATGCTATCATTTTTCGATACTGTATAATATTAGAGACCGCATATGTTGGTAGACAAAATCTGATCCAAGTCCCAAAGCACCCCGGGGTTGAGCAAGTCTTCATGAAATTCTTGAGATAGATTCAAGTCTACCCCGGGAGGTTCGCCTGCTATCAAGTCACCCTCAATCCGTGTCAGCATTTCCAAGTCTTCCCTTTTCCTCTGACTTTGTAATGCGAGCAAAGTGCATGCACTATCCCACGTCCTGTCGATAGCCTCGGTCCCATATTCGCGAGCAATCAATTGCAGCGTCTGGAAAGAGTTTCCAACACGCTGTAAAGATTCCTTGGTATCAATTGCGAGTAAAACGCAAATAGTTTGAAATGGAACATTCAAAATATGCCACCAAGGCAATTTTCTCTTCGCCATCTCCGTCGCATGATGTATTCCGTCGTCCACTATCCGCAGTATTTGATCAATGGCTTCTTTTGATATCGTGCGTCCCGTCACTCGAAGTCTGCGATATATGCACAGGGCGATGTTACAACGTTTGAGCTGTACTGCTGGATGAAGAGGCTGGATCTCAACGACTTGACGAAGCATATCCTCCAACTCCACGGACTCGACGTGTAGATTGGGATCGAGGGCATCGGAAAGACGCCAAATGACTTGATCCACTACTGTCCATCCTTCCAATGGAGTATCATGCGAAGTATCCAGAGGCATGACACGAGGCTTCCCATACTCGTATGAGATCCAGGTATGAAATATTCTAGCGGTGCAATAAATCTGCCGCTTTAATCGCGGGGTGTACCAACCATCCGAAGATGCGTTCAAAAGTCCTGAGTGCGGGTCCGAATGTAGATTGACCGTCTCAATCATGTGCATAAGGGTGCAACTTGCGATCCATGCTGCATTCGGAGAACTGGTAAAACGGAGAAAGATAACGCGAAGCAGCCATGCAACGACGTCGTTCACGGTTGGTGATTCCAGGGTTGTCGAGTATTCAAGACGAGCCCGAGCATTCTGTATTATCTCTTCCTCTATATTGGTTTCCTGTTCACTGAAAAGGCATGCCAGTGCTGCGACTCCTAATAGAACAGATTCCGTGGAGCGATCGGATACCTCATCTGATTCTAAGTTGGTTACTGCGCTGTCGACCATGTCTCGGTCGAGAAACTTGTAAACCGGTTGAATCTCGAAGAAATAAATGTCTGTGAGCTGTCGCATATATTCACAACTCAATATTCTGTTGAGTGATCGAGTTTCTCGCATGGAATAAAGCTCTTTGCGAAAACGGAAATTCCACGAGCACCAACGCGCTCCGGCGAGTGATGGGTCGGTCCTGAGCCCGAGTCGCTTGGCCATTATGTCTCCAGAGTTCAGTTCGGTGCTTTTCTCTGTATTGGGCTGCATCGGTGTCTCTTGGACTGAGCTTCTTTCGACTTCGAGATGCTTGCTTGATTGTCCCCGTTTGGGCGGTTCGTCGTAGATGCATTCCTGCACTGCGTTGGAGCAGTTGCGGCAAGGCTGGTAACCATTACACCGGCGTTTTTTCTTCCTACACCTCTGACATGCTAGGTGAGTTCTTTCTGGGGGCATGTTGTCGTTTGCGTGAAAGATGTGTGAAATGTCAAAAGTTCGGCTTCTCCGACTTCCGCTCCGCATTAATTATGCGGGCTGTTCCGCATATCGTGGAATGCCGAACCTAAGCCTTAGGGCTCCAACGTTTCTACAGAACGAGCATAAGTATCCATCACTGAATGGATTATTCTAAGGGTATTGCCTTTTTATTTTCGTATTAAGATGAGCCGTGTATTAATGGCCATTAGCCCCTTCTCAGATGTCGAGGGCTCTGTGATCGAACTATGAAATGCAAAACATGTACCACCCTCCTTTATGAGCGAGCTTCCCATCTTACAGTAGCCGGTTGAACAGGCCGAGAGAACAGAGACTGGGTCAAAGGTTAGCAATAGGCATCACAGAGTCGACTTCAAAGTCACTGAACATACCGCGTAATCTGTATCTGGAACACCCTCTTTCCCTTCAACGTTGAAGAACTTGAACTCGCGCACAAGAGTGGCAACAATAACTTCCAGGTTGAGATAAGCAAATTTTTCTCCAATGCAGCGATGTCTGCCTGCCCCAAATGGCAAGTATGGGCTCCGTGTGCCTTTTGAGACAGCCCCATACCCATAGTCAATTGTATCGGTATCATCCTCGACTTCAACTCGGGTTTCCCACCGATGGGGATCCCACTTCAAAGGATCTTTGAAGTACCGCTGGTCTCTCGCCGTGACACCGGGTGAAGAGAGGAGGGTGTGCGAAGTAGGGACGACGAAATCGGTGCCAGGCACCGGGAGTGGGTTCTTCACTTTCCTCATCAGGGTATGGATAGAGGAGTGAATGCGCAATGTCTCCTTAATCACATTATGGTGTAGAGGCAACTTGTCAAGATCTTTGTATTGTAGTGGGGGAAGGTCGGCACCTAGGTTTTGGATTTGCTCGTTGTAAAGCTTCTCCGTCATCTCAGGCTCAGAAGCCAGACGGAGAAGAATCCAACAGCTGATTGCAGAAGAAGAGTGTTGCCCTGCCATCAGTAGAGTAATCATCATATGCGCAATCTCCTTGTCCGGAACAGGTGTACCGTCGCGATACGTGCTATTCATGAAGTTCAGAATCATGTCTGTGCCTTCAGTTTCTTTCTCTTTCAGTGTGACGTCTCCTTGAGCCATGGCCTCCCGTCTGGCCTGGATGATCTTGAAATAGATTTCCCGCATTCGTGAATGTGCCAGATCACGCTTCCGGTTGGCTGGCAAAGGGGCCCAGGGAAGCATGAAGTTAATTGGCGAGAAGCCGAGATCGAGGTCGTGGAGAAGCTCTGCAAACTCGGAGGTCAGCTTTGAGCGGACCTCTTCACCCTGTAGGGTGCGAGCTGCTGTGAAAAGTGTGATTTCGCTCATTGCGGCCGTGAGATCGATGGTACCGGATTGGCCTTTGAAATTGGGGGACGTCTTGACGTAGGAGCTCGTTTCGTCGGCAATGAGAGGGACATATGATTCCAGGGCAGCGGTACTCAGACCGTGCTTGATGAACTAGAAGAAGACCGGGTTAGCATGACAGTATAAGCCACAAGGGGAAACGAAGGGACTCTTGAAGAAAAGTTATACCTTCTTCTGCTCCATCAGCTTTGAGTTGGGGCAGTCGTAAACCACATCCGATCCAAAGACAGGCGTGGTGAGCTTGCCATATACTTCCTCGGCATTGACATCCTTGAGCTTTCCATTGAGAATAAACTCATTGCCTTCGATGCCCAGGTAGACAGTTGTCTTCTTACCCAGGAGGATGAAGGTGAAGATGTCTCCGTACTAGAACTGATTGTAAGCATGTCGACAGGCACTCATGGAAACACACCCACCTTCGCACGAGAAGCGAAGAAGAACTGATACGGATCCATTCCATAGGCAATTGTACTCCCGATGAAAGGTACCCAGTGGAACACCACCGGGGGCTCCTTTCGGTTGTAGAAGAACAGTTGATTTATGACATTGATGACGATGGAAAGCACGAAGAGACCGGTGGTGTAGTAGCCAACCCGCAGGATTTGACCTGCCACCAACGGAGCGAGATCCATCATGAAGCGATGGCTACTGAGTACTCTGTATGAAGGACGAGTATAGGTCTTATAGTTAAGGTTAAGAAGGGCAAATCAGGCCGGAGGGATTGGCCATTAATCAGTCAGGCCATACCCGCATTCTCGGATCTCACAGCAACCGAACCGCATCGGACCACTAGGCACCCAATTTACGTCTGGGCCTGTCGTATGCAGGCGTTTAGTAAGGTGGAGTACTTTATAGTAATGTGGACTACCTGGGTATGAATGTGCGGAATAAAGTGGCATTGGCTGGCTAAGATATATGAATAAAAGGTAGAGATCCTATGTTCAATCTTGCAATAAGATAAAGAAGAAAGAGAAAGAGTAGAATGCCATCAACGCCGGACTGTAGTGTTGAAACACCGTCATGAACATAAAGGGGTAACAAGGGTGAAAAGATCATAAACTAGCCATGGATGGCGACCTCTCGGCTCTCCCAAATCCGGCGGATTAACATGGCGCTGTCGTTAGCGGGGAATTCCTCCTCATTCTCACCACCCAGATCACGCGATGCTTCTGCCGAGGTGGAGAGTATGCGGTGGGACGGGTCATTGGACTTGGGGTTCGCGGCACTTGGGGTGGTGGGATCGCTGTTCGTGGGATCATCGGTGGGAACGTGACCGCGCAACTGGGACTTCGATGCAGGGCTTGAGCTCAGCGGGTTGGGACGTTTTCCCTGCTGGAGAAGAGGTAGAGAGGGGGCGGATTTCACTGGCTTGCCGAGGTTTGGGCCTTGCGCTGCCTTGCGGGCCTGGGCGATATGGCGCAGGCGCGAGAAGCTCTGCGCAGTGGGCGACTGGAAGCGCCGCACGACCATTAATTCGAGGGAAGTCTTCTCATAGGCCTTGCGAATGTGACGAGTTTCGCTATCATGTCCTGCGCCGCCAACTCGACCATCGCCATTCAGACCTCTCCCAGCGTCGAAGGCGCCGGCGCTGGGACGTTGGGTGGCGGTAATAAATGAGGGGTCAATCGCAGACGGTGATGCGGTGGCTGCGACTCCATGGGAATCTGGGGGAGAATTGTTGAGAGTGGCTGTTCGCTGCAGCCAGAGCTTCTGCTGGGTGCGAGAAGGCAGGTCGGCGCCTCGAGGGCGCGCCGACGAAGCCGTCGATTTTGCAGCGCCACTCTTGGGCGAAGGCGGCGTTTGGGGGTGATAATGTGGGAGGAAGGAGGAAGGCGTGTTGGGGTCTGAGTCGGTCCGAGATGATGCTTGCATGCTGTTCTTGTTGTTTAATATGAACCTCGAGACGCCGCCTTCCATAGATGATGAGGTTGCTTGCGGATGGGAGCCAGGCATGCTCGCCATACTTGCGGTAGAGAACGTGCGACGAGCATTATCCTGGCCAGCCGCGAGGTTAAGAGATGCACTGCTGCGTGATGCGGGGTTGGTGATCTTGGTCTCAGGCTTCACCATGGCTGAGATGGATGACATTGCAGGAGGTGCTTTGGCCGAATGTGAGGGGCTGAGCAGGCGACTTGCGATATCACCCTGCTCAGTGTGTTGGCTGGAATTCTCTGCCTCATCCTCTGTCTCTTGATCCTGCTCTTCCTCGTGGTCATCTTCGGCCTGCTCGGCGCGTTCTCGGGCGAATTTGTGGGTAACCGACTCCGGGAGACTAGTTGCGCGAGGCATTTGTGGGTAGGGCCGTTTCACGAAGGTGAGATGATCGACGAGGACAGTGCTGTTCTCGGCGCTGGGATTAGATGGTGCGACAGAGTTGCGCCTCGTACTTTCGGGCGACTGTGTAGTATCCTCCCATTCCGCCTCGTCAGTCTCGTCATCCCCCAATTCAAAGCCGACCGTCTTCTTTACTCCGCTGGAGGTAGGTCGCTCTGTCACCAAGGCCTTCTTGCCGACAGCCGACGGGTTCCGGCGTAATACGGGAGTCGAGTAGTTCCTCTTCATGGAAGGGTTGGTTTGATTATCGCCTACGGCGTTATCCCAGCGGATGTGCCCGCCTTCTTTCGGACTTGCGATGGGGGTTGCGGGTGCTGACTTTTTGCGCTGGTGGTGTCGCCCAGTGGTCTCGGGGCCGAGTTGGAACCGTTGGAGTTTATTGAAGTTCTTGTTGGTGGAGGGGTTTCGATGGTGATTGCGGTGAACGACATGGGCGCGGTGAGGCTTGTGATGCGCGGCTGCCTTCTGCGTCTCCGACAGGTCACTGCTATTGGCACGCGTGACAACTGCGTGGGAGGACACTGCGCGGCGACCGAGACCGGGGCGCTTGACTGGGGAGGAAGTATTGGAGGTATTGGAGGTAGGCATAGCGGTAAGCGGACAGCTCCTGGGGGGAGCCACAGCCGGGTGATCAGGTATACCCAAGCATAGAATGTGGGGATTGGCCGAGGCAGGCTGGTCAAGAGGTCTCACGGCAGATCGGAGATGCAGGCAAAAAGCAATGAGGAATCAATAGTGGGAAGCCAGCCGCTTTGCACCGGCTCTGACAAAACGAACGAAATGAGCACGAAAACCAAGCTTAGAATACGGGAATAAAGATGCCACGAAATTTGGGTGAATTGCAAAAGTGATGAGAGGTCGATCTCGCTGTCTTCGGCGATTAAGGAGCTGTGGGGTCGACACCTGACAGATATGGCATCCAGTCGCCTCAGGCAAGATTCCTAGTTTAGATATGACTTCATTTCCCGAGCCTAGCCTACTGAGCAGGGCAGTAAACTACTCCGTAACCTGTGGACATCTTATTTACATATGTACTATCCGCTGTATTGAACTTATCTTCATTGACCCGCTTCGAGCTACACATTCTGCTGAGAGATTTCGGGTATCATCTGGTAAAAATTGGAGGACAATGAGAAGACTGCAAAAACGCCTGAATTGATCAATGCTACAGCTCAATCAAACTCTCCTCTGCAACTGGTCGAGGGGGTTGCTGATAAGGCGGTTGGCCGGATGTTTCGGATGCATACGTCCCCGGTTGTCCGTCATGCGTCGCGGGGTAACCAGATGGCACAGTATGGGGAGGTTGCTGAGGCGCAGGCGGATAATAGTAAGACTGAACAGACGGGCCGGTAGCTTGCTGATGAAGTACCGGCGCGGCCGGAGGAGTGGAGAACCCGTGTTGCTGCCCATATACCGCAGTTGAGTGTTGCTCGGAAGGGGACGTCGGGCCGGCTGGCGGTGCACTGGGCTCATACTGGGAGTCCCGTCCCATTATCGGGGATGGCTGATAAGGGGCTTCTGGGCCTGGTGACTTTGCCGAGGCTGGAGCTGAGGGTCCAGCGTAAGGTTGTCCTGGAGCACCGTGTGTCGGCGCAGTGGTATAGTGACTGGGAGCGACGTTACTGGGCGAAGGCGAACCAAGAGTTGGATATGGGTTTGCGGTCCAAGGTTGGGGTTGAGCCTCATTTGGTAGCGCTCCGTGCTGAGCCTGCGGTGGATAGCCAGAACTTTGGGCAGCACTGGGTGGTCCTTGATAACCCTCATTATTTAGTTGCGGCGCATACATGCCGTTTGGCGGTCGAGAAATGTCCATCTGATTTCCATAATAGAAATTCTCGGCCCCTGATTTGACGTCAGGGGCTTGGGGTGGGTATCCTGGTTGGATGTTCGGGTATTGGGCGGCTCCAGGAATGGCTCCGTAGCCAATATTATGGTTGGAATAGGCATTAGTGAGACGTTCTTCCAGCATTCGATCGTAGTAGCGAACAACGGTGGACAGCTTCGCATGCAGATCCAACAATGTATCTGATTCTATTAGCCTGTCGTCATCTTTAGACCAGTGGGGGGCATAACTCACCGTGCTTGCTCATAGTCTCCCCATAACTGCGAGCCAACTTTGGCCGAAGTGTACCGATGCTCTCGTATAACTCCTGAATTTGTGGCTCCCTCAGAATTGTGCCTGGGGGTTGATGCTGAAGCCTATCAACCAGCGTAGAGAAGAGATGGATGTTCTCAATTTCAACGGGTGTGAGCTCATAAGGATTCTTTGGCATGGGAATGGGTGTGCCAGAATCACGCGGGCCAGCGCTTGGTGCGTTGACGTTTTTCAATGCAGTAGCATGTTGTTGCTTATGTTGCTCCATATCGCGCAGGGACGCCTCAATTGCAGCCTGAAGGTCTGCATCTTCCTCCTCGCCCTTGTGCGTGGCTTCAGGAGCCTTGGCAGGTTCAGGGACATTGGCCGTCGGGGGTACATACCCAGTGGACCCTCTACCTTCGGCTTCGTCGAGACTCATCTGTAAAGCTCTGCGTAGATCGTCATCGAACCCCGTGTCCGGTTTAGCAGCTCGAGGCTCCATGCTGTTGGATTTGCTGATCGAATTATTCTTGAAAGCCGACCGGTCCATGAGCCCCGGAGGAGCAAATGTTTTGGACGTCAATTTGGCGTGGCAGCCATCATCCACTCTGACTGGCTGTAGGATTCCAAGGTGTGGCAGGGGGATCGTTTTACTCGAGCATTGAGCGTCGAATACATTGCCGCAGTTCCGACAGTGATGCTTTCGATTCATAAAGCCGAAGGCTGTCCGGCATCGCATGCAGACATCGGAGTCGATCCACTCTGGAGGCTACGGCGATTCAAATGTCAGCATATGTCCAGACATGAGATTCCAGGCTACTCACAGCGCTGCTCTCGAGCATACTCCCACTCATTTCTGTCTTTGGTGGGAAACGATAACCCTCGCTCTGTAGTTTACGATATGTCTCGCCCAGATACATCAAGTCCATCCGACCCTGCGCGGCCATAGCCCAATTCTGAATAAGCTCCAAGACCTTTGCCTGGACATCAGCGTTGAGCGGGGCTCCTTCTGACTTGAGCAAGGAAACGAGATTGTCCATAAACTCGCGCGAAGCGATCTCGGCTAGGAAATGTGTGCCTCCGTTTTTGACACATGTATCCGTCAACTGTAGGCAGACACGTCACATCAGTGTCTGTTTCAAGCCACATATCGACGGGAGACTGCGACTTACCTTCAGAGTAGCTAGCTGGATGTTAGGATTCCTGTTCTCGAGTCGACGTTTCAAGGATTTCATTCCGTCCTTGGGCTGAACGCTCTTCGATCGTAGCATATCCGAGATTTCTAGATTGAGGGCTATGTCTTCCCTATCACCCAATCAGTCAGTCATTGTGCATTTGCGGCGACCCACGCCTATAGCATAGCGGTTATCGTGACCGGACAGCGACCTAGACTCACAGCGATGAAGCTGTCGCCCGCTCGATTTGCTCATCGAGCGGCGACGTTGACGAGAACCAGCCAGCCATGGTGGGGGTTTTCAAACCCAAGACAAAGTCGATATTCAGTGGAGGGCGCCGGTGGAAGACACAAGGCAGCCAAGACACTTCTAATGCAACAGGAATGAAGATCAGGCTGATAAGTTGAAGGAGGAGCTTCTAGGCACATCGAGGGATTGACTAAGCCCCTGGCGTCATAGGCCGCGGGCGGTGAAGTACTGTCATCTGATACCCCAGAGGCATCCCGCATTGCGTTCCTGGATTCTGTCCTCTTTGTTTTTGTCTATCTTGTTCGTTAAATTTGCTTGTTTGGACTTGGCTTTTCCCTACGCAGACTGCCTGCGCAAACTGCTCGAGGATCCTGCGTCTCTTCGGATTCAAATAGCCATGCGCTAAGTCCGGATCATCGCTGCCTGGATCTACCATGTCCTCCGATGCGGCGACATTACCATCTCCACCCAGTATGCCACCGTGGAAGGACACGCAACGTCCTTACTCGGTGGGGGAGAGTATGTATTCTAATGGCCTCGGCGGAAGGCCGGATTTCTATTCAAAGGACAATTCCCCGCCCACCCCGCGACGACCTCGATTCCCCAACATCAAAGACCTGCAGGACCAGGCTGCTGCATTAAATGTGAACGACACGACACCGGTATGAACTCATCACCGAATTTTGGTTGCCAATACAAATTCACTAACGGCCAGAACAGCTCGCTATTCTCTCGAGAACTGCCGCCGAGGCAATTGACAAGGCCAGGAACCTTGTGGATGAATACCCCGACAAGGCTTACGTTCATTACCTCCGAGCGTCCGAGATCACTATCAACCTCATTCCGCACCATCCAAACTATCGAACTACGGCCGTTGAACGTCCCGACTGGTTTAGGGAGTTCGCCGATTTAATGAAGGCAGTACGCGCTAAACAAGGCACCATGGATGCGATAAAGCAGGCAATCATCGAAGACAACCTGGTCAGCAACATGCAACCTACAGGCGCATTTCAGACCTCGCCAGAACTACAATATGTCACCCCAAGGGGTCGCGAGAACCGAGACTCTGTAACAAGTTTGGCCAGAATGCCAAGTCCGACGCAGTATCAGAGGACGCCCGACACTCAAGTACATTCACCACCGGCCTCTATCACTCCAGATGACATGCTTGCGCAACGTTTCGCCAAACTCAAGGCGTCTCCACCTTCCAATCAATTCGATGTGGGATCGAATAGCGGTGGGCCGAGGAGCCCAACTCTGGGATCTGCAGCGCAGACCCCACTTCATCCGTCTAACGTGCCCTCGAATGCTCACACCTCTCCACCGCCAAGGCGACCCATGGGACCTCGTGGAATGGGGTCTTCGTCTAATGTACCCACACTACCACCCAAAGTTCCTCTCAACACAGCACTTCCACGAGCGCCAGATCCGGCCTACAGTCCAATCTTTACCGCGCCTCCGAAGCCGACATCGAATCCTCCGAGATCGTCGACCGATAGTACACGCTCGGGAAATCTAAGATACTCGCAGTTCAGTAGTTCACCTCGCGTCAGTCCAAACCGTGGTGAGCACGATGAAAACCCGTACAGATCCATGACCCCCAATGGGTCGGGCTCGGCACGAGAGACTCGGAGCAATTCGCCAGAATTGCCATACAGTACAACAATATCTGCACAAAGCCTCCTAGAAAACCTGCGCAAGTACAACGTATTGCTTATCGACGTTCGACCCCGAGATCAATATGACAACGGACATGTGTATGCGAAATCCATCATCTGCATCGAGCCGGTGGTTTTGAAGGAGAATGTCTCTGCAGAAGAACTTGAGGAGCGATTGGTCGTTTCACCAGAGCACGAGCAGGTTTTGTTCGAGAAACGGAATGAGTATGACCTTGTGGTTTACTACGACCAAAGCACCAAATCCGTCAGTTATCTCGCCGGATCGCCGGTTGGGACATCTGCTCCGCACCTAAGGGCGCTTTACGATACCCTCTACGAGTTCAATGCATACAAACCGCTGAAGGCCGGTCGGCCTCCAGCTCTGCTGCTTGGTGGATTGGACGCCTGGATTGATCTTCTCGGGCAACAATCGCTTGCGACGTCCTCTACCGCTGCCGTTATGAGCTCTCTGCAGGCCAGAAAGCCAGTACCAAAGCCAGGTCGACCTCTGGGCCGAGTACCTACCATGGCGAGTGCGAATTCCAGCCTGGAAATTCGAAAGCGGCGACTGCGCGAGTTCACTCCTCTGAACTCGAAGGAGTTGTCTGAGTGGATGGAAAAGTCGAAGACTGAGGAGATTGACACAAGTAATTACGGCGAAGAAGACTCACTCACGGAGGAGCCTGAGGTTGTCTCACAAGAGCCCTCGACTCCATACGTTCATACATACGAGGCCTTCTTCCGGCGATTCCCTGAAGCTCATGATGTACAGCAGTCCATGACTCACCCAGACACACGTCCAGTGCCGCCCCCTGCGCATAGCCACACCCACGCTCACCCCCATTCCCACTCTCATTCACAATCCCAATCCTCCACCCCGGACTATGCTGTGCAGATGCCGATCGTCCCTTCTCGGCCGCGTCCAGCGGTCCCTCGTCCAAGTTATAGCGGGGTCTCGGATGGTCGGCACATTCAACCACATTTGGAGCGCCAGAATTCAGCGAACCGAACAGCACTGTACGCTCCAGCATCTCGCATTGATCGTCTCAAGCTTCCACGGACCGGCTTGACGAATTTTGGCGTCACATGTTACATGAACTCGACCATCCAATGCTTGAGCGCAACGATCTCGATGAGTCGGTTTTTCATCGATAATCGGTTCCGTTACTATGTACAGAAGAACTGGAAGGGCTCTCAAGGCGTGATGCCGGGGCTTTATGCAAACCTCACGCGATCGTTGTGGAAGAACGACGTTGAGGTCATCATGCCGACCTCTTTCCGCAATTTCTGCGGACGGCTGAATCGAGAATGGGCGATTGACCGACAGCAAGATGCGAAGGAATTTTTCGATTTCCTGGTGGATTGCCTTCATGAAGACCTCAACGTCAACTGGCAGCGTACGCCCTTACGACCCCTGACCTTCTCGGAGGAAATGCAACGCGAACGGATGCCGATGACCCGGGTCTCTCGCATCGAATGGGACCGATACTGCCACCGGGAAGAATCCTTCATCTCCTCGCTCTTTGCTGGACAGCACGCCAGTCGCTTGCGCTGTACCACCTGTCGGCAAACCTCGACCACCTACGAGGCTTTCTACAGTATCAGCGTCGAGATCCCCGCGACCGGCACGGGGGACATCTACCAGTGTCTCCGCAGCTACTGCCAGGAAGAGATGCTGAGCGGCGACGAGGTCTGGAAGTGCCCGCACTGCAAGTGCAAGCGGATGGCGACCAAGCAAATCATCATCACGCGGGCCCCGCAGATCCTAGTCGTCCACTTTAAGCGCTTCTCCGCGTCCAAGACCCAAAGCGCGCGGAAGATCCACACCCCGATTGAATTCCCGCTCCACGGCCTCCGGATGGACGATTTCGTCATCTCGCACCCGAGTCCCGCGCCCCCGGAATCTGGGGCGCCTGTTACGGGCGCTACGATCCCGCCTTTCACGTATGATGCCTTTGCGGTCCTTCGGCATCTCGGCTCGTCGATGGGGAGCGGGCACTATATCTCTTTGGTCCGCGATGCGGAGCGGCAGTGTTGGCGGAAGTTCGACGATGAGCGGGCGACGGACTTTAACCCGCGCGATCTCCGTGAGCGGGAACGACTGCAGAATGAGCAGGCGTACATTGTGTTTTACGAGCGAGTCCCAGCGAAATGAGCGTTCCTTTTGCATTAGAGAATATATTAGCTTATAACATATCAGAATTGTCTACAATACAGGAGAAAACAATACAAGTAGAACAGCGGAAAGCGGATACCGACGGCGCTACCCGAAGATTGACCCCCGAGGTTAACGGGTATGTGGCAGAGGAGTGTGGCAGTTGGTCTTTTAGTAGTCCAGGATTATACTACTGTATAGGTTACTGGTATCTTATTCCAGTACTGGTTATACTCATACTCCGTAGGGTATTGTCCCAAGTTAGACTATCAACATCGAATAAGCACCCTCTGATTCGCCGAGAGCTGCAAATCTATGCACATTGAAGGTGCACAGTGTGATCATTACCTAGGTACTGTACCTATACTGCATACACTCCGTTCACCTCCAGTGCTGTATGTATAGTCGTACAGACCCAATTAACAGAATAACATAATTCTCACGGGTGGCATTCACGGCATCACAAGCCCATGGTACAAAGGCCCCACAGCCAAAAAGCGCTGACTCGCACCCTTACTCTCCGTACTCCGTACAGGTCAACTTCTTACACTTGACACTTCTCTACTCTCTTTCTCTCTCTCCTCCCTCCTCTCCCCTCTCGGTCCTTTTTAAACCCACACGTGTCCTTCAGTCCTTCAATACCGTAAGTGCCTGTCCCGTCGGGTCCCAACATTTCTCCGCTAGTTTCTCCTATCGCCAACTCCACTCAACATTCTCCCTAACTCAATTCCTCAGGTCCAATCCGCCATCATGTCCGAGACCAAGGAACTCACTTTCCAAGAGATCGCCGAGCACAACACCAAGAAGGACCTCTACCTGATCGTCCACGACAAGGTCTACGACTGCTCCAGCTTCGTCGATGAGCACCCGTACGTGACCCCGATCCCGATCTCTGTCGCTACACTGCTTCCCAGTGTCTGCCCATACCCAATACCCCCCTCACCCTATTCTCCATCCCACCGCGACAGCGAGGAAGCAGAAGCGGAAGGAAAGGGGGGAACCAAGACCCCCCAGCCGATCTTTGCACCTTACGATCGCATCAATCCCTCAATAACATAAACACAACCTTCCAAAACAAAACACTAACAATCCTCAATAGTGGCGGTGAAGAAGTCCTCCTCGACGTCGGCGGTCAAGACAGCACCGAAGCCTTCGAAGATGTCGGCCACAGTGACGAAGCCCGCGAAATCCTAGACGCCATGCTCGTCGGCACCGTGAAGCGCATGGTGAGTTTTCTTTCTACCCCATTTCCCAAAATCCCTCCACCTCCAACCTTAACCTTGAACCGGGTTTCAACAATCCCCGCACATCCTCGGCGAATGCGCCAAATCACATGCACCCCATTATGGACTCATACTAACACCCTCCAGCCCGGTGACCCCGAGCCCAAGGCCGCCCACGCCGCACCCTCCTCTTCCTCCTCCTCCTCTTCTACCGCCGGCTTCGGCGTCGGTCTCTACGCCGTTGTCCTGATCGGTGGTGCCATTGCCTACGGTGCATACAACTACCTGCAGGCCCAACAGGCTCAGCAGCAGTAAATCTTTATTTTTATTTTGAATTGGATTTGCGGGGAATGGGAAATATTCGCATGTTAATAGATGTTTGATATGGGGTCAGACAAATGCAGTCGGTTTCAACACATTGCGCCTTGGCGTGGGAAAATATGGCTAAAAGAGCAAAGAGCGAGTTTTCTCCAAGATTTTGATGGTGTTTTTTTTTTTTGCTTCTGAATGGACTTTCCCTACCTGGTATCTTTTTTAACGGTTCTATTTATCTACAATTCTTCGATGTCTGTACTAGTATTTTTCGGTATGGTTCTTGGTATACTGTATACTGTACCGTACTCATTAAATCTCGGGAACTAATACGCTCCCTCCGTAGAATGGGCAATTCACCCCGTCCAGGCGGAAGTCTTTACTCCTTCGGGCGTGACGATCCCGCACAATTTCCCCTCACTTCGTCTCCAATTTCCTGCGGAGGGACTTTCTAGGGTCTTCGGTGTTATTCCAGTTCTAGACTCGATTGTTTATCTTCAGATCGGCAGTACTATCAATGTAATAAGTCCATTCAGTAGCTACAAGAATGCAGGGGGGATTTTGTGGGAAGAAAACCAATATTCATGAAGTGATAGATATCAAAAACACAGTGAAATAAAAGAAGCAAAATTCAGATCCCGCTCGCTGAAACCTGAGGCAAACATATATGTATCGGTCGGGATTCTATGTAACTTTCTCAACGAGAGCCATTGAGACCATTCTGCACGGCTTCCAGGATCATCTCCTTCGCCTGCTCCAGGCCGGCGGAGCTGCCGCGGATCTGGATGGCCTCGCCGGGTGCCTGCTGCTTGGGCACGTTGATGTGGCAGCCGGTCTGCTTGCGGATCGTGTTGATTTGGCTGCCGCCCTGGCCGACAACGAAGCGGTAGGTCTTGGGGTCGGGCAGGATCAGGAATCCGGTGGCTGACTGCTGCGAGGCGGAGGCGATGGCCTTCTCGATGACAGCGCGGGCCTTGGCGACGTTCTCGGGGGAGCCGGTCAGAACCCAGGGATAGGGGGAGGAGGGGGTGGAGGGCGCGGTGTTGTCGACGATGGTCCAGGAGTGGGCATCGGCGGCGGCAGTGGGGTCGTCGGTGATCAGGGGCATGGCGGCGCCGTTGGCTCGGGTTTCCTCGGTGGCGTTCACGGGAGGCACGGGCTGGCCGGCGTGGTCGACGGTGACCTGGTGGTCGTTGCGCAGGCGACGGAAGATGGTGCCGTTGTCGGCCACGGCGTGGTGCAAGTGGCTGGGGACTTCCAGGGTCTCGGCGTGCTGCTCCTTCAGCATGGACTTGACGTGCTCCTTGGCGCTTTCCACGGCGATGCTGGGACCCTTGAGCTTGACGTCGGTGCGGCCGGAGCCAAGCTTGGGAATGTCCAGGGTCACGTTGAACTTGGACTCAATGCCACGGCGGGTGTCACCTCCGCGGCCGATGAGCAGACGGTGTTGAGCAGTGGGGACGTCGAGGATCTCGGTGACTTGGTCCTGGCGTTCCTTGACAAATTCTTCAATGGCCGTGATGATGCTGTCGACAATCTTGCCGTTACCCTCGAGACGAATAGTCGACTCGGTGCTGTCGGGCTTGGGGAAGCGCACCATTCTGGCGGCACTGCCGTCAGAGGGTCCGCCAGCCTCAGTCACAATCTTGCGGATGTTGGCACCTGTGATGAATTAGCAATTGTAGTATATAGAGCTTGCCACGATAAAACTTACCGCCTCCACCGATGAGAGCCTTGTGGTACTTCTTGTCAACCTCAATAGACTTGGTAACAGTAGCGTCGAACTCGCTAGCGCGCTGCAGCAGAATCTTCTTGGCCTCAGCAACCTGCTGCTTGGTACCCTTGACGCGGATCTCAACACGGCCCGATGCATCCGGCGCATCGTTAGCGTTGGGCACGTCAATCTGTGCACCAGTATCAGCACGAAGCTTCTCCATCTCACGGCCGCGCTGGCCGATCAGAGAGGCGACCTGGCTCTGAGCCACGGAGACTGCGGCCGAGTGGCCGTTCTCGATGATCCACTGGAGCAAGCTGAGAATCTCGTCACGGGCAGAGTCAGCACCCTTGCTGGGACCCTTCACGAGAACCTCATCGGGAGCCTGCTGAGCGCGGCTGGGGCGGGCACCACCAGCATCACTGCCGGCGTCGGCAACATCGTCGCTGGCGGTGGCACGGGGGAACTGAACGCGAACTGAGTATCGGTCCTGAAGCTTGTTGACCTGAATTCCACGCTGGCCGATCAGCTCACGGTGGTACTGTGCGGGGACCTTGAGGATGTGAGTAGTCTCGTCCTCAAGCTTGCGGCCCATGTTGATGATGCGCATGCGGGTGGCGTCAGCCTTGGCCTTGGGGCCCTTGACCTCGACCTTGCCATTCTCGACCTTGATATCGACATCGAATTCCTCACGGAGCTTGTTGATGTTCTCACCACGCTTGCCAATCAAGAAGTTGGCGTACTTCTGGGGGAAGTCAAAGCTGGTGATGTAACCACGCTCCTTGTCATCCTGCTCTTGCTCAACGACGAATGCCTCAAGCTTGGTGACGAGGTCAGCCACGGTGGCCGAGGGACCGCGGAGGGAAACCTGGCATTGAGAGCCCTTGGCTTCACCAACGATGGCGCGAACCGGAATACTCTCCTCGCCCTTGGCCTCCTGCTCACGGTTGATAAACTTGCGAGCCTTCTCCTGGTACTTAGAGGGGATAGCGACGGACTTGGAGACAATATCGTTCTGGTCTCCAAGAGCACTGAGTAAGAACTGTTGGGCCTCCTGCAGACTCTTCTCGAAGGTAGCAACGTCTGCGGGGGAGGGACGCTGTCTGGGGACCTCGAAGCGCGAGGCAGTTGCGGAGGGACCTTCGTAGACAAGGACAACCTCGGTGCTGTCAATGTCATCCGGAACCATCAGGTGAACACCGTAGTCACCTTGGAGGGTGCTTGCGCTGCGGTTGCGAAGATACTGGTGGAAGTAAGGATCGACAGGAACATGGCGGAGTCTGGAAGGAGGAAGAGCCTGGATCAGGTTCATGATGTCGGAACGGGCACGGATGGTGTTCTTGCCGTCACGGGAGTACACCTCCCAGGTGACGGGCCCACCGACGCTGGGCGGGAGCGCGATGTGGGCATCGTAAGTAGACTCAAGTTCCTTGATGACTTGGCGACGGCGGAGGTACTGAGACAAAGCACTGGCATGGGCGTGGGGGCCGGCGGGAGCTGTGGGGTGCTGGCGGGACAGGTCAATGCTGGCCATCTGCATGCTGGTAGCAAGATCCATAGCGTGTTCGATACCAGCCTCAATCTGGTCAAGGGGACCGGTGATGGTGAGGAATTCGCTGTCGTCAGAAGGAGGGGGCAGTACCACGGCACATCCAGTCTGTGCAATGAATTTGTGTAGAGCATCAGCCTCATTGCCCAGAATGAACTGGTGCTGGCCACGGTTGATCGCCAGCTGGCGAAGAGTCAGTCGCTGGCGCAGTTGTGCAGCCAAGCGCTCAATCTCAGCGCGAGCCTCCTGGGCAGCAGCGCGTTCTCCGGAGATGGAAATGTGTTTGTCAGGGCAAGCAACAAACTGAACCTGGCCGGGATTGGCCTCCTGGGGAGGAGGCTGGCTCGACCAAGTATCGTAGCGGGGAACGTTGATCTGCGCCTTCGTGCGCTCCTCAATTGCGCGGAGGTTGGCATCATGTGCGCCCGCAATGAAGGGGAAGAACTCGGGGGGAACAGTCTTCAGCTTGAAGCTCATGCTCGAGCCGCGCTCCTTGACAATGGCCTCGATCTCGCGGCGGGCCATCTCAGCAGCCACGGCATCACCCTCAATCAGAATGTCAATGGTGTCATCGTCGTCGTCTTCGGCGGCGGCGTTGCCATCGGCGCGAGGAACCTGCACACGGGCACCGGTGCGGGTCTGGATGTCGGTGATCACGGAACCTTGACGGCCGATGATGTGAGCGCGAGCGGATGTGGGGATAGGAACACGGACGGATTGCTGTTTGTCGAGATCATTAGACATTGAGGGTTCTGTGCTGGGAAACTCTAAGACGTACCTTGGACCCGACCTGCTGGGCAACTTCCCGCAGAGCCTGGCGCACCGCATCCACAGAGCCCTTTCCTTCAAAGATGACGGAGCCGCTAGGGCCATCGCGCATATCCACATTGGCCTTGGAGCGACGGGAGATGTCGCGCAGAATATCACGGAGGGGCTTCTTCATTTGACCGCGGGGCTGCATCTGAGAGGGGGCAAGGCGAAGCTGCTCCATGTGCTTGCCAGGGAGGGCCATCACACGAGGGATTTCTGTAACAGCGCTGTTAGAAACTAGAGGCAGACTGGGAATCACCGGAGCTTTCCACATACCCATTGACTTAGGGGGCTGGCCGTTGGGGACAGCGGCTGCCGCTGAAGGCTTCTTCGCGCCCCATGTAGCGGCAGCGGGGGCAGCGGGCTTGGGGCCACTTCCCAAGGCCGGGAACAGTTCCTCCGATTGTACGTCAAAAGCAGGAGCCTTCTTGGGGGCAGGCTTGGTGGAGCCTGGGACCGGGTCGGCTACTGGGGGTTGCTCAGGAGCATCTGCGTCCACGAGAACAGGTTGCACGGGTTGAGCGGCGGTGGGAGGGGGGTGCTTGAGGTCTTCTTCGTCCACGGTTTCCTCCACGGTGGCCTTGTGCGCCTCATCGCGGGCGTGCTGCTGTTCCAGCATGGCGGCGAGGGATCCGCCATTGGTGCTTGAAGTTTCGGCGGCCATTTTGAATGGGTGGTTGTAGGAGAGTTCGGAGTTGGGGATGGATTTGACAATGGGCTATGCACCAGATCCTGCAATCAAGGCTAGTCTGGGTCAGTATGCAATGGGGGATAATCGGCGTACTTCCCGCCTTGGAACATTGTGGGAGACTCACAACTGAGAAGAGATTCAGGAAAGAGGTAACTTCCTGAGGGAAATAGGTATATTATAGAAATCCGAGAGATCTCAGGAGAAGATCAATGCAAAGAAAATGCAAGCGCAATGATCCGTGGCAATGCGCCTAAGGAAAAACGAGAGAAAAAGACAGGCGCCCCGAGAGAAAGCGACCTGAAGAGAAAGAGAAAAGGGGGGTGGAGAGAGAGAGAGAGAGATGTGAGGTGAAGTTCGAGAACCCCGGACGGTACACAAAGTCACCGAAAAGGCCAGCTCGAGGTTTCCGGGGAAGTTTTCTCCGAGGCCGAGCCTACATATATTTGAACATACTATAGTTATACTCAATTTCAGATTATATATTTCACTTTTTGATCTTCAATTGAAGCCGTGGAATGTTCGGACAAAGTCAATTGCAGATCCGGGACCCCAGATCGCATCTGCAGGCTCTGACTGCGGATATCCAACCTTGAACTCACCGAACCACTTGGAATTATCAACGCCCCCGGAGCTGCTCCGGGCTGCACATGAGGTCAAAATTTGCACATCCCAGAACCGATGGGGCTCGTGGCCAAGTGGCGGTGGCCAGGTTGGATGCAGGCCGTATGCACGGCTAGATGGTCACGCCTACATATCTGACATGTCGATCTCAGCCTATCATGAAAGTCTGTTTAGAGATCATTTGGCCTTCTCATCCATTCGGGGTGAGACAAACGACAAACTCGATGGCGAATTCGGTGAGGATTTTTCATTTCGAGGGTCCATCTTGTGGTGATATTCGAAAAAGCTTGTGAATGGAGCTTGTGAATGGCATGATTATTGCAGAGCGATATACAACTGCATACCGTGGTCGAGGTGAAAAGATCTGTGAACAGCATAAATGATCTTGCGAGCAGGATATCACAATCTGGGAAGCCTTGGACGACTTCAAGCAGGTCAACGCTGTGTTGTCCGTCAATGAGTGGCATCAACCTCTCCGTGCTGTTGTAGGGCGTTTATCGAATCCCTAAGAAATGGCACGTTTTCGGGGATTTTCCAGTTGCATATTGAATTGATCCGTAGATTCCAAATTCTCATCTCATGAAGTACAGTAGTGTAAATACATAGGTAGTTTAAAGTACTGTACGGATACTTCGTGAATATCTGATCTCATCCATATCTATGTTTTCATACCTGAATAGCTAGCCTACGAATCAATATGGCAACCTTGGAAGATAGCCAATGAGATGACCACTACACTTATCAGAAAACGGCGAAAAAAAAAAAGAAAAATGCCGAGGCGAAGCGAAGTGGCTCCACCGGGCAGGGTTTTGCCATTCCGCAAAGCTTAAGATCTATATACTTGGCATTGTCGATGCACCCAAGAACAGTATAACTACAGTTAACCATGAATTCAAGCATGTATACCCAGGTATCTTTACGTAGACAGTCCACAATAGAACAGAGAGAGACAAAGACACCGAAGGCGAAGAAACCTCGGAGATAAAAACCCACATTGGATAGATAGGGGCGACATCTGATACGCTAGTCGTTGCGGGGATTTCATGGTCGAGATTTCACAAGCACTTCTTCTTTCCTCTCCTCTCCTCTCCCTCTGTAGGGACAGGGACCAGGGTATATTTCAAACATGGAGGACATCGAGAAGAAGTTGCAGACCGAGCCGACTGTCTCAGCAGTGGCCCAGGAACCCGTCAAGCCACGGGGCGTCTTTGCCAAAATCCGCTACTATGAGGAGCTGCTGGACCGCAAGCTCGGCATCGAGTCTCACAGCTTGGACCGGGTGCATCCTGAGGATCGTCACCCGCCGAGTGATGTAGTGATGGCGTTCATGTGGGCGTCTGCTACTATGAACATCAGCTGTTTCAGTACAGGGTTCCTGGGCAAGCAATTTGGATTATCGTTGGGACAGACGATTCCAATTGTGATGTTTGCAACGCTGCTAGGCGCAATGGTGACTGTATGGTTTGGTGATGACTTTGGAAATAAAAGCTGACGGTGATTAGGGTTGGTGTGCAACTATGGGACCTGGGACGGGTCTGCGTCAAGTTGCCATTGCTCGATTCTCGTTCGGGTACTATCCCTCATCGATTATTGCATTGTTGAATGTCATCGAGCAGCTGGGTTGGGCATCCGTCAACTGCATCACTGGTGGGCTCGCACTCAGTGCTGTCTCGGACGGACGTGTCTCCATTGCTGTGGGCGTGGTGATCATCGCCTGCGTGAGTCTACTATTCAGCTTCGTTGGACTGCGTGGCGTCCTGCTGTATGAGAAGTACGCTTGGATGCTGTTCTTCGTGATCTTCATGATCATCTACGGCGAGGCTGCCCACCGCGCCAACATCTCTGCCCCACCTACGGTCTCAGGCCTCGAGCGCTCGGGTAATGTCCTGAGCTTGATCAGTGTCGTGTATGGATCCAGTGCCTCGTGGAGTTCTATCGTGTCGGACTTCTACGTTCACTATCCCGTCAACACGCCCAAGATCAAAGTCTTCTTGTATACCACGCTTGGTATCACGATCCCGACTTGTATCGGTATGCTACTGGGTGCCTGTATCAGCTCTGCGCTGGACACGAACCCCGAATGGCAAGCTGCTTACGATGTTGGAATTGGTGAAATCCTGAAGACAATCATCTACCCAACCGGATTTGCCAAATTCCTTCTCGTGCTCCTCGTCCTATCTGGAAGTAAGTATCCCCAACACCAAGACCATAACGCAAGCTAATCGTGAATTTCCAGTTGGCGTGAACGTGATTGCAATTTACTCCGGTGCGCTATCAGCTCAACTCTTCGCGCCCCCATGCGCCAAGGTCCCCAGAGCAATCTGGTCATTCCTGGTATTCGCCGGTGTCCTCGCACTGGGAATTGCTGGCAGGAATAAATTGTTGGATGTGTTGGAGAATTTCCTCTCACTGCTGGGGTACTGGAATACCTCCTTCTTTGCGATTCTGTTTATCGAGCATTATTATTTCCGAAAGGGAAATCTGGCCAACTACGATCTAGACGCTTGGAACGATTCTTCCCGCATGCCGGTCGGGTATGCGGGTCTAGGAGCATTCTTGTGTGGTGCCGCTGGCTGGATTGTGGGTATGGTGGAGACATACTATGTCGGTGCACTTGCCAATATGATCGGGAAGGACGGCGGTGACATTGCTAACGAGCTGGCGTTGGTTTTCAGCTCAGTATCTTATCTGCCCATTCGCAAACTCGAGTTGCGGTATGTGGGACGATGAATACGGCATGTGCCATCAAAATCTACAGATGGAATGCTAGGAAGCAGTTTTCAGATGGAGGATGATGGTTCTTATGGTGACTATCCCTACATGATTGTTCAAAGATACGAAGTTTAGTAGAGGACAGTTAAATATTATGTAATGAATAAATGTGCATTAACCTTGGATTTAACCAGGACATGATTAATATATTAATTCTGTCAGGCAAAGAGCAACGCGGTGACAAGAATCACCACGGCAAGGGTATCGAACAAAGGAGTGCAATGCTCTCAGGAAAAAGGTATAACGACCCAACCATTGACAGGAGAAGTGAAAGTGAAGAATGCTATGTATGGTTGCCAAGTGGCTTCCCAGAAGATATGTGCATTAGTTGGCCTTCACGTAAGGCCAGCCGTTCTCGAAACCGAGGACGTTCCAGGAGAACTTGTAGTTCACGTTGCCGTTGGCGGTCTCGGTCTGTTGCTTGGTAGCGAGAGGGTAGTAGTGGTAGTACATCACGACACCGAGGTCCTTGTCGGTGTACACACCAGGGCCACCGGGTCCGAAGACCTGGCCGTGGCTGGAGAGGAGCATGGTGCCGCCAGTCTGCTTGCAGTCCTTGCCATCGGCATCAACCTGGGTGCGTGTTAGTGGTTGTTGTGATCGTGAGGTATTCAATGAAACTTACAAAGTCACCGAGACCAGTGGAAGAGCGGCAGACGCGGATGTGGTACTCGGCACCGGCGGGAGGGTAGTTCTTGGTGTAGCCGCCTGCAATACCAGCAGAGTAGAGCAAGTAGTAGAAGTCGCCGTGCTTGAACTCATAGGCACCCTCCTCACGGTGGTTCAGGGTAGCGTTCCAGGAGACCTGGTAGGGAGCAGCACTGCCAACCTTGAGGGGGGTGTCCATGATGACCTGGTGGATATCACCCCAGAAAGAGCCGAAGACGAGGACGTTCTTGCCGCCGATTTGAATGAAGGCAGGGTCGATGCGGTTGTAAGCATCGTTGGCGGGAATTCCAATAGCACCGTGGTCGGTCCAGCTGCCGGGCTCCAGGGTCTTTGATGTTGCGACTCCAATCTGAGAGTTCTTGGTGCCGAGCTCTGACAGCACATAGTACATGTAGTACTGGTCGTTCTGGTAGTGAACATCGGGGGCCTGCACGTCGGTTAGCTTTCATTTCATTTCTGTGACTTTAGACTGAATTCTACATACCCAAAGGTTCTTGGGGTCGGTGTTGTCGAGTCTAAGGCTAGTTCCCTCTGGCAGAGCACCTCCAAGCTCTGTCCATGGACCTCTCACGGAGGGTGCGCTGTGAGTGGTGATGCCAGTGCCGGTTCCGAAACGGTAGAACTTTCCATCAGACACACGCTGAATCACGGCCGGGTCTTTGGTTTGGCAGGCGCCGGTGCAAGGGCCGCGGTTAGGGTATGCGCTGGCCAACGCAGTGAGGAGTAGAGGAACCAGAGACAGACCGAACATGATGGCGGTGTGAGGAGGTTGGAGGAAGATGTGCTGGAATGATAATAAAAACAATGTCCAGGCTGGGAATCTAGTCTAATTTATGTCAAAAAATCGGGAGTACTCGTTATTCGCAGCTTTCTTCATCCCCACGTAGGATGTCGGCCGCCGAGTATGACCATTTCGCATGGCAAGGAACAGCTGATCCAATCATCGGCTCTCGACCCCTGTCCATCGTCTCTGGGCAATGTAAGGCGCATGTCAGTATCGAGAGTCGGGTCTAGCTCTAGCCGAAAGGGATAGCGAGCTCATCCAACGATACGACAGTCGGCGTTGCTGCGTTCTCCTGTGGATCCGTGGACTTGTGGATCCTGAGCTGGCCCGGTTGATCAAAATCAAGGTAAACAAAGGGTTACCTGGGGCATCCTCTGGATTTGGTGTGATGTCTCGCATGGATTGTGCAAGGCGCAGTACGAAGTTTAGGTCGACCCATTGGATCTTTTGCATATCCCCCACATCAGTCCCACCGATGACCGCCTCACACGATCGAGAATCATTTCGGGGACGCTAGGAACTGGATAGAGATGTGTTGGTCCATGCATGTGTGTGTTGGTCCCACATTCTCATCAGCAAGGGGAGATAACCCTTTGCACACTAGTGAATTCTAAGACACTGCCAGGTCGTGACACTTCGAATCTCAATAATTCCGACAATCCTTCTCCTGAATTTGCCTGTGCAATGTACAATCTCATACATCATATTGCCGTGGCTTGATTCTTGTTTGTGGTCCGAGCAAATGATCTGCGTCCATGTGGACCGGGTTAGGGGGCTCCTCTGCCAATCACCGCTAGGGCCATCGTGAGATCCCATTTCGAGTCTTAGCACCTTGCTGCCCTTGGCCAGTTTATCAAGCTAGCAGAACTAGAGAACTTAAGAGTGTGTCACGCGAAGCCATCACCATGAGTGCAGATCTCGGGAGTCAACGAGAATCTTCAACGGATTTTCGCCATCGACGAAGACAATCACATCAGATGGTGGGTAGACGGCGACATCGTTAGGCGACTTAGTCTGCCTTGGCTTCTCCAGAAAATCATTTATTACCCGACGGCCGACGCAGAGCACAAGCAGCCTATGTCATCGGCACTTTAATCGTCGAATCACGTCTGCGATGATATAGAGCCTCTTTCCCCGCTTTTGAGGGCTGAGGTGAAGTTACATGAGTCGGGATCTGGACGATGTCTATCAAGTCACCTTCCCGGTCAGTCTGGGGTCCAATTTTGGCCCATGGCTATTGGGTCGTAATGACCCTGCCACACCGCCAGATCGAGGCCAGTGAGATCTAAATACGGGTTGACGATTGGCCCCGGGGGCCAAATGGAGTGGCTTTGTTCATGTTCGACAAATTGAATCGTCCAGGTCCGAGGTCTCTTCCGTTCCCCTCCCGTCTTTATGAATCGCTAAGAAGTTTAGCAGCCCTGGAGCTGCATGAAAGCGAGCCGTGGCTATGACGACATTCTATATATATTTGCAGTGCTTCGGCCGTCGCCCGATCCACGTCGTTTTGTAAGCACAACAGCCCGCCAGACATGCATCAGTGCCAAAGTTCAGAGCCAAAGTCTGGAATTTCTGTTACTCATGCCCAGCCCTGATGTTTACCTAGGTATCGATGCAGCCCACGGGTCACTGCAACTTAGGTTCATCTCAGCCGAGCCTTCGTACCTAATCCATCAGAGGCATGGAATAGGCCCCAATCTTGGAAGGCAGATACCGTGCGCTATTTACTCGCATGTGTCAATTCCGTATCTAAGTACCCACCTGGGCATATTCGCCAGCCTGGCTGCCCAGGTGCTCTCCACATGGCCGAGTGCCCAGATGGACGGCATCAAGAATCCACTAGTGAGATGACTGCATCCCTGTCAGATAAGGCTCGGCGAGAATATCCTACCTTGCTTCCAAATTCTCGTATGTATCTCTTCTCCTCACCGATAGGTAAAGTTTACTCCGTACTCTCAATGCCAAAGTCTAGGTAGGAGCCACACCGCTACGATTCCAAGGTTCATCCTTGGAACGCATCTGCCCAGCTCCAGAGCTGCTTCTGCGAATGCCCCCGGCTGAAACATATAAGGTATAAGGTATTCCTCTTAGATTCTGCGACCCAAATGTTTAGTGCGCGGTTACATTTTACATGTTAGCGTACGAGCTCGACATGACCCAGTTGATCCCTAAACAAGCCCCAACAATAGGGTAGCTTACATCCATGGATGTTGAAGGCCTTGAAACAGCCTCCCGAGGTCCTGATGTCGATGTGTCATATCCATGAAGTTGGCACAGAATAGGACTCTTCTGGAACGATATGGAAGCGCTCAATGGAAGTCCAAAGGTGCTGCGCTTGGATACACTCGCAAATGGTAACCTTTTGATCCTGCAACTATCGAATGCAGTCGAAGGTTTCGAACTGCGATAATTGGTATTCGCCAACCTTGAAGATTATTCATGAATACTTACTCTGTATCTTGATCGTCTTTGTGTAGGCCCGTTGGAGACTGACTCAATAATCCATTCAAATATATACCGTGGATCTCAGTATCAAATTTTCTACCCACTTCAGATAAAATCTTCCATCACAGGCCCCAACGCCCCATCAACCTCGGAAATTTACTTCCAACCTTGGAGATTGCTAGTGCAACCCTGGAAGCATAGCACTTGGAAACTACTTTCGGGACTTCACCAGGGTACCCTGAACCCGACGGTTCAGCTGGGCCGCGTAGAGCTTATTCTCGTTGAGAATGAACATCCGGCCATCAAGACCAAACGAGAAGTTAGAAGCCCCATCCTTAACAAGAACCTTTCCAAGGAGAACACCGCCAGGCGACCAGACATTCACACCATCACCACAGCCAGCATACACATTGCCATCGGTATCAACCTTGATTCCATCAGGGATGCCCTCACCAGGCATAGCGAAGAAGCGGCGGTTAGTCAAGAATGGCTGGCCATGCGCAATGGTCACATCAAAGGCATAACTAAGGAGAATTAGCAACTCAAATATCCACTGTGAAAGTTTACTCACATAGCAGCTGGCAAGGAGTTGTCCTTGGTACCATCACCCACTGTCTCTGCCGTGTCGGTGATATAGACCACCTTCTGGTCAGGCGAGAAGGCAATACCATTGGGACGTCCGAATCCATCAGCAACCACACGCACATCCTTCGTGGCAGGATCAAAACGGTAGACCTGGTTGGGCAGCTTAGGCTTCGGGCGGATACCCTGATGCCATCCGTACTCTGGGTCGGTGAACCAGATCGAGCCGTCATCACTGACAGCCACATCGTTCAGGGAGTTGAATTGGCGGCCGTGGAAGGTGCTCAGTAGGAGGGTTGAGTTGTACGGTGGTGCGGCAGACATCTGGAATAGACCGCCTTTATCGTTCATATCGCCTTGCGCAGTCCAGACAATTCCATTGTCGTGGTTGATGCCGCCGTTCGGCATGGGGATGGTCGTGTTGACGATCTCCGCTGTGAGCGGGTGCTTGCTCAGGCTGACCTTGGAGACTTTGATGGTGGTCTTGTTAGTCGTGGGATCGGTGAACATATTGCTTGACATGAAGAGCTCATCCGAGGTCGGGATGTAGACGCTTGCTTCGTGGGCGAATGGGTAGTCATTGTTCTCGACTAGGAGGTCCAGCTTTGGGGCGTGGCCGAGGATATCTAAGAAGCTGGAGTTGTATACTGCGAATGCGGAGGGAATGGAAGAGTTGGCGCGTGCCACGCTAGAATGAATAGAAGACATATTGGATGTTGAGCAATTTTCAGGGGGGATCAAGCTTAAAAGAAGGTTCTGTAGGTGATGTCAAGATATCCACTCGACGGAACGCGTGAAGAAATCAAACATCTCTAGTACCACTTAGGGCAAGATCCCCATATGGAGCAGGTTCGGGGAAATTCCCGTGTAGAATGTTCCTTCGTCCTTCGTGATCTTCAGATCAAGCGTATTGTTCTGATCTTAAATCTGATCTCGGTGGATCGTGATCCCCCGAACAATCTCCGATATTCGGCCGCCCCTTTAATTTGTTCCAGAAGCCACTTTGGAAGTGAGTGGGCTGTCAGCTCTGAAGATATTCCGTTTTCCGTCTCGAAGCGAGTCTTGAACCAAGATCAGACAGAGAATCTATTTTTTCTCCCGCTCGATAGTCGACCGTTTAGCCGAGCCGGAATGCGCCACACGATGTAAAAGGTGGAGCAGGGTCAAGGCGTCCCCGTGGGCATGAAACAATTCAGCTGTTTGACCGTGTCGAGGGCATCAGTAGAGTACAGTATGAGTATAGTACTCTGTTAAGGTCAGTCATGTTCGTTCATCGTTGGAGTGTGATAAACGTGTCCTTGGATCTTCACCGAGAACCCTGGCCATGGCCGGACTGCGTTTGACAGCGGACAACGACCGAAGAGGCGTAGCGGCGTTGGAGGCAATATCCCAGATCTCAAGTGCCCCGGTCTGGCAAATGAGATGGCGGAACCTGTTTCTCCATGACCAGAAGAGAGGACATCCATTGGGTCTTCATGCGCCGTTGGTCAAGCCCGAAGCATTGCGGTCAGAAATAAACGCAAAGTCATAGCTGAAGAGCTATCTGTAGTCCGTTGAAGGCATCCGAGTCAATCGAATCAGAGGCGCTTACTGTGACAAGGGGGGTCTACCAACGGGAACCCAACGGACATCCAACGAAGAGACCAGGGGATTCCAGATCCTATTACTCTGTCAAACCAACCAGAAGCAGAAGCAGAATCCGAATCAATCCACACAGTGTCTACCCAAGGTCGCGGCTGAGCGTTAGGCCAAAGAAAAAGAAAAGAGAGGGATCTGTGCGACTGTGCTCCAGAGGGTTGGCTTGCGTCTGTCACACTTGTCCCTGTTCGATTAACCTTTTTGAGACGTGTTCGGCTGCCAGGGGCAAGCGGCGCAGGTACTTTTTGCGTTTGCTCGGGATATATGAATCGAGGTCTGTACAGAGTATGGTAGCACTTGAGGTCAAATGTGAGAGGTGAAAAGCGAATGTGAAATGTCATGTCTCAGATCCACTATATAGGACTGGTTCTATTCTGGGAGACATTCTGATATTAATGCTGGAGCAATAGTATTGGGAGTACTATATACAAAAAGTACACAAGAACAGAAAGCAGAGTCTGTACAGTACTCATATATGTAGTTATTTATGCTCGAATACAGCTATGTAGTAGACAAAACACTATACTGAAATAGTGATCTTCAGTCCTAAATTGACCGTCACCCAGCCACCGACTCCTTTTCCCACTCCACGTGCGAACTTCATCTCATCTATCTCTTCTGCATCTTCGTATCCCCCATCCATCGTCAAAACCTTCGGGGACCCGGTTATTCTCCGCGGCAGCTCGCCCATCTGGTTGGTTAGAGCAAAAAATCCTGCATCTGACCCCTCCTCGGCCCAATTTCAATCTGTCTCGTGTAGAGACAGGCGAAATTTGCCCATCATGAATCAGGACAATTTCCCATTGAAATTCCGCCGAGCCTCCAGCAAACTGTCCAAGGAAGCCCCTAGCTTCAGTTCGCGCATTCTTCGGAGTCATCAGAGCGCTACCTCGTTGAAACGCACCCCCTCCGCCCCCGTCTACCCGCGCTCCTCTCCTAGCAGCAGCCGCGAGCACAACCGGTCGCGATCCAACGCACAGTTCCCGGGCTCCTCGTCCTCCTCCCTAGAGCAGAACAGTGGCGGTCCCTCGCCATTGAATGACGAATCCAGTGGCTTTTTCTCCGGCTTCACCTCACGCTCCCGCACCCGCAGCTCCAACCGTTTCTCTTACACCGAGCAGAGCTCGGATGAATTAAACGCCCCTTACGAAACGCGGGGCATGCTCAGTGCCCTGGACGAGAACATCGCCGAGCCAGACCCTCATTCCCAGCAGAAGCCTCCACTCCGCTCCCATCACACCAGCCCCGATAATCGCGGCCGCCACTCCCTCCGGCAGTCCGCCAGCTTCACCACCCTCACGAACCGCATGGATCCATTCGCCCACCGCGAAACCGAGCGGGTGACGAACGTTAATGGCAACAAACGGTATTCTGATGATGGTGCTAACACTCCGCCGGCGCCCCGAACAAGGCAGAGCAAGAAGGCGAGCTTCTCGAGATTCGTGGACAGTATGCTGGGAACTCCCGGTCGCAACATGAAGATTTCAGCTCCAGAGAACCCAGTCCACGTCACCCACGTCGGTTACGACAACCAGACCGGTCAGTTTACAGGACTGCCCAAAGAGTGGCAGCGCCTCCTCCAGGAGAACGGCATCTCGAAGAAGGAACAGGAAGAGCACCCGCAGACTATGGTGGATATCATGCGATTCTACGAAAAGAACACCCGCGGCGACAGTGACGACGAAGTCTGGCACAAATTCGACAACGCGCAAGCCACGAGCCCCAGCGGACGACAATCGCCCCCAGGAAGCCCGCGATTCCCACAAAACCACGAGCGTAGCTTTGAGAATCCGCGGTCGCCTCCACCGGTTCCTCGCGGTCCTCCGGTTGGCACACCATCGATGTCTCCCTCGTCTGCGGGCATGGTCCCTCATCGCGCTCCCCCGAAGCCACCGACCGGGATGACCCCCTCCCGCGCTCCTCCCCAACCACCCGTCTCGAACCTGTACGCAAGCCCGCAGCCCCAACGGTCCCAGGACAACTATGGACCTACGTTTGGTACCCCGACCATCCCGGAAACCGAACCGTTGCCCGTCTCTCCCCAGCGCAGTCCCTCCGGCTCCCGAAATGGCACCCCCGCCTCCAGCGCCCCCAACGTCATCGCATCCCCAACCCAATACCAGCGTCAGCAGGAGCAGGTCATGGCCGCAGCCCAACAGGCCTTGGATCGGAACCGCACGCAGCGACAGCAGGCCCAGCAACCTCCCCCAATTTCCACCTCTACGACTGCGCCCGCACCTGACCTCTCCTCTGGGGTGTCGCCCACTGTGCGCGCGCCGCCGGCTGCCCGCCCGCGCCAGCGCCAGCGCCAGAGTAATGCCATGGATATTCGGTCGCGTCTCATGTCTATTTGTCACCCTGGAGATCCCACGCAGATCTACTATAATCTCAACAAGATTGGCCAGGGTGCATCGGGTGGTGTGTTCACCGCGTATGAACACCCCCATAATAACTGTGTTGCCATCAAGCAGATGAACTTGGACCTGCAGCCCAAGAAGGAACTGATTATTAATGAGATTTTGGTCATGAAGGACAGTAAGCACAAGAACATTGTGAATTTCCTGGAAAGCTTCCTCCACGGGCTGGATCTGTGGGTGGTCATGGAGTATATGGAAGGTGGCAGTCTGACAGATGTGGTCACCTTCAACATTATGAGCGAAGGACAAATTGCAGCTGTCTGCCGTGAGGTAAGTACCGCCAAAAAGCCCGCCAAGAACAGTATGGATACTAATGGCTCCGTAGACCCTGAATGGCTTGCAGCATTTGCACTCCAAGGGCGTTATCCATCGTGATATCAAGTCCGACAATATTCTTTTAGCATTGGATGGCAACATCAAACTGAGTGAGTCTCTCTGCCTTTGGATCAGACAAGTATGCTAACAACATCCAGCCGATTTTGGTTTCTGTGCTCAAATCAACGATTCGCAAAACAAGCGCAACACCATGGTCGGAACTCCATACTGGATGGCTCCCGAGGTCGTCACTCGCAAAGAGTATGGTCGCAAGGTCGACATCTGGAGTTTGGGTATCATGGCCATTGAGATGATCGAGGGCGAGCCTCCCTACTTGACGGAATCCCCTCTCAGAGCCCTATACCTCATTGCCACCAATGGCACGCCCACCATCAAAGATGAACACAACCTATCCCCCATCTTCCGTGAATTCCTCCACTTTGCACTCAAGGTTGATCCCGAGAAGCGTGCATCTGCTCACGATTTACTGAAGGTATGTACTCCAATTAACCCTGAGACGAACTCCAGTCGTTAACATCTCCAGCACCCATTCATGTCCCTCTGCGCACCGCTTTCGCATCTCGCCCCCTTGGTCAAGGCTGCCCGGATCAGCCGTGCCCAAGAGAAGGCCCAAAAAGGAGGCGCTTGAACGACGATTAGTTCCTATGTTTCGGATTTCTTTTGTCATACCTTGATATCTCTTGCCGCCTCGCTCAGATACCCCGTCACTCCCGATGTTTCTTCTAGATCCCGACCTGCAGTGTTGTTCGTCGTTGGAAATTTATTCTCTGTACTCATTTTATTCCCACATCTATTTCCCCACATCGCCTGTCGATGAAAAGACTCCCGTTGAGCCCGATGTTCTGATATTGTTGCCTACCGCAATTGTTGTGTTTCCTACTCTGGTGTCGTAGTGTGCTGTAGGTCTGCTACTTGTTATGTTGCCATATTGTTCATAAAAGAATCAGCTGTCATTGGAATGTCATTCCTTCCTTGATAATCGGGCATGGGCGAGTTCCGAAGTTCCCTTCCACGTATTTCTCACTTCCAAGAGGCTGAGTATTGCAGAGAAAGACTTCAAATCGACCCATATAGAGTGGAGCCATGTTCAATAAATATGGGGAAACCAAACGCATCAGCCTAGAGATGAAGCTATAGTGACAGGAATACGAATACGAAGTAGAGCCGGCAGGCAGCCGGGATAGCGCCTGACTAATCATGCTTTCAGGGACAGTTAGGCTGCTAGGCCACCATCGTCATAGTGCTGAATCAGGTGACGACTTTCCCATATCCAGCCCTGGAGGTCACAATTCTTTCTCACAACTTACACGGCATAGACTGCGTTCTCAGTGCTTTTTCCTGCCAAGACACAAACTACTCGTACAGACACCCTCACCGCCCGCATCCATTCCAGCCGCACCGCCGACTCCCCGCATTCGCTGCTATCGCTGGCCACACAACACTTGGAACGAAAGCGCCGAGCTCCCGAGCAAGAACACGGATTGAAGTTCGGCTTTGACGCCTCTGCGAAGTTTCACACAGCGATTTACCCAGCCGAAGTGCTGCCCGACGCCTCATACCCACCTTCAACACCGACTCGTTAGGGGGATACGTGCGCTATGTTTCGCGCGCAGCAGAATGCCTTCGACGATGCCGTCGGTGCGTATTTATCGACTCCTTGCCTCTTGCTTGTGACTACGCCTTGGACTTCGAGGTGTCAGAAATAAGCGAGAGGCAATTAGCGGGGCCAGTTGGGATGTGATTGCTGACTTGGTGGTTGTTGATTAGCCAAGGCAACGGACGAGAACCTCACATCCGAGAACTGGGAATACATTCTTGTACGTTGAGTTGAACCCACAGCTATCTGTCGCATTCGAGAGAGGAGCTAATATGATGTCATGGTATAGGATGTCTGTGACAAAGTTGGCTCAGAAGAATCAGGGTAAGCGGAGCGAATCGAACGGACGCCTCACCGAAGTTGCTCATGCTGACTGTGATGCGCGACGATATAGTGCGAAGGAAGCAGTTGCTGCTATGATCAAGCGATTGGCCCACCGGAATGCCAACGTACAATTGTATACACTGGAGGTTCGTGATCGAGGTAATGGCTCAGTTTTTTGGGGTTTTGCTAACCATATTTAGCTTGGAAACTCGCTGTCCCAGAACTGTGGAGTCAAGATTCACCGCGAGTTGGCCTCCAGAAGCTTTACTGATGCGCTGTTGCGTCTGGCTGCTGATCGGGTAAGTGACGATAATGCAATCCGGAAATGTAGCAGCGTTTGACTGATCCTCATACAGAACACACACCAACAAGTGAAGTCGAAGATTCTGGAGCGCATGGAAGAGTGGACGGAGATGTTCTCTTCTAACCCGGACTTCGGTATTATGGAACAGGCTTACATGAAATTAAAAACTACCAGTGAGCACTATCTTTCTGGCACAATGTGCAAGATAAACTCGGCTAAAACTATCGCAGACCCCAATCTCCAACCCCCATCCAAACCCGGCAAGCGCGAGATCACCGATGTTGACCGCCAGATGGAAGAGGAGGAGCTACAGATGGCGCTTGCTCTCTCAATCAAGGACAAGACAGTTCCAGGACCCGCACCATCCCAGGCTGCGGGCGCAGCAGCTCCTCGGACCGAGTCCTCTTCTGCCGCTGCCGTGTCTGCACCTGCCCCTACGAACCAAGCGGAGCCTGCCGAGGCCCAGGCCGTCCTCTCTGGAACATCGGTTGCGACTGTATCCCGTGTGAGGGCATTGTTTGATTTCCAGCCATCTGAGTCCGGTGAGCTGCAGTTCCGCAAAGGAGATATCATTGCAGTCTTGGAGTCGGTGTACAAAGATTGGTGGAAGGGTTCCCTGAGAGGTCAGACCGGTATCTTCCCTCTCAACTATGTGGAGAAGCTTCCCGATCCAACCGTGGACGAACTTCAGCGAGAGGCTCAAATGGAAGCGGATGTATTCGGTCAAATTAAGAGCGTGGAAAAGCTTCTCACTTTGCTGAGCACCCGCAACTCCGATCTTAATGTTCAGGAAAACGAAGAAATCACGACACTTTACCAAGCTACGCTTGCGATTCGCCCTAAGTTGATCGAACTTATTGGGAAGTACTCGCAAAAGAAAGGTACGCCCGTGAAGAGTCGTTGTTATGATACAACTTACTTATTTTCTCGCAGACGAATTCACTCAGCTCAATGAGAAGTTTATCAAAGCTCGTCGTGATTATGAATCTCTTCTGGAAGCATCGATGGCCCACCCTCCCCAGTCTCAATACGGACGACCTGTCCAACCGCAATATGGCTATCCCGGTGCTGCGCCTGCTGGTTATCCACCTGCCCAGGCCGACCCACGATACTTTACCCCCCGGCCTCAGGGTAAGCCCCATGCAAACATACTCCATTGTTGCCCCCCTTTCCATACTGACCATCATAGAAACTACTCCCACGCCAGCGGCCGCACCATACGCGCCATACCCGGGCAGCGAACAGACAATTCCCTACAGACCTGCCTCTCACTCGCCTGATCCCCGAAACCACGCTCAAGCCGGGGTGCCACCTGTGCAGCAGCAAACTCCACAGCCCGATCCTTACCAGGGTGGAGTTGTTCACCACCGCCCCCAGTCTACATTCGACCACCCCCAAGAACTAGGAACATCTGTCTATGATTCACCCGTCGATCAGCCCGCTCCTGCTCAGCGTTTGCCTTACCCTCAAGCCGGCCAAGCTCCTCCTGCTAGCCACCAGCAATTCCAACCCCAACAGCAGGACTACTCTCCTTCAGCATACTCCCCTGAAGACCCGCCCCAAGCCCCACCAGCATCTATCATGCCTCAAATCCCACACCAATTCCAACAACAGCACCAAGCCCCTTACCCCAACTCCCCCGATGCCCAACAACCACCATCACACCAACCCCCTCCAGTTCCTAGCGCTGCTCAGCCCCAGTACACATCCTACACACCCCCTGCACCTGCTCCAGCGGGCGAGTATCAGGCCTACCAGCCCCAGGGTGGAGCAGTTGGCTCAAATCCGGCTTCCTTCTACCGGTAGATGATTGGGACGGTTTTGATCTAGTCAACTAGAAGCAGTATCTTTTGTTTTCTATGTTGGCTTCATATGGCATTTGATTGGTCTTCATTTTGTTACCCTTTTGTTGGTTTACTGTCTGTTAGTCTCTAGTCTACCGTTGAAGCGTCGTCTGGTACTCGGCGGTAAATATTCGTGAGAATTTATCTTAAGCTACGATATTTGAATGTAGCAGTTAGAATCAGCCACCGTTCACAAGGCTTTGTAAACTTCGCTTCCAATGTTGGGTTACTGGATGCTATTCGGGTACAGTTAAGTCTCACTAGGACAGCATGCTTGCCCTATACTTGTTTCATTTCTTCAGAGCTTGAAAGTGCATGCTTGTATCTGACACAACCTCCAAAACAAAAACGTCCTCACTCATATCGCCACGGGCCCTGGCAAAGGACAAAATAAGCTTAAATGTACCTCATGGACAAGGCTCGCCCCGGACGTGAAAGCCAATGAGATCACAGCCATTTGACGGGCAGGTGGATCCCCAACCCAGCCTCAGGCGGATCTTCATGTCTTTAACATCATGGCGATAGATGTTCTGTCACCAGAGATCCTGTTGACAATCCTGGAACTCCTCACTCCACTTGATATCCTGCGTGCAACTCATGCTTCCGCGCTTCTACACCGCACCTTTACGGCCTATAAACACCATCTCCTCCGACACACTCTCCGCGAATCCATCCATCCGTCATGCAGAGCAGACCTCTACACCGCGCTAGACGCCCAGAGAATCCCTCAACTACTCAAGGCCGGTGAGACGCTCACTAAAGTCAAGGTTGAGTGTTTTTCGCTTTTCTCCGCCGACCGCGCTCGCCGCCGCCAGAGTCATCATGAACTTGAAGTGAACGACGACAAACTGGATATGCTTTTCTACCTCCAAGCCGATATCGAATGTCTGATCGATGCATATTGTGACTGGTCCTTGAAAAACCTATCTTGTCACCGAGAAAAACCATCCCAATATAATTCAACCAACAGCCATCCAAGATCGAACCTGTCGCCCACCGAAGTGGGTCGTCTCCAACGAGCATTCTACAGATGCGAGGTATACACAAGATTTCAACGGGTATTGAATCTTCTTGGAAAGGCAGCCGCCTTGAACTTTTCGCAGATTGTTTTGAGCTTCGTCTCGCAATTCACACTGTATGAGTTTGAGGAATTTGTCTGCATTCAACAGTTCATCGCACAGTTCATCAGATCTATATGGGAAAGAGTCGAAGATGATTTCTTGTCTTGTTTCCAATCAAGCGCTGCCGGCTCCAGCAGTGATACAAAAGACATAGGCAAACTCCTCGACGGTTCTGGCCTTTCATTATTCACGAAGTCATACAGAGAAAATGACTATTCCAGCTTCGTGAAACATCTCATATCGTGTGGACTACCTTACATTCTACATCTGAGTCTTATGGAGGCTCAAAAGCTTAAGAATGTCATTCTCGAGTCATATCCTGATTGGCGGGGGTTCGCAGGGACCGAATTCTTCTCCCAGGGCGCTCTGGATCTGGATTCATGCAGTGAGAAGCAGAGAGAAGTTCGCCTCCGCGGAAATATTGTCGACATATCTGAAGATACGCTCGATGGCCCCAACTTGGGTTGGAAGTGGGGGACTAGTTTCCAGGATTTTGTCAAATGTGATAGCCCTGCTTTGTTTGACGTGCGGGATCGGGGGTATGTATTTTGGGATCGTGAGAGACTTCAAGAGTCGGGCATGGTTAATGAGCCGGTTGTGGTCTGTGTTGGCGCAGATTATCTCCCACCTGGTCATAATGGTTCTTTCTTAAGGTCAAGTGTCGAAGAAAGGCTTGACGGTTTCGATGTTGATTCCGAAGTTCTAAGAAAATGGAAGTGTCTATAGCTTGAGCACCTATCCCAGGGGAACATTTTCAAACAACATCTTTCATTCAACTTCCATTTCCTTGTTTCATCAATAGTCCGTACCTACTTTTTCCTCAGCGACAATTGTCATATTTTTCCAGCCCAGTAGAGATCTAGGCCCCTCGGCCTCCATGCGTGCTCCCTGAAAACCTTTTAGCGTAGCGGTGATCTTGGCTCAGACTGTGAATTGAAAAATGTACCGCTGGCGTATTTGAGCTTGATTTGGAACAATGTACTCATTGATACTTTGATTCTGCGGGCCGATCGTTCTTCGGAAATCTGGCAGCGTCGCTCCTGTTAAGCTCGTATGTACACAGCTGGCATCACGCCACTTCGTGTGCGCAGATGTTATGGCACGGCTTAAGTGTTTCTAGAGAGATATTAGCATCTTGACTGAAACCTTGCATTTACATGGGCTCGAATGCCCAAGGCCCACCGTTTTCTTTCCGCATTCAACCTCACATAGCAGCATGAAACGAGAGTCGCTGGTTGCATAGCAGAAGTGCAATGAGAGTGCAGAGGCTTCTGCAAAATAGACACCTTGACATCTTCCACCGATGCAAGGAGTGTTATCCCAAAGACCGTGGCTGAGGATGCCGACAAAATTTACAGGGTGCGAGCCATGCCAGAGGAGCCGCCTATCACCAATTGTCGAACTATGCGCTTCTCTCCATTCCAGAAATCTTTTGTGCTCGCCACTTCGCTCGATCCGGAAAATGTTGAGAGGCTAGAAGCATTGGTGATCAGATGTTGTCATTGCCGTACACATGGCAGTGGACTTACAGCCATGTTTCCTGAACCTGTCTTGCAAAAATATTCTGCTAGCGCCTTGAACTCTTGAGACTCTTTGTTCACTAGGTGCGAGATAGATGATTAGACGCCAAAAGTTAGTTTGGAAAGACGATAGCGAGCATACAAGCCGTGAGCTCTTTCAATTGGAGCTTCAAAAGCCCCTCGTGCAATCTTTCAGGCGTGGGTGTTTCTTTCATCAGGGTCTTGAAGAATTTTAAACCATCCGACAACTGACGACTTTGGGTTCTCGCGTTAATTTGAGCACAGTCATGCAAGATTAATAAACGCTGAAACCGAGCTTCAATGATGGCCTCGTGAGACTTGTCACATAAGAGACGCAGTAGACCATCAACTGGCTTACTGAGCTTGCTAGGAGTAATTGGGGTCACAGTGCCATTTTCATGCACTTCCACTGGACCTATAAATTCTTCACGCTTAGCTACCTTTCCCTCCGAACCTTCGCCATCGGGATCTAGGTCTTCTCCCTGTTTGCGCTTTTTTCCTGCAGATTTTTCCGAAATTTGAAGGCTGGCGATCTGATTTACCAGCTCTTTAACATTGTCTGTCGATATGGCTTCGCGTAGCCACTCGTAGGATACAAGCTCGCAATCTTTCTTCGCCCGTGCCGATGAAACTAATGACATAGATCATCATTAGAATATAGAAACGAGTTCGAGGCCCTTTGATACCTTTGAGTGTTTCGATGTTGACGGACGCCCTAATGACATGTGTGCATTGAATGATATTGTCTGGCTCAAATTTCCCCCCGAGTGCGGTGATAAGACGTTTCAGATCACCTAGAAGCATAGAGAAGAGAATTAAAACATGCCCAGAGGATCTGATACAAGTAAGAGAAGGCAATGAGAGGGATAAACGAGTCAAATGTTACCATGCGTGACATCGGAGAACTTCCCAGCAACTGCGATTGTGTGTCCACTCAATTTACCAACAAGAGACTCTGGAACACCGCTGGAAAGCGGCCTTGTGGATATGGAAGGGGCCATGATGACCACTTGTGGATATTTCATAAAATCACACTCAGATACAGGAGATCAAAAGGCAGAAGGGAGTGATAGATCAGTTCGGGAAGAGGAAGGGTTGACTGTGATGGAGGGGCTATCAAGGTGAGCTTTGGTGTAGGAGATTTGATGAGGAATGAGGGTTTAACATACACGACATATTTTATATACCACGAGAGATAAAACGGAAATCTCCGACAAACATTGAGGTTGCGCAGGATGGTGGGCGCTACAAACCACAAACAGTATGGACTATATCCGAACAGACTCACCTCAGTGATCAAAAGTCCTATTTTCCATAGCTACCAAGTAAACAAGGACAAGAATATAGACTTCAAATTAGTGCGTTTTGGAATCATTGAGGGCAGCTATTATATCAATGAATATGGTAGATTGACTAAATTTCGAGGGACGGGGAGGATGATGCATGAGAATACCTCACAGGGCCGGACCCTGGGAAGTCCGGGGCTTCTATGTAGATTGATCAGTCATGTATGTCACTCTCCTTAGTTTCCTTCTCGCTGATGGAGAAGACTCCTGCAACCTTGGAATGCACTTCTGCTTCCGCTGCCAGTGAAAAGAACGGTTAAGCATTGACTACAGCACACACCGAGCGTGAGTGGTGATTTTCTTTCTTTCTTTCTTTTTTAATTCGCTCAAAACCTCATCTTACTCCGCCATTCTGATGTTTGGCCCCTCTAGCCTGATTCGCCACTCTCCTCTCGCCTGCACTGCCCAGGTGCCCTTGTGATGTTGGTTGCAACACACGACCTATATACCACATCATTCGTTCTTCCGTGCACACCGAGGCATAGTATGTGACGGATCCATGAATCTACTTCATTGGTGTGCTGTTTATGTCCTTGAAAGAGCGCCCTGCAAGGCTGAACGATCACCTGCCCAAACAGCCGCTAAGGTGTTCACAGATTGGCCCCAAAGTATCAAAGCGATATTTCCGGCCCCCTATGACGAAGCCAAGCCCTGGGCAAAAATAGACAGGCTATGAATGTCAAGTGCATATAAGCTAGTTACCCCGGAAAAGTTTGGACAGGTCCACAAAACACCCTTCATCCTCTCGCGTCTACCAAGCGACAATATAACCCCTCAAATCCAACCATTACTCCAATAATTCCACATCAAAATGTGCTTTGGCTTCTTCGATGGCATCAAACCAGTTCCGCCTTCTCGAGATAAATTCAAAAGCGATGAGAAGTACCAGAAGGCCTATGCCCGATACGAACGGAAGCTAAACGATTACATGGACGAAGATAACAGCCGCAGCAGAATGGCTAATTCCAAAGCTGCATCTACTTCGGGTGTTACTTATGCCTTGGGTGGTTGAGAATACGCTTCATCAAATCTTGGAATCTGAAGTTGGCCTCCGGGGCTGTCTCGTGATAATCGTTGCCTTTTTGAACGTCAGACTCGGTCTATCTACGAAGCACGACGTATACATTTACTTTTTTTCCAGTCTATTTGAATATGACAGCGCTCCTTATAGCCACCACAAGCGAGAACTCGATCCTTGCGTTGGAGACAGCCCTGATAGCACTGATGTGTATGGGTCTATCATTTACACAAGAATACAGAATTTGACAGGTCAGTTACGCTGGAGACTTATTTTTTAAAGAATACCTAGAATGTCTTCCAAGGTTGCTATCAAATTACAAAATGCGATCCTGAACATCGAGGTCGGAGAGAATAATGTTACCCAGCCAAGGTAGTGGCGTCAAAACAGGAAGCTTGTGCGAACCTCGTGACATTTCAGCTCTAGCCCCATATGCGTGGCTTTCCGGGTCGATTCAGTAGTATTTCTGTGATGAACCAGTCCAGGGCTGCCATCCTGACCTCAACCTGGAAGTGCCGCTACTTCCCACAGGTTTAGTTGGCTTTTGCTTGAAACCTTTGAGGTTCCAAGATTTGGATCAGAATAGAGATACAGTGAGCAAGATCCTATACCTACCCAAATTAACCCAGAAACGATATAAACGCGAGTGATGCACGCTAGTCACGATGCTTCGGAGTCGGCAGTCCAACCCGATGCCCAGGTGGGCTTTCGGCTGACACCCGACGCACTGACGAACACCGGTTTGAGCCCCTCTCCTTAGCCCAGCAAACTCCAATTTGACTTCATACTGCTTGCGTTTGATGGCTTAAAGATGGGTGCTCGAGAGATACACATTGCTGTTCTGGATACAGACGTTCCATGCTACCGTGTTTACGCCAAACGAGGATTGTATAGTGCCCAATTCAACACCCTTCTCACTGCGGCCGCAAATCGAATCAATGCCAGTGATTTTGGATCTTCCAGAAGCCCTCTCAGCGTGCATGTGACTGCGTTCGATACTGTCGGCGGTTCGTACCCGCATCCCGCGACGCTGCGAGAAAGCCCTTGGTCCTCCGAGGAGAAGAACTCCCCAGGATTCCATGGCCCAATCGACGCAGTCTTGGTCACCGGCGCGGCAGCGGCCGTATATGATGATCTTCACTGGATTCCGGGACTGAGATCCTTCATTCGAAAAGTGTATGCCGACTACCCTCTTGTCAAAATATTCGGATCGTGTTTTGGTCACCAACTTATCGGTGAAGTCCTCCTCGCACGCGACGAAAGCTACACTTCCAAAGATTCTTCGTTCAAAATCTCTGTTGAGGCTACATCCCAAGGCCATGAAATCGGCATATTCCCCATCAGCCTGAACCCTTCGTTTGCCTCACGCTTTCCGCCACTGGCTCGCTTAAGTCAAGGGACTCTCAATATTCAGGTCATTCATGGTGATGCCGTGATATCATCCCCTGAGGTCCCCTTATCCAGTGATACTACAGGCGACATGCTGCCGGAGCCGTGGCTCAACGTGGGGAGCAGCTTGAAGTGTCCGATCCAAGGCCTCTATCTGCCTGGTCGCGTCCTCACCTTGCAAGGACATCTTGAATTCGACGCGTTTGCTACTGCCGAGCTATGTTACCAGTTTGCGGGCCAATTTGGCTGGTCGAAGGAGGGTTTGGACGCCCATTTGGAAAAGATCTGGCGCGCGGTGAAGCCGGACGGGGAGAATGATGATGATTCGAAGGAAGCAGCCGAGGCGGTGTTGTTGTTTTTCGCCGGCGAGGATGAGAAAGTGACTCGATAGACTTGACACCTTTTTTTTTCACTTTCTTTTCTTTTTCTCCTCTCCCCTGAATTATCTGCAGTTCGTTAATTGCGGGCCCTCGGGTGTCCAAGCCGTAGTCCCCGCACCTCGGGTCATTGCCCGAGCCATCACCGTTTTGCACTCAGGAGCTGTGGAAGAGCTGGGAAGAGCTCAAATCCGCCATGGCAGGCTCAAATCCCCGATCCACGAATGCGTATGTATAGATGATGGCTTCCTTACTTGGCATTGGTAACAACAGCGCAGATGCGAGACATGCCGGAGACGCAAGGTGAAGTGCTCCGGGGAGAAGCCTTGTCGCGCCTGTATAAAACACAACTGGGAATGTACTTTCGGGCATTCTGGCCGCAGAAGATATTCAGAAGCGTTGGTCAATACATCTTGAAGCCTCGAGCGAAGCTTGCTGATGAATATACAGCCAGGTGAAGCATCTGCTGGACAAGATTCGAACATATGAAGAGCAGTTGAACCCTCAGGGCTCAGGGGGTTCGTCGACGGTTTTGAATTCCCCGGCTGTGGAATTTGAGACCCCGGGCTCTGCTTCTTCGCCGCGTCCATCTGCGGCGACTGCAGACAAGGAGGCCCATCAACGGGTCCCAGAGGGCATGTCATATGCCGGCAACGATGCTGCAATAAGCCCTGGTACTGCTCTCTGCGCTTGATTCTTTTTGGTCCTAATCATGAGCTTACACTGCAATTAGCAACCGACTTGACCTCTGGGCCAGCATTTGAGTCTCAAGTCAGATCCCTCCTTCACAGGTCGCATCCTAATGACGTGTTCTATACTTCAGACCCAATATCTCACGATAGACCTGATCAAACCCCCCAATGGACCTCGGTACGAGAGTTGGTTAACGAGAATTTGGATGTGACTTTTCCTTCATTTGATGAGTCCCAACATCTTCTTGAGCTGTTCCTTTTCTATCTTGGCGTGAGCCAGCACTTCTTCGATCCGAGATCCTTTTCAGATGAGCTCATGATGTTGTTTCAAAGCACGGAGAGCAGGAAAAAGCAGATGCGCTCACCTTGGTTCACTGAATACCTCTTGGTGATGGCCATGGCAAAGCTTATCAATGTCCGACATCCAACATCTCAGCCGCCGGGGTCAGATTTGTTTGCCGAGGCCCTAAAACGGCTGCCTCCCCTGCATCAAATGGGTGGAGAGAGCGTTATCATGGTTGAGATTCTTACACTCATCACGACGTATCTACAATGGTCCGACCACAAACACGACGCCTACCTTTATGTACTTTAACTCAGGACTCACAGACCGATTGAATCATGCTGACTCAATACAGATAGGTGTTGCATTACGGCTTGCTATCGCTCTGGGGTGCAATTTGCGCGAGACTGAGCAAAACTGCCTCCCCTCTCAAAGTGCCCACCGAATACGACTTTGGTGGACTGTATATATGCTCGATAGGTAAGATACTCCACCACACACAGGAAGAATGCTCTGAACTGACGTTTCTTAATAGACGTTTATCGTCAGGACTTGGACTAGCTGCAGGGGCAGATGAGCGACAACTTTGTATTGAACTCCCACGACAAGCGGCAGGCTTTCAATCGCCCGTTGCTCTTGCAATCAATGTCCGCATCGCCCGCGTTACAGATGACATTATGTCCAGTGAGTCATTCTCATTCTCTTTGCAGGAAGCACCGCACTCATAGATTCGCCAAGCTCTATATGGCAACAAGTCCATAACGCAATTAGAGCTTGTTCACAAAATCCAAGACAGTCTGCAAGAGCTCCATGATATCGCGAGATCATTCCCGACGCCGTTGGTTTTGGATTTCGGGAGGCCGTTGCAATGGGCCACTCGCACAGGTGCATCACTGTATTTGATGCTATTCCAAGTAAGTCTGATCTTTGAGTGCAGTATTGGAAGTACTTCTGACTTGCTGGAACGTAGGCCATCATTCTCTGTACACGACCAATCCTTTTGCAGAGGGCCCGACTGGTGGCTGAAAACAAAGAGCCACAACCTTTGGACCAAATGCCAGAGGTACTAAACCGCTTATGCGATACTTGCAACGAAGCTGCTGCAAGGAGTCTTGCCATTCTCGCAGTACTTCGGCGGCAGCAAACAATTCGTGAGTGCTACATCTCAGGGAAAGCACGGCGCCTTCATTGTCGGCGATGCTTCCGTCTCGATCAGAGCTAACGATCTTACCTTAGCTCGATATGGCTTCTTTGACCTCGATGCAACGTTTTCTGCGGCATTTGTCTTGGTCATGATGGGATTTTCGGACAAGTCTCAAACCCGGCCATCTCCAGCACTCTATCAAGCGCTTGACGTGCTCCAGTTTCTCTCCCAGTCAGGCAATCTGGCGGCTGAGCGTCGCTTACACGATATTACACAGTCATGCTTACACGTCTGGCCAAACGACGTCTTGATGAGTGATTATTCACAGGCGGAATCTGGAATGCGCCATGAGAAACAGAAAAGCACACCACAAACAGACTCGCAAGACCCATTGTTGTCTTCGTCGGAGCTTGCTTCGCAAGCTAATTGGGGCAGCCATCAAGATGAAGCTAGATTGCTCGAGCCCTTAGCCGACATCAACATCCCAGATGCGATGTTTGACATGCAAGGGGAATGGGACTTGGATCTTTCCGGTGAAGCAGAGGGAATTTATTCAAGTTTCCATCACCCAACATTGCCTTTGACAGGAGTGGATTATATAGACTGGTTGGAGATTGAGAAGGTTATTGGTGCACCTGGACCATAACCCTCTAAATCAATAACCTTCAAGGTTGGAATGTTCCAACTTGGAAGGTTTGGACTCATCCATGTATACTAAAACCTTCACTCATCTGGGCATGCTGGATGGATAGTGAACATCAACCTCGGAAGATATATACTCGGAAGATTCACAGATTTTAACAGTAGGAGGAATTACAACATTGGAACATAGTACCTCGATGCCATTGAGTAATCCACCTGAACTAAACCCTCAGGATATCTACCTAGTAGATGTGCGAATTATTTCCCATAATATCACGAGCTTGTATTATATCTTCCAAGTTGGGCAGCCAGGTCACGGAAACCTTGGAATCATAACTGTCTCTCGTGCGTTGATAGAGACCAGACTTTCTTGCTCTTGTTTCTTCCTTTCTTCTTGTCCTTTCCTCCAATCCATGAATTCTTCAAAATAGCAACCAGTGCAATTATCACTTCAGCTGTTATGACAAGGTGGACAGGAGTGTTCCTGGGAGATCTCTGGGCCCAGTCACGTGATGATACCAACACCTCACCGTCCCTCGCGGGCAACAATGAAGCAGTCGAAGTCCCGAACGTTCCTTCTCCAGTCGCGGGCACCTTCAGCCAAGCATTGGATTTGAATCCTCTTCCTCGCTGGCATCTTGGACCCCGTTCCTTCGCCCCTCCTTTTGACCGCCAATCCAACCGGACGACTTCCCCGCAATCGCGTCCCTCGCGCCAAACTATGCCCACACTCGCCGTGTTCCCACGTGGGTGAAGCCAACGATTATAGCATTGAATTCGCGACACCGAAACGCGAGAATATATAAGCAAACTACTGTCCAGCTGGGTTGAAGCCGGCCCGAAGCGGCCACTGCAAACATGGAGGCCGACTGGGATGAGCTGTCGCGTATCCCGGTGCCACCGCCGACGGCGCATGGCCTACCGACTGTGGCCACAGCAATTGCATTTGATGATATGATGGAGCTTTTGTGGACCGGCAATGAATATGTGAGTTGTGACCCGGATGGAATGGCGGCGGAAGACTGACCGGTGGTTTCGTTTCTCTCCAGGGCAGGCTATCTTCATTCTACGGGCCAGAGCTACAACGTTATACCTCAGTTCGAGCACACCCGCCAACCGAGGGCTCGGTACGGCAAATCATCTTCCACGAACGAGGAGTAATTTCATTGTCTTCCAAGAGCATACATATGATAGCGCGTCGAGGATTGACGCAGTGGCACCTCACACACGATGAAATGGTCGATCTCCGCTGTATGAGCTTTACAGCCCAGACCAATCGGATTATAGTCGCAGGATGCCAGCGAGTGATGTTCACGGTGGACATCGACAAGGGTACGATTGTCGACAAGCTGCCGACTGAGTATAATTACACGATGATGAAGAAGAGCCGATATCTATGCGCCGCAACGGACACAGGCTCAGTGAACGCACTCAGCCTTGGAGATTTCAGTGTCGTCAAATCTTGGAAAGCCCACGGCACAGCCGTCAATGACATGGATGCTCGAAACGATCTGCTCGTCACCTGCGGCTTTTCTGCGCGCCATCTTGGTGCTCCCATCGTTGACCCACTAGCAAATGTGTACGACTTGAAGACCTTGACCCCATTGCCCCCGATTCCATTCCATGCAGGGGCAGCCTATGTGCGCATGCACCCCAAGCTTCACACAACGAGTTTCGTGGCTTCACAAACAGGTCAACTCCAAGTTATAGATCTGATGAATCCCAACTCAGTGAATCTGAGACAAGCAAATGTCACATTGATGCTTGGTATCGATCTGTCCCCCTCGGGAGAAGCGTTGGCCATCAACGATGCCGAAGCCTCAATACACCTGTGGGGCTCACCATCGAAGGTTCATTTCAATGAAATGAGCAAAGAAGCAGAGTTTGCCGATGTCCCTACACGCCCCGCCCAGGTAGATTGGTCACCAGAAACCCCGCTGAGCATTGCTGGAATGCCATACTACCACGAACGTCTTTATTCAGCGTGGCCAAGTCATTTGGTCTTTGAAGTTGGAGATCCACCAGCTCCGTTAGACCAATCTCTCTTGCCATATTTGCGCCCTGCAGAAATGGGACATCACGCTCCAAACCCTCGCAAGACTCGTCGATACCAAGCGGAAAACACACGCGCTTTGACCACAGCAGAGCCAGCACTCATTGCCCCGAAATTCCTGAGTGAGAAGGCTAGAGAGTACAGCAAATCAGACGGGTTGGTTGGCGACACCGCAGAAGCACTTGCAGGCGCCAAGATCAACGGAGAAAGCGATGATGACCCGCTGTTGAAATATAGCAATGTCGAAATCAAATACAGCCGATTCGGCGTTGATGATTTCGATTTCCGGTATGAGCCTCTCCTTCTTTCCCCACCCCCCAAATCCCTTGGATTTTGCTTACATTCTACAATAGCTTCTACAACAAAACCTCGTTCTCTGGCCTCGAGACTCACATTGCCAATTCCTTCACAAACTCTCTCCTTCAACTCTTCAAATTCATCCCTTTGTTCCGAAATCTTGCGCTGAATCATGCAGCCGGGTCATGCATCTTTGAGCACTGTCTTCTATGCGAACTTGGCTACCTATTTGACATGCTCGAGAAAGCAAGTGGGCAGAACTGTCAAGCCACTAACCTTCTCAAGACATTCAACAGCTTCCGGGAAGCCTCCAACCTGGGCCTCTTGGAGGAAAACCTCACGAATAAATCTCTCTCGACTGCCATTCAAGCGGTCAACCGTTTCTTCCTGACCCAGATAGCTCACGATTTCCGCATGACCCAGCCAAGCTCGGAAGATCTTGATCAGCGCCTCGCCACCATCGCATCTGAATCCATTCGGTGCATGTACTGTCAGAATGAGATTGTGCGACCTGGCAACTCTCTCGCCAATGAGCTCATCTATCCGAACATTGACATCAAACACGCGCGGCGCAACCCCCTCTTCCGATTCTCTAACATCCTGCGCGCAAGTATCGAACGAGAGACGCAGAATCGTGGGTGGTGCAACTATTGCCGTCGCTACCAGCAAGTGACGATTCGCAAAACCATTCGCCGGATGCCATTGATTCTTGTCCTCAACGCCGCGCTGACCAATCCGCTGTGCCGCCGGCTATGGGCAGTCCCCGGTTGGCTCCCTGATGCCGTTGGTATCATAGTTGACTCTGGTGGGCAAGTGTTGTGTTTTGAGGGCGATGAGCTGCAGGTCCGAATCCAAAACCAAACACCGGGACTCGTGGTCTATGATTTAGTCGGCTTGGTTGCGGAGATTGATATTCCAGAACACCAAAAGCCGCATTTGGTTTCTTTCGTCAATGTATCCCTATCGGGGCGCGAGGCCCAGGAACAAAGCAAGTGGCACTTGTTTAATGACTTCCTGGTCACTGAGCTTGACAGAGATGAAGCACTTCGGTTTACTCAGCCATGGAAGCAACCTTGCATTTTAGCCTTCCAAGTGAGAGATCCACGGCATGTCGTCGATGACTCTTGGAAGAAGCACCTCGATAAAACTCTCCTGTTCCGCGAGTGGTCCCTGAATGGCGGCCGCCAGGTTGAGTCTTGTCAGACTCTGACTGAGGAAGAACAGCCACAACCTGGAACCCCAGTTGCCCTTGATACCGAGTTTGTCGACCTCGAGAAGGCCGAGATTGACGTTAAAGCAGACGGCTCCCAGGAGATGGTTCGCCCAAACAAGAGTGGCCTGGCTCGTGTCTCCGTGCTCCGAGGATTGGGTGTCCGAGAGGGCGTTCCTTTCATTGATGATTACATTACTATCCGCGAGCCGATCGTTGACTATGTGACCCAGTATTCCGGTATCAAACCTGGTGATCTGGATCCGCGAACCAGCGAGCACAACCTTGTCCCGCTCAAGGCAGCTTATAAAAAGCTGTGGTTGCTTCTCAATCTTGGCTGTGTGTTTGTTGGCCACGGTCTAGCGTCCGATTTCCGCAAAATAAATATCCAAGTGCCAAAGGCACAAACAGTGGACACGCAATACCTCTTCTTCCATCCAGGGAAGAACCGACGTCTCAGTCTCAGGTATCTTGCCTGGGCCGTTTTCAAGGAATTCATCCAAGAAGACCCTACACCAGACACACTCCAAGGTCATGACTCTATTGAAGATGCTCGCATGGCCCTGCGTCTCTGGAAAAAATTCCAGGAATACGAAGACGCGGGGATTGTCCCACAAATGCTCGAGGAGATCTTCCGCGAAGGTTCAAAACTAGGGTTCCGCCCGCCTCCCAAGAATGGCGGCACAGCTGCAGTCCTTTCCCGGCCTGGTACTGCTGTCACGATGCAGAATGACAGTGGTCGCAATACTCCTAGTACCCCCGACACCCGCTCCGTGGCCCCTGTCCCTGCCACCTCAGCGGCGCCCAACACTGGACCACCCAGTGCTCCTACTACCCCGCGTCAGGCATTCCGGCGCTCTATTGCCCTCACACCGAGCAATGGCAGCTTCTCAGGGCCCGGTGCTAGTGACTTTTTTGGAGGGAGTCCCCTTAGATAGATGAACATCCTTAAGCATTCACTTGACTTTCTCGATTCTTTTGGAGACTGATTCATTCGTTTTGGACACATGTCTAGAGTTAGCCTCTGAAATTAGCGTTTGTACGCAGCTAAATGAACCTTCATTCTCTCTTGGCTTCACTATCGTAGATGGCCGTAGCTGTGAGGACTGAAGACTTTCCTGGAATCCCAATTGAGAGTGGGGTATGACGTGTGGGTTCTTGGATCGAAGGTGTCATTTAGCGGCCTTGGGGACGAAACTTCTTGCCGGCAGATCAGACCTCCATTTATTTTTATTTTCCGCCTTGAGTTGCAGTGAAAGGGGGCGGTGCGAAAGGCGGTGGGTAATGATGTGCAGATATGACCCTGTGGCCGCTAGAAATGACCGCACACCACAACAATCCCACTTTCATCTCTTGTCTTTCCCGTTCTAACGTCAATGGAACATTTCCAAGCTCTGTGAAGCTGAGCCAGACAACTATCATCTCTTTTGTTTAGTATTACCATCTTACCTATACAGACCCGAGCTTGTCCAATCGCTAGCGCCCCCTCGTTTTCCGCCGAACCTAACACCCGCCTTTGTGTCGACGCTATAATGTCCCGGCACCGTGTCAAGGATGTTGGCTACGACGACGACGACTATTATTCCGACGATGGGTACGCGTCACCTGACCCAGAAGAACAGGAGTTCCTGCAACAGTGTACCACGGCCGTTCTACAACAGCTCGGTGCGGGGCAATCCCCGGTGACTGCTACGAAGGAAGAGGCCCAAGAGGCCCTGTGGCATTACTACAACGATATTGAGAAATCAGTCAACTATTTGAGGGGTATGTGTTTCCTTTTGTTTCGCATTGGTTCCTTGTGATATAATAAGCCCGCTAACATCAATGTGGTTTGCGCAGGCAAGAAGCAGAAAGAGGCTGCGAAGCAAAAGCCGAAGGCTCAAGCAGGTAAGATGCATTCTCGGAAATTTCATCATCTTCAAAGTGTTATGGCTGGGCTTGGTTTCGAGTATTCGAATTGTTCGCTCTGGTGGTTCTTGGAATAAAAGGTGTGTAACCGCGTGGCTTTGTGGAAACCAACCCCTCTTGATGTACTTCGCGAGACCAGAAACTAACGGCATTTGAAAGTTTGAACAATGTTCTAACAGGTCTTCAGTGCCAGCATTCCCCGCTCCACCTTCGACAGCAGCACACTTCTCGGCTGCTGACTTCTTTCGCGATTGTCCTTGGCTCAATGTCCCCGCTCACCGAAAGACGGATATCCTGATTGAACCTCTGTACCCGCGCTTGGGTCTCTTGGGCGGTGCGCCCGAAGCTGGTGGAAAGGTCTCGAAATTGGCTGCCTTGGCTGCCGCTCGAAAAAAGAAAGAAGGTGCTGCGCCAGAGGCCTCGGCAACACCAACTTCTCAGTCGGATCGTTCTGAGGCATCATCACCTGCTCCTGGAGGGGCCACACCATCCCTTCGTGAGAGACTTGCAGCCAGTGGGAAACCGGCGACGAAGCCCACGGAGAGCTCTGGGTCTCTAGGTCGCGCAGCAAAGCCAATTGCGCCCTCGACCCCACCATCAGCACATAAAGAACCCACCACTGAGACCAAGGAGCCCTCCGTGACGGCTGTTCCTTTGCCAACCCCACGGGCTGCCGATGAAGAGAAAGAACCAGAACGCCAGGAGTCACTGCCGAGTATTCGGGCAACGCCGTCTACATTTGCGAGTACGATTGTTGGCACATCTGCTTCCACAGTCGCCGAGCCCAGCCATTCACCTCCAGGCAGCACTGATCTGTTGAAGATTTATGGACAGAACAACGCTGAACCCTTTGACTTTGCAGCACCCAGCCCCGACGATGTCGTTCTCAATGCGCAGAACACAGCGAAAGGTTTGGCGATCCGAAGGAAAGCTTAAAGGCACCCCGCCTAATGCTATGTAGGGCTCAAGTCGAAAACGGCTCCATCGAAGTCGACTGGTGACAAAAAAGGTCAATCTGAATTGGCTGGTGGGATGAAAGATTTGTCAGTTGAAGACAAAGTGACGGTAAAAAGCAAGAATCTTGATGTTCTCGCGGAGTATAAGAAGTCAACTCGCAAGAAGTCTGCCAACTTTGTGGTCATTGGTTAGTATATCGCTGTTTGACGAGAAAGGGCGAACTTGGACTGACTCTCTCATACAGGACATGTTGATGCTGGAAAGAGTACCCTCATGGGACGACTGCTGGCAGATCAAGGTGCCATTGACCAGCGTACACTTGAAAAGTATCGCCGCGATGCAGACAAGATCGGCAAAGGATCATTTGCGCTGGCTTGGGTCCTAGACCAAGGGACAGAGGAAAGAGAACGTGGTGTCACGATAGACATCGCCACCAACCAATTTGAGACCGACAAGACTGCCTTTACCATCGTCGATGCACCGGGCCATCGCGATTTTGTGCCAAACATGATCGCTGGCGCTAGTCAGGCTGATTTCGCCGTTCTGGTCATCGATTCTAGTGTGGGCAAATTCGAGTCAGGACTTAAAGGTCAAACGAAGGAGCACGCCTTGCTAGTGCGCAGTATGGGTGTCCAGAAGGTCATTGTGGCTGTGAACAAAATGGACGCGGTACAATGGGACCACGGACGCTTCGAGGAGATTGAACAGCAAATATCTTCCTTCCTGACCACGGCCGGATTCCAAGAAAACAATATCTCCTTTGTTCCATGCTCTGGAGTCCTAGGAGACAACATTTCTCGGCGCAGTGAAGACCCGCATGCATCCTGGTATAAGGGCCACACCTTAATCGAGGAGCTAGAAACATCTGAGCCATACACGCATGCACTCGACAAGCCTTTGCGCATGACGATCGGTGATGTGTTCCGTGGCGGTGTGCAAAACCCACTTTCCATCTCTGGCCGTCTTGACGCCGGCAGTGTGCAAGTTGGCGATCAAATCCTCACCATGCCGAGCGGTGAAACCGCAGTCGTGCGCAGTTTGGAGGTCGACAACAAACCTAGTGACTGGGCCGTGGCCGGCCAGAACGTTGTTCTGAACATTGCCAACATTGATCCGATCCACCTCCGCTCCGGCGATGTTGTTTGCCGTCCTTCGTCCCCCATCCGCACTATCACGACCTTCACCTCCAAGGTCTTGGCCTTTGAGCACCTCATGCCCATGCAGGTGGATGTTCACCGTGGACGTCTTCATGTCCCAGGGCGCATCAGCAAGCTGGTAGCCTCTCTTGACAAAGCCACCGGAGAGCCTCTGAAGAAGCGGCCGAAGATCGTTGGACCTGGCACCGTGGCACGTATCGTGGTCGAAATGGATCAAGCTGTCCCTCTGGAAGCCCCGACGAGAATCGTGCTGCGTGCGGGAGGCTCCACTGTGGCTGCGGGTTTGCTCGAGTGAACCCCATCACCACTCCGTACATACGCTACTCATTATTACTACCTAGTACAAATTTAGAGGATCTGTTTCTAAGGTTGAACCAAGTGGTCCCTTTTCGGAGCCCATTTAGTTTATCCACCTGGGCATGGATCTTCCAAGGTTGTGAGCACAGTGCTACCTAGTAGGACCTGAGACATGTATATATATACTAGTTGTAATCGGCGTGCATGGAAAATCCGAAGGTTGTGGAGTGAGTGAATGATCTGCACGAATATATACTTTGTACGACTCGATCTATTGGTTCTTAACCACGGCCCTGGAGAGTATACATTTTGCCAATCGTTCCACCCTAAGCCACCTGGGCAGGTAGGGTAGCGTGAGTACTTGATGCTTAGGAACGGAGTTCTGCTTTGCCCGGTGGAGTACTGAACACTGTACTCCGTACCCGTGACGAAGTAGCCCCAGGGAGTGCGTAGGTGGACTCCCCCCTATGTATGCGTATGCGGGCCCGGCTGAATTGGACCTTAAAAATGATCCATCCAAGGACCCTGGGCCCCTATCGGGCGATCCCCGGGTATTCGGTGAAAGGCGTTGCGCTTCGAAGTCCGTCGACGCCAAACAGGCCAGTTGTTATGAGGATTTCAGGCTGATTGCTTCGCACGGAGTAGTCCCCGAAGCAGCAATCAGGCCAGATCGTCATTGCAATATTGAGTCAGAGTGAAGTCGGATCCTGAAGCAGGCGGTCCGCAACTTGGCCCCTTCCAGCAAGTTCGACAGATTTGGCGGCTGCTGATTGGTGGACGTTGAGAGGAACACCCCTGCCGCTAGTCCGTGTTAGGAGGCGGTGTGGGAACAAGGCGGTGGATCCACTGCAGAAAATAGGCCGACCAATCAGGACGTGAGAAGTGACCTGATCTGTGTGGAAGAGGCCAGCATGGCCGCTGGGGCCGGGTTCGCGTACAAGTAGTCTCTCTCTCTTCAATTCTTCTTCATTCTCTCATTCACCTACCGGGCCCCTCTCCCGCATATCGACTAATAGAAGGGTTATTAGAGTTGAACACACTTGTGTCCTCTAATAGAGCGTAACAAAGCTTCATCGCCTTTGTTGTCGCATTCTCAGTTTTGATTCGACATATACACACACTTCACAATGGCTCGCGTATCCGCACGCGATGGCGCGTCCAAGCCCTTCGCCTGGACCACCATCTTCTACCTTCTCTTCGTCCTCGTCGCCCCTCTGGCCTTCTTTGGAAACACCGCTCACGCTCAGGAGGAGACCTCCCCCGAGAGCTATGGCAACGTTATTGGTATTGATTTGGGAACCACCTACTCGTAAGTTCTGGGAACCCAATGCAGTTGCAAGAGCAACATTCTAACATCAATTGCAGTTGTGTCGGTGTGATGCAGAACGGAAAGGTCGAGATTCTCGTCAACGACCAAGGAAACCGTATTACTCCCTCCTACGTGGCTTTCACCGATGAGGAGCGCCTCGTCGGTGACGCCGCCAAGAACCAATACGCCGCCAACCCCGAGCGCACCGTCTTCGACGTCAAGTAAGCGTTCCTGCCCCGGTCACTGAGGAATTGCCACTAACCCATTGCAGGCGTATGATTGGTCGCAAGTTCGAGGACAAGGACATCCAGAAGGACATCAAGAACTACCCCTTCAAGGTTGTCAAGAAGGATGGCAAGCCCCTTGTTAAGGTCGACGTCAACCAGACCCCCAAGACCTTCACCCCGGAGGAGATCTCCGCTATGGTTCTTGGTAAGATGAAGGACATTGCCGAGGGCTACCTTGGCAACACCGTCACCCACGCCGTTGTTACCGTTCCCGCCTACTTCAGCGACGCCCAGCGTCAGGCCACCAAGGATGCCGGTACCATTGCCGGTCTCAACGTTCTCCGTGTCGTCAACGAGCCCACCGCCGCCGCTATCGCCTACGGTCTTGACAAGACCGGTGACGAGCGCCAGGTTATTGTCTACGATCTTGGTGGTGGTACTTTCGATGTCTCCCTTCTGTCTATTGACAACGGCGTCTTCGAGGTTCTTGCTACCGCTGGTGACACTCACCTTGGTGGTGAGGATTTCGACCACCGTGTCATGGAGTACTTCGTTAAGCAGTACAACAAGAAGAACAACACCGATATCAAGAAGGATCTCAAGGCTATGGGTAAGCTCAAGCGTGAGGTTGAGAAGGCCAAGCGTACTCTCTCTTCCCAGATGTCTACCCGCATTGAAATCGAGGCCTTCCACAACGGCGAGGACTTCTCTGAGACTCTTACCCGCGCTAAGTTCGAAGAGCTTAACGTTGATCTGTTCAAGAAGACCCTCAAGCCTGTTGAGCAGGTTCTGAAGGACGCTAAGGTCAAGAAGTCCGAGGTTGACGACATTGTTCTCGTTGGTGGTTCCACCCGTATCCCCAAGGTCCAGGCTCTTCTCGAGGAGTTCTTCGCCGGCAAGAAGGCCAGCAAGGGTATTAACCCCGATGAGGCCGTCGCTTTCGGTGCCGCCGTTCAGGGTGGTGTCCTTTCCGGTGACGACTCCATGGTCGACGTTGTTCTCATGGATGTCAACCCTCTTACTCTCGGTATTGAGACCACTGGTGGTGTCATGACCAAGCTCATTCCCCGCAACACTGTCATCCCCACCCGCAAGTCCCAGATCTTCTCGACCGCCGCCGACAACCAGCCCACCGTTCTGATCCAGGTGTTCGAGGGTGAGCGCACCATGACCAAGGATAACAACATGCTCGGCAAGTTCGAGCTGACCAACATTCCTCCCGCGCCCCGCGGTGTTCCTCAAATCGAGGTTGCTTTCGACCTCGACGCCAATGGAATTCTCAAGGTCAGTGCCTCCGACAAGGGCACTGGTAAGGCCGAGTCCATCACCATTACCAACGACAAGGGTCGCCTGTCCGAGGAGGAGATTGCTCGCATGGTCCAGGAGGCCGAGGAGTACACCGAGGAGGACAAGGCCCTCAAGGGCAAGATCGAGGCCCGTAACGGCCTTGAGAACTACGCTTTCAGCCTCAAGAACCAGGTCAACGACGAGAACGGTCTCGGTGGCCAGATTGACGAGGATGACAAGCAGGCTATCGTCGACGCTGTCAAGGAGGTCACCGACTGGCTCGAGGACAACGCTGCCACTGCCACTCTCGAGGACTTCGAGGAGCAGAAGGAGCAGCTCTCTGGAGTCGCGTACCCCATCACCAGCAAGCTCTACGGCTCTGCCTCTCCCCCTGAGGATGATGACGAGCCCCTTGACCACGACGAACTGTAAAATTACTTTTGAGGCATTATTCATGGAGTTCCACTTTTTTTCCCTGCTTGAATCACTTGTCTTGAGTCTAAGCTAGGCTATATTCCTATTTACGTTAGGCCTGGTTCATACCAGACAAGAATACAATACAATGATACCTTGCACTTCTTATAGATCAATCCTTCGTAGCTCTAGACTTAGCCAGTGACATGTAACTTTCTCTATTGTGGTCTCGACCTGTCTATCCAAATCTAATTCTGCTTGGCGATCACCTCCTTGATCGTCTCAGCAACCACCTGGTGATCATCCTCCTGCTTCAACCCACTAACAACAACAACAGCAACAATGCCCTCAACACCAGCCACGCGAACCGGGTACCCACCACCATGGATGGCATACTCCTCCGCAACAGCACCACCATTAGCACTAGCAACAGCATACTTCTTAACAAAAGCAGCCTCGATCTCATCCGCCGAAGCCTGAGCCGACAACCCTCCCACCGTCTTCTGTCTCATAGCCCAACTAGACAACCCCCATCGGAGCACGGTGTTCCGCTTACGCCGCACCCAGTTCTCGTTATCCGGGATCGTGCCACTCTCCGTCGCGGACTGGAATACCACGTGCGGGGGAAGACCACCGGATGTAGCGGTGGCCAACGCAATGGAAATCAAAGCAGGCTTGCGTTGCCCATCGGGGAGAGAGAGGATCCGCTCTCGTAGGGCATTGCCGAGGGTCCAGGCAGTGCTTGTAGTGAAGGTGCGGAAGGTTTGCTCGGCGCTGGTTTCTTGCGCGGCGAGGACGGCGGCCTGGATGGTGTTATTACAATGCGTGCTTTGTGGCTTTGAAGAACTTACATCTGTGCTTGGGGCTGAGAGAGACATGTTGGGATGTGAGTTGGAATGGGAAGAGTGGGGGAATGGCGAGTTCATATACAGTGGAGCCGAGCATACCTAGAGGGGGTGGACCTTCCCTTCCTTCTCCCGCTGACGTCGACGGAGCCCTTCGACAGGCGGAAGCCATCTTCCTTCGCATGACAGCTGGAAATGATATGTTGAGATCGGCATATCACCGAGATGCACGTCCAAGTCCCGATGTCTCCGCATTGACGGTACTTGTACGGAGTGCATGGGAACACTCTGGTCTCCTCACTACGATCCACTAATGTCTCCGAAACGAGCTTGCGATACCTGTATATCTCGCAAGGTCAAATGCAACGGCTCCTGGCCTTGCGATACCTGCCATGGGGCAGTGAAGAGGACGCAATGTACGTACCTGAGACCCGCGCGCAGGCGGGGCCCGAAGTCTCGACGAACGACAAGCCAAGCAAACACCGACAAACCGCAAGGCGACAATGAACATTTTGACCGGGAAGTTGGGCCCGTGGTAGTAGATGGGAGAATTGCCATGGCCGATCTTTCATCAGAAACCTCTAGCGTTCGACCTATCCCAATTGCCGTTCTTGAAACGGTCGTCAGACTTTACCAAAGGCACTCATACAGCGTCTGGCCTGTCATTGATGCAGATGCACTACTATCTAAGCTCAAGAACCTAGACACTGACAGCGATGATCACCATGCCCAGCATACTGTTTGTCTAATCACGGCGCTTTGCGCAGCAACAATGGCCCAGTTGCATATCGGTCCCCAGGTTACAGAAACAGGCACCGTGGATAGCACGACAATGGTACAGATATGCCTTCGAACGCGCAATAAATGCGATAATCACGGAGAGCACATGGATCTCCGGAGCATCATGGTCTCGTTCTTTCTGCACGTCTATCATGCAAAGGTCAACCAACGGCATTCGGCAATGATGTATATCCAAGAGGCTATTGCGGGAGCCAGAGTTCTGAGATTAGACGAAGGGGCCTCTCAGAAGCAAGATGAACTAGTTTCGAACAAAGCCTTGGTTTTCCCATTACTCTGGGTATCGGAGAGGTAGGTCCTACGCCACAATTTGCAGAATTGGCGGGTAATGTTTCATAGAGGGTATGCCCTGCACTTGGGTCTTTCGCCTTCATACAATGAGCCATTATCACCAACAGAGCTAGAGGGCCATAACGGTGCCGACGTCGAAGGTCAAGGGCTTTTAGAGCTAGCCAAGCTTTTTGTCGCGTTCGACCGCATCTCAGTGCGTCGGAGGTCATCTGCTGGGGCCACGGCGGTCAATTTGACTGACACAGAGAGAGAACTGTCCTCTTTGTCTTCCCTCATGGTTGACTCTGTCTCAGCCAGAACTGCGGACTACCACATCACGCGACAGTGGATGAGAACGATTTTATGGCAACAGGCGCTGTCAACGGGCTTGCTTTCTTCTTCCGCCTATGATAGTGTTTTAACATTTTCTTTCCCTGCTCAAGTGAGCCGTGACTTACTGCATGCCTTAAGATGGTTTAGCGAGACAGACTTACTTCCTTTGGGACGAGATCAGGTTCGTGAGTTCACCTTGACAAAGAAAATCGCTAACCTCTCCTAGTTATTGAAGTGTTTCGAGGTTGCAAATTCGCTCGCGGATACTGTTCTCTTGGGCTCTTCGGGGCCGCCTTCGGGGTTTGAAGTCAGGCCACAGGACTTTCTGCATGCCCTCTATCAGAAGACTGTCCCGTTCCTTGACCAAGATCCCACGTTGAAATCGATTCTACGAGCAAAGACTGCAGAAGCCCTCATCACGGCTCCAGCTAGGCTGTTGTCAGTGAGAGCTGCCGGATTAGATCAAAGTCAGCTTGAGAGCAAACTTGCGCCGCTCAATGCCTTGGAACCTATTCCACCTGAGGATAGAACTGAGCGGGATGAATATATGGATGACTTCAATTGGTTGCTACTATCAGATGAGCAGATATAGCGAAGCCGAGCTCTCGGGGAACTTGAAAGATTCGTTATTCCGTTACCTGAAGAACAATTCGACCCGAAATATCTCCCTTCTCCATCTCCTGGTATACCTGCGGCAGATCCTTGAAAGGTCTCACCTGAATAACAGGATTTACCACCCCGCGCCGTACCAAGTCAACGGCCTCCATGCATTCCTTCAAGGATCCAACCAAGTTGCCGATGATTCGAAGACCCTTAATCACAATGGTGCAAATAGGGGTTTCAAGACACGGTCTGCCTGGAGGAATCCCAACACAGCTAAGAGAGCCACCGACTCGCAGCATGTCACAGGCATGGGCGAATGCTTTCGCATTCCCAGCAGTAACGACTGCGGCATGCGCGCCTAGCCCGGTGATCTCCTGGACTCGTTGGACTGGATCCTCAATAGCAAAATCGATATATTCCTGGGCGCCCAGGCTTTTGACAAACTCTCCCTTCCCCACGCCCGTATCAACACCGATAACCAGAGCTCCCTGAGCCCTCGCATATTGCACTTGAGAATGTCAGTTGGATGTGTGACCTCGGGATAAATCTCGAGCACAAGAACATACCAGCCAGATGTCCAAGTCCACCACCAGCCCCAACAACCACCAACCAGCACCCAGGACGAACATTAGTATTAAGCACAGCCTAAGCGATCATCAGCCAAACCACCCAATCATCCAAATGAACCTCCAACCCACCTTATACGCCGTCAACCCCGCGCAAAGCACCGGTCCCATAACCATAGGATCAACATCATCCGGCAAAAGCGTCAAATAATCCGCATCAAGCGCAATATACTGCTGAAAGCTCCCATCCTCATGATGGAGATGATTCGTGCTAGCCACACAGTACTGCTCCATACCAGCAAGACAAAACTCACACCGTCGACAGATGCGACTCGAGAACCGAATTCCAACAAGTCCACCGATCTTAAGACCATCTCCATGCTCGATATCCGGTCCGAGCGCGACAATACGGCCGATTCCTTCGTGTCCGCCAATGTGGGGTAGCTTGATCTTCGTGATGGGGTTGCCGTCTGGTCCGGCTGCGGTGCCGGACTTGGTATGGAGATCTGAGATTCTGTAAGACTGCTTGATTACTTGGGGTGGGTTTGAGGATGGTGACATACCACTTTGGCAGACTCCGGTGTATAGCACTTTTGCGAGGACTTCGTTGCGGTTGGGCTTTGGGACGGGATAGTCGTGTTTGAACTCGACCTCGCCGCCGAGGTTGTGGACCAAGGCGACTGTTTGGGTTTGAGGGATATCGAGGGAGGTCATCTTTGTGTGAGGTATGGGTTGAGGATGCTGGATGTTTGAGAGCATGTCGGGTGGGAGTGTGGCTTTTATACCTAGGTAACTCATGGTGAAATGTGTCACCAACGTCAAAGGTAGGACACAAGAGATGGAGATACATCAATTCTCCGAGTCAACCCAAATGAAGTGCGAGGAGATGATTTTTCAGATGAGATGTGTGCTCTGATTTGCTCTGGCGTAAAGTGGAATTTGGAAACTGCATGAGTCCAAGAATCTGGGAACACACGAGCATCCAGACAGCTCTAGACTCGGAGAAATGTGAATATACCTGTACGATTATACGTAGCCCACAAAACGATCTGTTAGTCGTAGTACCGTCGCGATGCCAATTCTCCGAGCCAATTCTCCGCATGTGTGCATTGACTGCCGATCACCATACAGCACAGCAATCTTCCACTACTAGTACGTGAGTCTGAGAGCATCATATTTGAAATTTTTCAATTGACTAGGTAGTTCCAGAGCCCGCAAATGGGGTATCAAAGCACAGAATAAAACCGAAAGAGCATCCATCCCAAACACCGAAAACGCCGCAATCAACACCATTTTGGTTTGTGTTTTTTTTGTTTTTTGATTTTTTTCTTCAGAAAAGTAGGAAAAGAAAGCGATGCCAGAAGGCCCGCGGGGAGAAGATAAGGACGAAACCGGGAGAGCAGAGCCCTACATCCGTTGCAAGGGGATGTCGGGGATCCCCTCCCTCATGGGCTGGATTCTCTCCACGCTCGAGTCCGGGCTCGGAATATCCCCGGGCCTCGCTCCAGAGATCGGAGACACTCGACCCCGTCGTCCATCCGATGTAGAAGATCCCTGGAGCTGAGCATCTTCCCTGTGGCTGACTCGCTCGGATTGCTTGGTGGGGCTATAGACAGAGGGGAATTCAGCCCATTCACCAGCTCCGGGCGATTCGATATCCCTGCGGACTCTGTAGGCGCGAGGGCTCGGATTCGGTGTGCTGGAAGGAGTCATGAACATCTGGCCGTTTTTCTTTTCTAGCCAGTGCCGGCGCATACGGTCGAGGGCGGTCTTGAAATCGTCCAGCACGACTGTATCACAGAGACATTTGAAGACGAACGAAAGCTGGATGTGCGGGTTAGCTTTAAGGACTGGGTATTCTTGGTTATTTGGCTTGGGCTCACCTTCCAGAATGGCTCAATTCCTGTGGGAAGGACGCTTTTGAAAGCATTGAGAACGCTGCATGTATCCACTATTATGAAGATAATGGAGAGAATCATCGCCGCGAGCATTATTCCAAACCGAGGACTGATCTTGATTATTTCCCATAGTCCGAAGCTATACTCACGTTTGATTGTCCAGAACAGGCTGAGCGAGGTAAATACCCACCAGGGGTCGCTGTTGCAAGGCATCAGCTACTTGACTTGCGGCATGGGGTTGGTGTTGACCACAATATTTGCAGGTCTGAGGGAGTCAACATACCGAAATAGGGGTTCCAGAGGTCGAGTATGCAAGAAGATCTTGTTGATATTGTTGAAGTAGGTGAAGTTGGCGTAAATCTCGAGAACCCAGTACGGGAAACAGAGGACAACAGTGATTATGTAGAAGCGTGAAACCTTGCGTGACAGAAATGGGCGATTCTTCATCCAGGCAATGACATTGTGCAAGGCCCAGCTGATATTCAGACCGATGGCCGTGACGCTGAGGTACCAGCCGTAGACAGGCTCGTGGGTAAAGATGAAAGTACCGTGCGCCATAGCTAGAATTAGCTGCAGTGGGTCAGTACGATAATCTCCCGAGCTGCAGGTAGGTGCATGAAGCCAATGCTCAACCTACCTCTAAGAGGATTAATTTGTGCAGTAAAACACCAGGTCTCATATTAGCCACCGTGACGGCAGCCAGTATGAGTAGACTCCCCACCATGAAGCCCTGACCCCAGGCTTCGAGGATCAGCCCGTCAGGGTTGGTAGGTTTTGCGACGTGATCAGACATCATAAATCATACGAAGCAATCGCGATTGAGTAGACAAAGTAGGAAGTTTGAGTTGAGAAAGAAGTTACGCCGAATTTGCGAGGAAAGAAGAAAGAAGGAGAGAGAAAAGAGCGCTCCTGAGTCGTGAAGCCCTGGAAATCACAAAAAGAGCCGTGGTCTCATCTCTATCTTGTCGCACACATGCGACATAATTAGGGTTGCGAGCCACCCACCGCTGAGTTCTCTGGATCTCGACAATTCTCAGAGTCGTGGGAGGCAGATGTTATTTAGCCAGATGGTTAGCTTGGCCAAGACCAATTTACTGCGACGCCACCAAGTCGGCTAACGTTGGCTCGGTTTTTAGCGCACATTGTAGGCCTACAGGGGTGTTCAGGGAGTCTCGAGAACTCGCGTCTGTCGGGCAGATAATGCATACCGATTGGCACTGAGCTATGGCGGAAGATCTACTCTAAACAATGACCTTTGACTGCCACTTGATCTATCCGTATCGACCGTTGGACCCGTTGGGTGTCTGTGCTGGCGTGGCGCTGCTTGGCTCTCGTTCTCTGCCTCTTTGTCTCCTCGTTTGTTTGCTTTTATTTGCTTTTCTCTCTCTCTTTGAGGATCCCTCTCAGTTTGATCTATTTTTTATCGATGAAACAGAGCCGTGAGATCTATTCCGGGATCAAAGCCAGAGGTAACGCGACGATTTTCCCCTCGAGGCCGTGTCGCGCTAGTCTCCACAGACGCGCTGCGCAGGTCTGGGGTAGTGTGGGCCGTCGGCTGAAATTTCCGTTGGCCAGATGCAGTACGGACAGCTTTCTCCAAGCAGATGGCCAAGTACGGAGTACGGAGGACTGGTTCTGGAGTACGGAGTAGACTGGTGTAATTCTTCCGTGAAGATCGAACCCCTTTTCCGTACAGTAAACAGCTGAAGAGAGTAGTTCTTACTCCGACATAATATTGGTCGACATACAAGAAGATGTACTAGTACAGTCAAAGTCAGACAACAGCATAATTAGCTCAAGGAAATACCAGGGCGAAGTAAGAAGCAGTCCACGGGCAAAAATCCGGCCACTCTGGACCCATCACACGGCTGATCTTTTATTTCCTGCGCCCCAGTGAATTTGAAACGACTGAAACGATTGAAACAACACTCGAGACGATCTTTGAAATACTACAGTACTGATACTAGTACTATTATTCTCGTGATCCTCATCGGCTTCCGAGATTGGCTCAGCCTCAGCATCGGCACAACAAAACGGCACACCTGCAACCGGGTTTAAATGGCTATTTCAACTTCATGCAGAGGATCCGCAGAGTGCGCCGGCTCTTCTGAGCGCGACGTGGATTTTAATTTCCGGAACCGCAAAATTTCGACGTGATCGGCACGACGATCATGGGGAACAGGGTCACCATTGGGCACACGATCTCAGACCCAATTCAGCTGTACCTGATCCTACTAGTTTACGCACTAGTATCGTGCATGATGGAGTTGAGATCTGGACAGGGGATATGACGCAGTTCATCAATAGTCGCCCGCTGTGGATCTGGAGCCATACACATAACCCACCTGGGCACTCATGAAGGCAATGATTTTCAGGGCCACTCGAGGACTGTCGACTTGAAAAGGACCCCAGATCCCAGATCCCTGATCACGCCTTGTCGAGCCTATTACAGAGTCACTCTTTCGATCTATTCGGTCCTATTTTTAGTCTTTCATTGATCGTGTGGATATGGCTCCATGGTGGTACACGGCAGGCAGCGCTCTGGTGCTATCCCTTCAGGCCGCTGCTTGGGATTATTCGACCTACAGCTCGATAGACTTCCAGCCCCCAAAGCTCGAAGTCAACAAGACCGGCACTACTGATCCCGGATACATCTTCATCGGCCCTCGGGGAGGCGTCCAGGCCGCGGGTACGGCTGCGCTGATTTACGATGATGCGGGAGATTTGGTCTACGAGGGACCCGAGGAGATAACAGCCAACTTCATGGTGCAGAAGCTGTTCGGTGAAGATGTCATCACCTACTGGGCTGGAGACATGATGCATGTCGGTTATGGATACGGCACAGTGCACATCCTCGACAACACCTACAAAGAGATCTACACGGTTCGTCTGACCGGGGACTTCGTCACCCCAGATGGCTCGACCAAGGACTCCTACTGTGACTTACATGAGAGCCACATCACTCCTCGTAACACCCTCATTTGCACCGCCTACAATGTCACCCAGCACGACCTGACCTCCATCAACGGAACCTCTTCGGACTGGATGCTGGACAGCCAGTTCTATGAAATCGACGTCCGCACGAACCACGTCATCAACTCGTGGAGTGCCCTTGACCACGAGGCCGATATCCCCATAACATCCTCCCACCAGGGCCTTGGGAAGGACGTCGGCAGCACCCAGGATAACCCCTACGACGCCTACCACATGAACGCCATCACAGTCACCAATCACGGATACCTGGTCTCTCTTCGTCACATGTGGTCCGGCTACTACCTGGCGCAGAACGGCAGCGTGATGTGGCAAGTGAGCGGCGAAGACGGCGCAGACTTCAAGCAGGTCGGAAAGGCCGACTTCTCCTGGCAGCACGACATGCGCGTGTACAACGAGACCGACAACGGCCTCGTGTTGAATCTCTTCAACAACGCCAACACCCCAACCGACGAGCAATCCGAGACCACGGGCCTCAGCCTAGATATCGACCTATCCAAGAAAACAGTCACGGGCCTCCGTGAGCTGACCGACCCCAGCGACCCCATCCACTCGGTCAGTCAGGGTAGCTACCAGCTTCTTAGCGAGACAGACAGCCATGTTTTCATGGGCTACGGGTCTATCTCAAAGGTCAAGGAGTTTGACGGCGATGGCAACGTCGTTTTCAGCGCTCAGTTTGGCGAGGACAACGACGTCGCCTCCTACCGCGGCTACCGATGCCAGTGGACAGCCACTCCCTTCTGGAAGCCCTCAGCCTCTGTCACAAACACCACTGACGGTGCAACGGTGTACATGAGCTGGAACGGAGCTACCGAGTACGATAATTGGGTGGTCTATGCTGCTGCTTCAGCCTCGTCAAGCAACACCACTAAAATTGCTTCTGCGAAACGAACTGGCTTCGAGACCAAGGTTGACCTGACCAACCCGCCCACCAGCTTTGTTCAGGTTGTTGCTCGCAAGGGCAGTGATGTTCTCGGAACTTCCGAGATTGTGTCTTTCTAAGAGACGTTATACCCACTTGCTCATCAATGGCCTTTGACCTTCAAGCTGCATAGCTTTCACGAAAGCCCGCTGCCGAGCTCATGACTGCGCAGGCGCACCACACCTTACCCTGTACATACTTATAGAAATCGCATATACATCATATTCCCCCAATACACCATTGCTAGAGCCCAGCGGCTATGTTGATAAAGATATGATCAACACTGAAACCTAATCTCGGGATGCTGACGCATGCAATTGGGCAATTTAGTTTTATTGGAGCTTAGAGAGTAAATTGTTTTACTCTCGAGGTAGAGAGCCCGAAGTCCGGGTCCTTGGCTCAAGCACTAGAGCATGGGCAATACATCCGTTAAAGACCCTACCGAATCGCTCATCACTCTCAATTTATTATCCTAGACCTTGACACTCCAAGTTCGTCCCATCTACCACCAGCAAAGACATGTCTGAAATAAACCTTGGAATTCTAGTACGCGTCAGGCCTCGGCTCGGTTCTCGCTCTTTGACCTCCTCCCTAGAGAAGATCCGACAGACCATCGGAGACATTTTTCATCGACCATTCTCTCCTAGATTGCATTGTCTCACTGGAAGGATGCATATGAGATCGCAAATCCAAAGGCCAATAACAGAGTTTGAAATAAGAAATGTGAACGGCAAATTCTAGATGTCTTGGCTGCATGAGTTGTGGGCGTCAATGACGAGCGGAGAATGCAAGGCAACCAATGCGTGTCCTGTGGACAGAGTACATATTATGTACTCCGTATGCAGTACCTGATTTACGACATTTCACACCAATTTGACGAATCTTGGAAACACCTGGGCACTCGGCGGGCCGGGTGTCCACTACTGCGCACATGGACTAGTTGCTGCAAGGGGCGTAGATCATGCACCTCTGATTTGGTACAAAGGGCTCTTCTTTCTTCGTTGCAGAGTGGAATGATACGCGTACTCCGTACTCAGTCCTCTTTGTGGAGCACCAACCTTGGAAGTATGTACATCTTACTTCTTTGGAAACTACGAGATCTCAGACCACGTCTCAAAATCCGGGGGCAGCAACTGTTACCCCCAAAATGCAAGATCGGGGAATATACCCGCTGCCATCATTGCATTTACGGAGTGTATGTATGCGATTGCGCAAGCCTGCCATGTCATCGTACATTGGGTTCAGCAAGGAGATAGCTTCGAGAGCTGAAACACCAGAAAGAACCAGCATTCACCTCTGTACCTGTTGCCCTGCATGTACACGTACTCCGTACTCACTGCGCAGACATGCAGATCAGGGCCTGCCGCGTAGCCCTACCCCGTAATCGATCTACTGCATGGCGCGAAGACTTGTTCGAAACGCACTGCAATCTGCAATCTCGAAGGCTGTGCTTCGAAAAGAGTTACCTGCTTGGCGTCAGTATATCCAGGGCAAGTGACATCACTGTTCTTTCTGTCGAGATGGCAGGTATAAAGCCATCGCAATAGCAGGCAATAAAGCTGGACAAATAAACCATCATGGCCATCACAGGAAGTTTGACTCCAGCTCATTTCTCTCGGGGGCTCCCTGATATTCAGTTTTTCCGAAGGCTGCTTTTTTTGGCCCATGAGGGTGATGAGATCTCCCTGGACGATATCGAAAACAATATCCAGGCATCACCTTCCCGTCTGCTCCGTGACACTCTTCGTTACCGCGATACCCTCCGAGGGCTGCTTGGCTCGGCCCTAGACCATCGCGGTATAGTCCACGAAGAGAACCGCTTCGTCATCATCCTTGCCCCGGGAAACTATGAGTTCATGGTAGCTCTCTGCGCCGTCTTGGCTATTGGTGCGGCTGTCATTCCACTCGGTAAGAACTCAATCGTTCCTCGTCTTAAAATGCAGGCCTGATGTGTTCCTTTAGCAACGACACTTCTCCCAGAAGAGGTGCTGTACTTCCGCGAGAAATTCAACAACGCCTTGGTTCTCACCGGATCAAGCGAATCCACACTCCTTTCCAATGTGCGACAGCAACTCAAGGCAACGGGAGCTGAGAACCAGGTCGTCCCTATCCAGCTTCCGCAGCCCTCCAAAGCCCCTGCACACCTGTATATCGACGAGAATGTCTCATTCCACCCAGAGCGTCCGGCCATGGCACTATTCACCTCCGGCACCACAGGACCTCCGAAAGGTCTGATTCACTCGATTCGGTACTTTAATGCGTTTGTTCGTGAGCTCGGTAGCTCAGACGAAGTTTTCCTCTTCCGACGTCCCATCCACAACGGTGTAGGCGTCACAGATGTCATCCGGTTCATGATGCGTGGTGCTCGCGTCGATATGATGGATTGGAACTCCGGCCCTGAGCGAGTTTGGAAACACCTGCAACAGGAGAAAGTGACTGTTCTCACGGGATCGCCGGACTTCTGGATTCAGATCAAGGAATACTTCGAAAAGGAGATCAGCACCGGTCCTGTTGAAACGTTACGGCGGTCCGAAGAGGCCCTCCGAAGACTCCAAATCACACGAAGCAGTGGTGCCTTGACAATGCCGTCGACGAAGAAGTTCTATCGCGAGCATATGGGAGGGAGAGGGTTTGTGATTCGGTTTGGAACCACGGAAACCGGGCCAATCGGACTTGAAACATCTACCGACGACCAAGATGACTCCCTCGTAAGTCATCGGAAACTCATACCTGACTCATGGCTAATACCACTGCTACTCTAGCATGTCATTGGAAGACCCTTGCCCGGTGTTGAGGCTAAGCTGGCCGATGGTGATCACAGTGAGCTGTTGATGAAAACCCCCACCATGTTCGCAGGGTAAGCAACAAGTAACGGAATTTGAAACTTCCTTGACTGACGACTGGGCAGGTACTGGCAAAACGAGAAAGCCACACGCGCCGTATTTGACGACGAGGGATGGTACCACACTGGAGATCAGGCTTATATGCAAGGCGACATTTTTGTTGTAGAAGGTCGCGCCAAAGAGGACTGTGAGCTCAGACCCATGATACATTTTATTGACACAACTGACCTTTGACAACGGCAGTCATCAATTGTGACAGCTACAAGGTCCCTATATACGAGGTCGAGACAGCAATCGCCAGCTTGGGATATATTTCCGAATCGCATGTCGTGCCTATCACTGACTCCCGGCTGGGGAGTCGTGTAGCAGCCGTCGTCACTTATCGAGACGTACCCGACACAGTGCCGGAGAAAACATTACAGGCCCTTCGACAAGATCTTTCAGGGAAGTTGCCGATCAGCAAGCTGCCGACTATGCTACGAGTTCTGAACGGCGAGGAATCGTTCCCACGCAATTCCGGTGGAAAGGTCATCAAGCGAAAGCTCAAAGAGACATTCTTCCCTCAGTCTGATGACCCGACGCTGGATGAGATGCCTGAAGAGGTTCAAATATGTGATTTCTATTCCAAGACTGCTCCCCGAGCCCCGAAGTGCTGGGATTGGGCTGGTCTGAATTGTTAAATCCTTCTGTCCTTTGCTTTTGTTGTTGTGTGTCCAATTAAAGTGTTTGACTGTCGAAGAATATACAAAATGTACCATCATTACCAAGGTCGATGCTCGTACTAACTCCACATAGCCGCCAAAGTCGAATATTGCACAACGTTGTTTATCCACGCCGTGGAGCGTGCTTGGCACTTAAGAGCAGTTGGACTATGGACAGGAAAGCGCAGCGACAAAGATCCGCAGAATCAAAGCTTCGAGACAGCTAACTAATCGTCGAAGGACACCTCGACTTCCGCAATGGGCCGGCTTGGGCCCGCCCGGGCCCGACATCCCAGCCGCGAGCCCAACCCAGCTCAGAACCCACTGCCGGGCCCCCAGTGGGCCCCCAGAAAAGCCCACTGGGCTTTGACCCAGAGCCCAGAGCCCATTACTGGGCCAGAGGATCGGCCCAAAACCCGGCCCGCTAATAGGCTGGCCGGGTTGGGCTTTGGGCTTCCCGGGCTCATGCGGAAGTCCAAGGGCACCCGCCTTAATTTTGGCCCCCATCAAAGCGCCGCACCACCCTCTACCACATGGCCCGGTATTTGGCCCGACTTGTATAGGTTCGACATTTCCACCATGGTCATCCATTCCACTCCCTCGTACGAATTGATGTGCTTTAGCAGCCTCTCGTGCATGCGCAGCACATGTGGCTTTCCACTAACCTGGGGATGAATAGTGATCGGAAACACGAAAGAATCATACTCCTGATAATAGAAATCAAACTGCTCAGTCCACATTTTAAAGATGAGGTCGGTATCAATGTATCCATTTCCACCGTTGCCGACATTGAAAGCAGGCCAATCGTCCAGATGCCAGTTCGCTGGAATCTCCACGATGCTGGATGCTCGCAATTCGCTCATCGGCTGCATCCAAGTCGACGGGGACTTTGTCACATCTGTGGCTTTGACAGTCGGCACATAGGGCAGCTTGTACATCTGCGAATCGAGATGCATGAAAGAGTGGTCGTATTCGAGACCATATTTTTCAAGTAATTGTACGGTGTGTGGCGAGGGAGTCCATGCTGGTGCAGTCCAGCCGCTGGGCTTTTTCCCAAGAAACTTGCTCAGCTTATCTAGTGATACGGATAGAATTTCTTCTTCCTGACTTGCGTTTAAAGCGCTCATGTGCTCATGGGTATAGCCGTGAAGTCCACTACGTCTCCATGTCAGCGCGGTATCTTGTGTGAGTCAAAATTTGCTCGACGAGAACTACGGTTCGATACGTGCATTTCGTGTCCCTGATCTCGAATCTTTGTGACTTGTTTCGGAAAAGACTCCAGTGAATGAGCCGGGACGAACCATGTCGCTTTGATGTGGTGTCTATCGAGGAAGGATAAGACGCGATCTACTCCGACCGTCGCGCCGTAGATTCCACGGGAGATATCGCTCGGGTTGGCAGAGGTTCCATCCCCTGTGTTGGCCCTGGAAATGGAAGACTCAAGTTAGAATGTCGATCATCAATTCGGCTCGAGAACGGACGGACCAGAGACTGACGGCGTCTAAGTCAATGCCATAGCCACAAAGAACTCGTTTTGGTTGAGTAGGCTTTGCCCTCGATTCCATTTTCGGGTCGTCGGACACCCCGGATGGTCCATGGTGACTGGCGAGCGTGAAAGGGATGAAAATACCGATGAAACAACATAAGAGTAAATTGGTCAGCTTTGGGCCCCTGGAGACCGATGAAGCCATAGTCCGAGTTGCTTGAATGGCTCGAGGCTACTACACCATACATACGTACAGTATAAAGCACTGAGAAACTTCGACCATACAGGTAGCCTTGGGCTCAGTACTCACTATTTACACTATAAAGAATGCACTCTATAATTCGGAATCTAATGCATAAGATCGGCCCTAAACCCCTTACAGACATCTCAGAGGAACGGAGGGGCTTTCTGATCAGTCACAAGGTTGGTGGCCAAGGGTCAAAAAAGCAAGGACATCCCCACTACGGAGTACTGCTCAAGTGAATTACGCGTTCAATAATGCACCCCAAAGGATTTGCACTGTTTCCGTCCTCCATGGTACGTGCCCCATTTCGGTTGTCTAACAGTGTACGGAGTACGGAGTAAACACAGGGGAAACTAAAGTGTACCGAAGTCGTTTGGTACAAGATTTGTCGAAGATACCCCTTGACGCGGCTGAGGCGTTTTTTGGGTACACATAGAGCATTCAAGCATAACTCTTAAATTTTTAGCCTCCGCTTGGTGGCCGTTTAGAAAAGCTTAACGTATTGACACGTCTCATGGTTCCCCGTTATGATTTTGAAATTTACTATGAGCAAATTATCCACATGAATTGAAAAGGACAGGAATTTTTGACAGGTTCATCGACCGGGTCCAATGATCGCCCGGACAATGTACCAATATTATGAACCATCGCTCTCAACGGTCGTCTCCTTGTACCGTTGCATGCTGTATTGGGCGAACTTGCTCCGCTCACGAATAGTCTTTCCGTACCGGCGGAAAGACAGGGGAATGATCATGAAAACAGTCATCGCACCAGCGAGGACTGAAATAGCCACATTGGAACCCAGCTTTTCAAACATCTGGGGTGCGAACAAGGGGAACATAGCTGACAGAATTGCTCGTAAAAGTCCCCAGGCTGCGAAAGCGCTACCGGTGTATGCGGAATAGCTGTCCGCGAGATATCCTGTCAACACAATTGACAGCTCATTTCGTCCATAGCCAATTGCCACAAGGGCGATGACGGAGACGATCCAATGAACCCCTTGAATAGTGGGGGGAATGGTCCAGGCAAACCACCACAGAGCACCAGCAAGAACAGGGGCTGCGAATTTCAGCCCGGACAGTTTGTATTCCGGGGCAACGACACAGTCAAGCTTGCTAAGCTCGTTGGCTGCTTTGCGATCTGCGAGCCGACCGGGGATGTTGAAAATGAATCCAATGCCGAGAGCAAGGAATGGAAGACTTGACTGTTCGTGGTCGAAGCCCTTGGCCTCGTAGATCTTTGGCAAAGCTTCTGTCAACAGGTAGATGATAGCCATAGCGGTTCCACCCATGAATGATACGCAGAAAACGATGGGCTCTGTGAAAAGAAGTCTGAGGGGCCGTCCAAGATTAACCTTGACGAAAGTCTTCGCGTCTGGAACACTGTCGTGGTTCACGCATTCCAGGGTTTCGATTCCTGTTCTCTTTCGCAATTTCTTGACTTCTCCCTCGAGAATTAAAGATGGCCGGGACTCTCTGATTGATAGCAACAATAGGGAGATACCGCCAGTGATCATTGCAGCAATGTAAAAGATCCATTGCCTGTTTTTCTTTTGTCAGCGAACGATTCGACCAGATGGGTGGTGCTTCTTACCAGCGGAACGCGAATGTGATGTACGCGCTCATGACGGGGCCTATCGCGACTCCCATATTGGCAGAACCGATATAGCACAACATCATCCAAATACGATCTTTGGAGTTGAACATGTCCTCAATGCTTCCCGTAATGGAGCAGGTTGGAACAGCAGATAGGAATCCAGAGACAAGTCGTCCAATGACCGAAGCGACTGGAGAGTCAACAGCACCAATTAGTGCACAGAACCCGCTGTACAGAACAGTGCTGATGATATACAGCTTCTTGCGGCCGAAGGCCTCCGCGTAGGGTGGAAACACAATACCTCCCATACCCTGACCCAGGAGATATCTGCTTGGGTTAGCGAGGGTAGCTTGTGGGGTCATGAAAAATACTTACGTGGAGACAAAGAGGAATTGAGAAAGGGTCAGACTTATGCCAAGTTTCTCTTGAGAGTATCTTGCTGCGGTAGACTAGAGGTGAAATGTTAGCATCTCATGTCGATCAGCCTGCTATAACAGGAACGTACACCAGATGTGCTAATTGCAGATCTATGCAGATTGTCAGCAAATGTGGAACAGATTTCATTGTGGTGTTTGATTTGACGCACGTATAGAGCTCTAGAAGGACAATTAATCCGATGTCCCATACTTTTCTCGCGATTGACCAGTTCCTGGGGTGCTTTGGATTGGCGGCATTCCAGCGAACGCGCCCAGTGACAGGCTCCAGTTCTAAATGCATCTCTCGCAGAGCGAGATTGAGGTCTGAGGACTTTTCCATGGTGAACTATAGTCTGTTGAAAAGCTTAGTTTTCTGCCCAGGCCGCTACTCAAATCTTATATCTTGGTGAATCTGCTAGTCAATCGACAAAACAAACAGGGATATCGACAATCGACGCAATAGATTCGCGTTCCTGCAGGCTTGCGACCGAATGTGATGTCACCTTGGAATGGGATGCTCGAAGATCCTGTCCCCCTTGCTTGTCTCATCTTAAAACCCGTAGAATGTGACGATCAAACTCGTTTTCCAAGGCGGTTTGGAACTATCATTAATGGAGCTGACGCGTGTAACAATTCTCGTGGATACCAACACTCAGGGTACACGCAGTGCGCCAGGGGCGCATTACGTACTTCACGAATGATTTGTGAGTATACACATATCATTGACTAGTGTCGAACCCTGATCTACACGAGCCACAGACGGGTCGGAACGAAGCACATCTTCCCAGATCAAGCTAGACTCATCCGTATGGTCCTACAATCAAGCACCTAGGTACGCAGTAGTTCCCGGCGATAACGGTTTGGACGATCATAGCGCACACCCCGCCTCCCAAAACCACATGCGCACCTTATGGCCCGTAGATCACGACTTTGAGGTGCCAAGATGATTTTCACAGGGATTCCATGCGTGCCCGCCACCTGCCTCATGATCGTCAGGCACATGTTTGAACTTTGCATTTGGGGGTTGACAGAATTCTCTGACCACTTGTGAGCATCCAACACGCACTGAGAATGAGCAGATCAAGGAGTACAGGCGTCGCAAACCTTTGAGCACGTCCAACTACTTCCAATAGCTCTGAAAGTTTGTGATCCACCTATACACCGTCGTGCATTTGCTGTTTCATCTCTGTGGGTATTCGCTGTCAAACTAGTAGTTCCAGACGTGAGCCAATAGTCCTCGATCCTCTGCCCCCGTGTTTAAGGATCGCTCCGCTGGAGCACCCTTACCGTGCCTACACTTCACATCGAAACCCGAATGCGAGCACCAGTGCGATGTGAGTTGAATAGGGGAGCCGAGTAAACATCTAGACCACGCCCAGCTCAGGAAGTAGGTGGCAATATCGTACATCTTGCGCCCGCCAAACTCCCCACTGTCCCTGAGCCCTGGCTGATAGGCCAATATTCTACCCACACATCTGATCACCACCTGAGCACATGTGGTACTCGTAATCACCGGGGTTGTGGGGATTTGAACATGTTCGACCCATTTTTTCCCATTCCAATCCCCAGCAAGTGATTGTACATATGTCAAAGCTCTCAGCCCTGGAGGGTTCTCCCCACCATTAGTCAAAAGTGCATGTGATATGTGACTTATGATCTGTGTATGAACTGGTACTCCAATTGTTTTGTGCAATCATGCCCTGCTTTCGAACTCCCGCGCAACGTTGAAACAAGCTTCAACGGCCACCCTTACTGAGCCTTGGCCCTTGGGCCAAAGCACCATTGGATACTTTTCAAGTTGAAACCGTGTAGATATTATTATTATACATCACCAATCTCTGAATGGCCAGGTAGCCTCAATTCGACCAATCGCCCTCGCATCGAGCCCTGGAGCTTCTACTGTACGCCTTGATAGATGAAACCTCTCAAAGCTAAACTCCTGCATGGGTCACTGGCGTACCTGTCTAAACCCAATATCTTCCGCCCTATTCTAGATCATAGCAAGGAACTGGGGCTGGACCTTGAATGCTGCGACCCCTCCCCCTCCCTTAGATCTGGGATCTATGGTTGCCGCGAGGATCTTCCCCATACGACGCGATATCTCACACCACTCCTCCCTCGACTCCGTTCCATTTTCTCGATTTCGAAAAACCACCGGTCGGCAACTCGTTTTCGATGATTGCGAGATCTGTGGCAATGTGATTTACCCCAAACATGACCACCTCGGGATGTAAAATATTCGATCCCTTTGCCGAAGTTGGTCTTATGCTGCCAGGGGAGGCTCAAAAATCGTTTGGCCGACGTGGAAGTGTGTATCGAGCAGGACCAAGCGTTTGCTTCCCTGGTATGAGCAGGTATCATTGTTTTTGGAGCAGTCACTAAATACCTAGGTAAACTGATGCAGATACCGACACATTCAATGACGATTGGCGGACGGAGATGAGGAAGGGGAGCGAAGGCAAGAGAGGAAAGAAGAAAGAGACAAAGCTGCCTGCGTAAGACTATGGGGCTGAGTGTTGTTGTGATAGTGACCCTGGAGCCTGAGGTGACCAACCTTGGAATTCCTAGCAGTGTTTTGCTCTTGCTCTTTCTCCCCTCCATATGCTCCCCAATCAATCAATCTCTCTCCCAGCCTGGACCTACAGAAACCGAAGCCCATCAAATATACAAACTCTCCAAAGCCCAGCGAAATATTAACTTCGACGAAACCGAGCACAACTATCTGATCCATTTGCTGAGGTATCATATGGAGTCGGCCACAGAGCATGAGTTGGTTTACTTCCTTTTCGTTGACAGGAAATCCTGCTTTAGCAACTCTGGGTGGTACCTAAGGAACAGCGAAACACACGCTGCAGCCTATGAGATATCCCTATCGTGAACTAGGTGACTCTTGACCGCTTATTCCTGAGCGATCAGGGATTTCAAGGACTTGATACCTCGTGCAGTACGATATGAATAGATGCCTGTCACCCCAATGGCAATACAAAATCTTTGTTCTACAAAATATCTGGTCAAGCATGCCGTGAGCTGATACATTCCAAATTCTCAAAACAAGGGGCCTCTTCAATTCCGGCCAATCAGAAACAAATGAGTACATAAACCATAGAACAAATCAACTTGAAGCAAACAAAATCTTAAAAGATGGTCTCAACATGTCCCGAAAGCTCTCCCTGGACCCATTTGAAAAGCGCTTCCTGAAGGTCATGATCCTGAGCAAGCTTAGAGCCCGACTCAGCCTTTCCAATAGGCCCATAGTACTGACCGTGTTTCGCTTCAGGGCTAACAGACGCGAAAATCTGAGACAGAGCGCCTTTCTCGACTGGTGTAGCCGCCAAGAATCCCGCAATGTAGAGAAACGGTCTGAGAAAGGTACCCGTTGAAGCATGATGCAGATTTGTCGCTACCATGCCAGGGTGAACCGGTATGATCTTGACACCAGTCTCCCTCTCAGCCAAGGCTTTTGCGTAATGAATGTTGGCGAGTTTGGATGTCGTGTATCTCTCCGTAGTATGTCTTTTGGCGAGAGTGGTTCGGTACTGGTCGAATTCGTAGATGTCATTTGGGGCCATGGAGTGGGCGGCAGAGGCGAGCATGACCATGCGAGTCTCACTGTTGATTTTTGCTGTATTGCGCAGCGTGGGCAAGAGAAGCTGAGTGAAGAGAGCCGGGCCTAGGACATTTGTTCCGAATTGAATCTCGTATCCGTCTTTCGTGAGACCTTCCGGGGTCATCATGATGCCGGCGTTGTTGATAAGGATGTCCAGGCGAGATTGCTGGCTTAGAAATTCTGCTGCGGCTGCCTCAACGCTTTTGAAAGAGGCAAGATCCAGCTCTAAGAAACGGATGTTTTTGTATTTTGGGTTCTTCTCTTTGAGGTCCGCGATGGCTTCCTCGGCCTTGGGCCGGGATCGAGCTGCGAGATAGATGGTTTCTGGATTATGATGGCTGAGTTGACGAATTGTTTCAAACCCGAGGCCGGCATTGCCTCCAGTCACAATTATCACCTGGCCGGTAAGATCAGGGATATCTTGACTGCTGAATGTAGGCATTTTGTGGTCTGGTCGTGAGTGCACTGGTGGTTTGCTGCAGGGTGGTAGGTGAGGCTAGAAAAATGCGTCTGGAAAGAGGGTGATAGCAAAGTGAAGGCTCAAGTCTGAAGAAATGGGAATGTAAATCACACGCCAGGCGTGAGCTTCGCTTTAAAAGAATTTGCTCCCAGTGTAGTTCGGTAGCGCCGAAGAGCATTCATCGAATATTTGGGACGGAGTACCCACGGAGCAAATTCCATAAGCGCCACTCAGAATCCGGACTCTGATAGCGACTGGACGAGGCTTTTAGTGCTGCCTTATATCGACAAGTTGATCCATAAGTCTGTTCTGATTGATCAAAATCGCGTCATCCACGATGAATCGACAACTACATTTTAGTGCCAAGAGAAGTACCATTTTGGATCCGCATATGATTGGCTCAAAAAGCGTCATCCGGCTGCATACCCGACCCGTCGCCACTTGATTGATCAATATGGCCCAGAGTGGAGACCACCGAGTCTCCGGAGTACTGCCGAGGTGTGTTTTGAAAAGAGAACACTCTGTTGACCTTGAAACCCTGATAAATTAGGGTCTGGTTCCTCGGGTGAATACTCAGTTTGTTAATGATATACTACATACATTGTTTTCCAGCAAAAAGAGAAAATGTAGTGAGTGTCAACGCGTCAACCTCTATGTTGACTTACTATATATTGTTAACAGCAACGGGTCCAAACAACGGAGAACCTTGGAATTTTTCAGCAAAAAGCGAAAGAATAGAGACGCAAGAGAATTTTTGAGAACTCCCAAGGTCGCGATCTGAGGTTTTTCCAACCTTGGAAGGTTCTTCTAACACAACTTGGAGGGTCTCCAGGGCTTTGGCCATAGATTGCCCCTCTCTCCCCTTTCGCAAGGCACCCATCTGAGCCCTAGGCACGACCATCTCTAATGTGACCCCGAGGCCCTGGAGGCTTCCAACATTCAAACCTGGGAATTTATTCCTAATATCTCATACCGCGTACTCTATACACGGTATCTGCCCAGGTGACATACATGTCGAGAATCACGACAGAATAAAGAGCAGTCCATCGGTTAGCCGGGAGTCAGGAATGCACTCCAAATTGTCTTTGGAGCAGCAAAACCTGCGATGCTGCTGGTGTGCTCACCCAAAGAGTGAAGATCAATCACGAGAACAGTACTCCGTACTTCATATGGCACTCGACTCTCCCATCGGTGACTTTAGGGGCCTCCTGAGGGGGGTCCCTACAGTTAAAATCTTTTTCAACCTTGGAAGTCCTATGTCCGATCGAGATTCCATCTGCCTTGGCACTTATACTCCTTCAGCAACCCAAAATGGTGAGATGCCAAAATCATCAGCCCCAAGGCTTTTTCTCAACCACCCAGGGGCGTTGGTGTCACATTCATCGTCATTTTGAGGTCACACCAAACCGTTAGGCTCATCCCATCTTAGTGTGACATGCGACGTGATCTGAAGACGTGATACCACAGACTCTGGAAGAGATTTAGTGAACTCGACTGAAATGTGACAAGGGTTGGCAAAGGCTTGATCAAAGATGAGGACACAGACTGCTGCCCTGAGATTTATCTCCAGGGCTTAGATATGTGACACCCTGAGTGTGGTGGCAATATTTTTGATCCAATGATCCGATACTTTGCGAGAATTCTGTTAATTTCTCTCACCGAGCTTCATTATCTCACATTCCACAGGGGTTTCGTTTCCGCCACAGAACCCTCTACCAGACTCCCTCCGGCAAAAACTGCTATATCTCACACCTTTGCCAAGTACGTCCTGAGTATTCCAAGAGAAGGAACTTGATGTTTGATTAATTGTTTTGTTCGGGGCTAGCTTTGAATGCGGCGAAGTGCTTTCTCATTTCTGTTGTGTGAGGCTGCACAGCCAATCTGCCAGGGCACTCAAGATTACAGGCTCTAGGTCAGCGACCTTTGCGGAGTCGTATCATCGACTTGTGCAACAGGAACCGGATGAACCGTGTACTCATTCGTTGGGCGCAATTCTGACTAAAATGCGTCGAAATATCCGACAGCGCAGCCAATCTACTTGGAATCGACACCCACACATTCTTCGTGGCGGAAAGATCAAAACTTTGACCATAAACCTTGGAAAAGTATCATCCATGAATGCCCTCGAGCAAGAATAAAGCACACTGGGAACCTTGCAAGTGGTCGAATTGATTCAATGTGTTAGTTTGACCAGCTGAAGAAGTTCACCTGGGCATTTGACGGGATTGTGGCAGTTTTGGGTAGCCCCTGGACTTCACCATGTTGTACAACCTCTTGCTAATTTAACCCATCTTCCCTCCAAGGTTGAAGAATTCAAGTTGAATGCTTGGATGCAGGTTGCCGAGAGCGAGCGAATATGATCTAGACTTGCCGGGGAACAGGACATGGGAATGGTATTCTTGCTTCCGGGACAACCTATATAAAGATGTATGTTCACCCTCAGCTCAACCTTGGAAATCAGACGAAGACCTCGCGAAGATCGCTCAGAACAAATCTCATAAAGGACTCCGCAGTCATCTCATGATGTTCATCTCAAGCCTCTTGGCCATCTCATTCGTGGGCCTCTCTCTTGCTCAACCCCAACTCCACCCCAACAGCCTCCGTTCAAGAGAGGATGGACCGGTCGCTGTTTTTGCCGACCCTTCAAGCACCAAATCAGTGATGCCAACCTATACACCACCACCTCCTCCGCCCAAGACTCGAAGGCTGGGCCACGCCATCGTGAACAACAACTGCGACTTCCCAGTCTATCTGTGGTCCGTCGGCACGAATGTACAGCCTGTCCAAACTCTGAACCCCGACGACTCATACGATGAGATCTTCCGCGAAGACCCTAACACGGGCGGGATTGCGATCAAGATCAGCACGGACGTTGATGGACTGTACACAAGCGCGCCACAGATGGTCTTCGCCTATAACCTCTCTTATTTCAAGAGACGTGGCGACAATGGCGAGAAAGTCTGGTACGACCTTTCTGATGTTTTTGGTGATCCGTTTCAGGGATATCCTATTAGTCTTACGCCGGCTGAGCCTGCCATTCATTGGCAGACCGGTGTACCACCTTCTGGTAGTCAGGTTCGAGTCATTGCTTCGTGGACCAATCTGACGTTGTCACTTTGTTAATGATCTGATCACCGGGGGCTGTCGGAAACGTGGGCTGTCAGGGTATATGTAGCGAAGAAATGAATTGAATTGACTGAAATCGCAGACCCAGCTGGAAAATGTATTGCTGATTGCCAAACACCCCCAGGGCTACTCATAACGAAGCCCTCAGGCGTGTCGGGGCCGAGCTAACGGCTGATGTCATGATCGGCGTAGCCCAAATGTTGGACCTCGGCTGGACAGACTGCACCACAGACAATGTTCTCCAAAATGGGGAAAGCAGCAGATCCAGACAGATAGGGTGAATGGTCAGCGAACAAAATAAAGTAGATCGATCGTGCAAGTGGTCAGGGGCGAATGGGAAGACAGGATTAACCTCGGCCAAAAGTCCGATGTTCGTCCCCGCATTTCTCCAACTTCACCCACATTTCCATCTCTTCTCCCTTACTTCAACCCCAGTCTCCCTCTTTGCACTGCCCACAAGCAAAATACAATATGGTGTCTCCGGCAATTAGGGTAGCTCCCTCAGCAGCTAATCGTGCTCTCAATCTACTGCGAACCGTACAATACACACACCCGCCTAACTGTCCGTGCCATGGTAACCCCAACCACCACCATCACCACAAGCAGACGCCATCACTGCTCAATCAGGTGAAACGGCACTTGGCCACACCTGTGGATCGCTCGCGCGAGAAAGAATATGCCTTCGAGATGGCTGCGTCCAGCATCCGCTTCGGTCCGGGGGCCACCAAAGAAGTCGGAATGGACTTCACCAATATAGGTGCCAAGCGGGTTTGCATCGTGACCGATTCGAATGTCGCCAAGCTCGATGCGATGAAGCAGGCTGTGGAGGGCCTGACCCGTGAGGGAATCCAATTCACAATTTTCGATAAAGTTCGCACAGAGCCGAAGGATAGCTCGTAAGGATACACCCAACCCGAGTGATCTATGGCCCATATTGACCGATTTGAAAAGTATCAAGGAAGCTATCGAGTTCTGCAAGCCTTACAAGCCTGATGCGTTTTTGGCCGTCGGTATGTATCCCACCCAATACGGCATTGCCAATCTAACCATCCACCAGGCGGCGGCTCCGTCATTGACACCGCCAAATTGATGAACCTATACACTGCCTACCCCGAAGCCGACTTCCTCGACTTCGTCAACGCCCCACTAGGCAAAGGCCGACCAGTCGACAAGCCTCTCCTCCCCCTCGTAGCAGTCCCAACAACAGCCGGCACCGGCTCCGAAACCACCGGCACAGCAATCTTCGACCTAGTCTCCAAAAAGGCCAAAACAGGAATCGCCCACCGCAACCTCAAGCCCACCCTTGGAATCTGCGACCCCCTCAACACTCGCACCATGCCATCCGCAGTCCACGCAGCCTCAGGCCTAGACGTCCTCTGCCACTCCCTCGAATCTTGGACCGCAATCCCTTATAACGAACGCACACCTCGCCCCACAAACCCAATCAACCGCCCAGCCTACCAGGGCGCAAACCCTATCTCCGATATCTTCTCTCTAGCAGCCCTCCGCAGCACTGTGAAGTATCTCCCTCGCGCAGTGCGCGATCCAGACGACCACGAAGCCCAGTCTGAGATGCTCCTTGCTGCAACGCTGGCTGGTGTTGGTTTTGGTAATGCCGGTGTTCATCTGTGTCACGGTATGAGTTATCCGATTTCTAGCCAGAACCCTGGATACAAGCACCATGGCTATGAAGTTGATCACCCGATTATTCCGCACGGAGTCTCTGTTGCCGTGACTGCGCCGGCGGTATTCCGGTTCACGGCGGCTTCGAACCCGGACCGCCATCTTGCGGCTGCGGAGGCGTTCGGTGTGGATATTTCAAATGTGAAGCGCGAGAGCGCGGGTGAGGTTCTTGGGGCTGCGATTGCGGAGTTCCTTGTGAAGCTTGGTGGTCAGCCTAGGGGATTGAAGGATTTGGGTTTCAAGGGTTCAGATGTTGATGGGTTGGTTGAAGGAACTATTCCCCAGCAGCGTGTACTTATGCTAGCGCCGAACCTGAGCACGGAATTGCAGGCTGAGAGGGGAGAGTTGAGGAAATTGCTTGAGCAGTCGTTGGATTATTAGGCTTGTGGGGACTGGTGTTGATGTGGCTGAATGGTGTTAGGGTTTCATATACTCATACTACGTCGATATGAAGTCTCAAAATTTGATCGAAATTGTATTCACATCTATGCTGCCAATTCGACTGATTCTTTGAATGACCTCAAGAGTCTGGCCGCAGCACGATGGCCCCGACCCTCTGCAAGCTTGACAGCCGTGAGATATTGGTCTTCGTATTCACCCACGACCAGTGCTCCTTTGTTAAGAAGCATTTGTAACATATCAATGCGACCATACTCTGCAGCGCCCCCCAGGGCCGTCCGCCCATTTTCGATTGCGGGAGCTTGATTAACGTCTGCACCAAGGTCGAGAAGCTTCCGTGCGATTCCGATGAATCCTTTAATGGCTGCAATTTGCAAAGCAGTGGCACCTCCATCATCGGCAGCCGGAGCATTGACATCAGCCCCATGCTTTAGAAGAAGGCCAAAAATCTCCATATTTCCAAGCTCAACGGCATGCTGCAATGGTGTTCGTCTCAGTTCGCCAGCTCCCAAGTAGTTGACATCCGCTCGCTTCAAAATCAATAGGTCACGGACGACAGACACCCGCTGGGTTCTCACAGCAGCTTGAAGGGGGGTAAACGTTCCCTTCGGAGATTCAGAGGAGGATAACCAGTGCAAGGTGATGCTGCAGTTCATGTTTGAGTCGAGCTGCATCAAATCAAAGATGCGATCAAGTTTTTCATTGACGATTGCCAATGTTAGGGCGCGAGCTCCTGAGTCTTGGCACCAATTGGTCGGTACGGAGACCGCCCATTCGAGAAGATACTTGAACATAGAATCATCAGCCATCAAAGTTGCAATCTCAAGTGTTGACTCTAGGCGGCAATCTTTCAGGCGGTTCCGTTTCATTCTACTACCCCATTGAAGATAAGATATCCGAGGTGCCCCCGTGAAGCCAACATTGGCTTCTCGAAATATTTCTAGGCACTTTATTGAGGGCTTGAGCACCGCAGCTGAAACTGCTGTTGGGGCGTTTCCCCAAAGCCGTGGAAGCAATAGTGACAAAAGGGGGATGCGTTCTTGACGCACGGCGTCCGTGAGGACATGATCTGTGACTTGGACACCGCGCTCAAGTAAAGCCAACACAACGTCAAAGTTCCTGAATTGAATGGCGACCGACAGAGGACTTTTGTCGTCAAATGCGATTGTCGTGTGCTGGTTCAAGCGAGTAATCCTCTGGAGCAAAAACCACGTCAGAGGCTCATCTCTAGTACAAATGGCTGCTTCAAGGATACTCGGGCCAAAATTATACAGGATCCTCTGAAAGTAGATTCTGCTTTCCAGAAGTAGTGCAGTCTGTAGATTGCCGATCTTTCTGACTTCGAGTCCAAGGTTTGTTGCCCCTGCATTCTCTAGCTTCTCGATCATTGCCACATTCCCAGCTTCAACTGCTGCTGCGAGAATGGTGGAGGAAATTCCATTGAAGGTATCATTCAATCGAGCATTCGAAGCGATCAAAAGATCAACGATAGCCATCGAATTTTGCTGAACAGCAATCATGAGCGCTGACGGGAGCCAATGGACTTCTTGTGGTTCTCTGTCAACTCTGGCGCCGTGATTTATCACCATTTGACAAAGGGAAAGATCCCTTCTTCGAACGGCACGCTCAAGTAGTGTTTTTTGACCTTCATCAGCAGCTCGGAGGTTAGCACCTGAGTTGAGTAGATCCTCATAGATATCAACAGCGCCCCCCTCAACTGCTAAAGCCAGTGGGGAGATATAAGGTGGATAGATAAGCGACAGGTCTGCGGGAGGCGGCACATGGAGCAACAGTCGTATGATGTCCCTAAACTTATTCTCGACTGCCCGTCCCAGTAGTGTAGTTTGATGGGGCCCCTCAATTGTGGAGCATGCAACTAACCCATTTAGTCGAACTCCCTTGGTAATGAAAAGCTGGACAAGGTCCACATTGCCTTCCAAGACAGCCGGTAAAAGAGTTTTGGTCTCATCCTGTTGTGTTCTCACACTTTGATCAAGATATATGCCAATCATCTCTTTCATGAGATTAGAACCCTCATTGGTCTCACAAAGGGAGGCCCAGTGGGCAATCATCATTTCAGCGCATTGCCTTGTCACTTTCGCGCCATCATCCAGAAGCAAACGAACGGTAGTCCAAAATTCACCCGCGACAGCATAAAATAGAGCATTTCGCCCACTATCATTGACCGAGAAATTCACATCGGCACCATGTGAAATCAAAAAATCGATAGATTGGGCATTCATGCCGCCTGGCGAAAGATGCGCGCTTGCCAAAAGATATTGCAAAGGAGTAAGGAAGGGCTGATCCTCGAAGCCCTCCATGAATTGCTCGAAAACTATATTGGGGTTCATTCCCGCTCGGAGCATTTTGTGGGCAATCTCGAAATTGTTTGATCGCAGTGCAGCCGCAAACAATCTTTCGGTGATACACTCGACAGTTGGCTCGTCACTTGAAAGCAGAATCCTGAGGTGATGTAGATCATCCCAGCCAATATCTTTCAGGATTTGCAAGTACAGTATGTCGTCTCGCTCCGTCGAGTCACGAGCATCTTCATAATCATCACCATACCCCGAGCGCAGGTTATTCGAGATCAGGTAGAAAGCTAAACCCATACTGTCCCGAATTCCGGCACGCAGAATGCTGAGATTCGGTGAAGGTATATCATGTTGGCCGGGCTCGTTTGCTGGTAGGATAACGCTCAGAGCAGCAGATGTACGGGAGGCGCTGGGTAAGATCGGGGAATGCGGGTCTCTATTCCATGATATAATGGAGCCCAAGTATTTCATCAAACTGAGGTTCATGTCCTTGACAATTGCAATTTCCTTGTGCGGCGAGTCCAAGGTGAGAGAGAGTGCAGAGAGAGACAGGGAGGTATCTGCATGTATAATAACAAGAGACTTAGTCACTTCCACGAACATCACTTTGATCAGTCTTACCGTCATTTTGTGAGAGAAACTGACGCATGAATCGTATCCAGGGAAGGGATTGGTTCCATGAAATTGGATTGCGAGACGGAGGAGGCGTAATCACTTGGTAGCCTTCCGGGGTACATGGAGATGGACCTAGAGATGGATGATTTAGCTTGGCATTCGAGCTCGAGCAGGTGAAGCATGAAATTACCACGTCGTGAATACTCGGTCAGGAATCCCTTTCTGTAACTCGACCTGGCGATCTTTGCAGGATGGATTTGTATCCCGTTGATGAAGACCTCGCTTTCTTTGTTTTCTCGCTTCCTTTTTTCGATACGTCTCGAAATCCATTGGTCTTCTCTTGGGTTGGAGTGTTTTCTCAGCCCCCATTCTTTGAACTTCCTCGAGTACTGTGCTCGGCTATATCTGTGGTAAGCGAAAAGGCCAAGCTTGGAATTTTAGGACCCCAGATCTACCACTGACCTTTTTTTCCAAGAGTGATTCGTTTCCATATACCTCATCACCTCATCCCGTGTTTTGTCTTCGTCGATGTATAATCTCTCGATTTCGATCTTGTGCAAATCCCATGGGTCGGCCATCGTGGGTAAAGAAAAGCGAAGTGAGAAAGACTGAGGAACAAATCCTAGGGCGACCTGCTCTTCTTATGAATTTTAGAGAATTCATGTTTTCTTTTTCGGGGGCACTGCCTTCCCACCGTTTCACCTAGACCCTTATGGCCTGGGGGATCTAATTGCGGATCGACAACACGAATGCGATGCTTATTGGTAGAGATGACGGGCATGGGGGCCGCCTTCATGGGCACCCGAGGGCGCAAGGTCTCCTCTTTCCTGCAGGTGGGAGCAATCGTTGATTGGCTGCATACCAAGCTCTCACGTCTAAATAGAATGCGTTCATTGGCCCAAAACCAATTTCTCATCCCACTCAGCACCCACTCCGGTTCAATCTTTCAGATCCCCCCGGAGCCGCCGATCCACAAGCCAGGTTCCGTACGCGTCGTCGAACCCAGTGACCCTAAATAGTGCTCAGAATGAAGGTCATCCAGAGTGGAATCCTCAAATCGAACGCTCTGATTTGTTCGTTACCAAATGTTCACCGGTTCCAGCATGATCGATCTTCTCGCATCCCCAGTTTACGTCAAAGCCAAGATCTACAGTACTTACAGAGTCTCTTTGGCATATTCAACGGACCTTCACTATTTATACACCTCTTCCCCCCGAGTTAGCTTTCATACCTGGCTCAGGAACTGGAAGTCCTTTGACCAGATCTCATTCTTGTGATTGGACTTTGGCACTTGGCCTTATAACCGCTGAAACTCTTCTACACTCTTCTATTTGCTTGCTACCTCTTCCAACCATGGATTGGCCCACGATCAACACAGACTGGGACATTGATAATGGCGACCGAGACCAATATTATACAATCGACCCTACCCAAGCTCAAGCTCAGCAATCTCAGGGCACGTCACTGGACTTCGATTGGGCAAAGACCGACTGTTTAAGGCCAGCATCGCTGTCCACTTGGAATACCACTTTGGCTTCTCAGGCCATGCCGACTTCCAACGAGTGGTTTGATTGGAGTATGCTGTCCTCGGCAGATCCTGCCAATACAATTTCGACCGTCTTCAACAATCCTACTCCAAACCTCAGTCCGAACTATGTCGAGAATCTGGCGGGTGGCTCCTCGCATGTTCCTAGTATATCACCAGGATGTCAAACTATGAGCCTACCAATCAAATCCATTGAGGGGGATACCTGCAACAATGAGGTCTACCACCAGGCCCTTGCAGCTAGGCCACATCCTCGGGTCCAATCTACCCGCAAGAAAACCAGAAATGCTCAGCAGTATGTCCTCTTCAACCTTCTTGATACACCTCCGGCAGGGCAAACATATTCTCCCATCTGATAGTGGTTACTTATGATTCTCGTCTACAGATCGCAGGATGCCCCACTGTCGCAGCCGATAAAGTGCAAGTGGGATGGCTGCCGCTATCCCGGCACTTTCAAACGAGAGTCCTTATTGATCCGCCATCTCAAGAATATCCACTTCTCGCCTGGTTCTCACCCATGTTGCGTCCCTGGGTGTGATGCGGTATGCAATCGTGCCGATAACCTTACTCAACACATGAGAAATATCCATAATTAGGTATGGGGGCAAATTTTATACTGCAACATAGCCCAACATGGTCATGTTGATTTACTAGAAGGTCTTTCTGGAGTCATCTGCTTTGCGTGCGGGGTTTGAAATTCAGGGTGCGAGCAAATGTTGATATTTCTTCTGGTTCATAGACTGTTAACAGATTGACGGAGTCATGCGATGGCCTCGCCGAAGGTCCAAGGAGGGAGTTCCAATATTGTCAATGAATACGGGATAATGTGATTTCATCAGCCTCTATCTAGTATGGTAAGAACTAACTAGATTTCAATACTGCTTATTCTTCAACTATGCAAGGATGAACGAGTGTCTTTGAATTCGGAGAACAGCTAGTATCACTCCAGGAACCTATACTCAGACTTCAGATAGGGCACCGAAGATACATATTGCACACAGCAGGAAAAGAATCCCCCCGAGAGCACGTAGACACATGAAGCCGGAACCGAAATCCCTCGTAATAAACCGTTATTCGTATACCTAACCCAGAGTCGATCCCAGGCTTTAAGTCTCGGAGTAGAACAAGGAAAGCTCAGCTGTTCCGTAATCGTCCATGTCCTCCTTCTTCATGTTAAGAGTGATCTTGTCGCCAGACACTGTTCCAACGAACCTAAAATGGTGTTCAGTTGGTTTTCATGACATCAATGAGAACAAGAGGATATGTGCGCTTACCAGTAGTACTGATCTTCTCCCACGTAGATTTCGATCTCTCCATTCTCCAACTTGGTGATAGTGCCGACTCGCGAGAAGTTCTCCTTCAAGTTGCCCTTGTAGCTCTTGGTCCACTGACCACTGATCACGGCAGTTGAGCCCTTTCGGAATCCGCCGTTGGTAATGAGTGTGATAAGCTCATTTTCAGTTGCGTAGCTGGTGTTGGTGTTCAATTTGCCGGTGTAGACACGCATCTTGAAGGATGTGATTCGAAAGATAGAGATAGAGAGTTGAGAGGTAGGCTTTCTTGTTCGGTTGAGAAAAGGCTGTTGTGTACTCGAAAAAAGATGGGTTGACTCGGCTCTACTTATAGGTTTCCTCTGGGACTCATGTGATCTCTGGAGCTTGCAAGCTGCGTAATCTAGACCTGCTTTTGAACTTCAAGTTGCATCATCCGAGCTCGGCTGTAGAAACGGTGAAGAATATCAGGCACGATCACCCAATGATCGTGGAACTGCAGAAGCAACAAGCGGGGAAACCACACATGTACAGACATGGCGAGCTGAGGTTTACGAGTCAATTCTTCGAGTATGCGTGGTGATGTAGGAGTTATTTAGTGAGTGCATTGGAAGGATACACAGCATGATCTAGTTCTTATAGACATATGCAGCTGATATCACAATTTTGATTTACCCCGCCCCGCTGTATTCAGGCACGTTGTGGTTTGAAGACTAGAGTTGAAAATCCCACGTTCATATTGACTACAATTGAATTATAAAATGAATTCAGTAATTCTCCAAACAGATTGGATTCAATGCCTGTAAGTGTTTATGTTAGGGGCTGATAAGCTTGGTACGGATGAAGATCACATTGGTTATTTGTCTAAAGAGTATACGATCATCCCCAAATACTCGTTGAGGAAGCCTTTTCGCGGATCGATCTTACGAAGTGCATACTATGGGATCTTCCTCGGGATTCTAACCCGGGTAGTGTGTTTTTACAGATGCTAGGGACCATACAGTTGAGGATAAAGTGAAGTTGATTCGATCAGTGTTTTGTGACAGCAATGGCTACCACTCATGACTGACTTTCTAGTCCAGATACACTAAGCCTCAGAACGAGAGTCAAGTTCTTCATTTGGGCATCAATTGAGGATTTGTGTCTCTATGGGACATCCCGCGTTCCCGCAACGGGCCGCAGACGCCCGTGGACGCACGACGCAAAATGTGAATGGCGAGTTATATTGAAAGCGAGCAGACTTGTGAATCGTGACTTGCCCATCTCGCAGAGCAGATACTCATGATTGAAGCTTCCCATTACACAAGGGATAAAGTCTTCTCTCGGTGGGGGGTTTGGAGGAATCTTTCGATGCTTGATTGTGTCATCGACGTCCACTTTTGAGTCGCTGGCCGAGTTGCCATCTGGTAGGTATGACTGCGATGTTATCCGTGTTTGGTGTGGCGTCTATTTCGATGGTTCATTCGCAAGTCGAGTCATTCTCCTGGGCTCTGATTCTCTCGGGCTCAGTTGGCCAGCCGTCGGTCCGGCGCGTTCATCTTGTATGCCAATCCGGGGAATAGGGCCATCCCCTTGCTTTGAACAATCTGACCCGGGCAAGGAGATCAAGCATGTGACACTCGCCAGATCTCGAAGATATCAACGAGTTCGTTGATTCAAAATAATTGAGGGTATTGGAAAGGACCCCTGGAGAGCGAGAGGGAGAGGGACCCCTGGGGGGGAGAGAGGGAGAGAGAGAGAGAAGGTTCCATTCTTCAAGAGAGCAGCTTTATATCCCCCAAAATCCCATCAATTCATCCCAAGTGTGCCCCCATCACATCTTTTTAGTTCTCCCTTTGATTTGGTTCTCACTTTGAAATCAGATCTTTCGTCTGAAGTGATTCCCCCTGTTCTGAAACTCAGTCTCCATCATGAATATGGGATCCATTATTCATGAGAAAACAAGCCAAACCTCCAGGACTCTCCTTCAAGCGGTGTGATACGTTTGCCACGACAATCCCCAGAGAAAACAAGACTGGCTGCTAAGTGGGGCACTAAGCATGCAGATGATAGATCAATCGACTTAGCAACCGGCATCCGTGCAGGACGCTGATCGGAAGCTTTTAGCCCAGTTATTTCGTGGGATTTGTAGTGTGACGTTGTCCCGCCAGCGCTAAGCAGTGGCCACCTCGGCATTCTGTAGGATGACACATTTATACTGAAAGATTCACTAGTTTGGGGACTGCAAGAGCTAGCGCTATGGTACCGATACAATTGACCAATAAGTCTGATTGTACTCCGTACCGCTGTAGGTATTCTTTTACCTTAGAAAACAGAAAAGCTGCGGCGAGGCGCCATGGCAAATTTTGGAACATGCTAAATTAAGGTATCAGTTCGTTTCTCGTTTAAATAAGCTCAAACCATGTGTTATGATATCTGGGGGGATGAACGCGAGCCGTCCGTCTCGGCTGGCAGCACTTTGGTGCCTAATACACCCATCGAAGACGCTAGACGGTCCAGCCAGATTGCTGCATGTGGATCATGCGGATCAGATGCCTCATTCGGACCACTCTCGAGCTGTGAATGAATTCGGAATGGCAATGTGCCACTCTTGGAACTACTCGACGACGCAGTGTAGCATGAACTACTATCGCTGGGCGAGTCGACAGATCCTGGAGACTGCTCGTCTACCAGGTTGAAGCGCAAGCGATCCTCGAGACGTTCGGACAGCTGTTGTAACGTCTGCTGCATACTTGCAGCACCACTGAGAAGGTGTGCAGGGCCCGTGTCTGGGAAAGCGGGCGGGATGGGTCCAACGAAGGACCCAGGCCGTTGGACTATGCCTTGCTGCCGCTCGCTGTGTGCAGTGAGACAAACCTGCAGCTCGGCCATGAGCGTGTGTAGCAAATTTGATGTATCGCGAATACGACGGAGGATGTCGAGAATGGCATTTGGATCTGGGTCCGTCGGGCTTGCGAGCAATTCCCGAGTTTCCATGATATAGCGCGGACACTTTGCGATTTCCATATACGACAGATCGGAGATCTCGGCATAGGCAGACCACTCGCCAGGCTTCTGGCAGTCTTCAGCTCTGACTTTGGCGGCATATGATTGCCATTCCTCCTCGTCTAGGAAGCAGGCTTTGCCTTCGTGAACTGCGGTGGCGATGAAGAATCTAAGAACTGAGTTAGGATGACCGTTCGACCTTGGCGGATATTGCCTTGTCAGGCGTCTACTGCTTACCCGCGGAAGGCGTACCAACAGAACCTACCGAGGCCGGACTCGTGTGCTGCCGGTCCTCGACTGATCATTAGCCGCTTCGCGCCATCCGAATGGACAACCCAGGCGTCGGGTGTGGTTTTCGCAAACATCTCGAACACACTCAGGATAATAGACGTGCACAGCATATTATCTGATTGGGCTTGCTCCGGTTTCGAAATCGCCCTTATGACCTCGCCCAACGCCTTGGAATACATCTGCCGACTTGACCTGGCCAGTGCTGGGTCTTTGGTCAATCGGGCCAGGTATACCGATGTCAAGCAGCATATCGCTGAATCCATGAAGGCATGCTGACCATAATTCATAATGATGTATTCCGCAAACCCCGCCCCATCCCCCGAGCGGAACCGATTGTGATAGTAGAGGGTCGGAAATGCCGCGCTGATAAAGTCCAGGAATAACTGTGGCTGCGCAGCACGAAAGGTCTTCCGCACCAGCGACGGTGTGACCTTCTCATCCCACCCCCCATACATCGATTGCTGGCGCATTAGCGCGATCGCATTATCCCGCACCACATCGGCCGCAACAGCGGAGTCATCGTGCACGAACGTATATTGCGTAGGGCGGGTCGGTCTCGCGACCGTGGTCTGTCGGCTGGACTTGTGGCGCTTGGTGAGATTGGGGCCTTCGTCCTGGAAGCGAAATACACGACGGTAGCCCGGGCAGGCGCGTCCGTATTTGCGGCACTGGCCGCATTCTGGGACGGCCTCGTCGCACTAGACTGGATTTAGTTTCAGGTTCAGTTCGTTGTGGAGGGGTTCACGGACTTTGATCCGTCGCTCTCGACATAGAGAGCAGCCTTTGCTGTGTGGCACGCCCACCATTGTGAGCTCAAGGTGGTTATCGAGGTTTGGGGGCGGTTAAAAGGCTCGGAAGTCCCCCGATTGACTATGTGCCCATTTTTCGGATGACAGTTCGGAAGACCGGAAGATCTTGAAAAGAGAGGGACAGACTGGATTTTTGTGCAATTCCGCCAAGCCAAATAGGGCGTCAGCGGTGGCGGCAAGGCCGTTTCAGGGGCAGTCTTGTGGGCAATTTCGATCGCCGATCTGGATCTTATCATTTGTGGTTCTATACGAGACCGTTAAGCACTCTCCACGTTCCGCTATCGGGCCTCGGTATGTCTTTCCGTTCTATACTACGGCGTAGATTCAATAGAGATATGATCGGACAACCCCAAGGGGCCAAAAATGGTATGCAAGATGGTATCATAACAAAATGCGGGAAATCAGTAGGGTATAAGAAATCAAAACATTGAACTCCGTTTTTTGGCCAGCTTCGTAGCCGTCTCCTCTTTGTTACGCCGGAAACCAAAGAAACTACTCTTTTTCGGCTGCAGCTGCGCCGGCTTGGAGGGCGCAGGAAGCGCACCACTGCTTGTGGGTTGCTGGTAGAAGGCCACCGACTGGGGCCGGGCTTGCGGGCGAGGCTGAGGACGGGGCTGGAGATGTGTGGAGGATTGCATGCGCGGGTCTGCCCGCCCAGGGGGGTGAGGATGGGCGAAATGGACAGGACCAGGGGTATTTTGGCGTGGATGAGGGCGTGGTTGGGAGAGTTGCATGGAGGATTGGGAGTATTGGTGAGAATAAGGCTGAGCGGGGCCTGTGTGTCGGGGTGGGAGATAGGGTCGTGCAGATGGAGCTGGGGTGCGTTGTTGCCTGCGGGCTTGTTCTTCTTCCCGGCCATACAGCTGTTGTAGGCGCTTGGTTTCCTTGTCGACGTTTGAATCCCGTTCGCGCCGCTTGCGTTGCGCCGCCATGATCTCTTGGCTCCGACGCTCTTCTTCCTGTTTGGCGAGTTCGTCTTGGCGCATTCGCTCCTGAGGGCCTGGAGATGTGGGGTTCGGGAAACTCGCGCGATGGGTTGATTTCCCATGCATTGGGACCCCGGATGGTCCAGCCTGGGGGTGTTGTCTGTCAAATTTCGCATTGGCGGGTGCTGCTGCTATGGCCGGAGCTATAGCGGGGGCCGTCGGTTTGCGCGTTATTGGGCTTGGGGTATGGGAGATATGGAATGCTTCCTTCGCAAGCCCGAAGAAGATGTCTCGGATGGCGATGGTCACCAGGAGCAGGACTACCTCTAGGCCTTTGAAATCCTCCATCTCTACTCGGTATAGATTTGGCTGATAAAGTGTAAGCTCCTTCAGTCCCTGGAAGAGAGCAACGGTGATATCTGGCTCCCGACTTTTTGTCCGAGTATCAGATATAGTAGAGGTCTTCCCGTGTAGCAAACAAGTCAGATCCTTTGATAGTTTCCCATCCTTGCGCCAGCTAAACCGCAGCTTCGGGGTAATGTCTGCGATAGAGGGATCGATCTGGCCCTGGTCAAGGGATGAGCCAGAGGGTACGCGGAATGTATTTTGTGGCATCTCGAACTCCCATCGAGCGGGTTTGTTCCAAGTCTTCGGGTGGTGTTTCACGGTGATCGTTTGGTCGGGGTTGTAGAGCTGGACGGTAAACTCGTTGGGAAGGATCGGTTCTGGAGCTGGTGCCGTGCCTCCGTTCGCTCTAATAGTCTCCGCCGATAAACTGGGTTGAGTCCATTCTGGAACCACGGCGACCTCGCCGTACACGATGTCCGGCACGTACGGGTCATACAGGGCGACTCCGTAGCGGTTCTGGGATGTCGGGGCAGCGGGGTCGAGGGATCGCAGGGTGTAGGCAGGCTCTGGGTCGTTTCCATGCTGGCGGTGGTATACCGTGCTAACCTGGGGCTGTTTCGAGTTGTTCTTCAAGAAGAACGCTGGACTGGGGTCAGTCCCGAATCCGGGTGGTGGCAGGGTATCCTTACTGGGCAGGTTTTCATCGATCATTCTGCGCCTTCACGTCCATGTACAAGCGCATAAGGGGTCGTATTGCAGGCGGGCGTTGGAGATGATATAGTCCAGCCTGGGAGTCAAGGTCTGCGCCACGGGATCTCAGTGATCGGCACCTAAAAATAGAACCGATGCCCTTTGTCGAGGCACCAGCATTCAACCTGGGGCTTTGTTCAAGCGGAAACGCGTCAGGATGCATGGAAATGCCCTGCAGCAAACTGGAATTGAGTTGCCTATCAATGCATGTAATAAAGGCTATTGCTGCTACCACTATGTCCGAAACGGGTAGTCTATTTGCGACTCTCGATCGACATGAATCCTGCAATGAACGTCTCTCTCTAGGCAATATATATCTTCGATCAGCGATTGTGCCTGCTGCGGGTTTTTTTTTCAGGGGATCTTAGCCTCCGCTGTAACCTCCACCGGGTTGGCAGCGCAGTCAGCGCCTCCGCCGAAGAATGACGACGCCAATGTGACACGGCATATGGATTGAATCAAATATACGAAGGCAGAATGCTTGTTTGGGCTAAATTACTAATACCTACGGAGTAGTATCCGTGACATTACTACGGAGAACCTAGTACTAGGTAGATCTTTGCAGGCTTGAACAGCCTGGACGTGGTCGTCTTCCTGTCCAGGTATCTAAGACTCGCTTTTTCAAGGTTCGATGAAGGGAATGCCCACGAGTGATACTATGGTATTGGGGAACGGATCATACCTAGGTACTATGGAATACTTAGGGAGGATCGGCCCTCCCTCGTTTACTGCTTGGGATCTCCTGACCCTGGGCAGAAACACCTTACCTTGGTAGTTGCCGATGCCCAGGTGGAGGCCACCAGAGAGCAAAGACGGGCCGTCCTCCAGGGCTATGGAGTATGTTCCATTCACTTGGTCCTGTGGATATTTGTCTACAAGAAAAATGATGGTGCAAATGCTTCATTTGGTGCTTAAATACAAATTTTATCCCGCAGGATTTCAGATAACGCATGAAGTACCACGGCACAGGGATAGCATCGATACAAAGGGTATACGACAAACAAGTGCTATCCACGAAGTTTCCTTCGGAATTCTGTTGAGTGGTCGATGAGGCCTCGTTAAAACCGACCGGGTTGAAAAACTCAATCGTAATTGAGAAAACCACCAGTTCGGAAAGAGTACCTCATGTGATGTTAGGACTGGTCAAAGGGCCTCATGGTTTGCCATATGTCGCGCAGAGCCCTAGCACTTGGAAAAAAGCGTGCAAGTGGAAGGACTGCGGTGATTGTCGGGGCTGGAGACATTGGCGAAAGCTTGGAGGGTGGCGTTGAAGAGGCGACGCCAGAGATGAGAACCAATCGATTCTTGTGCTTTCTTTCTCGGATCGTGACGACGAGTTGCTCATTGCAGGAGGGGATCCTGGATATAACGTTAGTCATGTGTCTAAAATAAGGTAAAGAGTTCAAACATACCCGGAAGTGCTTCTGGTGGTTGTTCGCCTTTTGGACACGGGCGATATAGCGGTTTTCTTGACGCTGGGCACGAGTTCTCTCGCGACGTTCCGCAGTGAGAGCGGTCTCTTTTTGCTCTTCGGTGGCTTTGATCATACCCAATCCACCGTTGGCACGGGTAGTAATAGCCCGGTGGTGGTTGTTGCGAACGCGAGCCTTATCCTCCTCAATTTCACCATTCTCAATGGCAAGCTGGCGGGCAGCCCGTTCGGACGGTGTCATGTAGTTGTGCATGTTTTGGCGGTAGTATTTGGCCAGCGAACGATGGCCGACACTCTTTCCGGAGGGCAGATGGAGTTCAAAGTCATCCTCATAGGCGCCTGATGGGTTGCGGTAGTTGTCGAGATCTTCTTCGTCGGAGTCGGCGTCACTTTCGGTTTCCCAGCCTTGATCCTCTCCGGTTCCATTGACCTTGACGCCACCGGTCATGGGTGACGATTCTTCTTCGTCATCGTCGTATGTGCTTCGGAAGTCGTAGTATTGACCAATTTCGACTTGCTCATCCTCGGTTTCGAAGGCGATGCGGCAGTGGCTCTTGTCGCGCATGTGGGTCTGAATAGCGTGTGCGGTGTTGCGCATGGTATGGCAGAAGAGACATTCGTAGTTCTCGGTAATCTTGCGCCAGAGATAGTGGACGAGACCATCGATATCCGCCAGATATTTCTGTTCGGGAATGAACATTCCGTGGTCTTTGCGCATGTGCTCCACGTTGGTGTGAATATCGGAAGAGTCGGTGTTGCAGAACAAGCAGTGAGATGGTGAAAATTGAGCCTCGTGATCCTCGGCGTCGACATCGACATCCTCATCCTTTTCTTCAATGGTGGCCGACTTGAGGTTTTCGGTGACCTTGGAAACGTCACTGTTGTTGGACTTGGTGACGGGCTCTCCAAGAGAGAAGGCAGAACTTTGGACAGAAGCATTGTCACCGTCCTTGCGGAGGTGTGCTTCACGTTGCTTGTGCTTCGAGCTGTTGATGTGGTTCTTGTAGGAGTTCTCGCTGTAGAAAGCCTTGTTACAGGTGTGACAGGTCTTCTCGTAGGACGCCTTGGCAGCGGCTTCGTTGGTTACAGCTTTGGCGGCCAGGACCTTTTCGTTGAAGGTTTCAAGGGTGACAGGAGGCAAGCTAGCCATACGACGCTTCATGTTGTAATGACTATGAATGTTAGCCTGCATCCTTTTTTTTTTTTTTTTTTTTTTTTTTTTAAGACTTACTGCCAGTCTTTCTTCATGTGATCTCTCTGCGCTTCGCTGTGGTGGAAGCCGACAAGACATGTGTTGCAGGTGTACTGTAGCGCCTGTGCAGAATCCTGAGTAGTGGAAGACATGTTGCTGGTTTGTTGGTTGTCTTTGGTGGTGATGTTGGGATTTTCCTGTGTGTGGGATGAAGTTTTGTTGCAGGCGGGGTACATATGAAGGTTCTGCCCAAGCCTGATTTGAGTTGATTTGGTGGAATGCAGGGCGACTTGTGTTAGGCAAATGAGTCGCTGATATGCCAGCAGAGTATATGCGAAGGAAGAAAGTCAACAGCTCCAGTGATCAGTCTTTACGCACCAAATGAGCCGTGTCTATGGTTGTCTGCCCGCCGCTGAATATGTTTCTTATCGGCTCTGAGGGTGCGCTATGCCTATCCTGGTAAGTGTGGCATCATATCTATTACTCATCCACCCAGGGCTGACTCATTCCGGATGAACATCGGTCCGATACTCTCCGCCGAGGGTGGATCCTCGAGCCTGAGGCGCCAAACGATGATATCAGGTGAGCTGGAGCCTGTCGCGACTTCAACATTCAATCTGTATCATATTCTCGCTTACATACCCTCTGCTTGCTTTATATTGATCCATGGGTGTGGTTCTCGTTGCCTCAAAATGACCAGGCCCCGCGGAGGTTCGATGGATTCCCCCGACATCGCGCGGTCCCCCGGCCACAGACGATCGCACAGCTATCGGTCAAAGCTACCATCGAATGCACCCACAGCCATACAGCAGAATACCATTGAAGTATCTGACTCGTCGCGGGTTCTTCCACGCTATCGAGATGACCGGAGACGCAGATTCAACGGGCTGGTACGAAGGTGAGCAAAGCGCGACAACAACGGCCCTAAGCCCCAGTCCCCTATTCCAGTACCGTGCTGACTCTTTATACGAAAAAGATACAAAGCGCAGCTACTTCATGGCTGTGACAACCCTGGATGCCGAAACCCTACATGTGCGAGCCACCGCCGACGAACCAGCGAAGGCCCATACCGTCGGTACACCGATTTGAGCGCGCGGACTCTGGCTTGCTACCTGGCTAGCTTGGACGATGCGGAAGCTGGCTTGTGCCATAACACATTAAAACCACCGCCGCAATTTGAATCACTTGACTTGCAACAAATTTCCATGCGCCGGGCTCGTTTCTTCCAGATGGAAGAAGCAGGGATCCTGATAACGCCGCACGCAAGCCCGGAAGATGCAACCAATGCAACCGCTCACACTCACCTTGCACAGGGTGCCGCGCCGTCAATGGATTCTCCGGAAACGTCTCCCATCGGTACGGGCATCAGTCAACAGGAACTTGATCGCATTCAGTGTGAACAAGTCGATCGTATGCCGGGTTTGGAAGCGAAGGACCCGAAATCCTTTACGCAGAACTTATTCGATACACTTTCGCTCAGAATGGTCGAATGGTTACCCCTTCGTCGCACAACAGGTCCCCCAGAGCCGAAGATTGATCTTGAACCCTCAAGGCCCACGCCCCAGAGTCCTTCTGCGGCTGCCAAAGATGTCCCTGACGAGAAGACTTCAGGTAAGCCGAAGAAAGAAGCTACAAAATCTATGATATCAAGCCATTCGGGTGTCCAACCTCGCACTCCTTCATCTCGAACATCGGTGCCTCAGCCAGCTGCAGTAGAAGTCAAGGTCCAGAACCAACATGTCAAGCGATTATCAATGCCCGAAGTTGAAAACTGGCATCAGAGTCCAAGATCAAGTCTGGATGAAAAGAAGAAGTCGGAGTTTAACAAGATGATTCCAGTGGCCCCAGATGAATTCCATCCACTTCCCTCGCCTCCGGCATTAAAGCACCGTCCGCAAAAGCATCGAGGAAGAATGGACAAAGTTGATTCCATCCCTTTGAAAGATAGACGAAAAAGCCAGCGCCGTGTTTCTTGGGACAGCGAAAAGTTGCTCAACGAGATTTCTCCCGTGAAAAGCCCAGCAGGGACAAATACCATGCCTCACCCTTCTCCTCCATCTCCTCCATCTTATCCTTCCCATACTATTGGTGGACGCAGTACCGACTCGGCCGCTGTGGAACTGCTTCCAGACATCATCCCGTTGGCCCAAACCATCACTCATCTTACCCCGGAGATTATCAATGGTCTTTCCCAGGTCATGGTAGAAACCCAGGATGATGCCGATGCTTGGAGCGAGGAACTTGATCATATCCAAAGCACTGGTGGCTTTGAACAACCGGAATGGCGTTTTTCTACCTTGCGACAGCGTGAAGCGTTCCCCTTCATCGCCCAAAGCACATTCTTCGTGCTCAGTAGTCCTCAGCATATATTGCGTTCATTTGGTATTGAGTGTTCCAACGTGGATGGAGCGATCTCAAATCGCCTGGATGTTTCGCATCTTCGTGGGTCGTTGCAGCTTCTGTTTTCGGTTTGCCCATGGGATATTGCATTGCACAGCGTGTGGGGCTCGTTAGACAGGTTGTTCATTCCTCCCAATGGACTCACATCCTCTGGACGTCCGTCTCGTCGATCTTCTCGGAGTTCCGCTATGTCTGGGCCTGCGTCTTCGATTGTTCCCCGGCGCATTTCTGCATCCGCCAACGAAGACTACGTGTCTGATCCCGATGCCGCATATATCTGCACAGTTGCCTTGTTTACATTGGTCAGCTGCATGCCAAAGATGGATTCACTCACATGGCGAGCAGTCGTACACATGCGTGCCAATGGATCCGTTGCTTCATTCTCGCACATGGGCAAGCTTCCTCCCCACAATGCCAAGCAAGTCGTTGAAGTGACGGATAGGTTTGAACATGAGCTAGGCCTCCGTTTAATCGCCCGACTCGTCCGTCTTTTCACCGCACGATTGGCATACCATGAAATATCAAAAGCTCGCCATGGATATCAAGCCGACCAGCCAAAACAGCGCAAGGTCAGCCTGTTAGACCGCGTACTAGACTACCTGAGTGAGCAGCACGCCTCGCACGACTCTGACGAATCAATCACCCCGGCCGCGCTCATCGTCGAGTGGCTCCGGACTCTCTTCTTGCGTGAATGGGATGGTAACCCCGATATGGCCCGAAGCGGCGCTGCTGGTGGTGCCGTTGAAATTCTGTCGTCCATGTACAAAGCCCGAAACAGACTGGGCCTTTCTTCCGAACTCTTCCACACCCCCCTTCTGACAGAGCGGCTGGACCCGCTAGAAATGCCTGTGGCATGGGTTGGGAGAATCTCCAACAACCGAAGGATGCATCTATTGTCATATTCATTCCTCTTCCCTCCTTCTTCCCTTGTCATTTACTTCCGCGCCTTAAACTATTCTGCCATGACAAAGTCTTATGAGGCGGCGATGACCACCACCAGACATGTCACTCAGACAGCCTTCGGTGCCATCCAAATTGCGGATGACCCTCGACTCCTCACTCGCTTGAAAACATCCATGTCGACATATTTCGTCCTCGTTGTTCGACGCGACAACATTCTTTCAGACGCACTCAGCCAGCTGTGGCGACGCGAAAAGCGGGAACTGATGCGGCCATTGAAAGTGCAGATGGGTATGGACGAGGGCGAGGAAGGGCTCGATCATGGTGGTGTTCAACAAGAGTTCTTCCGCATCCTGATGGGCCAAGCCTTTGATCCGTCTTATGGCATGTTCACAGTGGATCCTCGACACCGATTGTCTTGGTTCCAGCCATGTTCACTGGAGCCGCTATACAAATTCGAACTCATTGGGCTTTTGATGTCCATCGCAATCTACAATGGACTGACACTTCCTTTAAACCTGCCCCTCGCGTTCTACCGCAAGGCATTGGGATTGAAAGTGAAGCACCTGGACCATATTCGGGACGGATGGCCTGAACTGAGCCAGGGTCTGGAAACACTACTGAGCTGGAAAGACGGGGATGTCGGGGATATTTTCACCCGCACCTACGAGTTCAGCTTTGAAGCCTTTGGAAGCATCGAAACGGTAGATATGCACAAGGTTGGGCGTGACGCTGCTTGGCCTGTTACATCGAAGCACGTTACAAGCCCGAAGCGCCCTCAAAAGTACTACACGCCCACACCTCCTGATCTACCATACTGCACGGCAGACGAGCCTAGCACCACCACAGTCTCCCATTCCGAGTCGATCCATCCTGTCCAGCCAAGTTCCGAGAACTTCTCTCGGTCTCCAACGCCCCCACCCGACGAAGCTGCCCTCGTTACCAATCAAAATCGACACCAGTTTGTCAAGGACTATATTTTCTGGCTGACAGACAAGTCCGTACGACCGCAGTTCGAAGCGTTCCAGAGAGGACTGTGCACGTGTTTAGACCGATCTGCTCTGTCTATATTCTCCCCTGAAGCGCTCAAAACAGTTGTGGAAGGAATCCAGACCATCGACGTTACGGAGTTGGAGAAGCACGCCCGGTACGACGGTGGGTTTGGACGTCACCACCCCGTGATTCGTGATTTCTGGAGTATCGTTCAAAACTACTCGAATGAAAAGAGAGCTCGGTTGCTGGAGTTCGTGACTGCTAGTGACCGGGTTCCTGTCAATGGAGTCTCAAGCATTATGTTCGTGATCCAGAAGAACGGAGTTGGTGATTTGGTATGTGTTCTTTGTCTCTTGGTGCAGTTGATGCTAACTATTCTCCCAGCGTATCCCCACAAGCCTGACCTGCTTCGGGCGTTTGCTTCTGCCGGAATATTCATCCCGGGAGGCCATGGCAGAGAAACTCGACATTGCCCTTGACAATGCGCAAGGGTTCGGCGTTGCATGAAAAGTGCTTGATTTTTACCCTTACATACCCTATGTATATTGTAGTTATTGTTAGCGTGTTAGCGTCGCAAATAGACCGTTCCCACTTCCGTGTCGGTGTCCACTGTGTCCACCGTGTCCACCATGGAGATCATTTCGTCGCAAATCAGAGGTCGAAGTTTATTCTCGTGCTTGTGGTTCGCCAGGAAATTCGGACGTCTGAGGTCCGACTTGATGACTCTTTTCACGATGAGATCTTTAAGGCGGTATCGATAAGATCTGCCCCTCAACTTTCAACTCCGCAACTCGGCCTTGTCTTGAGCTCTCTGCCACATTCCAAATGGCTCCCATCATTCATTGTGTCCGCCACGCCCAGGTATGTCCGCACATACAGTGCAATTTGCAATGCGCAATTCCCGAACCCCACACGTCCCCGGCACTTGATCCCAGTCTAACAACTGTAGGGCCTGCACAACCTCTGCACCGAGAACCATGTCATTCAAGACCCCTCCCTCACAGATCTCGGCCACGAGCAATGTCGCAAGTTGCGCGACAGCTTCCCTCGTCATGCCAACATCGACCTGGTGACGGCCTCGCCACTTCGCCGCACCTTGTATACCGCCCTCGAGAGCTTCGCGCCCGTCTTCGAGGCAAACCCCGATCTGAAGATCATTGCCCTCCCCGATCTCCAGGAGATTTCGGATGTTGCCTGCGATACGGGAAGTGAGCCTTCTGTCCTGAAGGAGGAGTTCACATCGGGCGTTGATCTGGATCTCGTGTATGAGGGGTGGAATAACAAGGTATGTCTATTGCGGGGCAGTGCTGTCCCTCTCTCCGTTACACATGATCTAACCAATGTTCTACAGCAAACCGGTCGCTTCGTACCAACCAACCATGCTATCAAGGAGCGGGCCCGCGCAGCCCGCCAGTGGCTGAAGGCCCGCCCGGAGAAGGAAATCGTGATGGTCACACACGGCGGCTTCCTACACTACTTTACCGATGACTGGGAGGACAGCAGCCAGTTCCAGGGTATGTGCATGTGCTTCGACTATGTGGATCCCAGCTAACGGTGACAGGTACTGGTTGGACTAATACCGAATATCGCACATACACATTCTCCGAGGAGACCCACACCAATGATCTAGAGGGACGTGCTTTGGATGGCGATAATGCTTCGCTGGAGGAGACTGTTGAATCGCGACAGCGTCGGGGGAAAAGTGGCCCGATGGCCGGTCGTGAGCAGCAGCAGGCACTTTATAAGAAGGGTGTTCAAGGGTGGGATGACCAGGGATTGCAGATGAGTACCGCTGAGCGGGAGGCTGCCAAGGTCCCCGAGGGCAAGGAGGTTGATGGCGTGCGAGTATAATTCAAAAGGTGCATAAGATCGTGTCGATAGACATAGGCATTGAGAAGTGATGAGTGTACATGCAGTTACACTTGGAAAAAGCATATAGATTTACTCTGAAGCTATGGAATGAGACCAGAAAACGAACTACAGACAGTACTGTAGGTTGGGCATTCTCTTTAGTGCACAGGCTTTTGTTCTCACGAGACCATTATTATGTCTCCAGGGCTGTGTACTATGATTATCAAAGGTTGTTTCTTCCCTCTTCACTGCCAGTGACATGGCTTCACACGAACAGACCTCGGAATAGACTGTGTATTTCATTGCTTGTAGACATTGCTTGTAGACATTGCTTGTAGACGGTATAAACAAAGAGCTCTGGAAAGTTCTGTTCCTTCAGAGGTGAACTCAGCGTAATCTTCCAAGTTGGAACCTCCAGGGTGACAACAAAAGCCCTTGGGGGTACACAGTCCTACACCGTCCTACACTGTCCCGACATCCGTCCCAAGGTCGTACCTCCATCATATCCTCCGCCGAAGACTCGCTCTTAAGCAGCCCAAAAGGGATCATACTCGCATTGGAGTCTTCCATATTATACCCTGACCGAGAGATTCAGTATAACCCAAGAAAGAAAAACGTGGATGCTCCCCGGTTCGTTGGAATGGACAGAGTGACTGATTCTATGATTATGTCCCGGCCATCGCATGAGGGGATTGAACGAGTGAATAAGTGTATTTGATCGGCAGCATCCCCGGGGAAAAGATACGATGAACAAAGGAACCAGAAGGCCAGTCCGTTCGCAATTTGATCACTGTAGTTCTTCGAACAATTCTATTCACATTAGCATCGGAATTTGGGGTACGTGGACATACCTTTCATCTGGATATCATGGGCGGAAGAATCCCTATTTACTCCATGTCAGCTCAAATGGGGTGATCTGGGAACTTACCTGTTTGAGATAATGGCTTTTCCAGAAAAGCTGAGAGGGTAAGAATACTTGGAACAAGAGGGACTGTTCTTTGTTAGCGAAAGAGGGAATTGGGGAGTGGACTTAGCTGCAAGAATCCTTGAAAGAAATACCCGGGGTTGAATGGAATATCCGGAAATATTGACGGCCTACTATATATGGATTCATCGTTAGCTTCACTTGGGAGGGGTCGACTTACCTGGACAGAGAACTTCGTGGAATCAAATATCTTCAGGACAATGTGAGATAGACCTGGAGCTCGTTAGCCTTGGAAAGTTGAGAGGGGACAATAAAAGACTCAGCCATGGAGTTCCAAGGTTGGATGTCAACCGACGCTGTGTCTGCAAGTTGCTCTGATCGGCTTCCTACATGCACCGATTAGTATAGTTCTGTCTACTGGGAATGACCTACCGGATGGACCTCGGGGATCCTTGAGTATATCCATGGATAGTATGTGTAGCGTTCCTAGATATTGTCAGTGAATACCAAAGAGTCAAATGGTGGACTTGGCCTGTTATATCAAATGTATTTCATAGTACGGAGTAGACTTGCAGTATCACGACCTATGTTCCGATGTTAGCAAAACCAAGGGAGTCCACATACCTAGACATGAAATAATATAAATGGACCACTGCGAATGTCCTAGGTAGAAGGATTAGTACATTCCTCCGAAGTAGGGGGATACTTAAAGAGGCCAGGTCTGAACACCGGACTAGAGTGTACCCTAGTCATGTGGATGAGGTTGCTCCAGTTGATGAGAGAGTAACGAGGGGCATCAAGCCCATTATATACACAATTGGATCTATCTTTGGAAGACAAAGGGTTGCCCGAGTACGTTTGTTTACAATATGGGCTTTGTCGGGATACTGGTCGAAGGGGATTATGCGGTTGTTTCATCTTTGAGTCGAGTCGGCAGAAGGCCATTGTATTCGGTGGACAAAGGTCTGGGGAGGTCTATGAATAAAGAAGGTATTGTCTGGTCCTTGACACTGCCTTGACTCTCAAGCGATGAAACAGCGCGTATAAAGACAACAATAGTGCGAAATTGCTTTGTCTGGTATTTACAACGATCATTTGTACCTGACGCGGAGATCTACGCTATGCGGAAAGCCGAAGCAAGAAGAAGAAGTCTGATTTCTGGCAATGAATTGCGGGTCTTCACAGTGATGACGGTCTCGATGCAAATAAGAAATACACAATAGTAGATACACACAACTTGGAAATTCACTGTAGTAAAGGTTGTTCTTCCGAAGGACCGCCAGATGATTTGGAATTTTTGGCGTGCTTCTTTCGGCGACGACGTTTCTTGATTTTGGAGAGCATACCGTCCGCAGCTTGAGATTGCGTATCATCCATCTCAGGCGCTGTCCCGTCAGTGTGACTTTGCCCGGAGGACGAATGCTTGCTGTGCTGATGGCCGGACTGGGATTCACCCTCGGAGGAACTGGAGCAATTGGCATGGAGAACAACCTTGCGAATACCATTCACATCCACAACTTGTTCGGTGATGCTGCCACTGCGTGCCGGTCCACGATGATGGTAGGGAAATCCAGTCGGGGAGTCGGATGATTTGATGCTGCCTTCCGTACTACTAGCCTTCGGCGTCAACCCAGAACGCGTCGGGTGTTCGTATTCTTGCTCTGTACTACTAGCCTTCGGCGTCAACCCAGAACGCGTCGGGTGTTCGTATTCATACTCGGCGTTACTACTCACCTCCCGCGTCAACCCAGAACGCGTTTGGTTTTCGTTTTCGTAATTTTCGGATCCTGGGTCACCACGACAGACCTCCCGCGTCAACCCAGAACGCGTTTGGTCTTCGTGTTCCTCGCGGACTGATTCGGGGATTGAAACATGAGGAAGATCCTTGTACTGTTGGGCGCTCGTTCCCTTGGTCGCATTCTCAGATGATGAAATCGTACCGTAGCCGATCTTCAGGGCATGTGCACCATCTTTAGCGTCAGGTCCAGCAGAGTTGAGCAGGCCTGCACCAATGCCGCCTTGGTAAGCGGCGGATGATGGGAGATGCTTTTGGGAGTCGGAGATGCTTTGTCCAGACTCGTGATCGGTTTGTGCGGAGCGAGAAGGAGAAGTACCATTGCGTTTGATTTTGACGGCATGGTAACGAGTTTGGCGTGGTCGACTAGCGAGATTGGAGGGGCCGAGATGCTTTAGATGTTCTCGGATCGCGTCAGTCGTGCCCATTTGTGTGACCCATTCATTTGTCGAATTGGAGTTGATGTCCGCATTTGTCTTGCGAAGCTGAAAGCGGGGGAGTGGCGCCTCCACGGAGCTGCGTCGCCGGATCAAGTCGGCAGGTTTAGGAACCGATGGGGGTTTGACGGTATCAACGTCAATCAAGTTGCCATCAGATACAACCGAGGCATTCAAGGGTGGTTCCTCAACAATCTTGCCCTTGGGGACGCGGGACTTTGGTGCAGGTGCCATGCGCCGGATAGCTTTGTGGACATCAATGAAGACATCGGACTCGTCGATGATCTCTTCGCCAATCAATTCTTCAATGACGTCTTCGAGAGTGACAACACCAAGGGCGCCACGATCCTCACTCGGATATTCAGAAACAAGGACCATGTGTGATTTGCCCTCCTGGAAAAAGTTGACGATGTCAAGACAACTCGTCTCAGGGCGCGTTTCGGGGAGTGTGGCGAGTGCGAATTCACGAACGCACTTGCAGTCTTCGGGATCGTAGGTAATCAACATCTTGACTAGGAGCATGCCAACAAAGTTGACGGGATTGTCGGGAGCGTGGATGGGAATGCGGGAGTAGCCTTGTGAGAGAATAAGATCCATTGTTCGCTCGTCGAGGACGGTGTCGGCGGACATGGTAAAGACATCTTCCATGGGTGTCATGATACTGCCGACTGACTTCTCTTTGAGATCCAGAACGGCGCTGATGATGGTGACTTCGTCGGAGTTAAGTTGCTCCCCGGCTTCGCCCAAGGTTTTGTGGAGGGTGACGAGCGTTTTCAAGCCGGCTTTTTTGTAGATGGTCCCATGATCCTCACCAAGAAGACGGTCCAGAAGTTTTGCGATTGGCCAGGCGACGGGGGACATGATGTACATCAAGCCCAAGACACAAGGTGCCATCCATGCCCCGATCGGAAGGCCATAACGAACGCAGATAGATTGAGGGACAACCTCGCCGAATATGACAATCAAAGCCGTGCTACCTAGGACAGCAGGCCAACCACCCCCTAGTGTTCGGTCGAGGACGATAGGTAAGGTTTCGTTCGTGATCACATTGCTGAGAAGAAGGGTGACAAGAACCCAGTGTTTTCCGTGACTCAGAAGGTTAAGGACACTGGCGGCATTTTTTCGTTCTACCCCCTCGCCTGATGTTTTGATGACTTGAAGGTAGACTTCATCCTATATCACCCATCGCGGTTAGCAAGGTCGATCAGGCAAATGAAGTCAGATTGAAGGCTCACCTGTCCCATCAAAGCAATAGTCAACCCTGCAAATGCACCCCCGCTGAGGACAAGAGCGGCTGAAATCCCCAAGAAGAGCCATAAACTCGGATCGGTCGGTTCTTTTGGTGGTTCTGCGTCGGCGGAACTGAACAGAGGCGATAAGACGGGAGCCGCGGCTGTAAATGGAATTTGCGCGATCGCGATGAAGAGAAGCTTTGCCAAACCCAGCATCAAAGGCCGAGCGGCAAGCGAGCGAGACGGCGAATTCATGAGCAGAGCGAGTGATCACCAGGACATGCTGTTGAGGGTAATCGTTGGCGGCAGTGGGGTGGGCGGGAAACGGGGACAAGACGGGGGGCAGAACAGGGTGATGGAAAGTGAAAGGGAAAGCTGCCAGGCGGAAGGGGGGCGGAAACAAGTGAAGAAGAAGAGAGAGGAGATGAGGCTAAGACACCACGACCGAGTAATAGCCCGCGGAATTGACTTTGTAGCTGGAACCGGGTGCTGCGTCAGCGGCGCCAAGTCTCGAGACAACTACTCCTTCGCATCCTTGCACATCTTAACGCTTAGCTCGCCGCGCCTGGTCCAGTTGTCGTTGCAAGATCCCGTTCTTGCCCTTGAACTCCAGGTATAGCTTGCTAAGCGCGTCGTGGTTCTCTCGGAGTTTTTCATGCTCGTCGTTCAGGGTGTTGAATCGCCGAACGGCCTCCTCGCAGTTCGATTCCGCCTCCAGAGCCGCTTCGAAGTAACCGGTCTTGGCAGTTTCTTCTTGTTCGCGAGCCTCTGTGAGAGACGAGACCTCGAACTCGAGTTTCTCCTTCTCTTCCTGCAGGGTTTGAACCACCTGCTCAAGGTCGGCATTGACGCTGATGCGGGGCTCGGCGGGAAGTGAACCTCGCGCTTCATCCAACTCTGCCGCAAACTTGGACGACAGGGTCTTCTCGCGTTCTTCGATCCACTCCTTCGCTTCGCGACGCAGAGCAGCCATCGCGGCTTCCCTTGACTCCACTTGCTCCTTCAACTTCCCCTCGATGTCGACATTGATTGCTGTTAGGCGCGCGACCTCTCGCTCCAACCGATCATGCTCGCCTTGGGTAGCGTCAGCGACTTGCTCTCCCGACTGACCCTGCTGGGACAAGGCAGCGAGAGCAGACGACAAGTCGGCGCATTTCGCTGTCAAGGTCTTGTTGTCTTCACCCTGCTGGGACAAAGTGTCGACGGTTGATGACAAGTCTTGACATTGCTTGCTCAGTTCTTGGTTGACCTGAACAAGCCGCGATCCCTCGGTCCACATGGCGGATTTGAGTGCGTTGAGTTCCTGAATCTCTTGGCGTAGTGTTTCGTTGTCGTGAGCCAATCGATCGGTCTCCTGACGACTCTCCAGGAGCTGGGCATTGGTGTGCTCCGTGAGTCGGTCGCGGTCGGCAATCGTGGAGTTGGCGGTGGCAACAGATGGGGATAGCGGGTCCTTCCGGTGACCAGCAGCTTCGAGCTGGGCCTCTAGGCTGCGGATTTGATCGTCCTTCTGGGTAACCGCATCCATCAGTGCCTCTTTGGCTGCCGTCAATTCCTTCAGTTGTTCATCCATAGCCGCCACTCCAAGGTTCCTGTACACGAAATCGTACTGCCCCTTCCACTTCAAGGCTTCTTGTCTAAGTTCCTTGTTCAGGTTCTTGAAGCCGAGGGCCTGTTCTTGCCACCGCCGAAGATCCCGCTGGCGAAGGCAACTCAGGTCTGTCGTCGTCTGAAGGATCTCGGCAGCAAGTGTCTGGGAGCGCGTACGAAGACGTGCATTTTCCCCCTGGAGTTGGCCAATCTTCCCATTCACTTCCATCAAGCGAGCCTCAAACTGAGCCTCCTTCACACCGACGGCCGCATCGGTAAAGGCCCTATCAAGGTTAGTCTGAAATCCTTCACGTGGTATTCGTGATGTTCTGTGTTGGGGGGATTCTCTTCGTGATTCTTCTGTCATGTCTTCAAGGGACGAGATGAGGGCGGGATATAATTGGGATGTGAGGTAGGGGCTCCAAAATTGCTGGCAGATTCAAGGAGACAGATGATCGAACTGTCATCATGGCGGCCCCTTCATATCGACTCTCATTGAATGAGAGCAGACATGGACGACAGCAGACATGGACGACAGCAGACATGGATGAGAGCAGACATGGACGACACCAGACATGGACGACACCAGACATGGACGACACCAGACACGGACGACACCAGACATGAATGAGGTGAGGTGTGGATGATGGAGGGGATGTGCCACAGCCCGCGTGGGCGAAACCGCAACTCAAGACTTACCAGAAGAGTCGCAGCGAAAAGTACATCACCGCCAGCACCGCGGCCAGGTGCGTGGCGAAATCTCTCAAGCGGATGGCCAAGGCCACCGCGAAACAGGCAACACAAGCGACGAAGACAGCAGAGACAGACATTGCGAAAAACAAAGTGGTTCTTGCGTCGCAGGGATTTTTTGGAAAAGGTGAAGAGAGGAAGAGAAGAGAAGAAGAAGAAGAGAGAGGAGAGGGAAGAAAAGTAAACAGAAGACGCGGACCTTCCTCGTTGAGCTCTTCCCCAGATGGAAGGAGCGACTCTCAACTGCTCTGGACAATAGAACTCCCACCCCATTGACCTTCCTATTGACTCCCTAGGTAGCGACGCAGCAATGGGCTCCAGGGCTACACCTCCCATTGACGGGTGGATCTACAGTGCGCCAATCCAATGTCGATTAAGCTTTTCGGCCCGTGTGGAGAACCTTGGCTATGGTGCACAATTAAAACTTGTTATTCAGCATGATTCTATGCCCATAATTGATCTGAGTATTCCGTGTCTATTGTATTATTCTATGTGATTGTATGTGTCTTGCCATTGTATTCAACCTCAAGCGGAATCAAGTCCCAGCCCTTCTCCACCCTGCGTATTCTTCCAAGAGCCGGCATAATGATGCTCAACAAGATACGGGCCTCGGTCTTCAGGATGTCCAGCCTGCAGGGAAGCAAAAGCCGCATTGGGCAGCACAAGTACATCCTGCAGCAAGGTTGGCTGCATGATGTGGGTGATATTCGCTCGTCCAATAGGCATCTCCATCTCCTTCTCGAGATTCTGCAACAAAGCCACGGTCATGGCTTGCGGACCAGTCACATCAACCACGTCTGAGATCATGGTCATGTTGAGTTCTGCCGTGGTAATATTGTGCTCTGCGGCTGACGCTTGTAGCTTCTCAACGACATATTTGACCACCGCCACGCTGTGACTGGTCCGGGGCTTGGTCATGACTGTCCAACTGGCGAATTGAGATCCATCGAATTCCAATCCGACCACTACGTTCGTTTTATCCCGGTATTCCTCCGGAATCCAAATGTCGATTGGGTGGTGACAGGTCACGTCGAGGTCGCTCCAAATTCCACCATCATTGTAGAGAATCAGCTGTCGGAGCAGGTCGGCTTTGAGGATCGGCACTGGCAGTGAGAGGTAGAGGTCTCGGATCTCCGGGAAATCCGCGAAGTTCTCGCGGACGTACTGGTCGGCGCTGCCGTCGGTGAGGATCTCATGTCGCAGGTATGGGTTCTTCTTCAACCAGCTTTGAATATCGTTCGATCGGTCCGGACCGATGCCCTTTGATCCCGCCTTCTGCCAGAGCTTCAACGGGAATGCGGATTGTACATTGTCGTGCGAATTGATGACTGGCAGGTAGCTTGATGGTGTTGGTGTTGGCGGCGTGACTTCTGGTGTGGGATCTGGTAATTGCACCGCACTGGTAGGCTCTGGCGCAGTAACCTTTTCACGATCGTCGGCGCATGGACACGAGCCGTAGGCGAGGGAGATTCTTGATGGTCCTGGCTCTCTTCGCAGACTTGAGCCAACCCACAGAAAGGAACAGATAAATAAGAGCACGGTGCCCAATAGGTAGTGGAAGCGCCCCATGTCCGAGGTGAGGCCCCTCAGAGGTTGAATGAGGCAAACATGAAAGTGGCGGATCCAAGACTTATGAGTCGAGGTCATCAACTCCGTACAAGATCCACTTGGGGCCCACAAAAGTCTGAGACTCTTTTTTGGTCGCCATTCCGGTTGATGGGCTGCTGTGCAGTAGGTTATACCGATCCGGGCAATACAGTCTCGTTTATCCGTATTGTATCTGCAAATGGATTTGTGGACAGGGTTGTTTTCATCATGTACTTCGGAGTAGTATGAAGAATGTGGATCTGGCCGAGAACGGGGCGCCAAGGATTTTAAGGGTCTCAGATCCATTACAGAACACTTTCGAGTCCAATCATTGTATTCCGATCTATAATTGGATGCAGTTTCGTGTTGATCAATTATATGATTCGGCATTAGCTCTGGCAAAAGAGATCTTTACCTTATCCAAGCATAGCATTTACATAGACCTGAATTTCCCCAATTGGTACTTTTTACTCCTGTGAAGTAGTAAACTTTTGATGAACAGAAATACGAAACAATTGCCTTTTAATACCTGCTTGGACCATTGGCAAAGTCCAATACTCATTCTAAATATCATGCCTCGCAAATTTACTTGCCAGCCGCAACCGTTTCCCAAAGAACAACAAAACAAACGGATACGGCACAAACAACACGGACAAGCAGCCCAGTAATGTACACGCCCACCCGACCCCCAGATTATGAAACATCGCGGTCGCGAACAACGGGAACGCAGCCCCAAAACTTGAGCGCATGAAGTCATTCCCCGCGAGCACGGACGCCGCATACTGTGGGTACGCGTGCGCCTCGTAGGTGAAGATGCTGTTGAAAATCAGACACCCGCCGACCGAGAACAGCGCCGAGGCGATGATGGGAGTGATCCAGTGCACAGACTGGAAGTTGCCGGTCCAGCCAAACCAGAACAGTGAGACAGCGAGACAGAGAGCACCCACGCAGGCCGGGGGTAATTGGGCTTCTGGTGCGATATTGCCTTCCGCATCCTGTTTCCGGGACTGGTAGCGGTATTTCCAGAAAAAGTATCCTGGGATCGCGATGAAGATGGTTCCGACAAGGATACCTAGGAAGGCCAGACCATTTTCGCCGGAGTTGAAGCCGTGTATTTCTTCGAAGACGATGGGAAAGGCCTCGAACCAGATGTAGAGGATACCGTAAATGAGAGAGATGTAGAGGTTAAGGAAGAAGACAATCGGCTCGAGGAAGCAGAGTTGGAAGGGGCGCACCAAGGCTTCGAAAATTACTTCCTGTCCCATATTATATGTGAGATACATTTTTCTTGCGATGATAGTGTGGTCCTGTGACTATCGCTGGAAACTTACCTTTTTGGTCACATCCTGAAGCTGAAGCTCGGATTCCGATACACATTTTGGGTCTCCTATGATCTTCCTCACCCGTGCTGCACGCTGGCTGAGGATAGTCGGCGCGTACGTCTCGGGCAAGAAGAAGACCAGGACAACAAGCGTGAAACCTGAGATCCACATGAGCTGCCAGATGGTCCATGTCCATCCCTTGGCGGCAGCGGCAAACCCTCCCACCAAAGGTCCCAAGACCGGTGCCGAGATGGCGAAGCAACCCCACACAGCAATCATATAGTCACGAGTCCGCGGACTCCAGATGTCGCCCATTGACGCGCCACCGGTGGCCAGAGCCGGAGAACCGAAAAATCCAGTCAGGAATCGGAATGCGAGAAACATGCCGAGATTGCTGGCATAGATCACACCGAAGTTGAAGAAGACGAAGATCACCAAGCTCAGGACATACGTTGGACTGCGTCCGACGGCGGGAAGCTCGGAGAGGGGTGACAAAATCATGGGCCCGACGCCATATCCCAGGACAAACAGTGTCAGGCCGAGTGTAGCGGCGACGTTGCTTATGCCAAAATGTTGCGCTGCGTCCGGGATTCCGGGTGAATAGATCGCGGACCCGATGTAAATGGCGAACGTCAGTAACCAGATCATGGAGCTGACTAGTAACTTCTTAGTGACACTCCAATTCTGTGGATTCTATAGCGTTTTGTTAGCGAATGATGAGAAGGCATGTTTCATGGGCGATTCAGTCTAGGCATACCTCGGTGTCATCTGGTCCCCAGGAGATTACGATCGGGGTCCCTCGATTCTGAGTTGGTAACGTGGAGGCGGTGCTCGACATTCGTCGCCCTCCACGAGAGGCCTGGGACATGACTGAGTATAGGCCATAGGCTTCGAGGTCTTCGTTATAGCTATCGGATTCAGATAACCCTGTGTCCTCGCGTTTCATCTCTGGTAATTTGACGTATGCGTTCCATATTGAGGGGTTTTGTTCTTCTGGGAACTTGAACAGGCGTCTGCCGCTGAACAGCCGAACCAGCTTGCCAAAGCCGGTGTCGCGGATTGTCTCAATCATCTCAATTGTACAATTTCTGATGTGAAGACAGGCTGTCCATCTGGTTTTGTTGGACGGGATGAGTTAAGGTTTCAACAGCCAAATCCGTATATCCAGCAACCCTCATGACGTTACAGACACGCAGACCCCACACGACTTCATTCGTCGAACTGGATAAATCAAAGAAACAATTCGATGATATCTAGACCCTTATACATAGGCTATATTAGTCAGGGTGCAGGTACTCTTGCTGGTGCTCAAAGGCCTTCTACGAGGCTGTTTCTAGGGTTCAGCATGCATGACGCTTTTGGACAGCCCTGTGCTTAACAAGTCTCCCTGCATTCTACTTTGGACGATTTTCTATAAAATATCGACTTCAAAAGTGTAATAACCATCTTATTCTCAAATAATATGCGTTCCAAGGTTGCTATTTACCTCTGACCGAAGACATCATCATTTTATTTGGACATAATCACCTTTGCTTTTGTCTAGATACTTATGGGATTTTCAAAGGAACCATCTAGTAACCCAAAGAGTGATGATATATCATTTGAAATCGTCAGAAATCTGGACAAATTAGCTTATAATTCCGTAAGTCCGATAACGGTAAGTCGATTCCAAGAGATACGATTTGTGCTAGCTCTACATTAGACCAATGGCGGGCTTGATATTGAGGTATAGACTGAGTTTAGCATCTGGTTAATCGCAGCCGTTCGAATCACAACCCGGAATGCCGTAAATCCGAGGGGCAACTTCATCGACCCCAAATTGGTAAGGGGACCTAGCCTAGAAATAAACTAATCCATTGCTTTGTACTTAAACGAGACCTTTGCCATAATTGCGTCTGTTGGCTATGCCCATATAAATTGTCTGATGACTAGTATATCGCCTCGTTCTGTCCTAGAAACGAATTATACCGTCGCGGTACTTCGTGTACTGGAGGGTGGCATGGTAGTTATCTGTCCAATGTATATGAACGATATACCCCCTTCGACACAGTCTATATCAGCCAAAAATTCTCCAACGGGTCACGAAGAGTACACTTTATTTTCTTCAGAAACCATTCAGCCCAGAAAAGCAGAGATAACGAATAAAAGAAGGACACAGAATAGAATTGTGTATGTGCACCGAGAATGCGATTCCTAATACCGTTCATTAATTTCCATCCTCAAAAATAGTCAGAAGGCTTTCCGACAGCGCAGAGAACATCGCGTCCTACAACTGCAACGGAACATCATCGAACTCGAAGAAAAGTTAGCGCGGCTTCATGAAGAGAAAGTCGATCTCGAAGACCTTCTTCACACTTTGAAGCTTGAAAGCGATCTTTTATCTCAGCTTTTTGTTATGCAATAATACTAGCGCAGATGCAACAACTGCCTACCGCAGGCTACTAGTGATCTCGGGGCCTCCAGAAAGTCATGCGGAGTGAAGCGAAATGTAGTTAAACAGGGCCAATATTTATTTGAGGGCATGGCATCAGTCTCTGCGCGGGGTGCACAAGCTCTGAGAACCTTGTTGTTTGGTTTTGTGCACAATCAGCCATCGGCTCTGCGCTATTCGTTCTCCAAAATACTTGCGAGCGTCGACGACACCCTGAGAACGCAGCAAGGTTGATCCCGACCGCACATTAACTGTCGCGACGGTGTGGCCGATTCCAAACAACGCGACTAGAACCCGAGAACACCGATTTTATCCGCGCACATCCGCACGATAGTGACCCGTGAGGGAACACGCACGATCAGGTTATGCTGTCATTACGGGCCGAATCTCCGCAGGGTACAGTATCGCATTCTTCGCTCACCCCACCACCCGCCAAGGGTCTAACTACTCCGAACGTCGCGCCCGCATTGCAAGGAGGGGAATACAACATCGCGCCTCACTGGCCATATACAGAGGGAACCCGGCAGCTTGGCGTGGAGCCCTGACCTCTGTCACACCGCGGAGCAAGGTCCTGTACGGTTAAATCCCCGTTGTGATATCACACGTGCGGCACATCCCACTGTGTGTACAAATGGTGATCGGCGCAGACCATCGCGGGTTCTAATTCGAGCAAATCGGGGCCTCGGGTCTTGAAAAGGGGGTGCTTGCGAGGATGAACCCCTCCATTAGGGCAGGGATATTCTGCGGGGACTGGGCTGCATTAGCCCCATGTCTGCGAAAACATCGGAATATCTCACTTGAATGCTCCCTCCAAGCGAGGCCACTAGCTGCGCGCCAGCACAATTTCGGAATCCTTCTACATTAGTGGATGAGATCCCATGACGATCTTCTCCGAAGGCGATAATGATCATCCCGTTGAAGATTGCTCCGACACGCGGGCGTTGCTCCTTTCCTGTTCCTGGTTATCTGCCGAGCCATGCGGAGTACGGGGTAGGCGATTTCTTATAATGGGCTGTCAATCTGGATGCAGATTCAATTCTCAAATCTGGGGCAATACTATGCGTTCTTTCTAATCACCCTTAATACCTTCATTTCTATATCCATTCTTTCATTTTGATCGCCCGGGATCCGGCTACCAACGCCATGGCTCCTTGGGCACACCTAGCTTTAGTCTCTCTTTTCACCCCTCTCCTGGCTTCCCCGGTGCCAGAGGATACACTCCATCTGCATGAAAGGGCAGCAGAGGGCTATGAATCGCCTCCATACTACCCTACCCCTCCGGGAGGATGGATCGCCGACTGGAGCGAGGCCTATTCAAAGGCGCAACACATCGTCGGCAACATGACACTTGCCGAGAAAGTCAACCTCACCACCGGCACAGGCTTCTTCATGGGCCCCTGCGTAGGTCAAACAGGTAGCGTTCCCCGGTTTGGAATCCCAAATATCTGTCTTCAGGATAGTCCGCTTGGGATCCGCAATTCGGATCACAACACTGCCTTTCCGCCTGGGATTACGGTGGGTGCGACGTTCAACAAGGACCTCATGTATGAGCGTGGCGTTGGAATTGGCGAGGAGGCACGCGGCAAGGGCGTGAACATCCAGTTGGGCCCTTCTGTGGGAGCCCTGGGTCGGAAGCCTCGCGGCGGCCGGAACTGGGAAGGCTTTGGTGCTGATCCCGTTCTGCAAGCGTATGGAGGGGCTGAGACGATCAAGGGAATGCAGAGTACCGGGGCCATTGCGGCTCTCAAGCATTTCATTGGCAATGAGCAGGAAATGCATCGCATGAGCAGTGTCGTGACCCGGGGGTATTCGTCCAACATTGATGACCGCACCCTGCATGAGATGTATCTTTGGCCGTTCGCCGAGGGTGTTCGTGCTGGCGCGGGTTCTGTGATGACCGCGTACAGTGATGTGAGAGCGGCTGCATAATTGTGAGATCGCAGATGCTGACAACGTCCAGGTAAATAGCTCCAGTTGTAGTCAAAACAGCAAGCTTCTCAATGGTGTGCTCAAGGATGAGCTGGGCTTCCAGGGCTTCGTCATGACTGACTGGCTGGGCCATTACTCGGGTGTTCCTTCGGCACTGGCTGGCTTGGACATGGCCATGCCTGGCGATGGTGCTGTGCCGTTATTCGGAGACAGCTACTGGGGACCCGAGCTGTCGCGCTCCGTTCTGAATGGGAGTGTTCCTGTGAGCCGTCTGAACGACATGGTAAGCACTTTGCTCATTCATTTTCGTCCATGTTAACCAAGGCCAAGGTCACTCGTATTGTTGCCACTTGGTACAAGTTCGGCCAGGATAAAGACTACCCTCTTCCCAACTTCTCGACCAACACCCAAAACAAGGAGGGTCCTCTGTACCCCGGAGCCCTCTTCTCCCCTAGCGGTGTCGTCAACCATTTCGTCGATGTCCAAGGGAATCACAATGTTACTGTCCGCAAAGTGGCCCGGGAGGCAATTACCTTGCTGAAGAACGAGATGAACATCCTCCCTCTCCGCCGGAATGACACCCTCAAAGTGTTTGGAAGCGACGCCGGTGGGAACCCAGACGGTCTCAACGCATGTGCCGATCAAGGATGCAACAAGGGTGTTTTGACGATGGGATGGGGAAGTGGCACTGCCAGGCTGCCATATCTCAACACACCGCAAGAAGCCATTGCAAACATCACCAAGAACGTTGAATTCCACATCACCGACTCCTTCCCCTCGAGTGTCACTGCCAGCGCCAAGGACATCGCTCTCGTGTTCATCAATGCCGACTCAGGCGAGAACTTCATAACCGTCGAAGGCAACCCAGGCGATCGCACCCAGGCCGGACTCAAGGCGTGGCACAACGGTGACGAGCTTGTCAAAGCCGCAGCGAAGAAATTCCCCAACGTTGTCGTAATCGTACATACCGTCGGCCCAATCCTGATGGAAGAATGGATTGAATTGAAATCCGTCAAAGCCGTGCTCATCGCTCACCTCCCAGGCCAAGAAGCCGGCAACTCCCTCACTGACATCCTCTTCGGCGACTATAGCCCAAGTGGACACATGCCGTACACCATCCCCCGCAGCGAAGACGACTACCCCGAGAGCGTGGGCTTGGTGAGCCAACCCTTCGGCCAAATCCAAGATACGTTCTCCGAAGGCCTGTACATCGACTACCGTCACTTCCTCAAAGCCAACATCACGCCCCGATACCCCTTCGGCCATGGTCTTTCATACACCACCTTCAACTTCTCCCACCCTTCGTTATCAACCCTCACACCACTCGATACAGCCTACCCACGCGCCAGAACAGTCAAGCCATCAACCCCGGTCTACGACACCGCTATCCCCCCCGCCTCGGAAGTCGCCTGGTCTTCATTCACCCTCAACCGCATCTGGCGCTACCTCTACCCATACCTCGATAATCCGGAATCCATCACCTCCACAAACAAGTACCCCTACCCAGCCGGGTATACGACAGATATTCACGAGTCTCCACGCGCAGGAGGCGGGGAAGGTGGTAATCCCGCCCTCTTTGAAACAGTATTCTCTGTAAAGCTGCAGGTCCGAAATACCGGCATGCGAGCCGGCAAGGCTGTACCGCAGCTTTATGTTGAGTTGCCTTCCAGTTTGGGCGATGTGCCCAAGTTACAGTTACGCCAGTTTGAGAAGACGAAGGAGCTTGCGCCTGGTGAGAGTCAGACTGTGACGCTTGGCATCACTCGCAAGGATGTGAGTGTTTGGGATGTTGTTGTGCAGGATTGGAAGGCTCCTGTTCATGGTCAGGGTGTTAAACTCTGGGTTGGGAACAGTGTTGCTGATCTTCCTGTTCTGTGTGTTGTCGGTGGGCAATGTTCGGTGTAGGCAATTGGTGGTGACATCCATGGATACTATGCCATCATATCTTGGGGGTTATCATACTCTATAATCTAATATATTCAAGTCAATCGCATCAATGATGATTTTGGAATTTGTTGTTCGGGTCGAAAAAGATCCATTGAATCTGATTCCCGAAAATGCAATTTTGGTCTGCCTAGAAATCTCCAGCGAAATGCAATATGTACTGTGAAGAAACGATATTTATAGAGTCTGCAATGTCTCAACAGGTGTCTTCTCCACATTGAGCCCCGTCTTGGTTTCCACATGCTCCTTGTTCAGTTTTGCCTTGAGAATGAAGGCCGAGAAGAGAATCCCAAGCGCAGACATGCAAGTGTAGAGGATCCACATGTTCCTCAAACTCCAAGCAAATGCCTCCCGCACAGCAGCCAATTGCACAGGATCCGTGATATCCTTGATAGATTCGATACTTGCAGCGGCAGAATCTCCAGACATCTGCGCTGCCATGCTCTCTGACATACCGGCAGCCAACAAGCTACCCTGTCTCTCGCCCATGCTGTTCTGGAAAACGACACCGCCAATCACGATGGAGAAGGCAGTTGCCATGTTGCGGATGAAGCCGAGGGTTGCGGTGGCGGTAGCTGTGTCTTCTTGTGATACCATTGCTTGGATGGCAATGATGGGTGTCTGGAAGAGGAAGCCGGCTCCTAGGCCGCTGAGAATTTGGTATCCGACAATCTCGCCGATGGACGAGTCCACGCCTAGGTTGATGTAGAGGCCGTTTCCAACTGTCAACAGAACAAGACCGGCCCAGATAAGCTCGAGGTAACGACCTGTGCGGTGGATGATGGCTCCAGTCAACATTCCGGAGAATGCCTCCATCACCACCAGTGGGAGGATCAAGACACCTGAGCGCATCGGGGATGAGCCCTGGACAGACTGCAAATACATTGGCATGTAGTACTCTCCAGCGATGAAAACCTATCAAATTGTCAGTAATGAGAACACCCAAGGACATGACCATGACTCACGAATCCATGCGCAAACGTCACCAGCAAAGTTGCGACGTTTGAGAAGCGCGCGAAGATATCCATCGGCATCAGCGGGTACTTGGCCAGCTTCTTCTCACTGTAGATGAAAAGCAACGAGCACAGAGCTCCAAAGATAATCAAACAAATGACCTGAGGCGACTTCCAGGCGAATGTCCCACCGCCAAAGTCCAATCCAAGCAGTAACATCAGAGTCAGACCTAGCACCGACGCACTGCCGAACCAATCGATGGCCCGGAATCCATCCATCATCTTCGTCTTCGGATTATGCACATCCAAAAAGAAGAACAAGAGGATAAATGTGACTCCCGAGATAGGCAAATTGATCCAAAAGGTCCATCTCCAAGTCACATACTGCGAGAACGCACCTCCCAACAACGGACCCACGCCACCGGCAAAAGCCCACATCACCTCCATCAGACCAAGGTAAAGACTGCGATGTCTATCAAGCCAGTTAGCCAAAATCCACAACCCACACTCTCTTTACTCCCCAGAACGCACCTCACACTGAACAAATCCGAGATAATGATAGTAACCAGCTGAAGCAACCCACCACCAGCGACACCCTGAAACGAGCGCCCAATAATCAACGCCTCCATACTCGTCGCCGTAGCACAAACGATCGAACTGACGAAAAACCACGCCACAGCCAAAAGCAGAATAGGCTTGCGACCCCAGATATCAGAGAGCTTGGCCCAGATGCACGCGCTGGCCGCATTAGCCAGGAGGTAAGCGCCTCCAATCCAGGTATAACCAGCTGCGGAATGGAAATACGCGGCTATGGAGGGAATGGCTGTGGCCATGATTGTTTGGTCTAGTGCTGCAATGAACATGGATAACTAGATCGGGATTTAGTCAAGTCCGTTGTTCACCTGGGCAGAGAGAGTGTCGTACCGATAGTGCTAGCATGATGGCCGCGACGCGGAGTTTACCGCGACCATCGGAGGGCTCTTCGATCTCCATGTTGGACATTGATGTTGGATGGGTGAAAAAAAAATGAATTCTTGATGCGATGACTTTTTCCCCCGCAAGTGGGGCCGACGTGGACTCGATAGGCAAATCTGCACTTTTACTGAGTCTGTGATTGGTGTGGGTAATTAATTATCGACTCGTATTCTACCTAGGTACTTGGCTATTTGTTCATGTCCAGGTAGTTGATCTGATGTTCGTGGATATATGTAGGCTTGTCTGCCACTGGGCACTACCCTACTCTGCCGGGGGCCGATGGGCCCAAATATATATCATTGAAACCACATTGAATTTTCCCCAATAACACTACTTTAAAGTAAAAGTCCTCCGTATCCAATCCAACAACCCATCGCTAGAAAAAAAGATCAAAACACAAAAGCCCACCCTGTGAAGAACCCGCAGATACCAATACCATCAATCCACCCTCCTCCCAACCGTAACCCCCAAATTAACCATCGCCCTTGCATATCGACAATGTGCATCAAACTCCTCCACCATCTCATCCACCATTTTCCGTGCCTGAACCTCCGTCTTCGCCTCACCAGTAACCAACATAGAAGGCGGCACCAATGCCCTCATAACACCGGCCACCCACTTCTGCGCAACATCACGCAAATGATCCTTTCCCTGCGCGGTATACGTCTCCATCACGACATCCGCGAATCCACCCGCCATGACCTCTTCGTGCACTCGGCGCGGCGCAAAGGGCCACAGACCGAGACTGAGCATGGCGTTGATGACGGACGATCGAAGCTGGTGGATGACTGCTGCTTCGGGCTCTGCGTCTGTGCAGAATGCAGAGTGGTCTAGTTCTTCCCATTGGATGTATCCGTTTGGTTCTATTATATTAGTACAGGGATGTTATAGATGAGAAGAACTCTTACTGAGGAGGTCTCTGGCATTGGCCAGGACAGTAGCGTAATCATCTTTTTTCAAACCGGCTGTCAAGAGTCGAATGTGGACAAGATCGTAGCGGCCGTGATGCTCTTCCGGGAAGGGACGGAGGACATCATGCACGCTCAATGAGATAGGTTGGCGGGACCGAGTGGGGAATTGTGTGGAAGAAATATCGAACCCGTGTAGATAGACTGAGCTGGGAAGTGTTTGGGCGATGTCTTCGAGCCAGATTCTGCTATCGTTTAGATTCTGACGGATCAGGAGGAGATGGGCTCTTACCCGGTGCCGGTGCCTAGGTCGGCGATGGCGGTGATGTTCTCTGTTGGGATGGATGGGTGGATGTGATGTCCTGAGACAGCCACGAGGAATCGGTGCTGATCATTGAGGCTGTAAATCGTTAGTGCGAGAAGCAGGAAAACGGGGCTATCGGATCCACCGAGAACATCGGAAGTGAACTATTTCAGTTCATCGGAAAGGGAACGGATGTATGTGAAGTGAATGACATGCATTCGCTCAAGGAGGAGGAGTGTAGACAGTGTAGACAGTATAGTTTATATCGGAGTACATACCGTTTCGTCTCCTCCCCATCTCGACCAAGGAGATACACATTGGCAGGGAACCTCATCTTGGCCATCGATCTGATCAAGTCCCTGACCTTCCAGAGGAACTTCTGGAAGGGAAGCGGGAAAGGGCTCATGAGCAAAGACATAGTGTAGAGTAGAGTATAGAGTGTAGTCGAGAGAGTTGAGTGATCATCAGTGGGCAATTGCCTCATTTTATCCTTCGACTGTTCGCACTTTCGTTTCTATTTCCATTTCTACTCCGAACTATACGTTCCGTAAACGCTCCAGCGCACAAAGAAAACACCACTCCACCTGGGCGTCGTTTACTTCCTATCCTGACATCCACCCACCTGCATATAGTCGCTTCCCCAGCCAATCCAGGAACTGACTTCCGGCCCAGCATGCCGGCTCGCCAACCGGGGTGCTGTCACGAATCACGATATCAACCACGTCGCTACCCCCAAACAAAGAAAGGAATATGCATGGAAGCCCCTTTTCAGTATAGACCGAGTTTGGGCCGGGTGTGCCATCGGGCATGATGTGCGCTGGAGGGCCCTAGACGGTTCGGAGGATCTAGCAAAAGTACGGGATAACGTTGGCGGACTAACGTTTTCTTTGAACTTGATCTTCATGCGGGGTACCGGGACGGGAATTAAACTGAGACATCGGTAGAGTCAGGGGGATGATCTACGGTTTTGGCCAGTGAGCTTGTATGATAGCCCCTGATCGGTGACCGTTGAGGGTCCACTGTTTGATGTGGCAATGGTTCAAACGGATTTAGAACGAAGATCCAGTTTCTATTGCCTCTCGGAGGGTTTCTCTACTAGGACTCGGGCGAAAGACCTGGCATTGAACAGTGGAAATGGCCCAGAGCTATAGTCCATGTGAAGCAAGCCAAATAGGGTAGGACACGTCAGATGCCCAATGTGAAGTTATACTTTACAGAGATGGAAAATTTATCACAAAGACAATGTGGAAAGGCTCCAAGGTCCAAAATCCAAAATCCAAAATGAAGAATATCAGATCAATCATGACTTCACCAGATTGGCAAAGACATAGCGGAAGATCTCTCGGCTCTTGTACAAATTCTCGATGCGCATACGCTCGTTATCCAAATGGGCGTTATCACTAGCCTGTCCGCATGGCAAGTTAGCCGCCGGGGCCGAGAACTCCTTTTCTAAGAACCGGATCGTCGGAATAGACCCGCCCTCGCGAATGAACATCGGTTTGACCAGGCGGGACGGCTCAGCCTTGGATTTTCCGTCTGCGTCGGACTTTCCTCGGATTGGCAATACGGCCGGTTCCTCCGGGGGCGTGGCGGTGAGGGTTGATGAGGTCGGCACTGTCGCGGCTGACTGCGATGACTGTTTGCGGGCGGCTTCCTTGCCGGCAGACGAGGTCGTCGTGGACGTGATTACCCGCTCCACATGCGAGGCGAGACTGTCGGAGGAGTCCTGGCGGCGGAGGTCTGGAATTGGACCGCCGGGTTTCGGCTTGGAGGAACGGGTTTGGGTGGATTGCGGTGGCGGGGGGAATTGGCGTTTCGTTTCCTCTTGGCTGGGGCTCCAGGCGGCGGTGATGGCTTCAGATAGGGTGGCGAAGATCTCATTGTCCGGGTCGCCGAGCCAGGCATCGGACTTGCCGGTGATTTCGACCGTCAGGTCATTTTGCGAGTCGAGCAGGGCGAATTGCTCTTGGGCATATGCGGTGAGGTCGGCGGCGACTTCGTCGGCCTGTTGGTCGGGAACGATACGGATTGACATGCTTGCTTTGGCACGTCGGGCGATGGTGGTGGCGCTCTTGCTGCTAGGGACCTCGACGGAGTGGACGGTCAATGCGGGTTCGCGCCAGCGGTGCATGAGGGATTTAATCAAAGCCTCGCTGTTGGGGATTTCCGGATGCTGAAGAAGCAATGCGTCTGCAATGGCCTCGAACCGTTTCTGCTCGGCGTCTGTGAGGGGCCTGACAGCGTCGTGGAAACCGGGGATGTTAATTTTACCCTTGCGCCCAACGATGGTCGCTAGAAGCATGGCGATGTCTTTGACTGGTTCATCGAGCAACGTGCTGCCATCGATACCGCTATGAAGGTCGGGGTGGTCACTTGTTACCACCAGATTTGCGTGCACCACTCCGCGAAGTCCGTAGGTCAAGCAGGGGTTGTAGTCGTCAAGCCAGTAACTGTTCGCCAACAAAACCCAATCCACGGGGCCAATCTGCTCCTTGTGTTCTCGGACAGCCTGGTGGAATCCCTGAGAACCAGACTCCTCCTCGCCCTCGATCAGGAAGACGACATTGCAGCGCAAAGTCTTGGTTCGGAACAGATCAGCCGCGGCATACAGGGATGCCAGTATAGGCCCCTTGTTATCGGAGACACCACGGCCATACAGGAACCCATTGATAGAAGTGAGTTGGTAGGGATCTGTCCTCCATTTTGGTCGGTTCGTTTCCGCACCCACGACATCGTAATGTCCATAGAAGAGAATCGTCTTGTCAACCTTTTCCGGTGCAGTTGCGTTGAATCGTGCGAAGACAATAGGATTCGTTTCCTGCCCCGTTGTCAAAAGCTTGGTTTTGGCGCCGAGGTAGTTGCAGTGTCGTCGGAGGAAAGCTGCACCCTGGTTGCATTCGCCGGAGAATTTAGGGCTTGCCGAGATAGTTTTGAAGGAGACAAACTTGGCCAAACTGTTGACCATTTCATCTGAGACGCATTAGCTGGGCCCATTCTTGAATTCCGTGAGACGCACCGTTGCTAATTGGAGGAAGTTCCTCCTGGGTCATGAAGAACTCAGTCAAGTCCCAGATACCCACTGAGTTATCGTTTCCACCTGTCGCGTAGATCTGGCGGTCTTTGAATCGGCCAGCAGCAGAGGCCAGCATGGTGCCTTCATGGGCGACCCAGCCACCGACTTCCTCGAACCGGGAGTTGAATTTCTAAAGGGGTAAGTCTTGTATATCCAAAGGGTCGCATGCACGGGGCCATACCTTTACTACACCACTCGAGTCACCGCAGATAGCGACGCCCTGGATGACGTGCACGGCCCACAAATCACCGGTATGCCTGGTGATTCGCTTCACCAACTGCTGCGAGTCCAAGTTCCAGATGTTGAGAGCGCCACCGGCAAGACCACAGTAGAGCAAGGAGCCTTCTACGGCAATCGATAGTACCGGATCCCCGTTTTGCAGTTTCGCGATCTGGGAAGGAGTTCCACCCGGTTGCTGGCCGACGCGCCATAACTTGACCACTCCGTCGCCCGCGCCCGTTAGTAGAACCTCCTCGGAGGGAGCGGACTCGACCAGTCCTTTGACCAGAAGCATAGAGTAGACATAGCCATGGTGCGCGAAGAGCTTGTGGTGATCTCGCTTGAAGCTCAGCACACGGCCGCCATCGGAGACTGCACCATCGGATGACCCTTGGGCACGAGTGCCATCGGGCCCCCGGGAATCAAAGAAGCGATGCGTGCGCTTCAATGGGTGGGCCGATGAGGCCTGGTTCAGGGTTGACCCTTCTTCAGAGAAATCACACCACTGGCTGCGTCAGATGTGGTTACGTAGGGGCAAATCAGGAGCCCATACCTGAATGCTCGTGTTCTGCGCACCGCAGTAGATGCTTTGGTTGGCCGATGAGTAGACTACTGTGAAAATATCGCCCACGTCATGGTGGCAATAGATTGAGAAGAGCCGTTCAAAGGTTCTCGTGGACCACACCTGCGGTCATTAGCTTTGAGTCATCGCGGTCAGGATTGGGCCACGTACATTGACCACGGAGTCACCGCCACTTGAGAATAGTAAGTTGCCATCTTCGGAGAGATAGAGGCCCAGCACGCTCTCTTTGTGTGCGTGGACTGAGAGCACGAGCTCGTATGTTTCAAGGGACCACGCCTGCGATGATCAGCCACGGGTCTTGGCAGAGCGAATTCGACGACATGGCCTCGGCGCAGCGCGAGCACCGATGAGACAATGTCTACTCCGTACTTACGAAGATATCACCCCCTTGAAGGCCTGCATAGACACATTGCTCGTCGACTGCTAGGGCGAGCACGGAGCGACTGGCTAGGACGCGGTGGCCGATACCGCAGTCCGCGGTGGGATGGGCACTGCCAGCATCATCGGGAGCGTCCGAATTCCATTTCTGATCATCTAGATCAGAGAGGCTCCCTGAATCGGGTAAATCCATATTAGTTGGCTAGATTGTAGGGGGTGGGCAAGTGTCCAAGATGGAATGACCAAACAAAAGAGGTTTTCCCGCCTTCATGCCAGGAACATCAACTTCAACCGCATCACAATACATTGGAAAATAGGGGGAAATCGACTTCATATCAATCCAAAATTGCATCATCGACAAAATATTCGACTCACCACCCCTGGCATCCCTTTCACAGTGTCTATGCTTTCATTAGTCTCCCGGTCGCGAGGCTATAGTTCCACACGCACCTGGGCTCCCACCAGAGTCGCGCCAACGGAGTACTCGATCGTTGCAAAAAGACCATGGCTTATCCGGGGTCCCATCGGGATATGTGCAGGTCTGGATTCAATGAATTTGAGGCCACTGGGCTTAAGAATGGATAGGTGCGAAGTACACCGGTAATGATCTGCGCCAACCCTCGAGATAAGAGGCTGTGACCCAGTCTACTAAGTATGTTCTGTTCATTGCAAACTCGCCTCAGAGTCTGGGCTAAGAAGATTGGGCTGCAGGTGCCCTTCAATGAACGGTGTGAAACTAGGATTCTTGGACCTCTCAAGTGACCGTGATACAGCCCTGGAGGTATTCCACGAGTGCACCTATGAGACACCCGTGGACACCCAGTCAGACTGGATATACTGGGCACTCTGACTGGTCTAAACTCAACAATCTCACAGATGCGGTGGAAGTACAAGTACAAATACAAGTACAAGAGGCCAAAGTGACTCAGCCACAGTTCTCAGCCACAGTCATAGTGGCGGTCACTCCGTGGGCCAATCAGCGTTGAGAGGTCACCGCTCTTTGCAAGAGACAGGGCTAACTACCTAAGTATGGAGTCGAGAAAAATCTATCAGACCAGGGTCATGTTCATCCGTTTGTTCTAATTATACTTACTCTCCAGGGCTGTGAGTAGGGGTATCGGAACAAAATATCAAAAGGTTCCAACTTGCGCCAATACACTCTTCGCGCCCAACACCCGATGCGCAGGTGTATGTACTGTGAGCTCATCGGCCCTGCCCAGCCCTGTGATACGTGTCTGCCTTCCTAAGTGGCACCCAATTATTCGGCCCTATAGATCCTGCAGCTGTTCTCGTTCGTTGCTCTGCCCAACCGATGCGGAAATCCCCAGCCTCCCACAGCTGCCACTTTATACCTCATTGGAACGCCGCCGATCGGACCTTTGACGCTGGTTGGAAACCCAACTACCTTCTTAAGCACTTGTGTGCCTTGTTTGTCTCGACGGTGATCACTTTTCTCCGTTTTTACTTTGCGGTCTACGGGGTATATTGACGTCTCCCTCTGACCCCCCTACACCGCTTCCTTGCACGATCGCCGATGACTGGTTCTTGGTAAAGTCGTCCACACGACTCAGCTGCCATGCCTTTCGGTCAGACGATCGCCGTGATTGATAAGTCCGGCAAAGTCGTGAGCACCGTAAGTGAAGATCGGCACGTCCTCCGACCCCGCATTCTGACAGCGTTCTAGAGTAAACAGCTCTTCGGAGTGTTCAGCCAGGCCAAAAATGCCTATCGGGAGCGCAAGGCCGACTTTCAGTCCGAGCGAAACGCCAAGCTCGCAGAGCAACAGGCCCTAGAAGGACTGGCCCATTATCAGATCGAAGACGCGCCCACAGAGGTCTCAGGAAGAAGCCGCGCCAGATCCCGGCATGGAGGCCGCAGCCGCGCCCCGTCGCGCTATTATGATGACGATGAGGATCGGACTGTCGTGTCGCGACGGGAATCCCATTACGGGGATACCCGGACCATCGGTCGTCGCCATACCCACCATGATGTCAGCCTCCGAGAGGCGCCTCGCCCGCCAACGGCTCGATCCAACTCGGAGGCGCATATTGATATGGATCTTGCATATGGGGACGCATCCCATGCAGCCCTATCGCGTTACACCCCGCCCGAACCACAGAACGACCAAAAGCAACTCGACGGTCTGGTCACCCGTGCCCAGTGGCTTTTGGAAGAAGCACACTGCGTTCACCATGGAGCGACAGCCACCATCGCTCACCTCCAGAAGGACCCAGATGCCATGGCCGCCGTCGCCCTGACGCTGGCGGAGATCAGCAACCTGGCGCGCAAAATGGCCCCCTCCGCCCTGACCAGTCTCAAGGCGGCGGCACCGGCCATCTTCGCCCTCCTCTCCAGCCCTCAGTTCCTGATCGCCGCCGGTGTTGGCTTAGGCGCCACCGTGGTCATGTTTGGAGGATACAAGATCATCCAACGGATCAAAGGTGGCACAGACGCAGTTGACGAGGCTGGAGAGCCTGCTCCACCCCAGCAGGAAGCTGAAATGGAGGAGCTGATTGAATTCAACACGGAAGCACTGAGCTCAGTCGAGATGTGGAGACGGGGTGTCGCCGACGAACAAGCCGATAGTGTCGGAACCTCCGTCGACGGCGAGTTCATCACGCCCACTGCGGCAGCAATGTCCGGCATTGACATGGCCAATGCACGCGAACAACGCGACCCTCGATTCAAATTCGACGAAGATGTATCCGTCGCCTCCTCGCGCCGCTCTCGTCGCTCACGATCAACCAGAGCACCAACCCACGCCCCTTCACATGCCCCATCTGGCCGATCTGAACGATCCGAACGACACGAGCGCAGATCCAGAGCCCCCTCCGAAGCTCCAAGTGGCTTCTTCGGTCGAAGCTCATCCCGCTCCAGAGCCCCGAGCATGGCACCAAGCAAGTCACGCAGCAGAGCGCCCAGTCGTGGCCCAAGCCATGCACCCAGTCGAGCGTCTAGCAAATCCCGCAGCCGGGCCCCATCCAAGGTTGGGACCTTTATCTCCGAAACTGAAAAACGTCCAAAGGAGAAGAAGAAGGGTCCCAGCCGATTACGACTCATGTTCACCTCCTAACTTCTCGACAGAATGCTTCATGTATATATAATTTCCCTCTTTTGTGCCTTGCAGATGGCATATGAACTCACGCTGCAATGTCTGATGACAACGTACCACGATCAAGATTATACGTCCACACGCCTTTTTCCTTGTTTTTACACTTCTTGCAGCTTTGTCGGCTATTCTTATTTCCTTTCGTCTTTTTACTTTCTCCGCATACATTTTGCCCCCAAGGGATTATTCCAGCATGCTGGTACATTTTTGGCGTCATGAAGTCTCACGATGCATGATCCGGTTGAACCACATAAAATTACATACAATGCATTCAAGTATATTTTGAGCCTCATATTCTGCTACTTTTCATGCACAATGGTGTTTCATTAGGGATACCTAGGTATGTCGAGAGCCTCCAAACTGACCTAACAGCACGAGTAGGAGGAGTGCGGCAAGTTGGATCCAATTTGCGTACTCCGTACCCCATACGTACTCTAGACATCCAACAGTTCAATAAAGCAATTTTCCAGCGTTGACAGACAGTCCTAGCCTATGCTACCTGCAAAATACGAAGGGAATCCAAAACTTCACATACCCTACGCACTCACCTAGAACTCATTAACCTACATTGCATGCCTGACACGCCGACCCACGTCGAATCCTTAGACAAGACACAATCCCTCGACGCCCCACCCAAAGCTTCAACTTGGAATGGCGTGAGCTCAGAGTCACCGGCACTAGCCCGACGATCAATTCGCAATCCCAATCCCGGTCGAAACACCGTCACCACAACAGAATAGCAGGGTGCAGGTATGATGATCTCTGATAAGATTTCCATCTCCATCTCCATGTCCCTCTTCCCGTGCCCGCCTCAGACCCACATGTGTGTATGCACTGTATTCGCGACTGTTGCGGCCTAACTCGATCGCTGCGAGATCGCGATCCTGGCTTTTGCCATTACGCGCGCTTGCCGTCAAAGTGAGGCGTTAAGGTGGTGGATCCGTGATTTGTTCCCGGTGTGTTTCACCATTGGCTGTTTGATCGAGAGTGATGTGGACTGATTTCGGGGGTTAGGTCCCGTCGGGTGGAACTGATATTGGAAACGGAAACGTCAAACGTTTTGATTGAAGGGGTTGACGGGTGTGCTGAGCTCGGAAGTTGATCTGTGTGGTTTGGGGTTGCTGTCAGAGTGTTTTGGGTGTATAGTATGCTAGGATGAAATGCAAAGAGATGAAAAAGTGAGTAAATCTATAAGCGAGCATTGGAATCGCAAATCTGAGTCACATTCGCGGCAAAGAATGCAGTCGAGCACAGCCGATGATCGGCCTCCGCAAACCCATTGTGGGGACTGCAGGCGCAGATTTTAACGGTGCTTGTCATAGCGTTAGAGTAAGGGAAACTCTTTCTGAAAAGTGGGTTAAATGCATATTTTCTACTATTTGCACAAGTAGCTCTGGTTTCAGGAATGTGAAAAGGGATGATTCAAATGAAATGCAGTTGAGCCCCCTCAACCCCTTGGGAACCTTGGAAGTAAACGGGTATCGACAGTCGGCGCGTAGGATGTCCACGGGTAGGATGTAATATGCATGTAGAATTTCGAATCTAGAGTCGTCTAGACACCAGCAAAGAAGCGGCATTGATTCCAATGCAAATCTACCGATGAAGGCACGTCAAATCCAGCATCACCAGACCAGCGCAAGGGCCAAATTCCTACAGCCAAGATACGCAGATGGAGACGGACTGTCGGCAGATAGCAGCGCCCCAAACAGCCGGGGCTTCTCCAGTCGAGGGAAATCGACCAATGAGCACCCACTGGACTCGTCTTCATCCCGCGAGTCTGTCGGATTGATATCAGGACTTTCCGTGTCCAATTGGAAGTGGCAACAAATGCAGAGAAATGGCAGTTGTAACCTTGGATGCGGAGCCCCGAATCATTAGTCCAGGAAGCCCCGGGGCACAGGCAAGATTATGAGATTCGTCTTGAATTGCCCAATGTGGAAGTTTGGGACCGGGTCGGCAAGACTCCGGAATACTAGGAATTAGTTCCCTGCTGGAAGGGGCTTCCGGGGTACTTATCAGTGTGGATTCCTCTTCTTTCTGGCCTTTGCGTGAGACGTTTTGTATATTTCTGTCATGGAGTTGCCGCAAGCAAATCTGCCTTTGGAGGTGATCGTCGTCGGGTGAGTACTCAACATGTGTGGAAGGACAAGATACTGATCTTCAATAGTGCTGGTATGTGTTCAGGGTAGTGTGGTTGCGAGGATTGAGCTGAGCATCTTGATAGGCATCGGCGGCATGGCCGCAGCCCTTACATTAGGGCTGCGAGGACATCATGTCACTATCCTTGAAGCAGCACCAAAGGTATGAATGCATTGTGGAAACTGAACTAAAGCTGATCGGCCATAGCTCATGGAAGTCGGGGCCGGCATCCAAGTCTCGCCGAATATGCTACGCCTATTTGATCGTAAGTCAAAGCTCAAACGCAAACGCAGTCAGACACTAACCTCTTCCAGGATGGGGTGTTTCAGAACTCATCCACGCCCAAGACGTAGCCTTGGAGCATATCCATGTCCGAAGATGGGACAATGGCAAGCTTCTGGGCACAGTGCCTGTGAACAAGACCTTCGGCCAACAAGTAGTCATTCACCGCGCGGATTTACACAACGCAATCATTGACCGGGCACTCGCCCTGCCCAATGTCGAGTTACGGGAGAACTCCCCCGTGACAGGTGTTTCATTCAGTCCTGCCAGTGTCACGCTCGCAAATGGCGATATCGTCCGTGGAGACGTGGTGGTTGGTGCGGACGGGATCAAATCCACGATTCGAAGCCACTTGCTGGAAGACTCGACTATCAAGGCTGTCGCTACAGGCGATGCAGCATACAGGATCATGCTCCCTCGCGAGGTCATGGAAAAAGACTCCGAATTGAAAGCTCTCATCGACGAGCCGCAGGCGACTCGTTGGCTTGGTCCTGGGCGCCATATTATCGCGTACCCGGTACGCAAGCATGAGCTTTACAACGTTGTATTGCTTCACCCCGATAGCCATGGTGTAGATGAATCATGGACAACAAAGGGTTCGAAGCAAGAGGTCGTTGAGAATTATGATGGGTGGGACAGCACAGTACGCAAGCTGATCGAGTTGGTTGATGACAACGAAGTTTTGGAATGGAAGCTATGTCTGCATCATCCCCTGTCGACCTGGATTCGGGGATCAGTGGCTCTAATCGGCGATGCGTGTCATCCCATGCTGTAAGTGATTCTCACACTTGCTGCATCTTGCGCTAATGGTACCAGGCCATATGTAGCCCAAGGTGCCGCACAGGCTGTCGAGGACGCAGCCGCGCTGGGTGTTGTTTTATCGGCTATTTCTTCTCGCGAAGAAATCCCACTCGCGTTGAACGCCTATGAAAAGTCCCGAAAGGAGCGTGCTGAAACGGTCCAGCAATCTGGGTCTGAGAATCGTATCACGTTACACCTCCCAGATGGACCTGAGCAAATTGCCCGGGATGCACAGTTCCAGGCTTCGGCCAGTGGAAATAACCCGGATAAATGGTCTGATTTGAGGACACAGGAGTTCCTTTGGGGTTGGGATGCAGAGAAGGCTGCCTTGGACACTTGGAATGGTACGTTGCGCTGCCCTGAGTTGGAACACTTCACTGACTTGACTACAGAACAAGGGAGTCCTCCCAAAGTCAATGCAAATCTATAAGATCAAATGTTGTCTATATGCATTCGCCAGACATATCTCTGTCGCCATCAAGCAGCTCCGTTCATAGCGCATATCTACTTGTCAATACAGCTTTACTTTGTATATGAGACGTACTATCATTCCGATCATCCACATTGCATTGGTTCTTTTTAATCGATTCAATTCCACAATGTCGCTATTTTTCTCTAGTTCATTATACAGTCATTTCAAATCCAAATTCATCCATCATACATCGGGCAGAAGTTGGACCAGAAAGACTCGACAAATTGGCTCGGAAATGCCAGGGACGGTCAACATTTGGCATTTCACCACAGCCAAGTCGAAGAGAAGGCGTCTTTAGTTTTGTTTTGACACCTTTTACATCTTCTCACCAGCGGCGGCCTTCATCTGACCGTACTTCTTGAGACGGATGGCAGACACGTTGATGAAGCCGGTGGTCTCGGCGGGGGAGAAGTCACCGATCTCGTCCATGGAGGACTCGCTCATGTCGTAGAGCTTCTCGGTCTCGGAGGAGCGACCGAGGACGGAGACGGTGCCCTTGTAGGCGCGGCAGCGGACCTGGCCGTTGACGGACTTCTGGGAGGCGGTGATGGAGGCCTCGAGGAACTCGCGCTCGGGAGAGAAGTACATGCCGTTGTACAGGAGCTTGGAGTAGTTGAAGGTGACGAAGGAGTCGCGCAGGGCACGAACCTCACGGTCCATGACAAGACCCTCAAGGTCGCTGGGGTAGGGTTAGCGATGGTCCTCACCGGGTGATCACGGAGACTTACATGTGAGCGGAGCGCAGGGCAGTGAGACCGGGGGTCTCGTAGCAGCCACGGGACTTGATACCGATGAAACGGTTCTCGACAATGTCGATACGGCCAACACCGTGGCGGCGGGCAATGGCGTTGGCGGTCAGGAAGAGCTCGACGGAGTCGGTGACGGCCTTCTGCTTGCCACCCTCGGTGTACTGGAGCTTGACGGGGACACCCTTCTCGAAGTAGAGGGTGAAGTCCTCGGGCTGATCGGGGGCGGACAGGGGGTCCACGGTCAGCTTCCACATGTCAGTGGGGGGAGTGGTGTCGGGGTCCTCCAGGATGCCGGCCTCGTAAGAGCAGTGGGCCAGGTTCTCGTCCATGGACCAGGGCTTGGACTTGGTGGAGGTGACGGGGATGCCCTTCTCCTCGGCGTAGTCGAGCAGGTCCTGACGGCCCTTGAAGCGCTCGTAGAAGACGGGGTCGCGCCACGGGGCAATGACCTTGATGGAGGGCTGGAGGGCGTAGAAGGCAAGCTCGAAGCGAACCTGGTCGTTACCCTTACCGGTGCAACCGTGGGAGACGGCGAAACATCCCTCGCGCTAATGTGTCATGTCAGTTCCCCACTCTCGACCGGGGCATGGGTTGGAGGGGTGCGTACCTGGGCGACATCGATCTGGGCGCGGGCAATGACGGGACGAGCCAGAGAGGTACCGAGGAGGTAGACGTTCTCGTAGACGGCGTTGCAAGCAATGGCGGGGAAGCAGAGCTCCTCGATGAACTCGCGGCGGATGTCAATGATCTCGCACTTGAGAGCACCGATCTTCAGGGCCTTCTCGCGGGCAGCCTCGAAGTCCTCTGTGACGGACATGGATCAGACGGAGTTCAATTCGTTACTAGAATGAAGCTGTGAATTACCTTCCTGGCCAACATCGGCCACTTTTTTGATGTCAGCATTCCCCTCCTTGAAAGCTATTGGACAGGCGACTTACTGAAACAAACGACCTCATAGCCCTCCTCGATGAGGTACTTCACTGTGATTGGGGATCAGCAATTGCAATTGACTCCAATGCAGAGTGAATTCATACAGATGCAGCTGGTGTCGAGACCGCCAGAGTAGGCGAGGCAAACCTGCGCGCACGAATCGTTAGTCCCACGTCAATATGGCAGGAAGGTGGAGCAGAAGGTGGCGGTGTGAACAGTTGAGGTTCAATTGAGATTGGAATTCATGTATAGACATACCTTTCCTTGAGCCATTGTAAATGATAGATGGATAATTCAAAGACAAGAACAGTGGAATATAAAGGAAGAGGGACTGACTCATTGCGAAAAATTGTGGGCAAGTCACGGGGGGTCCGAGACCGGCTGATAGCTGATAAGGGGCGATCATTGCCCCTCCAAGAGCGAGACCGTGAGATCTATACATTTTGGATCTGTTGCTTCTGCTCTCACCCAATGAACAAGATTGCTTTAGCTAACGGACATGCAGCAGATGCACCTAGGGGTTGAAAAGGCGAGTGGCGTGCACCGAGTACGAAGTACAAAATTTGCGTGCATCCTCGACCATCTAGACTTGCCCAGGGGAGCCAGCGAAATAACCCATCCAGGATAACAAGTGAGATTACTTTCACTCGCCTCGGGATGCTTACAGAGGTGATACTGAATACTGAATATTGTTGCTCATCCACATCGTGTTCCTCGTTTGCATGGTGATTCGGGCTGGTGAAACCTCAAGCGCTGAACCGATGCGAATAAAATCTCTTCCCTTCGTTATCTGGTCTGTCAATCTCAATTGATGCATTTTCCCCAATGGGCTGCTCTCCAATGATCAATGGGATGTCAGTTCTCCCGCACTGCGGTCTCGCCAATTTCCTGGGGTTGGAGATTTCGTCATAGGCTGTTTGTCTTGTTTGTCTTGTCTGTCCTGTTTGTCCTGTTTGCACCAGTTCGGCTATCCGCGGCGATTTCCCCGCGCTCTGCCCCGGATCATGAAGCATAGCAATTTAAAGGAAATCGCCCCTGCAAAGGATCCCTTCCATGTATTGACATTTTGTCCTCCCAAATCACAAAAGATGGTACCTCTACGGACTCCCTTGCGATCTTGGACGCACATTCCCCGTCGATTCTACTCCGGAGCTCCCACCCCTGCCGCAAAGCTCAATCTACCTATTGATTACAAGACTACTCCAATTTTACATCACACTTCCTCCTCTTTGGCAAACACAAAAGACTTCCCCGCGGGTGCCACCAGTAAACGGCTCAATTTCTTCCAAGCAATCAACTCCGCCCTCAAAACCGCCTTGTCGAAATCCGAGAAGGTCCTCCTCTTCGGTGAAGATGTCGCATTCGGTGGTGTGTTTCGATGCTCAATGGACCTTCAGACCGAGTTCGGCTCAGATCGAGTGTTCAATACCCCTTTAACAGAGCAAGGCATTGCAGGATTCGCAATAGGATGCGCGGTGGAGGGCATGAAGCCGGTAATTCGCATTACCCGCGGTCCAGACAATCTACTAACTGTCTTGCATAGGTGGCAGAGATACAATTCGCCGATTACGTTTTCCCGGCCTTTGATCAAATTGTCAACGAGGCAGCCAAGTTTCGGTATCGTGAGGGCGGGACAGGGATCAATGCGGGCGGACTTGTGATTCGTATGCCGTGCGGTGCGGTTGGACACGGTGCTTTGTGAGTAGAGCGCTACCACTCAATTTGAATGCTTGAGCTTACACGATATCCAAGGTACCATTCCCAATCACCCGAGTCCCTCTTTGCACATATCCCTGGTGTCCGGGTGGTCATGCCTCGGTCCCCGGCGCAAGCCAAGGGTCTTCTGTTGGCGTCGATTTTTGAGCATAATGATCCAGTGGTCTTCATGGAGCCAAAGATTCTATACCGCGCTGCGGTAGAGCATGTCCCGAACGAGTACTACACGATACCCCTCAGCAAGGCCGAAGTCATCAAGCCTGGAAAGGACTTGACTGTCATCTCATACGGCCAGCCTCTCTACATGTGCTCGGCTGCAATCTCAGCTATTGAAAAGGCAATGCCTGGTGTCAATGTGGAGCTGATCGATCTGCGCACGATCTATCCTTGGGATAGACAGACGGTCATTGAAAGTGTGAAGAAGACAGGACGCGCTGTGGTGGTGCACGAAAGTATGGTTAACTATGGAGTGGGCGCAGAGGTAGCAGCTACGCTACAGGAGAACGCATTCTTGCGATTAGAGGCTCCTGTGAAGCGAGTCGCTGGATGGAGTACTCACACTGGTCTGAGTTACGAGCAGTTCATCCTCCCTGATGTTGCAAGTAAGTGCAATCATATCCCCATTTCCCCTATGGCGTTTGCTAATTCGTTGCTCCCTTCTGCCAGGAATTTTCGATGGTATCAAACAAACATTGGAGTACTAGAGGATCAGAAGTGACAGGAGTCCAGCCAAATACAAACATGAATATACGCACTCCATACAACATCCGAGGTTGTGACTCCGTCTACTTGCAGCCTCGTCGTTAATATGATACTCTTTGAGGCTGACACATAACCTTGAATCTCATAGCCGCCGTTCTTCTGGAAGAGTGGCATGATACCCAGGTGCCCGTCAACATGCATATCAACTGTTTTGAGGTCACTTGCAATTTCAAATCGCACCATAGCTGTCTGACTTTGAATGCTACATAGTCATTTGCATATATCCATAGATGGATGGCGGATAGGGAAGACCCCTACGTACTTAAACGGAGGAACATGTGAACGAGACCATCAAATTAGTTTATCCATACTAGGTAGCATATCCATATGATGCTCCACTTCCGCACCAGATACCAGTGAGTAACTTAAATCAAAAAGCGAATCCATCTCCCTTCTCATAGTCTATCAAAACCGAGATAAAGCTCGGTCCCAAGCCTCATCCATGAAATCTCTCATACCTAGAATCCCCGCAGATGGGCTCGGCCTCGATTTGCAAAAATTTTCCTGCATGACAAACATCCTGTTTCATTGCATATACGACAGCGGAACAGAACCTTATTCTCTCCGCGGCACAGGTTGCACTGACCACGCCTTACAAGATTTTCCCATCGTCTGTAGTGCGAACACGATTCACGCGGACGCAGAACAGGGGAATTCGGGATATCCAGAGCTTGAAGGGCTGTCTGCAGTGGTGTGGTGGAGGCACCTGAGTCGCGTCTTGCAGGCGATGGATTGGGTCGTGCGCTTTGGGAAGCTGTATGAACCTGTGGACTTGGCTGGAGCCCTGACATCAGTGAATCAAGGCTTGGGATTGTAGTATTTGGCAATGTCGCCCGCAGCCTCTCATCGGCATTGTGAATTGGCCCAGTTAGTGGTGGCAATGTCGCTCGCAACATCTCTTGGGCAATCGCAAGTCTGGACGTATTTCCCAGAAGGGCACCGGGGACTCGAACACGTTCACATTTACCTTTGCAAACGTGCCACTCATCGCCACATAAGTAGCAGAATTGTCGGCCGCATCGGCATCTAGAGAAATATATTAGTGACGGATGTTATCAATAAATATGGAGGACATCGTCGCACTGCATATGTGGACATCCTATACTTCTCTCAATGCCTTGACCGCAACTTGGGCAGCGCTTCCAGCCCTTTTCTTCTATGAGTGCTAGCATATTGGCGTAATCATGAGTACCACCCACGCATGGGCCTTGGTGCATTTTCTCCTTGCACTTTACGCAGGTCTCTTTGTGGCACTTGGGGCACTTGCCAACCGAGTCATCTTTGTCTTCTGGCGAAAGAATATTTGCGCAATTGGGCTTCCAGCAGTATGTTGGGGATGGATCGTCACGTTCGGCTTTCCTTCTTTCAAGCTTCGCCCATAGTTCGCGGTCCATGGATGTCCATTTGCTCTCGATGTCAAAGGGTTCATCGCAGCATCGAGGAGGGAACATGTTGATATCAGTCAATGAGGACTTGACCACCTCAATGGCGCATTTGTGGCAGTATCCGTGACCGCAAGCAGGGATCATCATTTCTTGCGGGTTGAATGACTCATTGCAAGCAACGCATTCAAGGTTGGTCTCCTCTATGGGTGTTTCATTCTGGGGATTGGAGTTGGCAGTCATGCGTCGTTGGATCTCAGATTTCATGAGGAGCAATGCTACAATGTTGTCTGTAATTTCTCGTGGCCTTGGCCTATGGCCATTGGAGCGGATCTCGCCGAGCAATGCATCAATTTCGATAATTTGAATTTCCAAGGCGAACATGTCGGTGTTTCGATCGATTGTTTCTGTCATCTTTGCGGTTGGTGAAAGCACTTGTCACACCTCTGGAAGGGGTCAATGGCTAGTGTGGATAGATGGCTGGTTTGGTGTTGAAAAGATCTCTGTGGGCATATGATCGAGATTGGTAAGTGAGAGAGAGAGTGCATGCCCATGCCCAGGTGCCCAGTGCAGCTTGGTTGTGTAGGCCGGGGGGCTGGTTGTGCAGACCAAGAAATGGAAAAGATCGCTTGCTAGTTGAGAGAAAGGTGAGAGATAGAGATAGTGAGAGGTGAACTTTCGGAGGGAGGGGGGGGGAGAAGAAAGCTATCTAACAAGTGTCAAATTTGAAGCCTTTTAAGCATGGAGTGATACAGTCTCAAAACTGAAAGTTTGGGAATTTTTTGTATCATACACTTATTGCAAAAGGAGATTGACAACATCTTGATTTCGTCGTGTTTGTAATATGATCAAGCAAAAGCCCTAGGGAATGACCTCGTCTCGAACAGATTCGACTATGGCCAGACCTTCTGAATTTATTAAATTTACCGAAACTTACCTTGCTAAGGTCTATTTGAGGCAACTTTGCAGAATCATGTATTTAGATTTACTGTTTGTAATTCTAGGGCAAACAAACAAAATTGGTTTTATACACTCCACTTGGGATATTCGCATCACACCTTAACCGGTCGCTGGAGCCATGATCATCGGCCTATGCCATATGATGGCGGTTACCTTCTGGTTGAAGATGTGGCGAAGGCAGTGTTGATCATAGGCTAAACCAAGAAAGAGAAGGGCAAGAAGCCATCATATTGGTTGTGCAAAGAAAGGAAGAGGAAAAAGAGAAGCAAGATCTGAGCTATGTACAGAAGGAAGTCACGAGACCTTCAACAGTCGAAGGCTGGTTTTCGTGGGTAATTCTCTATGAAGATCTTTGATAGCAGGCCCGATGGAAAGGGGAAGTATGGGTTGGAGGTCTATGCAAAGATCGCGATGGAGAGTATGCAGAATTTCTTTGAAGTGAACAAAACCTGCGCAGTGGAGGGTAGAGGGAAGAAGAAAGAAGAAGAAGAGAATATGAAAGGTCACGAGTACATGTAGCATTATCGCTAAAGAAAACATTCAAGTCAATCACAAAGTAAGCAATTAAGAAAACTTCTAATATCAGAGGTTTCAGGGCATATGTTCATGGTGCTGCAGAAGAGCGACATCAGAACGTGGCATACGCCCGATACAAGCTTAACCCTGTCTTTGTCGAAAACTCCAACTCAGCGTCCTTTCCGGCAAAATAGACATCTCCCCCCCCTATCTCATGGACTGTTCCACCCACACTCATTTTTCCAGAACCTTGAGTCACAATGAAGATACTAGGACTTTCGATCACCCGATGCTTTTCACCTTGCGCGGAAGATAAGCTCACACCCAGGACGTTAAACTCGCTAAAAGGCGGGGCATATTCAGTGGTTCTTCCTTTCAGCCCAATCGGGCTCTTTTTCCGTTCGAGGAGAGATTCTTTGGGGCCATGAGGTGTGAATGTAAGAGCTTGTGCGAAGAACTCGACATTATCACGGTCAGCGCGTGGGCAGAAGCCCGTATTCAGGACATTGTCAGAGCGCGCCATGCACTCGATAATGTCCCCCGAAAACCACGCATGAATGCCGTCGGCTGGGACACAAACAGCTTCTCCGGGTTCCAAAACCATGTAGTTCATAAGAAGAGCGGCGATCAAGTTCCCGTTATCGAAGGTTGAATATTGCTTGCTGAGTCGATCGAGGAGTGCTGGAACGTTCTCGCTGTCACCAAACTCGGACAAAGCTGTATCTTGTAAGTTTGCGATAGTCTCCGATACCGTGTCCGGGGGCAAGCTTAGCAAGGTTTTGCATAGTTGCCGTAAAACTTCGTCGTCGAAAGTCTTATGTGCTGGCACTAGATCTTTCAACGGCTTCAGCTGCATGAGCGCTGCGATTGTTTCTAGGGGTTTGAACCCAACAAAAAGTTCGAATCGTGACATAGCGATAGCAATCTCGGGCTTGTGATTGGTATCACCGAACTTTTCAGGCTCGCTTGCATGCAAACGCTCGGCAAGCCTTTTGTCTGGATGGATTTGAAGTGGAAGTGCTTTAGCAAAGGAAAGTACCTAGTCATGATTAGCATCACTTCATTTTTGTTGCACATTCGATGTTTCACCTTTGGTAGAAAAGGGATGTCAGACCCGTATCTATCGCAAACTGCTTGCCCTACGAGATCCGGATTATCCTTCAGATGCTCCGAGAGGAGCTTCCCAGTGGAACGGATCCGAGATGGCACGGAAGGATACGTGCCCATCCACATCTGCGTGATATTAATTTCATTGCCTTGGCTCGTATAGATAGGAGAATTACGCACTTCAGAGTATGTTTCTGAGGAGTCGAGCTTTCCTGCGTCAGGCATATGCGACCAAAGTCGCCCAGCAAGTGAGTCTTCGCCTTGTTTGCCCCAAGGGTCATGCTAGAATGGGATGGTTAGATTCTTCCTGCGTAGTCATATGTTGCAGTGTCTTACTTTGCATTCGCAAACGAGTTGCAATACTCCGTCCGCCATATAGAAATTATGTGTCGCTAATTGTTTTTTAATAAGTGTGAATTGGATGTTTTAGTTGTCAAAGATTTCATACTACCTATCATTGTAGTTAGGCCCGTTAGATTGCCAGAGGTTATATGGGGTCAATTACGTTGATCTCCCGTCATACATGTTGTTTCTATAACAGGTATATTCGGATCTCACATTGTGCCAAAAATCTTATGTAGAACTCCGGAATAAGTGATCCTTCAAAACTTGATTCAGTAGATACTCGATTCCCAGTTCGGGTCAAGTTCGGGCGTGATTGGTCAGCGTGATGATCCCCCACATGCAGGGCTGTCATACTGACGCCAGATTCCACCTTTGTTTTCTGGATTGTGCCCTTGTGCACCAAGTAGTCAAGCATATGAGCATTACATAGGTAGTAGCTGCGCAGAGCATGGGTTTACAGAGACCGAACTGGCCAATTTCAATATTTTCCGGTTTCCTGGCATGAAAAAACGTCATAATCTACTCTATTTAAAAGCTCGCCAATCCGACCAAGTTACATAGATAATCTCTAACCCTCCATCCAAAATAGCTCCTTTCCACCCCTTGAACGCCGTGACCTCAAAACCGCATTCACCTAAATAATTAATCACGAATTCCATAATGCAACAGGAAGTGGAAAAGCCCTCTAGGGGTCCTCAGTCTCAATTCCAACAGGGTAAGCTCATGTACAATTGTGTCTCATTATCTCGGAATTAATATTGCATTCAGATCACCAAATCCCTATTGAGCATCACAAAAAGCCCGGCTTACAGGCTGAGATGGAACAACCAAAGCCCACCTCAAGCCAAGTTCCAACCGACGATGGCGGGTATCAGACCTACAAAGCGGCCGGGAAGCTTGCCGGCAAAAAAGCCATTATCACTGGTGGTGATTCCGGCATTGGTCGCGCAGTTGCTATTCTATTCGCTATGGAGGGAGCGTCTAGTCTAATCACTTACCTTCCTCAGGAGGAAAAAGACGCGCAAGAAACCAAAAGACGGGTGGAGGAAATCGGGCAAAGCTGTGTTTGCTACGCCACTGACCTTCGGGATAAGGAGAACTGCCAAGCGGTGGTTGACACGGCTCTGAAAAGCCTAGGTGGTATTGATATTCTGGTTAATAATGCTGGGACTCAAACGATGATCGACGATATCAAGGATTTGGAAGAGTATGTGTATCATGGATTCTACCTATGCTATATGCGTATTGTTGATTAACATACTTCCACAGGTCTCAATGGGAAAGCACTTTCGACACCAATATACACCCTGTGTTCTACCTTTCTAAATATACAATCCCCCATCTGAAAAGCGGCTCGACCATCATCAACTGTGCATCAGTCAATCACTATATTGGTCGCCCTGATCTACTCGACTACACGTCAACAAAGGGGGCAATCGTCGCTTTCACTCGGGGGTTGTCTAACCAGCAAGTCAAAAATGGCATTCGCGTGAATTGTGTGTGCCCTGGGCCAGGTAAATCAAGCCCCTTATAGCAACCTTTCTGCAATACCTAACCTAGATATAGTTTGGACCCCTCTTATTCCGGCAACTATGACCACCGCCGCTAAGGAGCAGTTCAGCGGCACACCGATGGGTCGCCCAGGACAACCCAGTGAGGTCGCAACATGTTTCGTCTTCCTCGCAAGCCAGGATAGTAGCTTTATCTCCGGGCAGAGTTTGCATCCCAACGGGGGAGTCGTTGTCAACGGATGAGCGGCAGATAGAGAGCAATGATATCTCATCATTTTCTCATTGACATGCAGCCGTAGGGCTTAGTTTCGCCTGGTGTATCGCGCTTTCACGATACTAAGGCAGTTATCTTGCAATGATTACCTGTGCAGCACCAATCAGACTATCACCCTGTACATATGGCGATACAAGGGTGCTGTGACAATGAGGAAGCATTTGGATCATGTCAATGATGACGTGAACCTCTGGTGGGCGCTCGAGAGATACGAGAGATATAACCATAAGTTTGTGAAGGGTAGGTGAGAGGTGAATGAGCCTCTTCTATCAGCTTTGGATACTTGCGTGGAAATCAAGCATCTCTCTTGGGTGCATCTTTTTGACCATCCATTATGGGTCATCCTAATCCTTTAATTTAATTCCTCGCTTCCATTGCACTCAGCTGTCTGTATAGTTTCTCGAATATATCCGGCGCTTCTATGTTCTCAATATTTGCATGTAGCTCCCAGCTGTCCTCGCTGTCGACGCAGGTATCAGAGAATGAGAAAGCCACATCAGCAGAGAAAAGATCTTAGTCTCTCAATTCAATATTCATAATCAAGGTCGCGTCGTACACGTTTGCTCTGGGTATCAGTTTGAGGATGTCAGCCTGTGACTCCTGCATAGGTCTAAGACTATTGTCTTGCCTTGGGGTCGGGGTCGACCCCTGGACAATACTTCGAGTCTCTGAACTATGTGGATGCCTTAGGTGTCAAATACAGATGCTCTAGATATGATCTACGGAATACCCCGAACGAGTAGGGACTCGGGGAAATCGATTTCCGGTTTGACATCTTTGTACGTTAGACCAATTGTGCAGGACCATAGACACGCTTTGGGCTTGACTGATGTCACCTCAAAAGTACCGACTCGTACTGCGGTGTGGGTCCATATTGACAACTTAGTTTGAAGAACATGAGTCTGGACTACGAGAATGAGCATGCAGGCAAGCAGCTTTAAAATACAACATGGCTGGTCTCATTCCGCAAATTACTGTGCCATTTAGCATAACAGAGGATTGAATACGTACACACGGCGCTCCGTACTCTATAAGTATTCCGTGGAATGTTTGGATCTCCGCGCAACTCAAGTGGATCTGCACTACGGAGTATGACGGGGGCTATTATTTCCGGAACGATTAGCCAACCAACGAGACGTCGAGCCGCTGTCGATTGAACAGGGGTTATGATTTTGCGACATTTGCAAGCTTTCTCCCCAAATTCTGGTTGGACACTTTATCACCATCAACGTCATGACCTTAATTAAATTCATATGATCTTGATCCCCCACATGAATCATTCGCGGTTCGAGAAGTCTTTGCCGTATACAATTGAGGATGTGGGTCTGTCATTCTAGCCAATTCAATGCCGCAGACTTTTCGATGAGACCTCTTAATCGAGGGCGAGAGCTCAATTGGCTGCGGGTAGGGCCCGTAGAGCCGTTTGCCTCAGAGAGGATCCCGATTTCGTCGTTTCAAATTGGTCCATAATGGTCACCTTGCGGAGATTCCCCCTCGGGGTTTGCTCGAAAATCTCAAATGCGAGTCATTTTTCTCTGATCTCTTAAGAACCCCCCTGCTAAGTCCCAGCTATATCCAATGACCTCATAAATATAAACGATTTTCACTGTTCTACTTTGAGACCAGTCGCGCCATTCCTTTTTCCATTCTCCTTCATCCTCATTCTGTCACACCACATACCCGACCCCAAAAATCGTTTCCGGGGGGTTTACAATTGCTCAAGAAAAGGTCGAATTCTGTTCAATCTTGAAGTTTCGTTTGCAGCCGACCGAGGATGTTATCCCACCTGTATGTCAACTTCGGGTACTATGAACACCCACATAGTCAGCCTCAACCTAACTTGGAGCAGTGCAATATCACAGAAGCCAGATGAAAACCTGATCAATCGGTTCAAATCATTATACCATTTGGCATTCTCTAATATGGAAAATGGAACCAAGAAACCTAGCCAATTTTCCAAAAAAGACAGTGATGTCCGAGGAAACGATGGCCACTCTGTTGACATTTTTTCATTTGATAACTGCCCACCTCTATTTCCTGCAAATGCTTCATGCGAGGGAAAATCGCTGGGAGTGCAGATCCCGGGCTTCGATCTGAGTCGCTCAGAATCGGAAACGAGCGAAATATCCGGTGATTTTGTTGAACAAAAGGCATCCGAGGATTTCTGGAGCTCTCCGAGTCAATCAAGCACTCGGTCTTTCTCAGAGTGCTTGCAGGATACTGCGCCGTCGCAGCTTTGGAATAGCATTGACCCCTTCGGTGCCAACAGTTGTTTGCCCACGCAGTTCACTCACGATATCACTGATTACGGATCGATGAACCTGGCCAACCCTGCCATGCTAGATAGAGGTACGAATGTATCACCTCGACGGGAGGTAGAGCAAGTAGTCAACCATTCTTCCCTGTCTGGAGAAGGGTCGACTCACGCGGAGTACGTTCCGAATCACAGTGCAATATGCGGATTTGTTGCTGACTCCTTGGCCTCAGATTCTGCTTTGAAACGGTTCTTCGGGCACCGACCGCAAGAATGAACTACAGGAATGAGACACCAGTTTCCTACCTGAATAAGGGTCAAATTTACCAAATCACAGTCAAAGATTCATTGACCCCTGCGGCACCTTTCGAGGCCATGAACTTCAGAACATCCATTCGCATCTCGTTTGAAAAAGAACATAGACACAATTCTGCCAGCCGATGGCAGCTATGGAAAGATGGGCGAGGGTCTTCCAGGTCTTCCAAAGGCAATTTGCCATCCATGGCCGTCCAGTATGCCGGGCAGACTGACCAAATGCGGGTGGAAGAAGCAAACTTGGATGGCTTTTCAATCTTTTGGTCAACCTCTGCCACTGGTGCGAATCAATGTTCTATCCCCGTTCGATTCAACTTCCTATCTACCGACTTTTCGCTGTCAAAAGGTGTAAGAGGCGTTTCAGTCCGACTTTGTGTCAAAACCGAAAGGATAGGTGATCCTTTCTCTCATGAGCCTGAGATCTCATATTGCCACGTGAAGCTTTTCAGAGACCACGGCGCGGAAAGAAAGATGTCGAATGATGCTGCTATCGTTCGCAGGAGAATGGAAAAGCTGAAGCTAGAGGCAAAGGCTCCACAACTGGGAAAGCCTACAAAAACGAGAAGAAGAAACAGGATTGATTCTGAGAGCTTCGCATATCCTGATGTACCACAAAAACATCTGGGAGATACCTTTCTACAATTCAAACCCAATAACCTACCACAAGCCGAACTCAGAAGCTTGCAAAAAAAGCTTGACGGGCTTCAGTGGACTCTTGAATCCTCCAAGCCTGAAACTAAGTTCAGTCTCAGGGCCGACAGTGCTGATGATCCTGATCTACATCCACAAATCTCAATGGATGTGTCAAAACTACAACCCCAGGATCCATTGCACCGAAGCATCCCAAGTGTGAGGGATGGTGATTCGCGGAAATCACGAAAACTGGACTATTCCGATTCAGCGACCTCGCCCAAGAACGATGTGAAACTGCAGAGAGTGTCAAATCCAGACCCATCGACCCTAGCTGGTAAGTCTCCTTGATTTCCACTTTTCCCATGAGAGTATTTCAAATTAACAAGACTGTCAATCACAGTTGCCTGCTTTTATATTCGAATTCGCAATAACAGTCTCCTCCCGAATAAGCTCTATCGTGCTATCTACCCCAAGGAGAGAACTGCTCTGGAACTTAAGCGAATAATCTTCGAAAGTGATTCTACCTTTTCGCCCGATACTTCAAGCATGTTCTACATTAACAGGGCCGGCCTTCAGGTTCTTGTCGATGACAAATTCATTGAGAATATTGCGGAGGGCCAGGATATGGTTGTTGAGACCCGTGAATCTGTTGATCACATTGATTCTATACAGTGTCCAACCCGATCGAAGGACATATATCTTGTTTATTGATGGCTTTTAACAAGCTAGATGACCCACGAAAGTTTGGATTGTTTGATTTTACTAGATTCTTGCGTATTTGTATGATCACGTTCCAGACCCTACAAAAGAGCATTCGGGGCTAGAATCTAGAGCTTTTCACATATCATTTTCGGTCCTACCATTGGCTAGAAACGTTCCGATAGCCAATAGCCCATGGCAGCCTGAGGCATCCACATATATGGCGAGGCCCTTCGATGCAAAAGGCCAATTCTCAAGGGTATATGTCCTACCTTTGATTTTCATTTTCGAGAAGAAAAGGGTTGGTAATGATGGACCAGTGTGCACGACTTTCCAATATATGCCCAGGTGAGGTCCAGTGCTTAGCATGACCAATAGCGGAATTGTTCCGCGGGGATTTGAAACCGGCGGCACAATTCCGGATTGCTAAGTCTCTACTTCAGCCGCTTGAACAGACCTGGAGTTCCGGGCTACCTATGCGCTCACGTAATTTGCACTGGAAGACACGCCATGGATGAGACAATCTTCGAGGTGGTTGGAAATCACGATTCCTATCTGTAATCACTTCATGCTTCCAAAGCTGGATTGCGTGCGACTCCTGGGCACATCCATGACTTCAAGTAATTATAAAAGAGACTCCGGCAGCCTCTCAAAACATCACATCTACTTCTTCAAACACTTCTATCGTTAATAACAAGCTTGTCATCAACCTCAGAAACATTCAACACTTTGACCATGTCGATCAAGGTTGCACTTGTCGGAGTATGTTCACCCACCTTGCTGGAGACAAGTATACTAACGTACACCCAGGCCAGCGGCAACATTGGCCCTGCAGTCCTCGAGCAGCTGCTTAATTCTGGTTTCGATGTTACTGTCCTGACTCGCCAGGGCAGTGACCATACATTCGATTCTCGCGCCCGCGTCACAAAAGTGGACTATGAGTCCCTTGACTCGATTAAGAATGCTTTGGCAGACCAAGAGATCGCTGTCAGTACTCTAAACGTCGGCGGTGTACCACTTGCAATCCACCTTCGCATAATCGACGCTGCAGTCGCGGCAGGAGTGAAGCGATTCATTCCCTCTGAGTTTGGATCCAACACCGTCAACCCTCAGACAGCCAAGCTCCCCGTCTTTGCAGACAAGATCAAAGTCCAAGATCATCTGAAGACAGTGTCTCGGGATTCCGGTCTCAGTTACTCTTTCCTCATCACTGGTCCTTTCCTCGATTGGGGTATTCAGCACAACTTCATTCTTAACCTGTCCGGTCCTGTGGTTCCCCTTTATGATGGCGGCGATCGCCCATTCTCGTCCACTACTCTCAGCGGTGTGGGCAAGGGTGTTGTCGGTATAATTAAGAATCTCGATGTCACCAAGAACACTGCCGTCTATATCGAGGAGGCAAGAGTATCCCAGAAGCAACTTCTCCAATTGTCTGGCAAGACCCTTGATACCGAGAATATCGCGACCGCGGATCTGGAAAAGGAAGGCTACGAGGAGCTCACGAAACCGTCACCGAACCCGGCAATTATTGCAACCCGTTTCATTTGGAGGGCTATCTTCGGCGAAGGGTTCGGTGCGCTATACGAGACTCAGGAACTTTCCAATGATCTGTTTGGTCTGAAGTCTCTATCTGAAGATGAACTTCGGGGACTTTTTGCCAAATAGTCATCTTCTCTGGCCAATCATTATAAGCCCATTGTCGTCCAATTACCAGATTTCCAATTAGGAAGGTAATGGCTAATTCAGGGGCTCGATGTTCCGTTTAAGATTGAGGGGAATTAAGGCAAAGGGGGTCCAGACCCATGAGCATAGTCATGATAGATACAAGAATACAATCTCACTGACTTCACTTTCCATTTTTCTGGATTTGGGTTCTATCGATGTTGGAAGGCAGTTCCGAGGCCAAGGAAAACTCCCTTGAAACATGGGGTAATCATGGCGGGTGGCGTGCAATACACTCATTATCTTCTATCTTCTCGGCTGTTAACATCATCTACGGATATCTAGACCTCGCCTGAGCGGGGAAAGTCCCAAATTGGCTACTTTGAGGCTTTTTAGACCGTATGCCCGACAGACAGAAGAGATAAAGAGTAACAAGTGGCAAAGATAACCTTTCCACCAACCCCCGGATTAGTCTAATGTAGAAACTGGGCTGTGCTCATGTGGTAATGGCTGCCAGCGTTTAAAATGAGATTCATGACCAGATGTAATAGATTCACTTTACCGCACGAAGTTGAACAATTTAACCATGTCAAAAGATTCCAAGAACGATGCTGATATTGAATACGATAACAATGACCCAGCGCCGCATGAAGCATTCGGAACTATTACGGATCACAACGATGTCTTTGGGGAGATATCAGAAGATGGCCCAAACTACCGCAACGTGATCACACCATAATCCACAGTGCGAGTCAAAAGCTGACGTGAAATTTGATATTAGGTCGGATGGCTAGGTACCGTCGCCTTGATGATGAAAACCCAGATTGGACTTGGTGTCCTTTCCATGCCACTCGTTTTTGCTACGGTGGGACTGGTACCAGGTAATATTCTTCTCGTGGCTATGGCCGGCATCACAACTTGGTCGGACTATATGGTCGGTATCATCAAGCTTCGCCATCCAGATGTATATGGCATCGACGATGTGGGAAGGATACTATTTGGTCGAGTTGGATATGAGTTGTTCGGGGCTGCCTACGCCATTTGTGAGTTGAGGTTGTGGTAAAGTCGTGCCTTCTAATTTCTTTCAGACTTCACTTTCGTTGCTGGATCAGCCATGCTCAGCATCTCCATCTCCTTGAATGCTCTTTCGACACACGCGATCTGCACAGCCGGTTTCGTGGCAATTGCCGCTGTTGTTGGTTTCATGTTTGCTAGCATCAGAACACTTGATAGAATTGGCTTTTTGGCTTGGATCGGTGCACTCTCGATCATCATTGCGGGTAAGTCTGAGCCCTCATCCCCGCAACAACTCTAACAAGAATAGTCTTCGTGGTCACCATCGCCGTTGGGCTCCAGAGCCGCCCCTCCGAAGCACCTCGGTCCGGTCATTGGGAGTCGGATTACAAGCTTTTCAATACTCCCACGTTTACGGAAGCCATATCTGCTGTTTCGACATTGGTATTCACATATGCTGGGACTCCAGCCTTCTTCAACATCGTTGCCGAGATGCGCCAACCACTCATGTACAATCGGTCACTTGTTATTTGCCAGGTTACCGTCACCGCAGTCTACATTATTGTCGGCACTATCGTATACTATTTTTGTGGATCATACGTCGCCTCTCCGGCTCTTGGATCTGCCGGCGACACTGTCAAGAAGGTTTCATATGGCATTGCCCTTCCTGGCTTGATTGTCTCATGCATCCTGTTTATCCACGTATGAACCCCACAGCATAGCAAAAAGGACCCACTAACATACATTCTAGCTTTCTGCTAAGCACGTCTTCGTGCGGATCTTGCGTGGATCAGATCACCTAACGGCCAATAGCATCATACATTGGGCAACTTGGCTTTCGTCGACGTTTGGCATCACCACTATCGCATATATCATCGCCAGTGCAATTCCCGTATTCTCGAGTCTCGTTTCGCTCATCGGTGCTTTCTTAGGAACATTCTTGACTTTTCAACCATATGCTGGAATGTGGCTATACGATAACTGGAAAGGCAGTCGCACCTTGCGCTGGCAGTTTGGTGTGGTTTGGTCTGTTATCATTCTTCTCCTTGGCACTTTCTTGATGGTAGGAGGGACATATGGTTCTGTAGTTGGTATCAGGGACTCGTTTGTCAAGTCTGGGGGTTCCTCTCCGTGGTCATGCGCTGATAACTCGAACTCTACCTAAATGGACACATGAGAATACCTGCTGAGACCCCCAAATGCCAGGGCGGTATATGGGGCTGGCAGAGATATTGGACGGACTCCCTGATGCAATTCCTTCAATCCTATCACGCTGAATTCTTGGTGCACTCTTTTCGATGGGAGGGCTATTGGTTCTTGATTAACATTATGATACTCGGGCGAGAACCGTGATACCTAGGTAGAGGCCTCTTTTTTGATCAAACCTACATTAGTGAATCCACTGTTCTGACATTCATGGATATAAGAAACAGCGTATCAAGGCGCTTAAACTAAAAGGGCAGAGCTGATCTGATGCAATAATTTTTAGTTCTGCCATTCACATTATCATAACATACATATCTCGCAAATCGAAGCGCTGAAACATTCTCGCTGAACGCGGATAAAGTCAAATCACATACCCTTCCGTTAATCGTTCAACATGCCTTGGAAGTCAATTAGGTCATCCGAGATTTGAGCGTTGTGATGATTCATGATCTCCGAGTATCTGCCAGAAGTCAGCTTTTGTTTTCATATGCCAGGTTCGGTGATGACCAACGTGAGGATCTTCCAGTGGTCAAGTGAATGATCTTGAGAGACGGACGACCAGTCAAATTTCTCCTTCGCCACTGGCTCATCGGTGGGGTCATGGTAGAGATCTAGATATGGATGTTCAAGAGCATCTCCGGCAATCAGACGTTCCTTTGGATCCCAAACTAGCAGCTTTTCGAGTAAATCTATGGCTGTGCATAAATTCATGTAAGCGTTTATCTTTCTCTTCCCTAGTTGGAGCATACCATCGGGCGAAGCGTTTCGTAGCTTTTCTGCAAATGAACGCTTGCTTTTCGCAGGCAGTCCTGCGATGTATTTTGAAGTCTAAGGGCCGAAAGTTAGCAAGTTAGCAGGTCGGTCAAGTATTGACTGAAGGTGATTTGACACACGTTCATAGAAGAAATTGTCATTAAGACACTCTGAGGAACAGAGCCCAAAAGATCGAGAATGACAGAGAATTGGTCGGCGTGGCTTTGGCCAGGGAACAGTGGTCTTCCTGTAATTAATTCTGCAAGTATGCAACCCGCGCTCCACATATCGACTTGGACGGTGTATTTTTGCCATGTCAGCATTGTTTCGGGAGCTCGATAATGTCGCATGGTGATGTATCCCGTCATAGTGGTGTCGACTATTCTGGCGAGCCCAAAGTCACATAATTTGATGTCGCAGTTCTCATCCACCAGTACATTGCTTGGTTTGAGATCGCGATGCACAACGCCGGCTGAATGGATGTATTTCAAACCCCGCTGAATCGCATGAAAAGTTAGACTGGTGTGTTTCCAGGGGTTTCGATGCGTTCCAAGGTTGCGAGCATACCATGATTTGGTAGAAAATATACTTGACGAACTCATCATCTATAGGCTTCAGAGCGATGATATGGGCCAGATCGGTCGACATGAGATCCGTCACTAGATATCTGCGTCAATTAGCGATGCAATTTCCCAGATTGGAATATGTTATTACATGTCATCGCGCGGGGAGACAAAGATGTCTCGTAAAGAAATGACCTATAGGCTCGGTCAGTATCTCCGGTGTGCGTGGCACCGGGGGTGCACGGACATTCTCATGTTCGAGATGCCGAAGTAATTTGACCTCACGAAATGTCCGCTTGGCTGCCTCCTCCGACCGGAATGAGCCTGGGATTTTCTTGATCGCAACCGTCTCCGAGGTGATATTATCCTTTAGGGAGCTGTTTGTACTCGATTAGTTCCGCTGCAGTTCCGCTGGATGTGAAATTTATGTGAAATCGGCATACCACACGACACCATAGGCGCCAAAGCCTTGCAGTTGTATATTGGAGTATCTTCAGGAATCAGTTAAGTCAATGGATCGATTTCGAGCCACCCACCGACTCGGGGTGTCAAAAGTACACCCGCCAATATTATGCTTGACCAGATCCACGTCTAACATGATAACACAATTAGGGTATATGTGAAAGAAAGGGCAACTCGTCCAGGCCCGGGGTAGCCATCTAATATATTCTATCGCGCATGGGCATGTCCCAGGGTTCAAAACTTGGCCAGGCCTTGTTTTTTGGCGCGTCCGTGTGGATACGAAGTAAGGCCGGGTGGACAACTCCGACTCCACTCGATGTTCTGATAGATTTTTTCTGTTTTCCTCTTTTTACCTTGCCTTGAAGGAGTTTGCTTCTATTCTACTCCGTAGGTCTGGCAGCCTCATGGATAGTGATGTTGCTTTTCTTTCACTTGATCAGGTACGGAACAGGGATTGGAAACTGAAATGAAACATTCTTAACACGAACTAGCTACGGAATCCTGCTCGGTAGCCAATTCTTTCAGGTAAATTCCCTGCAAGACCCCGTCCAGTCCATGTTAGCTGATTGATCAACTCGCAGACTTTCTTCAATGGAATTCTGGCCTTCCGGGCGCTAGATAGGCCATCCTTTGGGATACACCAGGCCGCCATCTTTCCGGTCTATTTCTCGTTGCAGTCTTTCCTCCCTGTCTTTGTAGCTTTGACAGGGACTAAGTCGCTCCGCCTTGATTTGTATCGATATATGACTCTGGTGTCTGTCGCCGGTCTGATCAATCTCATCGTTTTCCGACCTTTAACGCAACGAGTAGTCAAAGCCAGAAAATACCAGGGTAGGAGACCATGTGAAGTGAATCTTCAAGCTGAGACACGAAGCTAACGCTTCCCAAGATATGAAAGATCGGCGCCATCCCTCCACTTTGGTTTCCCAGGAAAAGAAACTTCTGGATCGGCAGTTCATGTACATTCATGGCACCTCCATCTGCATTAACATTGGCGGATTGCTTGCCACGGTCCAGTATGGAATTCTACTTGCCAAGCTTCTGGAATAGGTTCCGCGAATCCGAATCCTGAATGCCTCGGACAGGGGGAATCGGGTCACCAGGGGTGCATCTACTACCCGACCGTTTATACTTGAATTAATTCTGCTGCTGTAAACAGAATTCTAGATGGAAATTTGATATAATGTATTTATCTGTAAAATATGTGTGCTCGTCAGTCAAAACCACCGCGACACGAAAGTGCAGGATTATAGCTGTGGCCTGTGATTGGCGGAAACTCATCCGTCACCATCGACACCGCGGGAGATCACGAATCAGTGATCGCGCATCCGGATTCACCTCTGCAATGATGTCAAATCTGCCATTCCTTTCATTGATCTTCTTGGATATGCTCCCTCCAACATGACGTTAAGTGAAGAACCAGTTTCATGGACAGGGACCCTCTTAAAGCCGCCATTGACCCTCAAACCATCCTTTGAAGACGACTGACAAGGACGATCATGCTTCTACTTAGCTTTAGCATACTTCCATACCCTGACCAACCCGACGGCCATTGATCGGTCGACAATCTCGTAACCGCGACACCAATCCTGTGGCCATTTCCTAGCCTATACCCAAGTTTCGTGGCCAACGCCGCCATGGCCGACCAGATGCCGACATTTCCAGGCCTAGATCGATGGCGCCTGATACGCCCCATAGGCAAAGGCGCCTTCAGTGAGGTGTTTCAAGCCCAAGATACCGAAGCATCGCACGACGAAGTGGCAATCAAAGTCATGAGAAAGCGCGAGATGAACTCACAGCAGGTACGATGGGTCCTCGAGCTCAATGAGCTCTGTCTTCTCAGTTGGGGTTGCCCGTGGAAAGCTTGGAGTATCTAACTCATACACAGAATGCCACCATGTGCAAAGAAATTGAAATAATGCGTCAAATGAACCACCCGAACTTGATCCAGTTAATAGATACAATCGACACAACTGATCACTGCTACATTATTATGGAACTCTGCACTGGAGGAGAGCTGTTCAACCAGGTCGTCAAATTGACTTATCTCAGCGAAGATCTCAGTCGCCATGTCATCCTGCAGGTTGCGCGCGCTGTTCAATACCTACATCAGACGCTAGGAATAGTGCATCGGTGAGTCTTGCTGACGGCCCATTTTTCCCGCAAAACTAACAGTGGGTCTAGTGATATCAAACCTGAAAACATCTTGTTCCACTCCATACCCCTGCTGCCGAGCAAGGTTCCTAAGAAGCCACAACCGGGCGAAGAAAACAAAGTCGACGAGGGTGACTTCGTCGCGGGTGTTGGGTGCGGTGGTATAGGGACGGTCAAACTGGGCGACTTTGGCTTTTCGAAGAAAATCCTCGGTAATCTCACTGCCACTCCGTGCGGCACTATGGGATATGCAGCGCCGGAAATCGTGGACGACCAAAAGTACTCCACCGGCGTTGATATGTGGGCCCTGGGCTGCGTTCTTTTCGCACTCTTAGCGGGATACCCACCGTTTTATGACCCCAACATCAAGATATTGATGAAAAGAGTTACCAAAGGCCAATTTCATTTTGACTCCCCCTGGTGGGACAACATATCCGACGAGGCGAAGGATCTCATTCGGAACCTTTTGACAGTCGATCCTGCCAAAAGGTACACTGTCGATGAGTTCATGGCCCATCCATGGATTCAAGCGGCCTCACAAGACGACCAAGCCGAGGCTCAAACTCCTAAAGACTCGACGCATTTAACTGTTCCCGAATTAACACGCAATCCATCCGCTGGCTCGGAAGGAAGCGAACCCGAGTCTCTCCCGAGCCCTGCCAGTTTGGCCATCAGAGGCCAAGTCGAATGTCGTACCCCGGATGTCATGAACGTGGCCGAGATCTTCGATGTCGCCTTCTCGGTGCACCAGATAGAGGACGAACGACGAAGACAGGAAAAGATCTTGGGCAGGCTCTCAAGCACAAACGGTGCCAACACGCAAATGTCACAACTTAGTATTGCGGGCCCCAAGGGAATCAATCGGCAATCACTCATGGGCGAAAATACCTCGCCGGAGCAGGCCTCGTCCAACAACCACACGACACAGTCCCAGCTGAACTTGGACCAGAGTGCATTGCTAGAGAAACGAAGAGTCCGCCAGCAGATTAGATGAAATATTAGTGAATATCTTGAACCACCTCACCAATGATGGTATCTCATATTTGCTGAACGCAAATCAATCGAAAGAAGAGAAAGCAAATACAGGTAGTAAAAAAATGACAAAAACAAAAACATACAACAGTGAGGATTCGCTGGTGGTCACCCACCCAACTACTAACTCACCGGCGTGTGGCTTAAGTACGGCTGAGCGGACGGGAAGCCCTGTTTTCCACACCCTGTGGTCGTATGTGTTGGAGTTTAATGAAAGGGAATATATTAACAAGAATCTTCAACTCTCCGACGTGTGGCTTAAACGTGGCCAGTAGTCGGGTGGGTATCGCCCGGGTGAGGTATGGATGAGCGCCGCTTTACGGTCGCGCGACCGGGGGTGATGTTGGAACTACTAAGGGCTAAGAGAGAGAGAAGAAACTGACTGAATTTCTAGACTGGGGAAAGAAGGAAGAAGAAAGAAGACTATCCAGGATCCCTTGGGTAGGCAGCAAGCAGCAAACATCACGAGCTACAAACCTTGGAAGAACCGGATCATCACATGATTCCCAACACACCCCCCTAGCTCGCAAGACGCTGCTAATACAAAATAGGAAAATAGGAAACAGCATCTATTTGACAAAAAAACCTTCGCAATGACAAAATCCAGTCCATTCAATCTATGAAAAGACCCGTCAAGTCTTCAAATTTTGGCTTTGGGAGAGCCTTCGTCAAAGTATCTGCGGGATTCTCAGCACTGCTGATGTTATGGGTTCGTACGAACGAACCCTCTGAAGTTGTGCTTGGCTTTGCCCACCTATTCTGCCGGCCGTCACCGACGGCACAGACTCTGTATTTATTCGCGCCTCGTTAGCTAGCTTACCGTTCTTCATCAAAACCTGCTTGTTCATAGCACACCTGTATCTTTCTACGGACAGAACCCTAACATTAGGTTTTGATCAATCTTTTCAAAGTTATACGAGATTGTTCTCCAACTACCCACCGAACGGAACGGAACGGACGCACGGCAAAAGAAGCCTGAAGATACATCGGACACATTAGACACATTGAACATAACAGAAAACGCATCAGAAGAAGAAAACCCACAGAAGTATTAAGCCGATCAGTTAGAATTTAAACCACCAAAGCAAAGAAGAATAGAGATCCATCCTCCTACAGCAACAGCCACTCAACCTGCATCGCCCCCTACCACACTACCTACTGCAACCTAACGACCTCAGCCAACCTATCCCGACATCAGGATATATGATAAGAAGGATATCCGAGAATATCCTATTTTCTGTATGAACTAAGAGGTTAAATTTAATATAGATAGCCACTATTTCCAGAACGAGGAACAAAAGATCTACTACACTTTTAGATAATTGGAAAGACTAACTAATAAACGAATATACCTATAGATTATATCAATAGAAGATCGAGAGTAGTCCTTTATCTCAAACACCCCTGGCATTTGTGCCATGAGCAGCATGGAGGCAGATCTGGTCATGTGCCACTGCCCTTCAGCAACGTTGAAAGCGTCGTCCACGAGGCCTGAAAACTCGTTCCCTCCGTATACTTTCCTCATCTGGAATCTCATAAGTAACAGCAGTGGATCTAAATTGTTCAAGATCGAGTTAAATTCTTTTTATAGCTACGGAGAATAGGAAGAAATATATAATCATACCGATAGGGCTAGTAGATTGGTCCTTATGAATATTGATTGATGGTGATATTTCATGCTCTCGAGGCGCCTACTAAAATACTCAGCTATCATAGTTAGTGTACTTAGTGGGGACCCTCATACTCTCTTAGTTTTCAAACCTTGATTATATCAGTGCAAAGGACAGGGCATATACCTAGGTAGTCATTCCTTAGCTACCTATGTAGCTCTATGATACATGCTTCTTACACTCTTCTGGTGCCCCCCTCCTTCCCCAGCTCTTTAGGCTTCCCCAACCCACAGCTGTGATTCAAATTTTATTCAAGGAAGCGTGGATGACCTCCCATGGC